CACCTTCGGTATCTTGACGGAAACGAGGGGGAGTGAGTGCTGGAGGGTGGGCATGAGGACGACGCCCCTCGATAGAAGTTCCCGCGGGCCCCGGAGCTAATTCATCTAGACGTTGCGTTGGTTAAGTCGCTCCGGAGCTCCTGTTTGCGGAGATAAATCGTGGAATGGGTCCGTGTACGCCTCGAGGATGCTAGGAAATCCGGAGCTAAATAGAGCAGTTCTTTAGAGCCCATAGAAGCCTAGTGGCATGTGAGTGCTGTGTCGAATAAGCTCCGGAGGGCTTGTACGATGTGCTGAGTCCGCATTTTCGGGGGTCAGATGATCCTGAGGCTTATCAGCGCCCGGAGGGAAGTCCGCGTTTGCCGGCGTCACATGACATTCTTCTCGATATGGTATCTTTGTACATGTTTGCACGGGGGCGCAGTAAAGCTACCTGGCTCTCTGCAGGTTCACCCGATCTGCAGAGCCATTACATCATTGGTATCTGGAATTGATTGCAGGCTGTAGAAGGGCCAGAAAAATTGTGAAAAATGCGGGAAATCCATAATATATTCAGAGCTCTATAGCAAATCAAGGAATATACAAGATGATCCTGAGAGGTCTAGTGAAATTCAAATGATACTTCAAGAAAGATAGGAATATTTGTGTCAGCTCTATGATATACAGTGTAAAATAGGGAGTATCTTATGCCCAGCTCAGGACTCGTAACCAGCCATGCACAGCATTGGCCCACTCCCCCCAAGTTTACTGCGCCATGTGCAGTTTGGACGTGTGCAGGAACATCATATCACGCTATTGAGGCGGTTAGTTGTTTCACACCCAGAATGTTATCTACAAATTTCGCAGAGTCACTGTGGAAGATGCTGTCCCCGTGACACCTCGTCATGGCGTCCGGGAGCGATGGAACGAAGCAGCCGTTCGTTGACATTGCCAAGATGCTGCAGTGCAGCTCTTCATCTGTCGAGCGGAGGATAGCATCTGCGGGCGCTTATTAAGTAATGAGGAGAAGATCATGGTGGCGACGTACCTGCATAAGCAGAAGAGGAACAAGCGGAAGAGGCTCCCGGAGAAGGTGATGCTTGCAGTCAGGATGAAGGTCATGGTCACAACGAATCTACATAGCAACCGACCTGGACATAGCGAATGGTTCTCGCGGAGAGATGGTGAAGATAGTCCTGGACCCTGAAGAGCCGCCGGTGCCTAATATGCCAAGTGTGGAGCTACAACGAATGCCGGCTTATGACTTGGTCCGTTTAGACCGTACTAGGATGCCGCAGTTGCCAGGGCTGGAGGAACGTGTTGTGCCGATTGAGCCAATGGAGGAGTCCTTCCCAGTGCCAATGAAGGTCGGGGAGAATTGCCAGCTCGTGAAGCGCACAGTGCATTGACACCAGCTGTGTATCACAGCAGCATATGCCTTCACAGATTATCGCTGATAAGCCTCAGGATCATCTGACCCCCGAAAACGCGGACTCCGCACATCATACAAGCCCCCCCGGAGCTTATTTGACACAGCGCTCTCACGCCTCTAGGCTTCTATGGGCTCTAAAAGACTTTTTTTTCTATTTAGCTCCGGACTTCCTAACATCCTCGAGGCGTACACGGACCCATTCTGTGATTTATCTCCGCGCACCGAAGCTCCGGAATGACTTAACCAACATGACTTCTAGCTGAATTAGCTCCGGGACCCGCGGACACTTCTATCGAGGGGTGTTGTCCTCATGCCCACCCTCCAGCACTCACTCCCCCCTCGTTTCCATCAAGATAGCGAAGGTGCGGACGCATACGAGTCACCATGAGGTCAGCATCCGTCAGCAAGCGGCCGGAGGTAATTAGCACGTGATCGGCGTGTCGCACGGAGTGATGGGACCGCTTGGGTCAGGTGGCGGAGCATCGAGGCGACCTATAGGGGCTGGAAAGAGCAAGTGGGAGCGCAAGAGAGTCGTATGGTGTATGGTATAGCGGAGGAAAGTGCTGAGCAATCCTATGGGTAGCGGCGTTTATTTGTTATTTATCTCTGGACGGTCGCAAAGCTATTCCTGTAGTATAAATTGTACAAAGTAGCATACAGAAAAAGAAGTTTTCGACTTCACCATCTCAGAGAATTAACGTTACGATCTCAGCGACCCGAGAAGTTTGAAAGCGTCGAACTTAGCGACTTATAACCGATCCTAGCTTTGCCAATAGGCCTGACTCATCGAGAGAAATATCTCCGCCATCGATTTAACTAGTTCCGGTGAGGTTCACATAGCGAAACAAAATTGAGCAACTCTTTCTAGTGTCTTCTACTCCCGTGAGCCCGAACCTACACTCGGTTCCGTGGTTTGCGACTTTGCTTGCGCCGTTTCGGAAGATAAATACTCCGGAGCGTCCATTAGTGTTTGTTTCAGGCGTCAAGGTTTTGTTTTATTTTTCTAGGTCTTCCTACGGACTACCCTACGTCGTCTTACTCCTCCTTTCCCCCTCGAACTATTAAAATACCCCTCAGGTGTCTCGGACCGCCTTCACCCATATCACGGGGTTTAGGTTTATTTCCTTTGGTCCTTGGTGATTGTTGTGTGTCAGTGCATATCATCGCGCACAGGGTCAAACCATTCCTTTCCTTATTGCTGATATCGCGAAGCCGCCAACGGGTAAACTGAGCTTGTTCAACTCGTACGTGACACTTTCTCGTAGTCACGGAGAGGACAATATTCGATTACTGCGGGATTTTGATGATGACATATTCAAACAGGCTCGTGACCCATTTCTCATTCAGGAGGATGCTAGACTAGAAAGGTTAGATCAAAGGACAAAGGAGTGGTGGATGGAGATGCGTCAAAAATTACATAGGAATTAACATAGTCATGTATCTCTAATATTTGAGTCTTCTATTGTATGGGTATGTAGCGAGCCCAGACGATCAGATATGCCACGAGCTCTCTCGTATGTTGTGGGGAGCGTGATCATAGGCTTGAGTGGCTGTTCAACAGATACAAACAAGTCAAAAGACATGTAAACAGTGAACGCATTCCGGCAGCGCGAGATACCTTGCTGGTCGCAAGGTAATGATGTAGGCGTAGATCGGAGATCCCAGCCCCCCTGGGGTGACTGGAGAACAGGCTAGTGGGCAACAAGATATCGTATATTACACCAACTACTCTACTATATGGAGGATACATAGAAAGGGGAGAAACCCTGAGGAATACATAGGGGTATGGATAAATACACTGGGTGCGTTCCTGCGTAATTCTTGTCAAGTCGTACCTGTTCATGTAGCGTCATCAATACGGAGCATTCACTATCCCGGACTTGCTTCGCAAGTTTCTAGACGGGGTTGCAAGCGAAGCACGCGTAGGTCTCTTGAGGTTCTTCTTGTTGACAGCCAACACATTATTCTGCAAGGCGATGATCTAGTGCACGAGGAAGAGCATAAACAATCCATGCGCCAAAGAGCAAGACTAGTATACGCACAATTTCTTTGTCATCACCGAACCGGAAGTTATCCTGAACTACCAAGTCCTCGTATCTATTGCTCGTCACGTCAATACTGCTTAGAGTGCGACAACTTGGAACCTACTTCTTAATCTCATATTTGTCCAGTTGACCCCGCTTGACTTTCTTGAAGTCCCACACGACCACGTACGGTCCCGTAGACGTGACGATGGCGTTTTCGGCATCATCACCTCCCGTATTAAATCTGAGAAATATCAGGATCGTGCTAACCAGAATATGACGAACGTCCTCGTACCTAGCAGGCGTGAATGAGACTTCCTGATTCATATATGCAACATGCTCAGCGCGAAGCTGCAGCCTCTTCGGGATAGGCTTCGCGTTTGCTGGGAAACTCCGATCGAACCCAAGACTTCCGGTATACCGTCCCTCTCCAATAAGCGTATCAATGAGCAGTAGATACGTCTTTGTCGTCGCCACTATCCACCTGCCATCAGCGGTACAGTCAATACCGAGGATGGGGTCGCCCAGCGGGGGTAGAGCAGTCTTCGCGTTCTTCCCGATGGTGTCGAACAGCCTGATATCACCCTTCTCGCTCGCGACAGCGAGCTTGCCAGACGCAGTGGTCGCGAGATCGGAGAACTTGTTCTTGCTGACATACTGCTTGTACTGACTATCAACCATCTTGTTGCCAGAGATCCGGGGGTCGATGCGGAATATGGCGTTATGGGATCCTCCAACGAGGGTTTGCTCATGTGTCGTAGGCGCGAACTTGGACTCGGGAGCTATCATATCGACTGTGACGTTGTCGTGAACCTTCCATTCCTCGACAATCTTGCCCCTTTCGATGTCCATACTGTAGAGCGAGTTGGGGTCGCCGGGGTTCATGAGCACCATCTTCGTATCTTGCTCATGCAACATGACCTGTCACAGGGACTTAGGATTACTGCGGAAGATGACATAAATCGAGGCAGCATACCTTCTTGGGCTTGAATTCTTTGCCTTTGGGTGTAGTCAACTTGCTGATCGTCGCCTGGTACCTGACACCATTGTCCCCTCCGTGGCTGAAGACGCCGATTTTATTGCCACGGACGACGTATGACCGATCACCCTTGTACCCAACGGTGAGCTGTGAGTTCCGCTCGCCGGGACCAAGGGCGGGTGGCAACGCGTCCTCGTCTGCTCCAGGTTCATCTTCCTCTTCGTCTTCCGACGGCTCGCTCTTCTCTGTCGGGCAATCAGAACTGCGCGAATGTTGATGCAACCGTGACACTTGCCTTCTAGTTCATCCTCTACTTCGTCCTCCTCATCTTCCTCATCAACGTCCTTCATCTCCACGTCTTCGGTGTTGGAGCTGAGCACATACGACTGCTCGTCAGCCTTCACAAGAGGTATGAACGTGAGCTAATAGCCACGAGAGATAACATGTTTACGAACCTTCATCTTATCCCAAGAGAACTGATGCAGGCTCTCCCACAACGCCCTAGTGAACGCAGCCGAGAATCTTTCATATGCATCCACAGTCAGGAACCTGAAGCAGTAACTGCTCTGCGCGCCACTCTCGCTTACGGCATTCCACGTTAATGAATTGACCTTCCTCGACCACCTTTGATTTATCTCAGGAACGATCTTGTGCGCCAGGACCTGCGACTTGTCGCTCGCGGCAACTAGGAAGTAATCGAACTGCGAACGCTGCACGATCCTAAGGACACCTTCGCACTCGATGTCAAACATCTCGGTGTTGGTGTTCCACCAGTAGAGCTCTCCCTCTTCCTCGATGACGACCGGCATAGTCGAGGGGACGGCCTTCTTCGGCCCTGTCTTCTCCACGGCACTCGAGGGCTCCTCCTCAGCCTTCATCTTGACGGCCTTCTTGGCTTTCTCCTCCGGAGGTCTGCGAGGCACTCCATGAAACAAGCCAGATAGTCTGCGGGTGCGAGAGGACTCACTGCCATATGAACTCCTGAAAGTCCGCATCGGTCAAGCTATCCGCACTCCTCCGGTACTTCCTCTCGTACATGGCCCTGTACATGCACGTCTCGAAGAACGCACGGGTGGGCTCGTTCGTCCCGGTCGCGACGAACTCGTACAGCTCGTCGACGTCCCCCTCGAGGTCCCGCCAGATGAATGTCGGCTCGCCGTCCCTCTCGCCGCTGTGGAACTCAAGTTCCTCACTGATCAAGAAAACCCGCTCTTCGTCCGCTGCAAACGAAGGAATAAGGGTTATCAGACAGCACTAAGATGCACATGGGAGGACGCACTTTCTTCCTCGTCCTCGAGCAGCTCCTGGTCCCCCTCTTCGTATACGCGCGTTATAACCAGCTGAAAGTTATGCTCGACCGAGGGGACGCGACGAATAGTCGCCATTGCGTCATTATATCTGCACAGAGAGATCAACGGCTTTGCGCGGACGGCGAGCCTGGGCGAAAGACATACATGCATTCCCGGGAAGATCGGATATTATCAGGTCGTACAAGATACAGTTGACCTGTGGAAATTTTCACGACTTCTGCCGCATTGGGGTCATCTACCGCAGGGCCCAATAATCAGTCCAGTCTTTCCTGGATGGCGTTCATGCACTCACGCCAGACCTTGCCAATCACTACAGGCAGTACATTGAGCTGGTTGCTTATAACTAGAAGTGATAAAAGACTTACAGCTTTTGAAGATATTCATGGCGTAAGGGGAGACGGTGGAGCCAGAGGGAGTAGCAGCAGCAGGCAGGACAAGCCCAAGGCTTTGTCCGATCGTTGAGCGCCCGTGACTCGATGGCGCGTGACGTCACGCTCAGAACGCGTCTGCACAGCTTTGCGGTACCGCGTCGTGTAACAGCCATGTCCTCCTCGTCGCGAGAGCTTATACCGCTCCCGGAGCCGGCGCCTGCGCCTGCCGAGGCGCCCCAACCTCCTGCAGGTAACCAAATTGTTGTAATTGAGAATTCAGGAAAATAACTTGGTTCAAGCTGGTGAAGATGTCTTCTCTGCACCCACAGAGCCCCCTCTGCGTAATCGCAGAACTATGCCTGGATACTTCCCAACCGGCGAAGTACGCAAGCTCCCACATTTGCAATCTTTACTCCTCTGACTAAACTCCAGACTCCCTCCAACTCTCCTGCCACCGCTATTGATTCTCTCACAGACGACCGTGACGTTGTGGAAGGCTCGCCGCGATCGCTCGCGGAAGCCTTGTTGAAACGCTCGCAGTTCCGCATGTCTCAGTTTTCTGCCTCTCAGAATAGCAGCTCGACTCCCGCTAGGACGGTCATCCGCTCTGATCCTACCATGATCACTACGTTCGATCCGGCGGACAGAGAGCTGTATGATTTGTGGGCGCCCAAAAGATAAATTCACCCATCCATCTCAATGAGTACCAGTTTGGTGGACATTTGCCTTTGCGGCATATCTTGGAGATACCGTTTTACGCCACCGTGGACATCGGTTCCCGCGGTTTGATTGTATTTCATGCATCTTACATTTCATTCACGTTATGGTGCGTTGTCAATCCTATTCAAGCCGATGGCTGTAGCCGAACATCCGAAACGGATGCAAGACAACATTAACACATCCCAAAATAATTGGCTGCCTGGCTCTGGTTTGCCCTGCACCTGTTAGTGCCTACCATTCAAGAATAAACGGTCTGGCAATTTCTACCTTCTAAACTCATGGGCATAAGTGAATCAGGAGGTCTTGAGCTATGCCAGTGCTGGCATGAACGAATTTTGGCAAGTTTTTGCTGACAATGTTTCTCCAGTGTATCACCGCCTGCCGGAGGATTTTCCGTGCCACGACTGCGCTACAGGCGATACCCTTCCGCTATTGCCTGAAATAAATCAGTTTCCCTCATCGGCTGAATCAGCGGTAGGCTCGTTGTAGCAGTAAAGTCACACTAATTAAAATGCGCGTCTTGCTGGGTGTCATAACAAGTCATGGCCAGTTATCATATACTGTGCACGGTGTGGAATGGCTGGTGCCTTTCAAGATGGCTGTAGCTGCGAATGGACCGCAACAGCGCCGGACCGTGACCATACCATCAGCGCCCAGCAGACATTGCCCCAGCTCTATCCTTCCGCAAGCGCCAGGAACGAGTTATTATCTGGTCCAATCAGCTTTTCCGGAGGACCGACATGGTCCCGCTTCCAGGGGATGATCCCGATCCAGGATGGGAAGGTTCGCACCTTCCGCAACGCGACTGGCCTTGTGTAGAACTGCATAGTGGCAGGACGTTGCAGAATGCTCTTTACATCGTTGCAGAGAATGAGTAACTGCTATCGACCCGCCTCATCAGCGCCTATATTGTTTTAGCAAACAGTCCCAATGAATGGTACTTATTCCGCTGGCTTTACGCCGTTCCTTCTTCAAGGCCTTAGTGCACCCGTTTGATGGACAAACTTGAACGCCTTCCATTCTGGGCCAGGGGCAGAGCGCGGGCCGTTGGTCAGAGGAAATGTGTCAGCGATCTGTGGGCTTTCTCCACAACGACTCATTGGCCGAGATGCCCTTTCAGCGATTGCAGCCTGCTCATGCGGTTATAATACCCCAGCCTCCGCCATCTCATATACCTTCCGTTTCTTGCTACTTTCCCTCTCTTTCCCCCTCGACGAACACCTGTTCGGACCCTTATCGCAAGGCGCTGACCGTGCATCAGCCAACGCGCAAATAAGCCCTGCGGACATCAGCGTGTACGCGCCTTGCCAGTCAGCCAAAACGCATGCTCAGCCGCAGTGCTTTCTTTCAGGAGCCCGCCATGTTGTCCCGTTACATTTCCTCGTCCGCTCGCAGAACCGCTGTGCTTTGTCTTCTCGCCGCTGTATTTCTCGCGTCTTCCGATACCCTAGCCGCCGCGAGAGATGTCAGCGTTCCTCGCCCAGCGGATCCTTTTGCAGACCCCCGCCATGACCCTTACAATCCTTTGCGGTATATTGCCAGCAACACCCTGACTGCTATCGCCTTCAGTGAGTGCTTGTTCCTTGCTTCGTCGGTGCCGTAAACTTAGCACGTCGTGCTTCGCGCCTTCGTTGATCGACATCGGGGTCTATTTCATCGACCTGGCTAATCACTGCTTCTGCTCGCTTCCCTAGCTCTTGTGTTGGTGGTGGCGTTCATCCAGTCGTTCAGTATGTGGAAATGGGGAGCGGTTTGGATGTTGTCCATGGTCATCGGCGAGTACAGTGAGTGGCGTCAACTCCGATTTTTTCCATCATATTGAGAACGTTTATCGTGTAGCATGGGCAATGGGCTTTGGTTGCAGGTTTGGTCTACATTCGCACCCGGAATCAAGAGGAATCTACATCGCGGAATACCTGCTCATCGTCTTATCGGTAAGTTCCCCTCGCAACGGTTTGGCTCGAGTATCTCAGCCCAATCGTCATCACAGCCTTGCGCCTTTATTGCTGCCGATTACGTGCTCCTGGGTCGACTTGCACGGTACCTCAAATGCGAACAGCACTTGCTGATCCCCCCGAACCGCATCACGATCTTCTTCGTCTGCTCCGACATCGTTACCTTCTTAATCCAGGTGCGTTTACATTTTCGAAATTTACAGAGCAAACTTCTCAACGTTATTTAGGCCGCTGGAGGTAGCATATCCATCTCTAACAACCCTCAAACTGCCCTGACAGGATCACACGTACGTCCTCTACCTCTCCATGATGTGTCGCCGTCTCTTAAACCCGACGTGCAGATTTTCTTGGCCGGTCTTGCCGCGCAATTCGTCTCCTTCCTATTCTTCAGCCTACTATACTGCGCCTTCCTCTGGAAGATCTACCGCCACAACCCCGAAGTGTATTCCCTCGACAAGGACAAGAAGTGGTACCATGATTGGCGCACGCTGGGCGTTGCCCTCTTTATCAGCTGCATCGGGATTCTCGTAAGTCCCGTTTCCCCACCCTCCAATGGCAACAAGACAATCTGAACGCGTGTTGTTTATCATCCAGATCCGTTCGATCTACCGTACGATCGAGCTATCAGAGGGCTACCAAGGCCACCTTGCGACGTCCGAGCCCTACTTCTACGGGCTCGACACGCTCCCGCTCTTCATCGCCATTACCGTGTACGTGCCCTTCTGGCCGGGGCGGTTCATCCCGCCGCTCGCCCCGCCCGTCCGCAAGGAGCTCGTGGGCGACGAGCGTAGCTCCGCGGAGCAGCAGGAGAAGGACTCCGTGCAGGCATAGACTAGACTAGGGGGTGGACATGTTGCTATCGTTATTTTGATGATTGGATTTGATGACCTAGATGTCGGACTGCGGGGATGGTATGATACTGGTCATATATTTGTCGTTCGTTATAGTGGTTATCTAGCATATATCGATGTATACATGCATGCACATTGACTTGTTGACTTGGAGATAATTCGGAGCAATACAGTGATGAATTGCAGTAATTCTGGCAGTGATGCAACTGATAGGATGCGCTCTATGGATGCGACGCCAATAGACTGACGCTGATCGGGTCCTCCCAGTAATGGTAGTACCAGTCCTGTTGCGGTACGATGGTGATATGCAAAGCGTGATCCCTGTATCTCAAAACGCTGAGAAGAGCGGTATCAAGCTTCCTCAGAGGCCACTGAGGAAGTCAGCGAGCCCGCCTCTCTTCTTACTCTGCTCTTGGCGCTCCCGTTCCCGATTGCGGGCAAGCAGCTCTTGCAAGCCAGATTTCTTCTTGGGACGCTTTAGCGAGCTAGGGTTCGGCGTAGAGGAGGTTGTGGGACATGGAGTTTCTGAAGATTTTCGTCCTGCACTTTCCCGGATGCTAGGTGAGTCGCTACGGGACCTGTCCAGCCGGTACGTATCAGGCGATAGTAGGGGACCATGTTCTTCAGGAACAGGAGGAACAGTAGCTGGCTCGGTCATGCTGGTCATCGTGGCTGTCTTGGACAACTCTCCACCTGGCAGACCTTTGGTGTTTGGAAGGGGTGCAGTCGCCTGACCGGAAGCAGCAGCTCCAGAGACTCCGCGTCTGTCGAAGTTTCTTCCAGCCTTCGGAAAGTTTCTCGCATTTCCAGCCTCGACTACGCGTTCTTGAACACGCCCACACGTCCCACAGGTCGTCTTCAGCACCCGTTTCGCCTGTGATCGGCCAGAAGACTCGCCGCTCCCGGGCACTTTACGGCGTTTGCACTGACGAACGACGCGTACGTCGCTCCGCCCGTCACCAAAGAAGGTTCCACACCGAGCACAGTGAGTCTCGTGTAGCGTCGAGTCTTCGGGGTGGAGGCGGCGCGCCCTGGAGGCGTGGAGCGCAGCGAGCCCGGGCGATACAGACTGTAGGAGAAACGGCAAGGCGAGCTGATACTTAGTTGTTGCACTATCCATCACTGCAATGGTAAGCGCGACGAGGTTTGCAGTACTCAAAATGTGGCTCGGAGCCTGAGTTAGATTGTGGCTGAGAAGCCTGAGATTCACAACCCGATTCATATTCAGGGAGACATCCATGCACATTGCCATGAGACGCTCAGGATTGATCATCGTACTCCCAAGTTAACAGACTCGATAGCGATTGTACTAGTGATGTGAGCATGCGAGGATGTAAATACATGTGTGAGGAAATGGTACCGACCATTATGGTTACAGAAACCTCTTCGAAAGTGACAGGTAGACAAGATCATTCCATAGACTATAGCAAGTTGGGGAAGTGCGTCAGCGCTGTGGATCCTTCCCTTTCCCTTTCAGCCTCTTGCTACCCAGCCGTCTATCCACATCGTCCGGATCTACTTCATCCGACGACTGTAACGAGCGCTTGCGATTGTAGTTCTCATTCACATCCAAGTCAGACCGAGCCCACATATCGAGAAGCTCGTCATAAGCCTTGGGCTCGCCATTGCGAGGCAGAGCGCGTAATTCCAGCTGTAATTCCGCTACAGTCGCGGCCCAGATACTCGTTATAGTATTTCTGCACTTCCTCATCGGTGAGTGGGTCGAGTGGCTCGCTGCCGTCCCAGTGCGGCTTTCTGGCCATAAACTTACTTGCGAAAGTTGAGGACGAGACTCTGGAATATCTCGCCCCAATAGGGGAGGACCTGGTGTCCCTAGCCGTCCTCTAAAAATTCCCTCTTGAACGCAGCGGCGAGCCCTTGCTTTTAAATTGACATTTTCAAAATCCTGTAGGAGATATGGAAGGTTGGCTACCTGCAGACCAGGGCTGAGGGCCGTGAAGGAAACCTAGACCAAGACGTAAAAGAATGATCCGAGATCTTCAAGATGGCAATGGATACCTCGTTCCTTCAGGATATTGATCGCCTGAAACGCCCTTGTGCCCCGATAGATGTCAGGAACGGATGCCGGGTGAAGTTCCCGCGTATGATATTCATCGTCCTCAGGTCAACGAGTGCGTTCGTCCGCGTGCGATTTAGGAAACTCGCCATGTCGAGGTCAACAAGTATCCCTCAGAGATGGCTCCCCTGTAACTGCATCGCGGAAAGCTTCTAAATTTCGTTTGGAAGTGTTCTATGGACTTGCTATAGCAACGGATGACTATGCCAGCGATCCATACTGCCATTAATTCTGTTTGTCGGCTCAAAACCGCAACAGATCTCTGTAATGGAGACACCCTCTTCATGAACAAGCATTTACCCCACGCCTTTCACCTGGCGTTCTTGAGCTCTCTAGAAAAAGCCACTCTGGAGTGCGCTCCTTGGCCCGCCAAGCACACTTGACGAGCAGCGGTCCACAATAACTCTACGACGGACCACGGGGTTGATTTGTGGGATGTCTCACGTCGCTTATGTGTGCTTCCACTGTTCTCCGACCGCCCTTCCAGTAAATGTTACCGTTGAAACTCAAGATGTCTGGATTCCATCACGCCAGTCACAGTGAACTCACAGTGGTTGGTCGGAATACGTTTTATTGTCTCAGCCCGAGACACCACCCATGCCAAGACGTTCACGACTCGGAGTGATCATTAATTGCAGCAGATTCACAGACTCGACAGCGAACGATTGTACTAGTATGAGAGCATGGGCGTACGTACACGAAACGGTACCGACAGTTGACAACAGAGAACTCTCCGAAAACGGTAGCTAAACACAATTATTTCAGAGCAGTACGAGAGCGGTGCAAAGCTACAGGACATGGACAGCTGAGAACATAACCCTAAAGCGACATTGATATAATGATATCAACACTGGTGTTCCTTCCCTTTCCGTTTCTTGGCTGCGTGCTCCTCACCATTCGACGGGGAGTTCTTCAATGCTCGCTTGCGATCATCGAAACTCTTCTCGTCCACGTCTTCGCCCTCGACCTTCACGTGCACGCCCGATAGAGCCCAAATTTTGAAAAGCTCAGCACGCGTAGGCTCTCCTTTATTAGGCAGAGCGCGTAGCTCCGCTATAGCCCCGTCAATGAAGCCCAGATACTCGTCGTAGTCTCTCCACACCTCCGGCTTGATGGTCCCGTCTGACGAAACCAGCTTTCTCTCTTGGAACTCGCGACTATTTGCATTCCAATATTTTTCTCTGGCGGCAAAAAAGGCGCGAAAGCTGGCGAGGAGTCTCTGGAATATGTCTCCCCAATAAGGGAGGACTTGAGTGCGTGCCATGTCATGGCTTACGAAGGAAACCTTGGCGTCAGCAGCGTCGGTTGCGTCAGCTAGCTCGAATTTTCGCAGCTGTCTTGGAAGGGTGGCTACCTGCAGACCCGGGCTCAGGGCCGTGAGACAGACCCAGACATACACGTAGAAGAACGACTCGAGGTCCTCGAGGTGGCTGTGAATACCTTGCTGCATCAAGATATTGATAGCCTGAAATGCCCGTGTGCCCTACAAGATGTGAACATTGGGTACAAGTTTTAGCATATAATACTCACCGTTCTCATGTCAGCCAGTGCATTCGACGCGGTACGATCGAGGAAAATTGCCATGTCGAGATCAACTAGTATGCCTCGATTTCCTTCGTCATTCGGATTACCCAGAAGAATATTATGCAAACTGATGTCTCGATGGAGGATTCCAATTTTGAACAAATTCCGGTGACCTAGAGGACGTCGCATAGATTACTGACATCTTCATTATCCGAAGATAGTTAAGATAACTTACCTGCAACGGCATCGCGGAAAGCTTCCAAGAATTGGAGTTTCGTTTCGAAGTACTCTATGGACTTGCCATATCGACGGAGGACTATGCAGCAGAAGATACGATCTATGCTGATGTTGTCCTTGTTCTTCGGCTCGAAGTTGCAACGGATCTGTGTTATTGAGACACCCTCCTGATGTCCGACCATCTGTCCCACACCTTTCAACTGGTGTTCTCGGACCCTCTCCAGGAACAGCCATTCCGGAGTGCGCTCCTTCGCCCGCCATGCATATTTCACGAGAAGCAGTCCAGGTCCGTCGTCGAGCGGGCACTGGACCTCCCAGCATACGGTGCCCCTGCCGATAATGGCTCTGCGACGAAATACGGGGTCGATCCGAGGGATATCGCACGTCGTTATCTCATTACCAACAGGCGCTTCCAGCATTCTCCGGTCGCCCTTCCAATAGATTTCACGGTTGATACCCAAGGTGTCCGCATCGGTAGAAGCGAGCCCAAGGATAATGCGTATAAAGAGTGCTGCATCCTTGTGGATGTCGATCCACGGCGAATGGATTACTCCTGCTCGATCGAAGTGATAGAGAGAAGCAGTCTTCTCCGTTAGAAGTAGACCATTGACAAAGCGACGGTGGGGCTGCTGGATGAAGCATTCACGAGCGTATACGGCAAGCTGTATGCGAGATTTCTCGGTTGCCTTATTGGTCTCGGTCTTGATTTCAAGAGGCGCGGTAGCCACCACGTAGCTGGCCTTTGGTATAGCCTTCGTATCCATGATATAAGGGCCACGACCAACAATGACGATATCAGGCTTGCTCTTCAGTTGGCCGTAGCGAAAATCTTGATGATGCGGTATGGGAGTTTCGCCGGTGAGGACGACTTTCCTGCTAGAGGAAAGACCAAATCTCTTCAAGGTCGCGTCAACAATCGCCTTCACAGGCGTGTAAAGGGATTTCTCCTTCACACCCTTACTGGCGCGTGGCAAATTCTTCCATCGCTTGGAAGAATTGTCATAAAACGAGCAAGCCGTCAACCATGCCTTTATTTCGGACAGTTTTGCAACGTCCTTGAAGCGGCGATTGAGAAAGGTCATGCCTCCATCAACCCATCGATCTTTGAGCTCCGTTTCGAGAATAGACTTCAAGTCCGGGAGATCCTCGAAATCCATTATGATCCCGGTTGTCAGTGTTTTGTGCGGGGTATCGTGGATCCAACGCGCGCCTTCTACGGGTGGACGCGGAGAAGGGGTTCGAAATCTGGTGACGGGCAGATACTCTATAGTTTGCTCGCCCTGCTCGTAGCTGTGCTGTGCAGCAGAGGGACCTGCCACGGATTCAGGGTTGTCAACGGGCCGTTCGAGATACTGGACGGCGCGTGTGGTGGCAGTCTGTCTTTTAGCTTCTATTGCCGTATGGGTGGGTTTGGACTTCCTTGTCTTCTGGTGATTGGGGAGTTCGATGGGAGGTTCAGATTGATGACTCTGTAGCCTTGTCTGCAAACGCGTAACGGGGCGAGAGGATGCCATATCGCGTCCGAGTCAGAGAACGGGCGCGGGAAGAGATGTGGTTCAGCCACGTACTTATATAAGGCAGGCGAATTCTGACTCCGAACAATCTTCGGAATAGCGCGGTGGTCGAAAAGGTTGTGTGGTGGCTGCTGGCGTACTGCTTTCGCCACAAACGCGGATGAAGTAAGATCACGTGCCGGATGAAAGCTCCTGCGTGTTGACTAGGACAATGGGACTGCCCGATAAGGCGTTCTGGGGGGCGTGTTCGTGCTGAAATGGGGTGAGTCAGTGCACAAAAACTCGCCCATATGTGAGCAATAAGCTGTACATACATCTGGACCAACAGTCGCGAGGCTTGATGGGAACGTTGTTCGTGGTTCTACGAAGGAAGTGTGACGTTACAGAATGCTTCTGTCACGCGTTTCGGGAGCAAAAGTTCCCTCGGTCCGCGGTCAACCAATGGCGTGGTCAACTGGACGGTCCCGACGATGAGCGATAACTGATGCATGACTAGGTTGAGAGCACAGGTTTGATTGGTACGATCTAACTTAAACTATCACGGGGGGTTCAACAAAAAGTATCTGATTCTCCAGCACCCCCCCACACTTGACAGATTCATATTGGATCTTTCGCATACTGTATATGACTTAGTAGTAGATGTCCTGATCATTTTATCGCATTTGTACATAGCCTGTAGAAGGCAGTGGAGAGGTGCCGGTTTATGCAGGGGACATCGGCTGGAGGAATCCGTGAAATCAACTACCTCGAGTGCCTGTCATCGGCAGTCCTGCCTATGTAAGCCGCTCCTCATTAGTCAATCAAGCACTTTCGCAGCAAGATTAGATTATTATACATTGGGATGCTAGAGATGCAACTCGAGTTGAATGGCGTAGCATCTAGTACTGCTATGGTCTCAGGATATTGCGCACAGAGACTGGTATGAGTATGAATACTTGGGCATGCAATGCACACAAATCTGATGCAAATCAAGAACCTCTGCTGTACAAAGATGTACACTACAAAGTTGAATCACCACCTCAGTTATGGGCTACTGCAGCGGGAAGCGAGTGTACGAAATAAATTTACACTAATTTGCAGGCCCTTTACAGTAGCTTCTCACCCACACCGACAAGTATAATAGTTGTTGCACTGTTAGAGCACACAGATGGTCAGCGTTATCGCGCCGAAGGCAGAGCCCACGACCAATGAGATGACAGGCACTCGAGGTAGTTGGTTTCTCCATGCGATGCCCCTTGGGCAGGCATTCTGCAAAAAGTGCATCACACGGTCACAGTACTAGTGGGACTCGCGGTCGAGCTCTCGTCACGATATGGCCTCAGGTGATGTGCAAAGTCGCCTCTCTGTCTCAACTGGCTCACTATGTCCCCTTTCGGGCTGGTGCACCATACTGTAAATGCGCTATGTATGATACCCCAAGCCAGGCCCCTCATTCTCTTCCCCTCAGCCGTCAGGGTGCTCGCCACAAACCTGACGATGAGACGCGTCAGTCACGTGGACCTCATGTCACGGTCTGTCACTCTCGCACAAAGGAGCTCCTCCAGCCTCAGTGGGGCGCGCAGAGCATTTATACAAGCCTAGAGGACCTACTTTATTATTGCATTGCTGGGTGTATTGCTGCTAAGCAGACCGGGTGTAAACATCTGATGGTGTACCCGGAAAGTGCCGGCAGTGATTGGTTCCAAAAGGGGAAGCATTGAAGACGCGCTATTGTATTCTTCGAGGCAGCCATTGTCTTTTGCAGCGAGGCGGACGTAAACATGCATTCTCCCTCAACTTTAAAGCGCGTCCGCCGACAAAGGCAACCACCGCACTACCCAGCCTCGCACAACAAAAGATGCCTCGCGACGACAACAACGACGCCTACTACCATCCCTCCTCCGTCCACTACCCGTCCCCGCCGTCCCGCTCGTCCTCGGACAGCTCAGCCAGCATCCGCTCAACGCGTACTTCCAAGTCCTTGTCTCCATCTCGCCGACCCACCAAGTCTCCAGTCACACCGCCCAAGACGCCCCCGCGCATTCGCCGCCCGTCCATCGCCGCCCTTCCCAATCCCATGAACTGGCTGGCCCGTTCATCTTCGTCCAACTCGACTCCCCAGGCTGCGCCGTACGGGACCTCCGTCAAGCCGATCCGCATCTCCGAACCCAAGCTCAACAACTCCCTGGAGCTTTGGGCCGGTCCCAGGAGTGGCACGCTAGGTTCCGGCGCAACAGTCGTGCGCACACCCCAGGAGGCATTGATCGGTTCATCAGCGAGGGTATCGTATGGATCCCGCTCTAGCTCCGACGTGGACTCGCTGGGAAAGAAGAAGAGAGTGAAGAGCAGCGAGAGCATCGACGAGTTGTACGAGAACGCAGAGGAGGCCAAGGAGAGCCCTGAACTCCCGTCTCCGCCAGAGAGCCCGCCACTTCCGCCTCTCCCGCTCTTCGCTGCCACCAAGTCGACGCCAGAACTTCCCCTTCGTTCTTCACCAGCCGCGTCATCTACTTCACTTCCTCCTCCGCCACCCACTCGTCCACCCCCGTCCCCACCCACGCGTCCGGCGCTGAAGAATTGTCGCACCTCGTCATCTCCTCCCAACTCGGCTTACTTCCCTCCCGTTCCAGTCGTCCCCGCTCACCTCGCCACTCCCTCACCGCAACCGGCGTTTGAAGCCATCCTCGTTTCCGCCGTGCCCTCCGCGGTGATCGACCCCACGAAGGTTATCGTGACGCTCGAAACGAACACAGTAACCTACCGCACGAGCTACAACACCTTAGTGTCCCAGTCCTCACACCTTGCTTCGTACCTAAAGTCTTTAATGTCCAAGGGTGGAGAGGAAGATGAGGAGGATGACGGCCAGTCCATGCGGTCGTTTGCGAGCGAGGCTGAGAGCTCGTTCAATTCGATATTCCATCATCACCTGGCGTCCTCTGGGCTATTATCCCAGTCGACGTCGAATATCCATGTATTCCTGGATAGACCCAGTGCATCGTGAGTAACTCCTACCCCCATGCTCGGTACGACGCACGTACTGATCATATGATTTCTGTTTTTCGCAGATACGCCCACATCCTGACCTACCTCCGAACGCCCACGGCCCTCCCGCGGTCCGTTCAGCTCTCCGGCTGCTCCTCCCGCACCGAGGCCTCCGCCCGTCTAGACGCGCTCCTCGACCTCCGCGACGAAGCCGCGTACCTCGGCCTCGACGACCTGCAGAAGCTCTGCACCGAGGAGATCCGCTCAAAGTACACTCTCAGCCACGCCGGCTCACCCTCGCATGCGCACACCCTCTCGGTCGCCGGGAGTGATGTCCCGCCGAAGCATCAGCGCGGCGGGAGCACGACTTCGCTGCACAGCATGCAGACGCTGCGGGAGACGCCAATGGAGGAAGAGGAGATCGCGCCAAGATCTCGCAGGGACCGCAGCGCGTCGCGAGAGCGGGTGGCAGAGTCTACCGCTACGACTGCGACGGTCCCTGGCTTGCGCGACCGACTGGCTCGGTCGACAAGCAGCAATAGCGCTCTCTCGGATGGACTGAAAAGTCCCGGGATCAGCATGTCTATGCGGACGAGACCTGCTGCGAATTGGATTTAATTCAAGCTGTTGCGTTCAGGCCTCATCACGATTTACCTCGAGCCAATTTTCTGGCCTCTCTCGTCACGATTTATAGTAACACTGATTTGTCGATTTGACTGCTTAGAGTATCAACCATACGCTCGGTGTCCATGTAACATTATCTTGTCCGATCCCCTCTCAGAAGTGGAAATGTATTGTAGTATCTTCAGGCCCCTTGCTGGTCATTGCTATATCATCTCGTTGTAGCCATTCGTATATAATGAAATACCTCCTTGTATCTACTATCTACCACCACCTTCCTTGCACAACTTGAATCACTGTTTGACATAACGCTCTAAGCCTTGCAATTGTTCCTATGTCGGGATTCGAGATCACGTTTGCAGCAGATGTAGAAGGGAGATAATGATTTTCTTTGACCGTTTCTATCATCCACACAAATGAACACAGCTGCGTAACCGACGAAGCACAACCTGTATTGCAGCCAGCTCTGCTCATCCTTGCGAACGAGCAGGAGCATTTCAAAGCAAGCACAACATGAGACTATGATACGAGATTACGGAAACGAATTGGAAAGGAGGAAGGACAGCATATAGCAAACACAAGACATTGTGGGCGATCGTAGAGTAGCGCTCCAGAATTCGATTCGTCAATGAGAGAAGAGAAGTCGCAATTTCTACAACAATATTCATACAAAAGGGTCGTACCAACGGATGTCAGTTATGATCGTTCATGCCGAGGGTCGTCAATTTCCCAGCCGCTTATCTGGCCTGCTGCTCTTTGGCATAAGGGTTTACACTGTAAACCTTGATAACCGGAGGACTCTTCGTAAGGTCCGCAGTGACAATAACCTAAAAGCGGACGCGCCATGTATTAGACCACAACTACAATGGTGACGCGCATCGCGGTGACTTACAGGGACGGTCTGCAATTCCTTGATCTCCTGGATCTTGTGCCCAGCAGACGTGGTTTTAAGCCCCTCGAATTCCGGGGCCACCTTCGCCTTGGACAACTTCCTCTGCTTGGAAGTGCCGACATCATCTTGCTCAACATCACGTCCAAGGACAATCTGGTCCTCGTCGTTGTCGTCTTCGTCGAACAGGGCCTTCTCATCCTGGAACGAACGAGACGAGACTTCCATCTTCTGGGCGTGCTGTTCTGCGTTCTGTTTGACCTTCTTCAGATGCTCGTCGTCACTGTTCTCTGCCAGCCACGTGATGACATCCTTGTTCGACCAGTAGATCTGCAAAGTATGAGTGTGCTCGTCATAGACATGGTTCTGTGTAGCATGTTAACCTGGCGCAGCAGCAGAAAAGCGCAAGTTACTTACGTCTATGGGCATCTGATCGACGTGGACCCGCTTCTCAATCCCAAACTCGGGAACGTATACGTCGAACGCGGCATCCAAGACACCCACAACTCGTGCTTGGCGAACTACAGGACCATATCTGTGCGTCAGGTCGGAGATCAAAACACACAGGAAAAGGTGAGCGGATTGCTCCTGCGCCAGCGAAGCGGAATCCTTTTTGCTGTTGATAGCATATCAGCACTGGCTCGAGGTGAAAATCAGTCAACCACGTACATGTTGCACTGCTGAGCGATCTTCGCGACGGCATCGCGATCCATGGCGAACTTAGGGTCAGCTACGACGAAGAAGGATCAGATAAGAGTCCTGAAAGGGAACCGAACCAACACGTACTTCCGTTGCCTTGGAGCACAGACTCGAGTTGACGATGAACAAGAATGTCCGCATACCGGCGGACGGGCGAGGTGAAGTGGGTGTAAAGAGGAACATTCAGAGAGTAATGATGGTACTTCGCAATATCCAGCATTCCAGCGCAGAAGTACTTGGCGGTCGCCGTCACCTTCCGAAGGAGTATCTCGATAGCTCTGCGAGCAATTGGATCATTGATAGCTTCGAGAGACCGCATAAGTGTTCCTGCTGAGCTAGTGTCCATCTTGTAGCCAAGTCGCTCCGCCCGTTCCACGAACGCTTTCTAATAGACAATCAGAACAGGATCATTCGCAGGGAGGGATAAAGAACTTACGAGTCGCCTTTCGGTCGGACTATCGTGACGGCGCAATAGAGCTTGCTCTGGAAGCTGCACTGCAATCTGTTGAGCAATGGAGATATTGCTCAGGATCATAAACTAATCGGCTCTTGAGAACATATTCATCATGGCAGGAAGATTGTGGAAGTACGGACCTCATCAACCAATTTGCGGGCCTCGGAAGGCTGGACCTGATCGCAGTCGGTAGGGAAGCCTTTGTCATCCAGAGCAAACGAGAGCTCGGGCTCGTCAAGAGACAGAGCACCACTCTGGAAACGCCTAGCGCGCAGTTGCTGGGCTAGCTCATTGAGAACTTTGATGTCGTGCTCTAGCGCTTGAGCGGAGTGCTCTGGCGCGACTGGGACCTCCCCCAGGGGCTTGCCCTCAATGGCGTCCTGAGCTTCGGGGTAGTTCAGGTTGGCCGCAGATCTACAGATCATGAGATTGTCAAAGGAACATTCCTTTATACTGAAACACGACCTACTTGACAATGGTCTTGCCAATCCACTTGTTAAGAACCTTGGCATCTTTGGTCATCGTGAAGATAATCGAGAACGTCAGACGTTCCTGTCCGAGTTTAAGACTGCACAGCTCCTCGCTGAGGGTAGGAGGCAGCATGGGGACAGCCCGCTGAACGAGGTAAACACTTGTAGCGCGTTTGCGAGCATCCCGGTCCAGAGCAGTATTGGGCTTCACGAAATACGAGGCATCTGCAACGTGAACTCCGACATCGTATGTACCGTCTTCGTTCGCCTTTACAGATATAGCGTGGTCCAAATCCTTCGTAGACTTGGCATCTACGGTGAAAACCCGGTCCTGACGGAGATCTTTGCGGACTTCGAACTCCCTCTCGGGGACAGTCCAGGGGATGGGCGGAATGCATTTCAGTACATTATCAGCGAACTCTTCCGTGGGGAAATTGCAATCCTTCAAGAGAGCGCTAGTCTCCACTTCAATGTCCCCGATAGGCCCAAGCTCTTCGACGAGGGTGCCGAAGGGATGGAGGGAACTAATGGGATGACGTTTGATGCAGGCCACGAACAGCTTATTGGCGTAAGCATCAGGATTCTGGACGAAGTCAACAGGAGCCTGCTCCGTCGGGATGGCAATGAGAGGAACACGCTTGTCAGTAGGCTTAAACCAGACGATCTTGGGCCGCTCAATGGGTCTCCTAGGTTCGTCACCACGGTCGCCTTCTCTCTCACGGCGTTCTGCTTCCTGCCTTTCCTTCGTCGCGGCAGAAGAGGGTCTCAGGAGGCCTAACGTCCCTGAGAACAGCTGGCCGGGCATACGCTCGACAACAGCCACGACATGGCCAGCAAACTGGGGTTTCACGTCGTCCGTAACCCTGAATGACAATGTCAGAACAAGGCCCCCTAGAAAGTCACGAAAGTTCCTTACTCTTCATCCTCGAACAGAAGCAGGCCCTGTCCTTCAACTTCGACATCGTCCTTCTTCTTATCGTCCTTACGGCCCGAACCACCCTTGTTGTCATAAGCAGAGTTCTCTTCCTTCTTCCTCTTCTTCTCCTCCTTCTCCTTCTTAGTCGCCCATACTTCGTCGACGTCAAGCAGCTCGACGGCAACAATGTCACCCTCCAGGGCACGATTACGGTCTTTGGAACCACAGATGTAGATATCGGCGTCCAAGACTTCCGTAGAGACATAGGCATCAGAACGATTACGCTTGTTCACACGTAAGATACCGACAACAAGCTTCCCCGCGGCGAGAAGAGGGGGCAGAGAGGCCTGGGGCAGGTAAGGAGCGAACAACGACTTGCGTTGAGGTTGATTAGATTGTTGTAACTGAGACTGGAATTGCTGTTGCTGCTGTTGAAGGAGATTCATGCCAGGCAGGGTTAAGCCCATCATGTTCGCAGCCATAATGTTGGGCAGCATATTGGGGAAGCTGAAGGAAGGCATCTTGGCATGATGGCCACCGGCGGCTGCGCGGAACTGTTGCAGGCTCTGTAGTTGGGCCTGCGCATTGGCAAGGTCCGAGGCAAAGTTGGCGTTATTCTGTACACCACCCACACCACCGTCTATACGAGACCTTGTCAGCTCCGAGATCTCGCGAATGAGCGAGTTAACCTACTGATGCGCCAGCTGGAGTCGGCCCGGGAGGCCTGTCGAGAGTGGCCACCGAAGCCAGGAGGAGGTGCAAACCCATCGTCGAAGCCGTCCTGAGGAGCAAAAGGACTGCCATAGCCAAGAGAGATGGACTGATTGTTACTCTTGTTAACCACGTTCACACTATGCCGACGACCATGTCCTCTAGGTATTCCCTGGGTTTGTCCATCGAGCCCCATATTAAGACCCGCGAGGTTACCCAAGTTCGGTAAGATGGGGCCACCCAAAGCGCCGAACCCATTCAGGCCAGAGCTCATGGGCACAGTACTCTGAACACGACGGTGGCTGCCCCCTCTGTTCGGCGCCAAACCAGGGGTCTGGAATGACATGACTTGGTTCTGAGCCAGCTGTTGTTGATACAGTGCCTGTTGCTGCTGCTGTAGAGCCTCAATCTGGCTCTGTAACGCAATCTGTAAGACGCCAGTCAGCCAAGTCACTCACTCGGATGTTTTTCACAAAGGAGTCACCTGTTCCGCCATGATTCCGTTGAATCCCCCAGCCGACTCACTTCTGCGAATCGGCTCATCTTGACCTTGCCCAGCGCTCTCCATGGAGTAGCTCTGCTGGCCTTGCTGGGGGAAACGGAAGCCTTGGTCCTCCTCGCTCAAAGGCGCCATAGGAGTATTAGAGCTCGCCCGTTTCCTACCTCCGAATGTGAAGCCAGGGGCAAGCTGAGGGCGGCCGCTGTTCATGCCCTGGTCTTGACTTTGCTGTGCAAGGGCAGCGAAACGCGGAGCAGTGAAGCTCTGAGACTGGGATCGAGGCTGATGTCCAGGATTATAATACATGCCCTCGGGAATCTCCCCTTCCTCGTATGATTGATTGCCATGACCGTCTTCAGCGTCCTCCATCATGACTCCGAGATGAGGAGAGTACGAGTTGAAGTTGCCTGAAAGACCAGCAGCACCAAGTGAGGCGGCCTTACGGTGACGAGGAGCTTCGCCGCCGCCATTGTTCAGGCCAGGATATGCGGAAGCGCCCGGCTGGAAGACGGGCGCATTGGGCGGCAGGTTGGAGGTAGTGTGCGGTGCTTGCATGGGAGGCATGACGTTCGGCTGCGACGACGGCGACGCGGTCTTCAGATCCGCAATAACTCGCTGGAGCGAAGATAAGGCGGCGCTGCCCTCCGAGTTGGAAGCGGTGACGGGAGGCGAGGTATCGGATGAATCGGTCCTCTGGACGCTCTGACCCTTGTTGCTGTTGTTCCCGCCTTGCTTCCCGCCTTGAGAAGTGGACTGCTGGGACTTCCGATGGCCAGAGTTTCGTCCTCCACCGCCTCCCTGGTTCTTACCACGCTGGTCAGACTTCTTCCCCTCAGGCACTTTCTTCGCGGTATCTGAGCCCGAATCAGCTGCACCCGTGGGAGGATTGGATGACGGCTTCTTGTTACTGGCGCTCGATGACGGCCGGGGGCCAGCTTGTCCCGCTTGGCCACCCGACGCTGACGCTGTCCTGGGTTTTGAGTTGGTTCGCCTCTGCCCGTTCCTGTTGTTGTTGTTGTTCCCTTTCTGCCCGGCGTTGGACGCAGGTTTCTTGTCGTCCGCCTTCGCGCCGTTCTGCTGGGACTGCGGTGGCGGCTGAGGTGTAGCTTCGTCGGTCATTCTGTTCGTTATGTGAGATGATGAAAGGATGGAATGTTATTCGATGTTTTTGGGTTTCTGAATTTTGGTAGGGTCGTGTTGTCCTGACTGGCAATGGTGACGAGCTTAGCGACGCGTCAAAGGAGGACAGCAACCGAACAAGACGCACCTGGAAGTTGGAAAGAAACGAAATAGGGTGGAGGCTTGCCCGGCGGGGCTTGTGGGGATTATGGACGTGAATGCCTGCGATAGGCGTTGGAAGGGGCTTGCTTATCGTCGTAAGAGCGAGGGCCAGTCACTGCCAGTGTACTCCGCACTTTTACCCGCAGCGCGAGTAGTTCTCACGCCGTCCTCACTTGCCGCATTTAGCTGAAATCGCTTCACCCGGCGACGTAACAAGCCTCACGCCGACTCGCTGTCCCTCCGATGCAGTCTCGTTCCTGCTCTCGGATCGCAGTCTGGCAGCGCAGACGACAACCTCTGTATATGCTGGCGTGCAGAATCAGCTATCATGGATACGCCGTTTATAAATTAAGATCTATTGGAGTGTCCAACGCGTGCTATAATGTAGCAGCATGCCATGACATCTCTGCAAATAGTCACGGTTACAACTTCTCAATAATAGCAGAGGTATACTCCTTCGTAGACGCCTTCCCTCCCAGGTCACCGGTGATGTGCTTCCCCTCAGCGATGGTCTGCATAACAATAAGCGTTTAGTCCGGACACAATTAGGTTTGATCGTAAAATGGGCGTCCTCACCGTGAGTGTCGCTTTTTCGATCTTCTCCGCGTGTTCATTTAGGTTCATATGTCTGTGTAATGGTCGTGTTAGATTACGCTTTCCACGGGACCGTCCAGCCTCGTACCTCAGCATCATCAAGGAGGATAACAGCAGCGCAGTCGGGTTAGCCAATCCCTTGCCTATACCCGATTATCAATACCGGATGGCCTCGTGGATCGGAGACACTTACCTGCGATATCCGGCGCGGAACCGTGAACAGCTTCGAAAATAGAAGCGTCCTGCAGAGACGTCAGACGCCACCGTGGATCGGAGAACTGCACTACGTACGCGACCGATGTTGCCGGACGGTGTTAGACCAAGTCCTCCAATGAGACCTGCACACATATCGGACAAGATGTCACCGTACAAGTTCGGCATCACCATGACACGGTCGGAGTAGGGCCGAGGATTTTGGACAATCTATGGGTAGCGGAACGGGAGAGTCAGGGCGGTCGGGCTAAAAATTATCGCACTATTCACCTGGAGACAAACTCGGTCTAATAGGTCCTCATCATACTTGATGTTCGGGAACTCCTTTGCGACCTCCCGGCAAGCCGACAGGAACATGCCGTCCGACATTTTCCTGAGTACACTGTCAGGACTGCGCACAGCCGTAAACTAAGCACGTACATGATGTTTGCCTTGTGCACGGCAGTCACTCGAGACCGGCCCTGGGTCTGAGCATAATGGAACGCGTATCTGGCAACACGCTCAGACGCGTCCCACGTGATGAGCTTGATGGACTGGACGACTCCGTCCACAACCTATCCACACCAGGATCACGATATGCCCCATAGACTGCTAAGAGACGAGCTTACCTCGTGCTCGATACCGGAATACTCTCCCTCAGTGTTCTCCCGAATCAAGACAGTGTTGACATCATCGTAGGCTGTCTTGAAGCCCTTGATGGACACGCAAGGACGCACGTTAGCGAATAAGTTGAACGTTCGTCGCAAGGTCAAGTTCAGGGAGACGTGACCCTTGCCAACTGGGAGGCGAAGTGTCAGTTACGGGATACGGCGAATCGGAATATAGTTGATGCTAACTCGGCGTCGCCAGGGGACCTGAGCAAACGTGTTAGTTGGTCGTCTAGCGCACGGAGGATTGTATTCACCCTTCAAAGCCACCGTGTTCTTCCTCACGGAGTGAATTGCAGGGTCAGGAATCACGGTCTTTCCACCTTTCAGGACTGGCGTGACGTCGACCTCCTCCCATTGAATAGGGACCTGACACGCTCTTCAGACTTCCCCATTTCATTTGCATGTAAGATGTGCTTACGCCTGCAGCACTGTAGATGTCCTTGACCGACTGGCTAATTTCCGGTCCAATACCTAAGGCAAATAAATAACTCAGTTCTTCTGGGGTATGTGGTATCTGGACGTACCGTCGCCAGGAATCAACGTGACAGTGTATTTTCCCTGCATGGTCGTTCGAATAAGTCCCTCAAGATATTCGCGGTACGATACTCACATTGCTGCCCTTCTGTCCAGCAAAAGCAGCCGTGGGCGAAGCCGAAGCATACGTTCGGAAAGGCTTGTATCGCGTGTTATTCACATACACGAGCGTAACCAAGTAAACAACTCACCTGAGCACGTCTGAGTGCGCCCTGCGCAACGCTAGAGAGAGCCCGGGGGGGTAACATTTTACAAGGAGGGGATATCCAATGTCAAGGAGCACTGGCAGTGGACGTCAAAAAGAGGAGAAACTCGGAACGCGCACGTGAGAGCGACCACGTGGGGTGATGTCACAGAGCTTCGGACGAAGTGGCAACGCATCAAATGGACATCCAAACAAATGATAGCATGACTGGAATAGCAGCGATATAATACACAGGTCTACAGTACAAGTCCGTCCTGAAAAAAACAGCATATCAACCGCTCAGAAGACCACTGAGCTGTTCCCGGTACTGCTCCATAGCTCTCTCCGTCTCCTCGTCCGTGTACTTGTCCTGTAACGTCTGGATGCGCTTGAGTATAGTCAAGACAAAAACCACACTTTGACGCACCGGTACTTCTGTTCCAACAGTACCTGCCTGGCCGAGCTTGCCATCTGTGAGCTCAAACAGAACCTTGTCCACTTCCGCGTCGGCCTCCGTTTCCAACTCCTCGTCATCATCCATTTCTAACGTATCATCCAGCATCTCCTCCATGATGCCCGCCTACGGAATAGTTCGAGTTATTAGATGTATGAAAGCTAGAGTATACAGCTGTAAACGAGCCTTCGTCATCTCCATGCTCATCTGTCTCATAGTTTGGCTGATCTGCGGAAGCTTGATCAAGGAATTCGACAACTTCATGATCTCCGTGGATTTCTGCAACGAGCCAGTAACCTTCGCCATTGCTAGTCGCAGGCACTTATTAGCTACAAAGTGAAGACACCTGGGTTCACATACCTAATTGTTCCTGCAACTGATGGCCTATTGACCCCAGCCTCGCCTTGCTCACGGACAGCCGATCCTTTTGGCGGTTACTCCTCACAACTTCTCTCGCCAGTATTCGTGCAGACTTCACATCTCCCTTAGTAGCTAATTGTTTCACTGTTTGCCGAGCTTTGTTCGTAGCGATATCGAGCTGTACTTCTCCTCAACTGTTACGCAGCCGCTGTGGCGGGAAGTGAGCTCACCTGCCTCATCTCCCGGTCAATCAGACGAGTCTCCGCGCGTAGTTTAGCTTGCCATGCCTTGACCTTCTCCTCGGGTGTAGGTCCATACAAGAAGCGGTTGATACTCTGCATCGTCGCAAAGAGGTGGACGGCACAGCGCCCAAGTGACAGTGGGCGGCTACAGTTGGAACGGAAGTAGCCGAAGCTTTGACTTGGGCCGATCGCGATCATGCTTTGGACTTGCACCACTGGCAGGATGTCCTACGGTACTTGTGCTTGCGGCTGACCCGTCCTATGCCTGCTTGGTGGTACACCCGGGCACTTAAAAGGGCCAGAATTACTCTAGTTCTCGACATCTATCTTCTCCTGGTCCGGTACCACTTGCGTTCATTTGTGACTGGCTATCTGTTTGCTCTCGTCTACAATTTCTTCCCCTCCTAGTAATACTAGTCGCCCTACTGGAAAATGTCGCTCTTTGCTTCGACCTTATCTCTGCTTGCCCTGGTCTCTTCTACTTCGTCGGCTCTTACTCCGGTAGCTCCTGGTCCTGGCGACATATTCCATGCTGGCTCAAACTGTACGATTGTATGGAACGCGGACTCTACTGGCACATGGAAGAACCTCTCCATCGGTATGTTATCTCAAGCTCATCGAGGCAGCAAGCGTACTGACACTCGGCTGTCGTGTAGATCTTATGACAGGCTCTAACAACGCGATGGTTCTTGTTACGAACGTGGTCGCTGGACTCGACGGCACGTCGACCGAGCTATCACCCTACAACTGGACTTGCCCCGACGTAGAGCCCCATTCCGCAATCTACTTCTACGAGGTCTGGATACATCTTGCTGTTATAAGCTGTTAGACTCATAGCCTGTCTAGTTCAACAACGGGGGGAATACGTCCGAGGCTCAATGGACAACACGCTTCACGGTACGTGACACTACAGCTCCTGTTATGCATTTCCTCAAGGCCGCGAAGATTGCTTCATCTTCCGGAGATACGACGCCTCCGGACAACTCTACTCAACCTAATGGCAATGCGATTCCTTGGGGTATTGGCCGTCTTGCTTCGAACTCATCCACTTCTGGTCTTGCGGCCCAAGCTGTGACACCGCCCATGCCCAACACGACTGCCACTCAATCGTTTGCCACTGAGCAGTCTGGTCCCACTGATGCGATTCAAGGGTCGGGGGCACCCGGAGAGTCGGCAGCCGATGATGCCAGCTCGCACCACAGAGGAACCAGGACATGGAGTCGAACGAGGCACGCAACCAAGACGCACGACGCCTCTGCACAAGCGGACTCGGCCAATACAGTTGCGGCGGATTCCACGACACCTTCGCTTCAAGTAACAGGAAAGACTCGGCACTCGTCGACAGATCACTCCCATCCCTCTGCTGCAACCTTGGAGCTGCCACCCGCCGCAACTTCAGATGGCAGGGTGTCCTCTGAAGGCCGCACCATGGTTCACAGTGGCGCCCGACGACGGGGAGGTAGACCATCCGTATCACTTGCGCTTCTGTCCATTTTCGTGTTCCTGTAATATGTGTTCCCGGCGGCGCAGTATGTTAGTCAAAATCAACCAGTGAAAATGTAACATCCTATTAGATCGCGCTATAACCTAGCAGGTGAATAAAAAATACAATGCGTTAGCTGATACAACATGAGAGGAAATGCGATAGTCATGAGGGGGAACAGCGCTGATACAGGGTGAAAGCGTGTAGCTAGGAGCCCCTGATCTGGTTGACGAGTGTCTCCCAATAAGTCCAATCGGACATGTCGGGACCGGCGAGGCCGTTCATGTCGTTGCCCATGAATCCCGACGAAGACCCAAACAGATTCGACATATCTGTCCCACTGCTCGCGCCGTTCCAGGGGAGACTGTTGAGGCTCCCGGGCCCGTCAAAAGAGCCGGTACTGACGGTATTGCACCAGTGGTCCAGAAGATTTTGCGCCGCCGACTCCTCCTCAACGCCGGGACTGCCCGACGCAGTCGGTGAGAGCTGGAAGGTATCCACCTGTTGCAGACGGTGAAGAGTGGGCGAACGCGTGGAGGTTGTAGGTGCTGCGTTCCGGAACGCATTTTTGGGGGACTGGGCGAGGGACGGTGAGGCGACACCGAAGCTGCTGGCACCGTTCACGGACGTCCGCCGCGGAACGGCCGGCATGACACTCGGAGAACGCGACGTGGTGGATTGGCCAAGCTCCAACAGTAATTGCGCGTCGACATGGGGCCCTGCAGAGTTCGGTTCAGGAGCCCGGAATGGGTCTTGCCCATTAGCCTCGGCCTGCAACGATTTGTTCTTCAGGAACTCAATGATCTTGAGCTCCCTGCGCGTTGTCTCGTCTATATCTGGCATGCCTTCGTGCTCCGCCAGGAAGGAGTCGAGAATGGTGTGCATAGCCTCGGCGTAGGGGCCTCTAGGCTCGAGAACGAGGTAAATTCCACTGACCATCGCGGTTTGGAATTCACGGTAGGCATTGCTCAGGGAGTCCCGTGCTTCCCTCGGGCTACCCTCCTTGAACTTGCGTCGAACCTGAAAATCTTTGATGGCAGAGTCAAAGCAGGCTTTGCGGGACGGGAGGTAACGATCGGAGCGGAGTTTACGCAGCAAGTACGGCCGATGAAGACTGATCCTGACGAACAGTACTTCTGTGATGAGCAAGTAACGGTGGACTGGGATATATGTCAAAGACTCGTCTAGTGAGGTGTCGGGCTCCATAGCGAAATGAGGCGGTAATGTCTCGACGAATTTGAGCAGCTCCTCGTCCAACGCTAAGACGTCTGTGTAGTGGCTCGGGTGGCGTACCTGCTGGAAATGATGCACCATACGACCGATGATGGTAGCTAGAGCATGGCGGAGGATTACGAAAGTCATAGGTGTCGGCTGGGAGAGGGGAGGGGAAGTACGCATCCGCGACGTCAGAGCCGTTTCATCGGCAATATTTAAGGGAGGTAAGGTCGATGTGTAGTCGTCCTGGATGGCATTCGGCCTGCCCAATACGAGGGCATAGGATCGGTCGGCATGATACAGATATGCCCTGCGTAAGTATAGTATTTAGCCTGTATTCCGATTCACAGTGTCCACCTGCTCACCATATCCGTCGTCGGTATTCAACCCGAGCAGGATCCATTCCCTGGGAGTCTTCAGTAAGAATGCCAACAAGAAAGCAGATTGCATACCATAGCTTCACCGTCTCGGTGCAATCCAAGAGCTTGTGCCGTCCGCACAGCAGCGCCGAGTTGGCTCCAGCACTCCGTTATGCGACGATCAAACGTCAAGAATCGAGCGCTCTGAGAAAAAGTTACTTGCTGACACCCCATGGAGGACTTGGCGAGCGTACCAGCAACCGGGTAAGAACCATCTCGAGGGAGTCAGGCTGGATCGCAGCGGCAATCAAGAGGGAACGGCGCGCTATCGGCAACCAACCGTTAGAGTTCCTGCATCATATCTGCGCGAGACTGCTCACAAGACCAATAGTATCGCAAAGACGTTAGTCTGCGAGTGCGACAATCCCCGCCGATCGCCTCAGGCGCTAATCGGACGGAGATGGCAAGCACGACGAAGAGCAAAGGAAGGAAACGGACGTCATTGGGATTAACGTCTATTCCGTTCGCGCAGATGGAAGCATACGCAGCCCTGACGTCGCGCTCAGCCAAGGGGTAGCGCGTCCAATTACTGGTGCATAGCCAATGTGAATCGATCCAATGTAGGTGACGGGAGGTGAAGCGCTTACATTGAGGCGAAGTAATGATCTATGAGGATATCTGCGAACCGCTGTGGAGGGAGTTCCTGGAGCAACTCGCTAAAATTCTGTGGCGAAACTCCGCAATCTTGTACAAGACTTCTTAATTTATCGGCCGCGGATGGTTCAGAATCTTGTCGGACGGATTCGATAATGGAGTCTGTCGCATTGTTCAGACTAGACGTATGAGGCAATCCGGGAGTCTTAGGGGCTGCCTCGACTTTCACGGAGCTCAGAGAAGGCGAACGCATGGCTGACGGCTCGCGAGATTGGGGTTCCAGGTTTGATGGGCCGACAACGTTTTGTAACTGGCATAGTTCAGGTGCGAGTTCGCACCGGCGAGACAAGCAACGTACCTGTTCAAGGACCGACGCTGGAGCGATGCTGCCAGACGCGGTATGACCATACCACCTGCCACTCTGAAATGTACCCCCGCTGGCATCCTGGTCGTCTGCCTGGGACCGAGCATCATCTTCAGCTCCTTCTGACAGAGAACGGTGGCCTTCGCCATGCCCGCTCGCTTCGGCTGAAGCAGGTGTCGAGGCATCAGTGGAGCAAAACTGAGGCAAAGCAGTCTCGATAATACGCTCCAGTCTTGCGATCCGCAGGTGCAAATCTTGGTCGGACTTGCCTGGCTGATATGCCTTGCATAATTCGGGGACCTTCCGTGCGACGCACTACCAGTGACCAACGGCCAATCAGTTGCCGTGTATTACCCACGGACGGAAATCGGAAAAAACATACATGAGAGCATGGCACCTGCCTGTCACACTGTATGAAGCGAGTAAGCTAGATGTTATATTCATGACTCGATTCGATGCACCTTCTGCTTTCGACGGTGGCACTCTCCGCACGAATAGCTGGGCAATAGTGAGAAGGAAAACCTGGCCCTAGAGCTCGCCATACCTGACTCGGGTCCGAGCTTTCTTGGACGACCCTGCGTGCCCCTCATCGTCCTCCTTTTTCCTTTTAGCGGACTGTCCTGCCGGTGTGCCGCCCGGGGACGCATGGTTAGCTGGCTTGACCATGGGGGTTGGGAGACGCAGACGTAGTGTTCTTGAGGACGTTGTTAATAAGCTTTCGGACTTGTAGGATATCCAAGAAGGGGGAGCTTATGGTGTGCAGGACTTGTGGCCGGGCGTTCCTAGTCATAGGCCGTTTACAGAAAACCGCATGCAGGGCGCCGCCACAAGGTGCATCTTATCTCAGAGTCGCACGTGCCATTGATCGCCGCAGCAGTCCGAGTTGTGGCTGCGCTTGCCTTGTGCTTGGACTGAGTTTACACAAAGCTTGCTCTAGTCCCCGTTGACGCTATCGGTGCAGCGTGCACACTGTCTCTGGCGTTATGGAAGAACCGGCTTGGAAAAAACTCAAACTTTCTCTAGAAAGGCCGTACAAAGATGACACCGGTGAATACATCCCAGTTTTGCTGGACATCACGCCGGATGGCCAGCATATCTATGAACCGTAAGCACATTTGTGTCCTGGTGGTGCCTTGGAGTTTTATATCTGTGAAGGCGCGAGGACCCCTCCCAAGCTCTGGGCGAGAAGCTGAGGCGCATCTTCCTCGAGCGCGGAGTGGACTTCTTCGACACGTACGGAACGGCAAAGCACGTCGAGAAAGACGAGAAAGTTCGTGAAGCAGAGGAAGCAGAAGTCGAGCATGATGTAGACGATACACATCGAGCTCAACCCATGACTGCGGAGGAACTTTACAAGATGCGCATGGAACTGATGCCGCAGCTATAGTGAGTACAGAGATCTGTCTGCCCTGCCTTCTCATTCACGAACTCAGTATTGCCCTCGGAGAGATGTCACACGCGCGGGATCTACTTGGCTTGCTACTTTCATCCACATCCACCGCTCCCCCTGCACCTGAAGTACGGCCTCTTCTCCCATCGCACGCGCCGTCCCCAGCACCCCCCCTCCCCCATGCCGAACTCACTGCAACCGTAATCACGAAACCTCCCCCAATCCCTTCCGTCCAAACCTTCAATGCGCAGTTGACTATAGGCGGTAAGGACGAAGCACTACGGCAAGCAGCTGATGTATTTAAGAGTGCCGCGGCTGGCATGGAACGTACTCGAGTTCGTGGGGAGCAATATTGGGCTCAGGCGCTGAAAATTAGAAAGGCCAACTGGGGCTTGGTCCCGGCACCCTTACCCTTTGGTTCTGCTACTGGCAAGGGCGCCGACAAGACTTCTAAAGATTTTCTCATCTCTTTTGGTTTGGAGGATTGTCAGTATATTCTGCTCTCCCTTGCACCCGGTGGACTTACGTAGAGTCCAGCCAGTCCAGCCTTCCGCAGACGGGCCATTAGTCACATGCCGACGTTCGAGACCTCGTCAAACCTCTTGGAATTCCCGCACCGCCAAAAAACCCGTCTTCGAGTTCGTCTGACCACAGTTGATGACACCGGAAAGCAAATTACTTCACAAAATGTGCTAAAACTACTCTCCGAAGACACGGTGGACAGCGCTTTAGGTGCGGCGCAAAGAGAGATCATTGAGCAGGAGATCTTCTCGCTCCTCATTAGAGAAAGCAGCGCTTTACCTACTGCTTCCTCGCGCGTGGCCGAACGTCTCATTGTAATTGAGGCATCGCAAGACACGGAATTGTGTTTTGAGCTGGTGAGTTATCCCAGTTACCGTCCGGACAGAATTAACTGTTACAAACAGGTAGACAGTGATTCTGTTGGTGACCATGAGCGCCCCTTCGATAATCAGGACGGCAAGTGCGACCTCATCTTCGCTGTGCTGCACATACTGTTGCTTCGCGTTCATACGTACTTCAAAAGCCAGCGCCTGCGCAGTGATCCAAGCCCGACTTTCAGCCAGCCCCCTCACATACTACAGCCGATCATTGATGCGCTACAATACGAGGTCTTTTGTCGGCGCGTAAAAGCAGAGATCATGAAGATCATCCATGCCTTAAAGCAAGCTGGTGTTCCGTCTTCAGTGCGCCTGAACTCTGTAGGCGAGAGTGGACATGCGCTAGTGGACCTATTGAGCGACCAGCAAGGAGGTCGGGTTAATGGCGAGGTGGTCGTCCGGATCGGGAACAGGTGAATGATCCAGGATCTTGCCTCTTATGAACTTATCCGACCTGCCAACAGGGATACCCTTCGGTTTACGCTCACGTCACCGTCATTATTATATGTCCACCTTCCCCAGGGGACGATATTCATCGCCTCCATCACCCAACTCGGTCAACTCCTGACAGACGAGGTGGAGTTGCGGCTGTTGAATCGGATCTGTGAAGTGGGGACTGAACTCTGCTCCCCCGTCAATGGGACGTGGTTCGTGGATCTTATCACGAGTCGAGCCGTAGGCAGATGGGAAGGTTGTGTATTGTAAGTCATCGACTTGGCTTTGCGGTGCACTCGCATACTCAGATCGCTTCGCAGGAATTTCCGGATATCCTACAATAAGGATTTTAAGATCCAGTGCTCAGCATTCCGGTTAGATCGCCCGAACGGAAGACCGGAGAGTCTGCTAGACACTTATGAGGCTAGTCAACAAACGGGAGTGCCATTGTTGGATTGGGTGGCGGAGACTATCAAGACCGCGCTGTCTCGATAGTCATTCATCTGTGCTGTCTGATAGTCGTTCATCGCCCAGTTCATCATGGACATGGCATTCGATATCGACCTTCACAACGTACACTACTCATTCAATTGCTCCATACCCTCGAACCCCGTATTTCAAGACATCCCCAGCCCGAACCAACATGTGTACTGTTCAGACTAGCAGCTGAAGACACTGGTTCAGTTTCACCGACGCGGGCCTTAATAACTATTGTACTCACAAGAGCGAGGTGACCGCCAACAACAGGTCTTGCCCTGAATCCCTCCACCGACCCGTCAACGGTCTCGTACCAGTCGCCCAACGGCTGACTGCTCTTGCCGTCACTAGCGTACTTGTACACTGAAGAAATGAACAAATCTCTGGTGGTAGTGCTGGTAGCGATCCCTGCAGTCCAAATCGACCAGTCTGACGGGCGTGACTGGTGAGTTGTCAATGGCCGGTGAAGTGCCTCAGCCACGCACCAGATTTAGTGTATGTGTGTCTGGTGTCGAGAGGTACACCGTAGTCGCGAGCAACGGTGGGATACCATGCGCTCTCTGAGTATCGTCAGCCAAGGTTACGCCGCCTCGCAAAGCAAGTGACTCACGCATCTGGTAGACCGAGTCGGGGAAGAGCTTAGTGCCCAGCAACTTCTCGGCGTATAAGTTGTACGAGAGACCCCAGCTTTTGCGATAGTATTATTAGGGACAAAACTCGAAAATCATGCGCGTCATCGAACGAACCTGCTACTGTTACCATACTATCATCACGAGTCGGTAAGCAAAGACGAGGCATGATATACAACTTCAGTAATCTCACCGAGAGAGTCAAGTGGTCTCCGCTGGAAGCTGTAGCGAATTGTTGCCATTGCGGGACATATGAAGAAGCGATGGACTGGCGAAAGTAAGACTAAAACTCCGAGGACTGAGAGTGAGCTAGGCATACGCTATAGTTCGACGCCCTGCTGCCATCTCCAAGCAAAGAAGCAACCTCGGACATGGCTTGGATGCCAATTATGCCCTTTATAGCCAGGTTGGTCTGGTTAGCAAGAGAGCCTGCGAAGTCATCTGTGCTGATCTGATTGGCCGGAATGAGAGCTTCCTGGATGAGATACTGCGTCCACTGGTCGAGGAGGTTGGACTGCATACGCAGACAATCAGTTACGTGAAGAATCCAAACAATCTTCATCAAGATGTGCTCACATACGACTTGATCAGTGATTGGTCATTGGACTTTTGGGTATAGCTCAATGTCATAATCAACATATTGCCGCTTTCTGAGCAATATCTCATCGTTGAATAGTCACATCATGCAAAGGTGGAACGGTTTACCTTCCAACGGCATCGGTTCGTCATTCCCTAGAAGAGCGCGAAAGCCTCGTGAGTTTCCACCCTCGGGGACAAGGCCAGAGTATATACCATCGTTATGGCCTACGGCCTGAGGGTAATGGGCACCTGTTACATGACATAAGTTCTGGTGATTTCCAAATACCGATGATCCCAATGACTTACCCATATCATGAACGGCCCATTTGTTTGGATATTGACCCGTCGCCTGGTACTCAAACAAGGGCAGTAAAAGGTATTTTCCGAGCGCCGGATTTGTGTATAGGAAGATAGGCCAAGCCGGGAAAATCACGTCAACAGTGTTGGTATTCTGCATTGCAGAGTTAGGAGGAGCAACAAGCATAGTATATTGCTGCTTACACCGTCACTGGAAATTTCTGAGGAGAGAGATGACTCAGCGAGGATTTCCATATACGAGGAGAAGAGGTACCTTTCATGAACATTAGGACGTCGTCAGTATTCCAGCTCCCGTCACTATTCTTGGAGATAGAGATTTCCGTCGCTCCGAACGCTTGTCTTACCGAGAGCGCGGTGATTGCAGCATAATCAGATGAAATGGCAGATGAGTCTGAGTTCAATTTGGCATCGAAGGAGTTTGCTCTGGAAAGTGCATTGCTGTAGTCTCCGAGGAAGAAGGAAATCTGGAAGAACAGCATTGTCAGTGATTTTTGGAACGTCGTGATTGCATATTTTCACCGATACTTACCGCGCTCGCTACAGTCGAATATTTACTCCAGAAGTACAGGCTCCTAGACTGCAAAACTCCGCCGGCAATAATGTATTGAATGGCTGGATCCCGCACATGTCCTACGGAAATCACAACGGGGCTGGTGGCGGCGTTAACACTTCCCAGGTCATGCGCGAAGCCAAAGACGGGCCAGTTGTCTGACACAGCTCGGAAGTTTGTGTCTTGTGTGTTTGCAAGCTTCCCATTATTGATGAACTGTGCGCGAACGACGGTGTCCTGTCCTGTCTGATATGTCACGCCATTGCCCTGAAGACATTAAACGGTCAGAGAAATTTGCTCTATAGACATGGATCCTGTCCTTACGCTAGCTGTCGAATAATAGGCGGAACCCTCTACAAGACCAGGAATCAGCAACAGCACGGATTCACTGTTTATTTGCGTGCTCACGTTGAATGTGATCCGAGACTTCGCCGAATTGAGTCTGAGATACTAGCTGGACTTGATGCGTCAAGATGTTGCTCGTAGTCGTAGTAGTCCAGTTCGCGGTCAAGGAGTTGTCTCCAGTGACCCACTCTGCGCTGATATCCGTGTATACCTGGACGGAATGAGCCTGGCCATCATTGGACTTCGCTGACAACGCCAAATATGAGAATGGTAGAGATTGCAACACCAGGTCTGTAGGCTAACAGGAACAATGTCATGATAATCTTCAACGCATACGTCTTGAATCTCACCTCCACGGGACTCAAGAAATTGACCGTCAAATCCACGGGTCCTGCAGTAAGTACGAACGTGCTTTGGGTAGCGGTAAACTGTTTGTGATTGTTGAGTGACTGGATGCTATGTATAGTATCCCGCGCTTACAGTCAGGCTTTTTTGGACAGCCTTAGTAGTTGTTGTACCAGGAACTGAGGGGGCACCCAGGAAATTGTAGACCGTGTTGTCGACCTTGATGTACCCAGCCCATCCTAGAATCTAAGGCTATGCTCTAGCAGGATAATAGGTTAGAAAGGCGTCGCACTTACCGAACCGGTCCAGAAAGTCGGCCATGCGTCGTTGAGGGCAGTGCCCGCCCCTTGAGGGAGCCAGGCTGACAAGTACGGAGTGCGAACCGCGAGAGGAACGGCGGCAGGGTTGAAAGGAGTGGCCGTCCACGTCACGGCCGCTTCAGCGACGGCAGTAAGCAGTGAGAGCGAGATGGCAACGCTCGGGAACCTCATTGCGATATGACAGGGAGTTCCCTGGACCTGCTCAAATCTGCACTGGACACATTTATAGCAGACATTGAGTCGATGCCGTCAACATCTTAACATGATGGGATACGTCTCAGATGAGAGGATCGTTGTCAGCGCACGCTTCTCGCGTCATAAGATCAGGAGCACTGGCGGCATACGTGCTTACTTGTGGAGAAGTGCGAGCTTAGCTCCCGTGACACTGTATTTGCATATGGCGCATCAAAACTGCCTGGAATTCGAGAACGTATCGGTGCAAATAGTTCCCTTCGTGTACTCACATCCGCTCGAAAGTCGGGAACTGGGCACTACTCAGCGTCGAGTTGGCGAAGTCAATGCTCAATAGGCAATGCCCATCGTATTGCTGTAAGTGAACGAGGATACGAAGAGCAGGTACATACAGCGGGATATGATCGTCGTTTTACGACATAGAAGTCCCTTGGGTCGGCAACGACGGGCCGCTTCGACGCCGTAGAGCAGGTGATAGACTCTTCCACCAGGCGAAAGCATGGGTGATGTAAGGTGATATAGCACCGCGGCAGTACATACCTTCTTTCGGTGTCTGTTGTAAGTCTGTGGCTCCCAATTGCGCGGACAATCCGGCCGTGTCTGGTAGTTGCGGGGCTCGGTACCGCGCAGCGACTGTCGTTCAAAACAAACGGAAGTCAGGTCAAAGGGAAGCTAAGCCCTGAAAACTGTGCGGTCGCACTGCCGAAGGATATGCGCCTTTGTTCACGTGGACAACTCTCTCACCCAATTACCAGCGGCGCACATGCAACGTTCTCTATGTTTCCCCCGGAGGGTTCGCACATGAAGACTCTGTCGTCTGCATTCAGTATCTTTCAACGGAATCCATGACCGCGATCTTGCGACTGACGCTGGCGATGGCATGAGCTTGCGTTCCGGTCACGATAGTGCAACGAGTCAAATGAGGCCGCGGATGCCATCTGAAGTTCTGATGGAATCATTAAATTCCCCTGCTATTATTCTCCGTGAACCAGCGAGAGTTCTCCAAGTCGCCTCGACAAGGACAATCGTCCATCCTAGTACACATGTCATGGGCCCCATGCTACTGCGCTTGCCATGCGAATAGGCCTGCGAAGGGGGACGTGCAGTGGTTTAGTGAAGACGAGGTTTGATTGGTGCGTAGACGGGATAATATATGATGGTAGTCTGCGGCAAGACCAGGGTTAACTTCGACTTGCTACCTTATTATGACCCATCAAGGAAACGGGCGCCTCAGTCTAGCACACATGCAGATTCAGTCCCTCACCGGTAACCCAATCAGACGAGCGGTCTCGCAGATCTATGGGACACTGCGAAGTTGTCGGTACTTCCAGCCCAAATCCAGCCCTACGTCAGGTTATCTCCGTGAGTGCGGACAGGTTTGCCGCGTCAACAAAGGATCGGATTGGTCGGTGTTATACCTGCTGTCAGTACCAGTATAGCCTCTCCGGAACGGAAGAAACAAAGCAGTACCTACATCACCGCGTTGACCGTTTGACGGAGCTAGTCTCGAGCCATCATGATACACCTCCTACGCGAGTCACTCCAGTCTCTGCTCGCAACCTGAATCTACCTGTGGGCGAGTGAGTATCATGCGAGAATGTGGTGGATGTCCCAAGCTTGACGCAAAGACGTCAACGTTGCGCGCATCACCGGATACCTCTCAGCTTCAGGGGAACGCATCGTCGAGGTAGTGTATGTCAAGACCAGAATAATGCAAATGTCGCAGCGGATAGCAAGCGCGCATGCATGCCCGGTTGCCAACCCGCGGTTGTACGGAAGGAATGATGGAGTCCAGCCCTCGCTAGTAATGTCTCTCCGCTAGTCGCTCTTAGAGTTGCAGGATGTCGGAGGCCGCCTCGGTCTGGTTTCCGCCTCCATTACATTGCTCGCTCTCCTTTCACTTCCGCTACGAGCTGGCTCCGTGTGGCAGGACCACATCATATATTGTTCTGGGCACCTTCAAGCTGGGCTGGTGTCGGGCGGGTCGCTTTCCCTAAGAGCGCGTCGGGCCGTGCCTAGGAATGGACTACAGCCCTTCAGTTGATCTGGGTTCTGTATTTTCCCCGAACGTGTGGGTAGAGTCCCGCTCGACGCTCTACATACCGGCATTGATGTATGTCTTATATCATCTAGTCGTGAAGTATCGATATTCTTTCTTGGAGGGGCTTTCTGGTGCAGCTTGCAATGCCTCGCAACCTCGCCACTTCTTCGCACACTCGCGCGACGGCTGGATACTGTGTTCCGGTTCTCGAGTATCGCGAATCGTCCAGAGATTCCTGTCTCCGACCCTGAAGCCCAGGAGAAACCGACTATCCCAGGATCTGCAATAACACCTCTCACGGAGGCACATCTTCGAGAGGACCGGAGCACGCTGATCTTCATCCTGTCATTCTGCTTCGTGCTTGCCAGCCTTGGTGATTTCTTGTCTCTCATCACTTACGGTGCAGGGGCAGATACGGCATGCGGTGCGTCTGATAGCGCGGATCATTGACTGATCGCTGACGCGCAGTTGCAGCGTTTGTGATTGCATGGGGCGATATGTCCGCGCATTCTGGACGTCTTGTCGGGCTCTTCATCCTTCGTCAAGAACTCAGGTCCCTGGGTATCAGGACTTGGGAGTACATGCTATTCTTGGGTTGGTTATTGATCGGCGTAGGTAGGTTGTCTCCTATAGATTTGCCGCCTTGCAGTGCTGATGTACTCGCAGGGCTTATATTTGCGACGAATGCCATTAACATAGGGATGATAAAGTACGCGTATCTGCTACGATGTCTCTAACTTCTTTGCGGTACTGACCGGGGTACTTACACAGTCCCATACGACCCCTCCGTGCCTTCACCTGCACCCGCAACCTGTACGTTCTCGCATATACGCTGTTGAATAGAACTGATGCGACCATTGCATCTTCTGTATAGCTTCTTACCAATTGCTCTGACATCCGTTATCTTCCATATTGTCTTTGATTTCTATGTTATCTTCCGGCTGTCAACGTTGATCATGAAACGGTCGGCTGGGCTGCCCTCGCGTCAAGGACTGAAGGGTTTGTTCGAGAGACGAATTGCGCAAGCGCTGAGCCTTCTAGCTCTGGAGATAATGGCTGCACCGACGGCGTTATCCGATAGGGACGTGCCTAATTTCATCCCGACCAGTATTGGCTTCCTGCTGGTTCTTCGTTAGTACTCTCCCATTTATGGGTGCCTGTCATATCTGACTTAGCACATCAGTTGCCTACCATTATCGAAGTGCTGTTGCGAGGGTCGCCATTTTAGGGTCACCTCTCAGTAGCCCGGCGCCGCGTATATATCTCAGTCCGCTCAAGGCTCCTTCACTCGCTCCCGTCCTGCCACCTGTCTCGCTCTATAGTAATCCATCGAACACCAGGGGCCTCCCAGCCAATGAAGGCCGTGGCATAAGGAGCATGGACTCGCTTGCGAGTGATCGCATTCCTTACGATGCTACAGGTCGACGGGCTGTACTACCCTCTCCGCCTGGCATAGGACCTCAGGAAACCCTTGGAACCCGTGCTGGGAAGGAGAAGATGGAGTTACAGCCGGTCGTACAGCGGGATCTGATAAATCGCCAGATTCTTTCCTCCCAAGTGGAGTTTGCAAGGCAATTTGAGCAAGATGCTCCTCCAGGTCCCCTAGTACCGAACCGCCGACGCCCGCAAATATCGATCGCCGTTTCACCCACCTGGGACAGGGACGACGTGTCGCATGTAGGCAGTACCAGAACGCTCAGTTCTGCGGTACTAGGTTCAGACATCATCCGCTACACCCCTAGTACGGCGAAGCCGAAACGGGACAGAACCAAGCGTTGGTCTGTTGGCTCTCGTTTCTCGACTAGGAGTTCACCTCGGGATTCCATGTCGACGTCTGCGAGTAGTGTCGCTCAGCTGTATTCGGCCGTCTCTCCACGCGGGATGGCTACGCAAGAGTTGCCTGTAGTGTACGAAGCTGGTGCTCGACGTGGATCGCAGTCGTCGTCAGTGGTGCCGGGATCGGGGAGGAGGCGGACGTTCGGTAACCAGTCCTTGCGTCGGGTAGCGAGCAGGTTGGCCGCGCCGGCGTTGTCGTCTGGTAGGAGGAGTCCGTTGGGTCTTCCCGCTCAGCCCCGTCTCGCCCCCGATGGCAGCCAGCGGGACTCCTTCGGCGCGATTAGGGGACCCAGACCCCCTCCATTGTCGTCAGCTCGGTCTCTGCAGAGAGCGGCAAGGCAAGGAGATGCTGAAAGTGTCAGGTCAACCAGGCCGCGGAGCGAAAGTCTCCCTGAACACCTTGAAGGATCTCGCGCCGGGAGTGATGCTGGGGATTGGGCGGTGCCGGCTGCCTACTGATCGTCCGCCCGTCTGAGCGTGGTACTGTATAGCAACTGTGTTCTGTCTATAATAACCATGAGAATGGTTCACTAGTAATATAAGTGAAACTGAGACTGCGACCAGCATGTATATATCTGGCAGTGTTTACTGTACCATAGCTAATTAACAGGTCGGATAATACTTCCGGGCAATTCTCTGTCCCGGAGCTTTGCCAAAAAACTGACCTGGCTCGCTCTGGTCTCGCAGGTTGCAATCTCGAAAGAAAATTCTTGAGCACACCCCGGCTACACTGACTTGATCACTGACTGAGGCAGTTCAACTGTTGTGGCCACCAGAAAGTCGTGGGAATAACGCCGTCCTAACTTGTCCTTCCACCACTATGGCATCGTCTGAGCTGTTAAAGCAGATCCAGGCCGGGAAGAAACTGAAGAAGGCAGAAACCAATGATCGCAGCGCCCCGATTATTGATGCAAGCAAGAGCAGCGGGGGTGGTGGAGGTGGAGGGGGCGGAGCAGGAGGCATCGGCGCAGCGTTATCGGGGGGAGGAGGCCCTTCGTTGTCGGGAGGGGGTGGCCCGCCGCAGTTGGGAGGGCTCTTCGCTGGAGGCATGCCCAAGTTGAAACCCGCGGGCCAGTCAAATCTGGGTGCGTTGGGCCTCTATCCTCTGTGAGCGAGTATTGATCTCCCCGCCAGCCAAAGCGCCAACTTTAGGCAAACCTCCCTCAATACCGAAGCGTGACGGTGCATCTCCTGCACCCCCAGCGCCCCCGCCTCCTCAGCCACCGAGTAGGGCTCCCCCTCCTCCGAAACCTGCACCGTCGCCAACGCCTCCGGCACGCGCAGCACCGTCCGTACCATCGCGGTCAGTTCCGCCACCGCCTGCCAGAGCACCCGCCCCTCCTCGCAGACCTCCGCCGGAGATCAGCCGCCCTTCAACTCCCCCTACCCGCGTCCCTCCCGCGATCCCTCCTCGCACCTCTTCCCCGGCTCGTTCCTCGTCGCAGAACACACCCTCCCGTCCTGCTCCTGCCATACCTCCCCGAAACAGCGCGGTCCCGCCGAGTCTCCCCTCGCGCAAAGTACCGCCGCCACCGACGACACCTGGTCGAGCCCCGCCCCCTCCTCCGCCTGCTCGTCCTTCCTCTGCTGCCGGACCGCCCAGCAGGGCAGTACCTCCCCCTCCACCTGCTCGCAAAGGCGCCCCTCCCCCGCCCCCGGTACGCCCGCGAGCCGTGTCCGAGTCCGAACCATCACACTCTGCGCCCGCCCCACCGCCTCCTCGGCCTACTAGTCTAGCGCCCCCTCCGCCTCCCCCGGGTCCTTCCCCTGCCAGATCCCGAACCATATCAGCCGGCCCTCCATCTAACGTATCGTCGTCCTTGGGTAGGGCGCTGTCGTCCATTGGGAATACGAACGGTGTGTCCAGCAGGCCTGCTACAAACGGATCTCATCAGAAAAGTATGGATGTCGATATATCTGCGTGTGTCGGAGTAGATACTAATGCAGCATTTGCGCAGTCCCTGATCCACCTGCTCAAGTCGGGCCCCATACATTTCCAGTCAGCGATTTCCCTCCTCCCCGCCCTTTCAAGCCTAGCCCGAAGAAATACCCTAGTGGGCGACAGAAAGGGAGCGACTTTGATCTAAGTGCACTCTAGAACGGTACATCGGACTATCTGTAGCTGATGCGCTTGAGGTTTGAATAATTTATGACTTGTGGCATAGTCCACAATCATGCTCTGGTGGATTGCTCGGCCATATTTGAGTCTGTCCGGCCGTATCGGCGGCAGCAGCAATAGAATCCTCCACCCACGATTGGGAATGTCCGATCGCCGTGGAGATGAAGCAGAACCATGCTGCTGCTACGCCGTGACCTCCGAGCCCAAGGGGTATGCACATGTGCTGCAAAGGGCCCATCATGGAGTGCTTGTTGATCCGGCCACTTCCTCCTGATAAACAGTCTTTACCACCAGCAACGACGATGGGACGAATAATCATGTTATTGAGACCGTCGAAGTGTGGAAGGCCTCAGTCTTGCGGCTGCAGGATTGAAGCTTAAGGCGCTCTCCAAATGTTCATGGGAGTGGTCTTGTCCGTCTTTCTAACTCAGAACATCCTCCTTGTGTCACCGTCAGGTGATCGAGGTAGTCGGTATCGGGTCTCACTCTGTACAGCTCGGAGGCAAGAAACTTGGCAAAAATGAATGCATGGCGCAAATCGCTATGCGGGATCACACTGTCAGCGAGACGTTACAGAAGTTACAGCCGCCTAAAGGCAGCGCAAGACGTGGCAGAGACGTGGCGAAATATACCGCAACGCCGAGTGAGCACACAGGAGGCGCCTCCAGGACGTTGTGCACAATTTCCAGAGAGAATGGAGCCTCGAGACAGCACTCTGGTATACCGACGTCTGGTAAGCCATGTTGACTTGAAGGCCGAGGTGGTGAGTAAGATATTCGAAGAGGTTACCGCCACCGGCAAACCGCGATCAATCAGGGGATGGAATTGACACGTCGACCTTTGCTCCCGTATATAAGCTACCCCGTCGGCCGCTCTCCGACTACATTCTCCTTCCTTTGTATCGCGAGCTCGAGGCTTGCTTCGGACGATGCGTTTCCAGTCTTTCCTTTCAACAGCGTCGCTGCTGGCCTTGGCTGGCATCGCGGCTGCCGAGGGCGACTCCGATGTCATTGACCTGAACCCGTCCAACTTCCAGTCGCTCGTCAGCCCCGAGCCTTTGATGCTCGTCGAGTTCTTCGCGCCATGGTACGCACCTCCGTACGACGTATGATTCCAGGTGACTGAGTGATATCCAGGTGCGGACACTGCAAAGCTCTCGCTCCCGAATACGAGCAGGCGGCTACTGCTCTGAAGGAAAAGAACATTAAGCTTGCCAAGGTCAACTGTGTCGACGAGGCCGACCTTTGCCAAGCTCATGGCGTCCAGGGATACCCGTAAGTATGCCACCTTGCCCTGACTCGCGCGGTTTGTAATGGTTCGCCTTGTAGCACTCTCAAGGTCTTCCGGCAAGGCGAACCCACCGACTACACGGGTCCCAGGAAGGCTGATGGTATCATCAGCTACATGACCAAGTGCGTCGACTGATTTATTTCTGTTGGGGATGTAATCTCATTAACACACGTTTAGACAAGCCCTCCCTGCTGTTACCGACGTGACGGCTGCGAACCACGAGGAGTTCAAGAAGGCTGACAAGGTCGTCGTCGTCCTCTACGCCAGCAGCACGGACGCCGCCCCTGCCCCGGAGTTCAGCGCCACGGCGAACAAGCACCGCGATGACTACCTCTTCGGCCTGTCCACTGACTCCGCTGCTATCGAAGCTGCCGGGGTCAGTACCCCTGCTATCGTTGTCTACCGTCAGTTCGACGAGCCCCAAACTGAATACCCGTACCCCGTCGCCTCTGCCACGGTCAAGGACCTCGAGGACTGGATCAAGGAGCTCGCCATCCCTATCATTGATGAAGTCGGCGCCGAGAACTACCAGACCTACGCCCAGAGCGGGAAGCCCCTGGCCTACCTGTTCCTCGACCCCAGCGTCGAGAAGCGCCAGGAATACATCGACGCCATTCGCCCCGTCGCCGCCAAGTTCAAGGGCAAGGTCAACTTCGTCTGGATCGACGCGATCAAGTTCGGCGACCACGCTCGTGCGCTCAACCTGCCCGAGCAGAAGTGGCCCGCCTTTGTCATCCAGGACCTCGAGAAGCAGCTCAAGTACCCGCTTGACCAGAACGAGGAGTACTCGCCGGCGGCTGTCGAGCACTGGGTCGACCAATACGTCGATGGCAAGCTCCAACCCCAGCTCAAGAGCCAGCCTATTCCCGAGACCCAGGACGAGCCGGTTTTCAACTTGGTCGGCAAGCAGTTTGATGAGGTTGTCTTCGATGACAGTAAGGATGTCTTTGTCGAATTCTACGCATCATGGTTGGTTTGTTCTGTCAATATATGCCTGATTTGATGTTTACCTGATGGTAGGTGTGGTCACTGCAAGCGCCTGAAGCCCACTTGGGACAGCCTTGGCGAGAAGTTCGGTGATGTCAAGGACCGCGTTGTCATGTGAGTAATGCAGCCAGTGGTGTATACGACTGTATACTGACTTTTGAACCTAGCGCCAAAATGGAAGCTACTGAGAATGATCTCCCTCCTTCCGTCCCTTTCCGCATCTCTGGCTTCCCCACTCTCAAGTTCAAGCCTGCTGGATCCAAGGAGTTCCTCGACTACGATGGTGATCGGTCGCTCGAGAGCTTGGTTGCCTTCGTTGAGGAGCACGCCAAGAACCCGCTCGATCCCAACACGCCTTCCCAAAACGCGTCTCACGAGCATCGCGAGCATGATGAGCTCTGAGTGTTTACGCACTTTCATGTATAGCTAATCTACTGGGAGAATTGAATGGTAATTGAACTTTCAACTCGGATGATTTGGCGGAGCTCTGTATTTTCCGTAGTTATTTATTGCTTATGTACTTACGAAGGAATCGAACACCGGGATTGCTCTTCGAAGGGTCATTCGAGTTCCCGCAACGGAGAGACTTGCAACGTGCTTACAACTTGTTTGATTCCGATGCTATCAGCACACCCGCCCATACAATGCAGAGGATACAAAGGAGACAATAATAACAGGTAGACCACAAAGAAAAATTAGAGCTTGACCTCCTTCAAACCGTCCTTCCAGAAAGTGAAATAGGCTACAAGGCAGGTAAGCGCTCAGTAGGCTGGTTGCATCTGAACTCGACTTACGGGTGACACCGTCCTCGCGGTAGTTGAGGAGGGCAATCATACCATCAGGGTTCATCGATTCACCGGTGTACTAGCACGATACGATGAGAACGACATCCTGACGCAGCGGAAAAGGATCACTTACGAATTCGAAGTCCTTGAAGTTGGCCACAAGCTTCTTCGCGAACGCCTGGGCACCCTTCTCGAACGCCTCCACGCGCTCGGGGTTGGTCTCGGCCAGCTTCGCCTTGACGGTCTTCATGTAACCCTTGAGGTAGGTGAGGTAGGACTTCTTGTCGAACGATGTCTGCTGGAGACGGAAGGAGTGCACGACGTTGTTGACGGTCTCCTGTCCGTCCTCGACACCCTCGTCCTGCTCCTCGGCGGAGGGGTTGGCGCCTGTCGGACGGTTAGGACGGGATGCAGAGTGCGCGATAAGGGACGGGGTACGCACCGATGTCGACGTCGGCGCCTTTTTTGATGGTGACCATCTGGCAGTCTACCTCGAAAACGATGTCGTCGACGAGCTTGCTGGAGGAACGATGAGCTGCAGAACCGAGGCTCAAGCCAAGGAAACAGGACCCACATGGGGAAGGCATCAGAGAACATCTCATCGTCGGTGATGATGTCGGTGTACAACAACATTTTGAAGGTCTAGGGAGATGTACAAGAAGGAAAGAAGGAAGGAGGTGCAGAGCGCAGAGGAGATTGGAGTCGAGATATACAGGCGCGCCGGATCCACAGCCAGAAAACTGTCCGACGAGGAGCAATCGATTATCGGCCACGTGACTACTCAAGGCCACGTGCGTCCCAAAAATTGTGATCGAGAGCGGTGGCACAAGCCCTCGAGGAGGCCAGGAATCTGCGCCGCCATGGACTACCAGCCCGTCGTCGTCAAAAAGTCGCATCGGCCGACGGCCACGAGACACAACGCAGAGTCCAGATACTGGCGCCAGTTCAAGCACCCCGTCTTCATCAAGGAATACGCACCCGTCACCTCCATCCATTTCTCCCCCTCAAAACCCCACAGGTATGCGGTCACGTCCGCGACCAGGGTCCAGATATATGCGCCGAGAACACAAAAGGTCACGAAGACAATATCGCGGTTCAAGGACATTGCCCGGAGCGGCTGCATACGCGGGGACGGGAAGCTGGTGGTTGCAGGCGACGACACGGGCCTCATCCAAGTATGTATCGCGCTCTGGTGCTCTCGCGTCATATTTCTGCTCAACGACTCAAGAGTTACGTGGCTAGGTCTTTGACATCAACTCCCGCGCTATCCTCCGGACGCTCGACTCGCACAAGCAGCCAGTCCATGTCACCAAATTCTCCGCCCTGAACCATACCCAAGTCCTCTCATGCTCGGACGACTCGACCGTCAAGGTCTGGGATGTCCCTTCCCAATCCGCCGTCACTACCTTTGTCGATCACACGGACTACGTGCGCTCCGGCCAGTTCTCCACCTCCAACCCCCACCTCGTCCTAACCGGTTCGTACGACACGACCGTGCGCTTATTCGACACGCGCACGGGAGAGTGCGAGATGGTTATGGGCGGGCCGGACGCGAGCGCGGGGAGCAGGAACACCTCGCCCGTGGAGCAGGTGCTCATGTTCCCCTCCGGCACAGTCGCGCTATCCACCGCGGGTCCCATCCTGCGCGTCTGGGACCTGGTTGCGGGCGGGCGGTGTACGCGCGCCCTGTCAAATCACCAGAAGACGGTCACGTCTCTTGCGTTCGACTCCAACGCCAGTCGACTGCTGTCGGGTGGATTGGACCATATGGTCAAGGTCTACGACGTGAGCTCGTACAAAGTAGTGCACACGATGAGGTATCCTGCGCCCGTCCTTTGCGTTGCTATCTCGGTACGTCCGTCCTACCTGCATTTCACAACTTCGCAAGTTAATGCACATCTTCAGCCGGATGAAACGCACATCGCTGCTGGCATGTCAGACGGCACGCTCTCGGTCCGTCGGCGGCAACCGAAAGCATCAGAAGCCGCTACCGACGATCCCTTCTCTGCCGCTGCCCTCCAATCTGGGACATTCGAATCATTTTTAGGCGGGTCCCTTCCAGCCATCGGGGAGGGGCGCGTCAAGAGTAAAGTGAAATCCAAACCCGTCGGCGACGTCGACGAACTGAAGGTGGAAAGTCGGCGAAAGAAGCGACTCAGGGAGTACGACCGACTCCTCAAAGGTTTCAAGTACTCCGCTGCCTTGGATTCCGTTCTGAGAAAGGTGAGCAACTGATGAGGTCAGGCCATGTGAGGTCGTTAGCTGACACAGGCCCTTAGAATGTCCCACCCACAACAGCCTTCGCCCTGATCCAGGAGCTCATCCATCGCGACGGTCTCCGCACAGCACTGTCGGGACGCGACGACGTTCTTCTGGAGCCAGTACTTCGCCTTTTATTGAAGAATGTCAGCGATCCTAGGTTTGGGGAAATGGCTTGCGATGTCGCAGGCTTAGTGATTGGTATGCACCCAGCTGTCCGCCTGCGACCGTCGAGACTAAACCGTCTGCAGAAATGTACGGAGCGGTATTAGGTCAATCGCCTCTGATCGACTCGCTCTTCCTGCGGCTCCGGAAGAAGGTAGCCCAAGAGCTGCAATTCCAGAAAGAGCTGCTCAAAACCAAAGGGGCCCTCGACATGGTCTTGGGGTCAGCTGCCTTGATGGCTACGTGATCATCGTCCGTCGCGCATTACATATGTAATTTATTATACCTGGTGCCATATGTAGCATAATAAATAGCATATATCATACAAGTGCCTCGTCGTGCGGGCTCAGCAAGAGTCCAGGAAAGCGATGAGTGCTTTTAGGATCTCCTTTTGTGACGGGGCGCGGTTCGGGTCGTTGGCTTCTTCCGGCGGTACCTCCTCTTCGTCCACGTTGTCGTGATAAATCCCGAGTGTCCGCACGATGTCCTTCAAAGACTTGTTTTTGCGATCCAGCATTTTCGTGAGATGTGAACGGACCTATAGATTGTTCGTAAGTATCATGATTGTAAGCTACAAGAGAAAGCATACCCCATCATCCTCCATGGCTATCCAAGCTAGAATGTAATCGGTCGTCTGCATGGTGAACAAGCCTCCATCGAGACGGCGGAGGTACCAAGCATCTTCCTCTTCCTGACCAATCTCTTCGCCATCTTCCAGCAACTCCTGGATGGCGATGTCAGAGGAAAACATTGGACACTCTGCAGACACTACCCACCTTCTTCTCCTGATCGATCTCGGAATCGACTATGACGAGCCTCAGTTGAGCGTTCTCCCGTATCTCAAGTAGCTTGTCCACCTTCTCGTAGTTGTTCTCCACGAACTTCGCCAGCAACCGAACCCTTGCTGGGGATTCGGACGGCAAATTGGAGAATAACGACGAGATGATGCTGAGGATGTGCCCTATGTCTTCTGACGCAGGAGTCGTCACGTTCTTGCTTTTCTTGGAACCCTTGCCCATAAGAGCCGCGAATAAGCTCTTCAGACCCAGGGCATCGACAAACGTCTCGCAGGTCGAAGTGCCAGCGGTGCCGGACATGGCATAATCCAATACTTTGATTGCGCGTGACCGCGACTCCATCTTTTCTCTGCACAAAATTCGTCAAGAAGCCCGCACGGGGAGATCAAAAGGCGGGGACTTACTTCATGAGCAGCACCATCAGGTCGACACCCTCACTCTTCAAGAACAGGTCCTTAATCTCGGGTTCCCCGAGAGCTGAGCATAGCGTATCGAAGATGTTCTCCATGAATTCGGCCTCGTCACCGTCGACAGGATCCCGTCGTCGATATTGCTAAAAGGAACATCAGGTACCGTCGAGACAGGACCTGTACGCATACTCACCGAAAGGATGTTCAAAAGAATCTCAACCCCATCCTTATCACCAAATGTCAGTCTGTTCTTCCTATTATTTTGAAGCAGAATGGATAGGATCTCAGCCGCGTAGCCTCGATTTTCATCGTGTGTCTTTGACTTCACCCGGTTGAGCAGCCATGTCATAATGCTGGTTTTGTCGACGAGCGTCGTAGATAGCTCAGGGTTGAATCCCAGGATGTTTTCGAAAACGCCTGGTAGAGTTTAGCATGTGGACTCCCTTCCGGCTGCCTGAAACGTACCTAATATGTGGAAAATGCCCTGTCTATCAGACTCTTCAGCCTCATTCAGCCGTCCAAGGTTATCGACCAGAAGCTCGAAGATCGATTGCTCTAGCTACGTACAATGAGCAATCAGACTCACGCACTGCAGCAAAAGTAAGCAGCCTCACCAGAGCCTCGATCAGTGTCTTTAGAGCGGCGTCCTTCTCCTGCTGAGCCTCCTCATCACCCTCGACAATGTCTCCCACGTCTTCGTCCGTCAGTTCATTGAGGAGTTCGACGACGTCAAGAGCGATATCAGGGTTTTCATGCGTTAGCAGGCCGATTAGCTTAGTCAACATGCCGGATTTGACGAGCTCGGGATAGGCTAAGGCGGGCACTTGGGCCAGCGGTAGTAGTGCCTTGATGGCACTGTCAAGGTCCGCCTCTGAGTCAATGAATCTAGGTCGATCGTGAGTACATGAGCGCGAAAAGCCCCTCGGAAAGTACAGACTTTGAGGGGTCATCGGGATACTTGGACCGTTGGTCCTGGTTCTTGTTTGCTGCTCGCTCGAACCTGAGAAGAAGTTTGCGTATCCCCGTCGCGTTCAGCTCTTCCACCTATCGGGTCCCTGAACTCAGTACCATGTCAGATAGAGCACAGACGGAGGTATCCTACTCACGTCTTCTTGCGCACCCTCGCCTACCCCCTTGTCAAAGATATTAAGGATTTCCTTCTGCTCGCTTGTCAGACCTCCTCCGAAGAAACGGCCTTCCTCGTCCTCCTCCACGAAGTAATCCGCGTCGCCGCCCGGAGCGAAGTCTTGAGCCGTCTCCGATTCCTCCTCTTCATCCTCTATCGTTACAGCTCGTCTCTTACCCTTGTCCTGACCTCCTCCGTTCGCAATGCCGTCAGAAGCAGCTTCTGAATCCAAACGTATCCTTTTCAGCATCTCCGGAGTAGGCGCCTCTGGCATTTTGCGCTTGCCTCCCCCGGGCAGCTTAGGCATCTGCACGGAATCCCGCTGTGTTAGAGAGGAGCAAAACGGATGACATGACCGCGCGATACCTTGAACATTTTGTCGATATCCATGGCGAACAAAGAGTAGTCGCGACAAAACTTGACAGGATGCAAGGGTCCCTCAGGTTCCGAGTCGACGCAGTATTACCTCGTTGTTAGGGAGCAGAACCGGTCCAAGCAGAGGTTCAGAGCTGTACAGATGCGAAGCCTTCACAGACCGCGACGCGTCTCCTCGAGCAAAGCCATAGTCTCCCAGGGCAGACCGTAAACGCCTCCTTCTTCGGTTGCTTAATTAGGACAGTCGGCATATAACTAGCAAAGCCAGTGCACGGCGATGATTGTGGCCAATTGCAACTTGTGGCTGAACAACGCGTCCGATTCCGACGTCATCATCACACATCACAACGGCGATACTCGCGTCTTCGGGTAGGCGCGTGCAAGTTTAATGGTAGAGCGCGACGACAACGTCAATAGCAATACACTGCAGTCAAATACACTAGATGCAGGCTCATTCGATCTATTACTTAGAGCACTCTTCTCCTACGTGATAGTACAAGGATTCAACGACCGAGGCCGCTCGGATTCACAGACAGTGCTGATAGTACTGTTGCGCATGCCTGCGATGGCAATGACTCGATGATGGCAGAAAGATTGATCAACATATCAAACGAGTCCCAATGCGTATCCCGGATCGAGGATGCAAGCCGTCACCCTACAACCAGTAGAAACAAAGCAGTCATCCGCACACTTGAGGCACAGGAAGACTGACCAGCTTACGAATGAATATACCCCTTCCAAATTACAAGCACATATCGTTACAAAAGCTATGTAAGTCCAGTCGGTCGTACGAATAGGAGTAACGTACTTCTTCGCATCCTCACCATGCGAAAATCTAGTAGGGCTTCTTCCTGTTCTTCTTGAGCTCTTTCTCCAGCTGCCTGGCCTTTCTATGCCCTATCTCTACTGGCCGAATGGCCGTCTGGTCCGCCTTCTTCAGCTTGACCGGCCGGTTTCCAACATATTTACCTATGAAAGCATGTAAGCGGGGCATGAACCACATCGTAGGTACCTACTCACCGTCCATTTCTTTCCACGCTCTCAGGAAATCTTCAGGGTCGGAAAATGCCACGAAGCCGTATTTAGCCTGCCGAAACAGTCAATCCTTGAAGCGAGAGCGGCATGTAAGCTAAGTGCGTACTTTTCCGTTTAGCCTATCACGGATAACTCGAGCTTTCTGGAACGAGGTATACTTGTTGAACGCGTTCGCCAACACGTCATCGGAGACGTCGTTGCTCAGATCGCCCACGAATAGCCGGAACCAAGCTGCAACCAAAGTCTCAGCAGAGGCCTCACTGATGAGAGTAGAAACTGACATGGGTTCCATTCGAGCAACGTCTGATCCTCCCAGACCTTTCCTCCGCCTTTGCGCAGTACAGTCGTTCTCTTGCCACCCTTTGCGAGCTTGCCACCTGCACCTCCGCGCTTGTCTATAGCAGCTCCAGGGACATAAACACTCTGCTGCGCGAGAATGCCGACGTCGTACTCGTAAGCATTCGCAGGGACCGGGGCTGTATGCGACGACGTCGATGACCCCGCAGTGGGATACATGGGACCTTGGTAGGGCTGATAGTAAGGGTTGACATCGTGTTGCTGCTGGTATTGCTGATAGTAAGCTCCTGCTGAGTATGGATCCATGGCGGCTTTGCACTTGTAACAGGAGACTGTATTAGCTCGTCGTCGCGCGAGAATGCGGTTACGATGATGAAGGTGTCAGGGGACTGTGGGAACAAGTTGAGCGCGCCAATAGCGTGCCTCAGGAAGCACCAAAGTCGACCAAACACAGCTGTGGCTGGTGAACCCTGTCGGGCATACGGACACCACCGTCAACGCCGTCCTCAACGTCCTCAAGGTGAGCTGACCTTCCTCGGCTGCTGGGATTTCACTATAGGGTTGCTTGGCTGCATTGCTGCTCGGTCTGGAGACGACTGAATGGGAGCCGCCATTTGAGCGGATGGATGCCTTACCCCCGTTCCGGATGTTGTGTCGATCTATGGAGTCCCCAGGCTGACCCCTCGTCTTCGTCTCCAGATGCCCTTCGTCAAAAAAGTCAAGTCCGACGCATACTTCTCGCGGTTCCAGGTCAAGTACCGCCGTCGGAGGGAGGGCAAGACTGACTGTACGTGTACACATGTCTCGCGGTGTCATGCAGCATACTGACCCCGGTCTCGTTAGACTATGCCCGGAAACGCCTCATCAGTCAGGCGAAGAACAAATAGTGAGCGAGACGGGCAATTGGGGTCATTCACGCAGGCTGACAGAGCTGTAGCAATGCTCCGAAGTACCGGCTGGTAGTCCGGTTTACCAACAAGCAAATCATTGTTCAGATCGTCTACGCCCGCCTGCAGGGAGACTTCGTTCTGACTGCCGCGACTTCGAAGGAGCTGCCCAGATATGGCATCAACCACGGCCTGACCAACTGGACTGCTGGTACGTCAATACGACACTTTACTCATTCGCCCGGTACAAACCCATCTGCTAGCCTACGCAACTGGCCTCCTTTGCGCCCGCCGTGCCCTTACTAAACTTGGCTTGGCTGACAAGTACGAGGGTGTCACGGAACCCGACGGGACCATTGCTTTGACTGAGACGATTGAGGGCGAGGACGCTCCTCGGCCATTCAAGTGTTACCTTGACGTCGGCTTGAAGCGGACATCGACTGGTTCGCGTGTCTTCGGTGCCCTCAAGGGTGCCAGTGACGGAGGGCTCTACATTCCTCACTCCGAGAAGCGCTTCCCTGGTTACGACCCAGAGAGCAAGGAGTTGGACGCCGAAGTGCTTAAGAAGTACATCTTCGGCGGTCACGTTGCCGAGTACATGGAGAGCTTGGAGGAGGAAGACGATGAACGGTTCGTGCTTACTCTTGGGACCTTTATTATGAGGCTCATTGGTCTGTGCTAGCTTCAAGAAGCAGTTCTCCACGTACCTCGCTGATGGCGTCGGGTCTGAGGATATGGAGGAGATCTACACGAACGCTTACGCTGCCATCCGGGAAGACCCGTCGTTCAAGCCCACCGAGAAGACAAAGGACTGGAAAGCCGAGTCTCTCAAATACAAGCAGCACCGTCTTACGCTCGAGCAGCGCAAGGAGCGTATACAGTCCAAGATCGAGGCCTTCCAGGCAAACGGTGGTGCAGCTGCCGAGGAGGACGAAGAGGATGAGGAGTAGATGTTTGTTGTCGCGGTTCATGTATCATCTTTGCACATGCTTCTATGGCCCCAAAAGCTTTCTTAGGCTATGCCTATGCTATCAGTCCTACCTTACCGATACTCGCTGAAAGCAATAGCTTGAGCTTGGGATTTCGCGATGCCCTCGTTGTCATCGACCATTACACGATCATAATGAGAGGATGAGTTCCTCACCCGAACACTGGCACGCTATCGCGTAAGTGAGACCTCTGCTAATTCGCGTGACACAACGCGTGACAGGCGCGTCTCAACTTCGCCACTCTTCCGACTACCAGGTTCATCTACGCTCAGGGGATACACAACTGGCAGCCCTAGTCCCGACAAGATATCGCGTTCGAGCCCTATTCAGAGCAGCGATGGCGGCTTCCGAACATCGCGCCTGCGGGCCCCTGACAAACGGAAATTCTCAGCCTGACTTGGTCATGGACATCGTCGAAGATTCTGAACCAGAAAGGGAGGACGCGAGACGCAGAGAGAAGGAGAATCGGAAGATAAAGAAGCAGAAACAGTTGAAGGCTTCTGACGCCCTCGCGCTCATCATGTCAAGTCCCCTTAATGGAACCACTCAATATCTGCCGGGAATGCAGATGGGCAGCCAGTCTGAGATGGCGAGAACCTCAAAGAAGGCGCGTGCTGTCCTGGACGAGAAAGGCAAATCTGAATGGCAGAAAACTATCATTGAGATAGATGGTAAGAGTTACAATATCCTCCATAAGCTCCTCTAAGGATGTCTGTGCAGATGATGCCCTCCCGAGGCTCTCCTCGACCGAGTTACATTCCGTGGGCTCTGCTGCACTCAATAACCAAGGCTCAAATCTGCCTTCTCAAGATTTGCGATTCCCGGAGCCAGAGCCAGAGCCAACGCCGACTGACGCGATATCCATATCTTCAAGCGAGTCTGACATCGAGGCATCCGATCGTCTGAAACTTGGTCGATTCGGGCTCCCAGGAACCTCAAATCTGAAGTCGACTAAAATCCGCGTTGCATCTGCTCGCTCCACCTCTGTGGCTGACTCGGATAAGAGTACGCGGCCCAGTCATTGGAGGCCACCCCACCGTTTCACCACCGACTTCACTAACACTGAACTCGGGAAGATTCTCACATGCGTATCTTGCCAACTGAAGTGGACCACCAGGAAAAGTGTGACACAGAAGATGCTCCATATTCAAACTTGTGCGAAGAAGAATCGTCTGACAGATGAGACTGTTAAGATTCTTATTCGCCGAGAATTGAATAAGGTGTCTAGCGAGAGTGCCAATGGTGCGGAGGCAGCTGGTGGAGCTATGCTGTCAAAGGCTCAGGAGCCCGAGACGTACCTCGAAGACTTGCTAGGGACCGACGCTCCGAGGAAGAAAGGCAAACGGCCCGAAGCTCGGGGTACTCTGCAGAGTGTGACCCAAGCTAGGGTTGTTATCAGGGACAGAGCGCGACTCTTCCTTGGTCACTCTTCAAGCGCAAACTCGGATGAAGATGATAATGGCGCTGTAGTGACTGCGCTAGATGATCACATGGCGGGGCCGCCAGCCGATGGTGTTCAAACAACACCACGGGTACCCCCGAGCACTCAAGCCTTTGGGCCGAGCAAACTATCGAGACCACAGAGGCCACCGCCCTCGTCCGTAAATGGCCATGACATGGTCGATCGTACTCACATTAATCAACGAATCGCGAACTCAAGACTTGAGACTTTGAGTAGGCCGAAGTCGCTGTTCGATGCTGACCTCTACACTACCGCCAGCGGCGAGGATGTGCCAGCAGCGACACAGCCGTTCGGGTTATCAAATTCTGGGAAGGCTAACTCCCCACCTGACGCCCTTGCTGGAGGGTCTGAATCCTTCGCACGAATGCCCAGTCCAGGCTGCTCTTCCGCGGAAGCGCGGTTTGATAGCCACAAAGAATGTGAAGTGGGTACAAGTCAATCTGTGAAGGTGAGCGAAATAATACACTCACGTCTCCGAATACGACTTATAACTGATAGATGTGCCTTCCCACGGCCGCTGATTCTTCCTCGCGCAGCGAAAGAGAACTACATCTGACCCCTCGGTCGAAGGCGCGTCACCTACACGGGTCCGCACATGTATCTCCTGATAGAATATATTCACTGGATGATGTCAATAATGATGACGTACCTTCCCAAGGAGATTCTGATGGTGTCGGGTGGCGAGACGACGATGCGATCCTTCATTTCGATCCATCATGGTCGTCAACAAGAGATGGCCCGAATCCAATGCAGTTACCTAGAGAAGAACGAATGCTAGTATCGACAACAGACTATCTAGGCAGGAAGAAGAGGATAAATCCTATGCAAGCCATCACGACTAACAAACCTGTGACTTCGGCGTCCTTGCCCTTGAGGATTCCCAATGTTCCTCCCAAATCTGCCAGGAAGGGCAAAAGCAGGGCGGTCCAGGAATCTCCAGATGATGAGTGCGACATTGACAAACTTGAAGCACAGCTGAAGAGTTTGATTTCCCAAGACAAAGTCCTGCATCTTCGTATCTTGAGATATGAGGTACGCCCTGAAACTGCTTTCCCCGTATAACCCACAAACACTGGGCCGTTTATCTAGCCTCTACATTACGACATTTTCGTTCAAATGCTATCAGAGCAAGGTATCCCAACTAGAGGCATAAAACTCAAGTTGAGGAAGTGCTTGGATAGACTTGTGAGATACACTCATCTTACGCGCCTCATGCCGTTATAACACTCCTCGCCTAGGCAATCAATTTCTACGGGGCTGAGCCAGGCGGAAGCCGTTCAAGGTACTGATTATTCGGACGGAGGATCCATGTTTTCGGAGAGTAGAGAGAGAATATAATAATACGACTAATGTCACAACAGAGGATATTAAATGTACAGGATGTAGATGGAAGTTCTAAATTACAAAGCGCTTTTTCTGATCCTCCCGCTTAGAACGAAAAAACGGCAGCGTTCTTTCGCGTACCGAACGTGTACACCAGTGCTTGACTCATGAATAGTCCGACAGTAACACCGATAGTGACTGATATCATGGCCCCTCCGATGTCGATACCGCTGCCCTCAGCTGTGATACCTCCGGCTTGTGACAACCCGGACTAGTAAAAGAACAATCCATCAGCAAAGGGTCTCTCGAACGCGCAAAGGTAAAAAGATTACTCACTGGAACCAAGAACAGCACACCAGTCACCATGGATGTAAACGCTGTCCCGCCCAGCTTCCGGGAGTATATGTTGCCCAGGAGCCCGACCGTAAAGGCGCCGATGGCGGACACGATATCCGACCGCCCAAAAATGAAGTGATTCGCCACCTTGTTCGCCGCATAACTCGCGCAACTGATGAGGGTCATGACAAGCAAGTCCACCGTCCAGAAGGGCTGCAAATTCGCCAGCGAACTGAGCACCGAGAAGATGGGCACGATGATGAACTGCGTCCACCAGGGGAACGGCTGGAGGTACCAGGGGAAGTCCAAAGGACGATAGCACCCCGCAATGATGTCGTGGCTGAGCGGTCCGGACGAGTTTGAGAAGGTGAAGGTGCCGGATAGGGGTAGGCCGGGATACGATATGCCGTTGTCCGCGGTAAAGTTACCGGCCAGACTGATTGTGGTGGACATATTCGCAGCGAGGAATTGCAGGGAGTGACGCGCACCGGGATCGAGGAGCAGATAGAAGTCGCTACCGATCTGCAGCCCGAAACCCAGAGACAGAGTATAGATCAGGGCGTAAACCATCTTGACACTACCGCAGACAATGTTCTTGGATGCCAGCTCCAAAGAACTGCTGAGAATGAGGTAGCCGGGCAGGATACCCACAATACCAGCCGAAGAGATGGCCGTATAGCAGAACACCTGGCTGCGTATGCTGCTCAAGCCACGGGCGACGAAGGACATACAGATAGCGACCGAGATTCTATCGGAAAGAGTCAGTTTTGATGTTATACACGAAGCGGGAGAAAGTGCTCACTCGAAGATCTGCGCATACATCACACTCTTGGCGGCAACAGTAAGCTGCAGAGCGCAAAGAACAAATGCACCAGCTGCTGCAATCCACATATCGACGAATGACCCTCCGAAAGCCAGCGGACAGATCAGGGCCGACAGCCAAAACGCCAGGAAGCACCGAGGAAGGACTTTGTATATCGGTTTGGCCGCCAACAGAGCCTCCAATTGTTTCGTCGCCTTCTTCGCCGAGAGCTCGTCGTGCATGACTGAGCGGTAGATTCTGTGGACGCGATGCAACCTCCCTAGGTCGATGCGCCCGCCACATTTGACGAAATGCGACTCGGAAGTCTTGGTCTCGGAGTCGCCAAAGGAGCATATAATGACACCGGGGATGTGGATGAACTCGGCATCGACTTCGAGGATACGTGAGGCGGAGACGAGTTGGGATTCGATACGATGAGACGGTGCTCCGAAAGTAAGGAGGGCCCGTGCGAGAGTCATCAAGAAGTCCTGCCGAGCAATCAGCGCTGTCGAGGTAGGCCAATGAGTTATGGCTGGCACGGACGATGCAAAACACTTACAAGAAATATTGAACTCGATACGCATTCGCATCCTCTCCTTCTTCCTGGCCTTGTAGTCCATCTGCTTCAAACAGTTCTTCTCGACGTCTTCGGGATCGTCCAAGCACTTCTTGGTGATACCGGTGACACGAGGATCATCCGCGTCCAACGTCTCAGAAGCGTCTGACTGCACGGACTCCCTGCGTCTGAGGCGATTGCCCCCAGCGGTAGAGTACTCGGAGTTGGTGGACGCAGCGCGACTCATGCCGCCGTCGCAGTCACTTTTGCGCCGGCTGAGGGTGTACAGGTCGACGAGATTGGAAAGTACACCTCGACGTCGGTGGACAGGGTCGTTGTTGGTCGCCTCGAAACAGCTTTCCGCGTCTGTTTGACAGTCACCCATGCTGACCTCGGTTGGGGCAAAGCTCACTGAACGACGTGCACGAGGTCGGGTTTCTTCTTCCTGAGAAGGTTTCCCGGTGTAGGCGGACTGGGGAGGGCGAATGTCGTATGGGTGGTTGTAGGAAGACAGTGAGAACCGGTCATCTTTGTCGTCCTTCGCTCTCGGTGGAGGGGATTCGTCGTGCAGGGTTATATCGCTTTCGTCCGAGCGACGGCGAGAAGAGTAGTCTATTCCTGATAGACCATATTGATCCGGATCTGAAGAGCGTTCCGGACGGCGGTAGACGAAGTCGTCAGGGTTGAAGAGAGGGAGCTCCGCCTGCTGTCCAGAGCGGCGGGGATAAGACGAAGGAGGAGAAGGAAGAGAGCAGGAAGGTTCTTCATGTGCAGCACCCGTCATCTGGGCGGAGTCGTCCGCGCTAAACCTCACCCGAGAGGAACGGCTGGAACGCTTGGGAGCGGTCGTGTATGCGTCTTGATAGTCGCCGCCTGATCTGCGAGGAGAAGGCGCAGACATTGAAGTAGAAGTAGTCAAAGTAAGGCCTGCTTTGAAGAAAGTCGAAGTCGCAGGAGTCGAAAACCCGGTTTCCGTGCTGGCGGTAGGAAGTCAAGCGATGGAAGGGCGGCTACAGCCAGAGCGTCAGGGCTTTATACTCACAAAGGCACCACCGCTGCTCCCAAGACACGCGCATTCCGCAGAGGCCGACGCTGGAAGACGGGACTTGCATCGTCGGCCGCGGCGGAAAGCGGCGGCGGGCTGGATAGTGATGGTGTCCGACAAGGACCGGACGGGGAACGCAGCCTCGATCGAGACAGACGCGCCGATCACGTGACATGCACTGCCGTTACTCAATTTGGCAATACTGTAATTGACTCGTCCAGGACGCAATCACATCCAATCACATCTCGGCTAGCCTCAGGCCTCCTCTAAATCACTGCGCAATGCCTACCGTCGCTGTTGACAAGGAGGATCTGTGGGAGCGGCTTGGGCGCAAGTATTGTAATGCTGGTTTAATCTGGTTTCTTCTCATCATTCTGAGACCCCCTGCTAGCGACGGAGGAGTTTGACAAGCTATGTTTCGACTTTGGTATCGAACTCGACGAAGATGTACGCGGTCTGAACTGGTATCTATGAGTAACATATTTACGACGGTGACAGACAACGGAGGAGGTGGAAGCAGCAAAGAAAAAGGGTCTCCCTGCCGAGCGTCCAGTGCGTAGCCTTCAAATGCGTGAAGAGTGGGGGTTAACTCTCCACCCCAGCAACTCAAGATCGAGATACCTGCTAACAGGTAATTATACATCGTCTAGCACCTGTATCTCTCGGCCGTTGATTAAGATTCTCAGATACGATCTCCTTTGCATCGAAGGCATAGCGAGAGCCCTGCGTATCTTTCTGGGAAAGGATCAGCCACCGCAATACAAGCTAGTGTACCCTCCAGGTGGCGAATCAAACCTCCTGACCGTCACTGTCGCGCCAGAGGTGGGTGCATAAGTGATTACCCCTCCACTCTGCTCATATCTGCCAAGACGAAACAAATTCGGCCCTATTTTGCATGCGCCATCCTTCGAAATCTCCACTTCACCCCCCGTTCCTATGCCTCTTTCATTGACCTTCAAGACAAGCTTCACCAGAACCTGTGCAGGCGGCGGCAGTTCGTCGCCATCGGTACGCACGACCTGGACACCATCGAGGCACCGTTCAGATATGAGGCACGGAATCCCAAGGATATCAAGTTCATCCCGCTAGGCAAAGACAAAGCATATACGGCCGAGGAGCTGATGACTGTCTACGAGGTACGTGATATCTGTTCACGTTATTGCCACCGTGAAAAGCTGAATCTCGCAAGCTAGTCTGAGAAACATCTGGCAAGATATCTGCACATCATCCGTGACTCCCCTGTCTACCCAATTATCTACGACCAAAAAGACCGCGTACTGTCCATGCCTCCGATCATCAACTCGGAGCACAGCAAGATCACCTTGAATACGAAGAATGTGTTCATTGATGTAACAGCTACGGATGAGACGAAGCTGGCCATTGTCGTGAACATTATCTCGACCATGTTCTCTGAATACTGCGCAGAACCTTTTACGTAAGTCGCGCAAGCTCTCTTCGCATCCGTTCTCTTACTGATTCGTCACTGTCAAAAGCATCGAGCCCTGCAAAGTTGTCTATTCCTCCGGGGAGACCCGTATCACCCCGGACATATCCTCTCGCCCGACAACGGCGCACACCTCGTACATCAACTCCTGCACGGGACTTACCCTTTCGTCCTCGCAGATCGCGACCCTCCTGCGCCGCATGTCCCTCCCTACGGAGCCATCGCTCGATAACCCTACCGAGGACATATTAGTCTCCATACCCCCGACGCGCCCGGATATTCTGCACGAGTGCGATATCATGGAGGACGCGGCGATTGCCTATGGGTTCAACAACCTGCCCGAGAGGTTCCCCAAGACGAGCACCGTCGGGCAGCCGCTCGCGATCAGCAAGCTGAGCGACGTGGTGAGGATCGAGTGGGCGTTAGCAGGCTGGGTCGAAGTCCTGCCCTTGATCCTGGTATGCATGCATCTATCTATATCGCGGAAGCTGCGTCACTTAAGGCCTTCCCCATCCCAGTGCTCCCACGAAGAGAACTTCGAGTGGCTGAACCACCACGACGACTCGCTCGCCGTCAAGATCGCGAACCCCAAGACGCTCGAGTTCCAGGTCGTCCGCACGACGCTCCTCCCCGGGCTGCTCAAGACCGTGCGCGAGAACCGCTCGCATCCACTGCCGATCCGCATCTTCGAGACCTCCGACGTCGTGTTCAAGGACAAGTCGCGCGAGCGCCAGGCGCGGAACGAGCGGCACGCGGCGGCCGTGTGGTGCAACAAGAGCGCCGGGTTCGAGGTCGTGCATGGCTTGCTGGACCGGATCATGGCGATGCTCGAGGTCCCTAGGATTGGAAGCGCGGAGTACAAGGCGAAGACGGGGTATTACATCAAGGAGTGCAGCGGTAAGCTCAGGGTTGGTTACCTTTCCGATGTTTCGTTAATGACTGGGTCATTCGCAGATCCTGCTTTCTTCCCTGGCCGCGCAGCTACTATCTATTATCGCGCGCCTCAAGAGAAATCGTCAACGTTGGACTCCATCAAGAAAGACGTCCTGCACATGCCTGGTGATCTGGCCATCGGCACATTGGGTATCTTGCACCCGACCGTGCTAGAGAAGTTCGAAATCGGCTATCCTTGCTCGGCGCTCGAATTTAATCTCGAGCCATTCCAGAAGGAGATGCAGGCAGACTGGACAGAGGGTGATGTGAAGTCTGCGAAGCCACCGCCAGTAGTATGATCTGTAATACCACAAAACAAAAGTTAGAAAGCTGTATTGCTCAATTTATACTGCACTCGTGCCAGGGGACCCTGCGGCAAGATGTGATGCAAAATACTTGATTACGATTTAGTGTACAACTCAAGAAGGGGTGGCCTTCCAAGAGATATGTTAACCAACCATGCCAATCTAGCCACAAGAACGAAGCGAGCCAGGATATAAAGAGCGTCAATGATAGCATCCCCCACCCTCCACAAGTACAAACCGACAAACCGGTTATATACAGATCACAACAACCCAGCCTCCCTAAGCTCCTGGTGCAGCCGTGCCTCCTGTGCGTAAGCTTCAGCGACTCTCCGGACGGCGTCAGGATCATTTGGATCGATACCCGCCATCATCTCGCGCTCGCGTTCGCCACTCGCCATCAAGCGCGCACGTTCCCGCGCCTCTTGGAGCTCCTCGTCCTCCTCGATCATTGCGACCTCCGGGTCGACGGCGCCCGACCTGGTCCCGCCGAGACCGAGGCCTGCGCGGAACAGCGAGCCGGGGGCTTGGATGCCGAAGACGCGCTCGATTTGGGTGAGGTAGGGTTGGGAGGAAGGAGGGGGCGGCTGGCTCGATTCGCGCTGGGAGGAGAGAATGTTGCGCTCCCATAGTTTGACGCGGTAGAAACCGACCACTGAGGTTAGCAAGATGAACCAGCCTATAGCAGATGTGATCGTTAGCATATGCGCCGTTCTTGTCCGGGGAAAAAGGCTTACCAACTGTCATAAGGAAGAACGATAGCCACTCGGTGGTCATATCGCTGATCATCATGGCACTGTTCGGGGGCATCTCTGAAGAATCAGGAAGTGTTGAGTTGGTCAAGCCGTTCCAATACTCGTCGGCTTCTTGGGCGCTGGAGAATGTTGGCACGGCAGCCGGCTGGGACCAGGGGTTGCCGTTGGCATCGTTCCCTCCGTCGACCAAATCACCACCACCTCCAAACCCAGACTCCGCCCTGTTCCTCAGAGCAAAGCCATACTGGATCAGCGTGACGCCCAAACCAGCTCTGCTGCCCAGCCTTGCTGCGTGCGTCGTGTGCAAGAGGTACGTGAGCAGGAAGCCGACAAATTGGAAAGAGATGGAAACGAGCATATTCCATAGGAAGGAGAATAGAGAGCCGGTGGGGAGAGAATCGATGATAATCTCGCCAGGGGAAGAAGGCGAGGAGGGTGCATGGACCGTTGTCTCCCAGTAGGGAGGAACAGCGTCCGCTTGGGCGGCTGCATACGATGGAGGGGCGTCTTTCTGGGCTTCCTCAGGGACGATAAACGTCTGATCACCTAGAAAGTAATATAACAATGAATCCAGTCTATTCATCCGAGCAGAAATAAAGTCCATACCTTCAGTAACCCTCACCCCCCTCGAGGGCTTTGCAGTAACGTTCGCAAACACCCCATCGTTGTTCAGCCCGCCGCCCACCGGCCCACTCGGCACCCGCTGCCTCCGCAGCCTCTGCACAAAGTGCGTCGGCAATATCGCAGCCGCCCTCCCAAACCACCCTCCCCCACCGCGGCTGCTCCCCGCGTCCGTGACAGGCTCGTCCGGCACATACCCGTTCGAATTGCCATAGTCATTTGGCAGCGCGCGATCGGACGGCCCTGGGGGCGACCCAGGGGGCGGGAAGCTTGCGTAATCGAAGTTCTCGAAATCGTACGTCCCCGGCGCGGGCGGGCTCGCTGTCGACTGGTTGTGCCGGTGCGAGGGCGCGGAGGGGTTCAGCGGGTGGGACTCGGACGTGTTGTGCTCGTCCTCGTCTTCAGAGTCGTCGAAGGCGGCCTCCATCTCGTTCTGGGCGTCGGGGTCGGTGCGTGGATTGGGCAGCGGTGCATAGCGGGCAGACATGAATAAGCGAGATATAAATTAGTAGTTGGATGGAAGCGATAAAGCAAGGGAATGCGATGGGGCTTGGAGGAGTCGAGAGTACCCGCTGACGGCTTCAGTATGGAGCGCCCCTTGACGATGCGGCGGCACTGGCGCGATCGCCATCCGCTATTTGCTGCTGTTTGTGGCGGGTGGCTGTGGTCCCTGACCGTTCACTCTCATTGGCTCATATGCAGTCCAAATTTGGCAAGTCTAGTTGTTGTCTCGACCGGTCTCTACTGGCTCGCGACAAGCCCAGCGGTTGAGTACAAGTTCCCCGGCGTTAGTGCGAGGAAATATCGAGGGTATCTCAGAACACTCTCATGATGCAATGGTATCGTACATTCCCAGGTTGCGTCAGACTAAAGTTACAAGTATGCGTAATGCGAGGTGTTTTTACCACGGCAGGTATCGCGGTTATGTCTTCGTGGAAGACCAGATATAGAAGATCCTTGGGGACTATCGCACAACCCCATCCTCTACATCCCAACCGGGCCAGTCGTGCTCTCCCATAGATGCATATCCATATATACGTCCAGATATACTCCAATAATAATGATACTGATGAATCATGTTTAGCAAGCGGTGCTTCCAGCAGTGAGCAAAGATTAATTACCTTGGGGAAAGGAATCTAATGGGTCAACAGATTGGAACTGTTGGAGGAGCGGATGAGTCTTGTGATCCGCTGGCAACTCTCCATGCGAGCGTCGACGAGGTCGCCGAACATTTCGAGCAACTGAGCACCAGGCTCGGATATTCCCCGGTCGCGCGCGGACCTGACAAATCTCCGTCTGCTCTTAGGGCTGATGCCCTCGAGCTTGAGCTTCAGGCCGTTCTTTCGCCGATTCCAGCGGGTGTGTTTGTTGTGGTGGTCTTTGCTCGGAAGCTGTGCTTCGACGGGCTCTGGCTTGACACCACCCAGTGCGGCGTGCATGGGCTGCGGTGGCGTGGACTCGTTCGTCCCTGCTGATGACTCGGCAGAAGAGTAGGCGGAAGAGTCGGACTCTATGGATGCGGGATCGGCGAGAGTGGATGCGCCGGGGCCCTCGATGAGCTTCTCCTCGAGCTCTGCGCGGGTGTGGAGGACCCAAGTGCGCTCGCGATGGTAGAAGGCTTGGAGGGAGTCGAGGAGGTGGACGGCGGTGCACATGGGGTCGACGGGAGGCGGGGAGTGCGGCGGCGTCGGCAACGACGAGTGCGTATGGTGGTAGGACATGGTGGCAACTGCCGTGGACATTGCGGGGAGGACGGGCGGAGCAGTGTGAGTGGTTGGGGGGAGAGATGGGAGGACGGGCGGTGGATTGGGCGGGGACGTATATAGGCGGGGACTGGGTCTCGACCCATTGTCGTAAACAGCACCAGCGTTGTGTTTGAGCAGAGCAGCGCCCGGTCGAGAGTCCTCCAGACCAATCAAACGCCTGGTCTAGGCTGCATCCAATAGAAATCCCAGCCAATCCCAGTCCGTCTTCCCCGCTTCTCTGATAGCCCCTTTCCTTTTTCGTTCTCCCGGCGGCATGCCGACTGTCACGTCCCCCCCTGCGCCAATCACATCCACCCATCGCTGTGGCTAGTTTCGGCCGATTGCGGGCGAATCACTGCGTAGCACAGACATTGGATATACGGGGACTACTGGGCTACGACCTTCCAGCCCTGCGTAACATGCTGGTCTCGAATACTGCTGGTTGTGGGAGTGGGCGTTCCGATGCTGCTTCGGGGGACGTCATCAGGACACGCCGGCACAGCACCTTCCGAGCCGACTGCATGTCATTTGAACGCTGACGCCTTCCCGGCCAATCCCAGCCAACCAGCGTCCAGCAGCACACTCTGTCACGCCCTGTCACACTCTGCCGCGACCAATCCCAGCGCTGCCGCCCTTCCGTCAAGCCTGCCATGTTCTCCCAAACGTTCCTGCTCGCTGCTCTGCTTGCCCTCATCTCTGCGGCGGATGCACAGTCACGTCTGTTCCACAGAGTCCACCACCCGGCCCTGCAGCCCCCTCTAGCCTTCTCCGAACGCGGCACCCTTCACATCGCAGACTCCGTCGCAACACTCGAACACTCCGAGACCTACTCTGATGACCTCGAAGAATTCGCCTCGGTCCTCCAGCAGTATCCGGATGCATTGTACCAGGTCGCCATGGATCGTGCCGGCGAAAAGGACGAGGCGCGCTGGGACGTCTCGTCGGTGAAAGCGGTACGTTCTAGCCCCTCCGGAGGCCGCTGTCGGTGTCTGATTCATCGCCGTCTCTCGCCTCCCCGCCCGCGCCCAATATAACCTGGCCCCCTCGCCGCCTCGTTCCGCATATGAACACGGTCTTGCGACCTGCTGTCTGCTCCTGTACCTGTGCTTTGATCGCTCTGGCCGACGTCTAGTGCCATCTACCCCGCGCCACCGCTGAATCCATCGTGCTCCATCTATCACCATATGACGGCAAGCCGTTTACCTTGGACTACTTTGTCTCGCCCATTCCACACGATGGGTCGTGTCCGACCCCAAAGAAGACCGCTGGTTCCCAATCCAGCTTTGCTTTGACACCCTTGAATAACGTAACCATCTTGTTGCGTTCCCCGACGTCCCCACCCAGGTAAGCAGCTCAATTTGCAATTGCGGGTCCCTTGGGTACATGCACCGCTCTGGATCGCTCAAATTGGCTTCGCGACCGTTTCACGTACCTTCTGTATTTCAGGCCTGAGCTCCGGGCCCCGCCACCCCTGACGCCTCAAGGCGAGCCTGTCAAGCCGCCGGTCGAGAAGTCGTTTATTCAAAAGTATTGGATCTACGTCGCTGCCCTGTTGGTTGCTTTACGTGCGTGTCCTCTTCTATTCTTGAGGTGTCCATCTGACTTGGCCGTAGTCATTGCTCCGAGCCCTGCTGAAGAAGGACAGGGTGGGGAAGGTGGGCAGGCACGGAGATAACATGTGAAAGCAGCACATGGGTTATAGAAGGCAATCGGGCTGCTCTAGGTCCTGTATGGCTGTTTGCTTGGGCAGATTAAAATGGCAAACCTTCGTAGCAAGGTTCCCGTGGCCTGTGATGGCGTTAAGTCTCGAGCTTCTCTGCCCTCGGGAGCTTCAAGATTCTAGGACTTGGTCATGCCTGTGGGATGCTCACACGTGCTAGAGACCCAAATGGATCTAGGTCCAACTACTTTCGTACCGCTGGTTGCTTGTTTTGAGGACCGCTGTCCAACGACTATGGTGTAGTTCTACCTCAGTGGGCTGAGGATTTGGGAGGAGCATCTACACCTCTGCTTTTCAATAACTTACAACTGCGCTTCGATCGTGTAGTACTGCTGGCTTACAGGGACAGGGATGTCACTGTATTGCGATATGCGTTCACTGTCCGCCTGTCCGAAATTATGACGACTCTCATTATGCTACTCCAAGGTACTGTTGTGAGCGGTATCTGCCTATATCCGTTCTGCTTCCCCCACATTCCCGTGATCTCAGCAATACCCGAAACGCGTCCCTGCATCGAGCCTGATCACGAGGAACCCATGAAACGCGACACGGGCATGCAGAACGCTACGGTGACCCCAGCCAAGCGTTGCATTAGACGTCGGATTCCACTCCGCCGTGGACCCTGGTGGCGGGATCAATATTTGTGGCCGCGATCGCGTTATTTACATCTGTTTACGCGTCTTCTAACTTCCCGATCAGATCTGTCGAAATCTCCTCAAACGCGCGGCGACTGTGGCACCAGGCCGACTTAGAAGCTGTACTCATCTGAGCTTTCTGACGTTCTCGATTCTACATTTCGTTTCTTCAAACTTACACATTACTATCGCAATCGAGGAGGGAGTCAGACTCGGAGAGAACCACCATGTCTTCCAAGATCCCGGGCGTCATCCAGAATGTCGACCCGCAAGAGCTGTACGACGTGATGTGCGGCGCCGCCTCGCAGGACCCCGCGCTCATGGAGAAGTCGACGTTCCGGCTCAAGATCATGCTGGACTACTTCGGCGCGTTCGACGCGCTGCACGAGATCGCGGCGCAGAAGAGCGTGCCGCTCCCCGTGCGGCAGCAGTCGATCATACAGTTCAAGAACGCGGCGCTCAGCCATTGGAGGTCAAGGAGGTAGGTGCTTGGAAAGCTTGATGATGGTCGTGGCTGATGGACGTCTGGCTGTGGAAGACTTGTGTCCGATGAGCATCGTATTAGGATACGCCAGAGGTGTTTGTCGTTCCTGGATGAACCAGACGATATCGTACGTTCTGCTGTATACCGTGCTTTCATCCCGTCTCTGAGCTGCCTTTGAAGATCGCAGAATGCAACGAAATCATAGTCTCGAAGATTGCGCGGCAGGACTATCCCAATAACTGGTAGTCTGTGATTCCACCCACTGAAGCGGCGGCGCTTGCTGACCCGCTTTGCAAGGTCTTACCTTATACCAGACTTGAGACGCACGATCGAGGAGAACCTGCGTGCGCGCTACAGCACCGCGGTTCCCGACGAACGCTCAGCACTCGTGCTCGTCCGAAGTCTGAGGCTCGTAAACGAGGTTTTGAAGGAGTTCGGGAGTATCAAGATGCCAGGGGGAATGAAGACCATGGCTAAAGTCTGCATCGCACCTTTCCTTCGTGAAGTGGCCTACTGATTGAAGTGCCACAGATTGTCGAAGACTTGCATTTAGATTTCTATGGCTACTATGCGAAGCTTGGTCCTACGATCACGTCCACCCTGTCGCCCGAAACTGTGAACCAGCCCCGGGTAGCGGAAGATCTGACTATCTCCCACCTCGTATTCAAATGTATGGTCAAGATGACTACTTGGGTGTGGCACAGACCAACTATGGACGAGGTCGCGAAGTTTCTAGACTGGGTGGGTCCAGGGTTGCGACAGACATGTGTAGACCGCTCAACTCTGCACCCATAGGCGAAGCAATTCTTCCGCGACTCCGCGGTGCAGTTACAGGCCCTCTCCGAACTCCGCATAAATCTGCTCATCGCTTTGCGCTCGGCAAACGCTAACGTGGACGCCATCGGGAGGCGCAATATCGATCTGCTCACCCGACACGTTCGCGTTTTCGGGAAGCTCTTCCGCAGGTTCCAACAGCTCGACGTGAAGCGGTTCGTCCTACTTGAAGGCTGCTCTGATCTCGTATTCTATTACTGGAGCAAAGTTGTCCAAGCCACAAATAGTCCACCGGAATTTGTTGAGGGTAGATGGGACGCTTGTGGTCTGCTTCTTGATTGGCTAACACTGCTGGATAGATTCTCCGGATGCCGTGTTCCCGGTCCGCTTCCTCGTGCAGGCTATGGTTCTCTTCAAGGAAAATCTTGCCCAGTGGGCTCCCGTTCGAAAAGACGGTTCAGTTAATGAGAACAGTACGCCATTTTCACGTTCGTTTCACCTGTACGGTGTAGCTAAAATGAGAACTCGAGTGTTGAGCAAGGACGCAGTAGAAAATGCTGTCCAATTGCTTGTCACTCGGTTTATCCCTCTGAACCCGTCGGACCTGGAAGAGTGGATGGCCGATCCGGATGAATGGGTAAACGAAGAAGACAAGGAGAATGATCACTGGGAATACGAAGTCAGAGTACGTACATGGATTTATGTCGTGATTCCAGCGTGCTTACCGTGTCTCTTCTCCAGCCTTGTGCGGAACGGGTTCTCATGACCCTTGCTAACCAGTACAAAGACTACGTCGTTCCCCTCCTAGCCGAGACGTTCAAAAGGGTTATTTGTACGTTGCTACAGACAATATGCCCAAGTCATTTCCTGCTCACTCAGTACGATCTGCCCCCAGCTCAGCCCACCACCGATCTGGCCAGTATAGTGCAGAAAGAAGCGGTGTACTGCGCGATCGGCCGCTGTGCGATACGGTTGAAGGACGTCATTCCGTTTGACCAATGGTTGGAGCACACCCTCGTCCCCGAGTCTCAGGAGACGAACCCTTCTTACCCCATTATCAAGCGTCGTATCGCATGGGTCATCGGAAAATGGGTCTCTGACTCATGTGCATCTCCCAAAAACCCGACGATTTGGCAAGTCCTGGTACATCTCTTACAAGACAGGGGACCGGGTAGTGATGCTGTCGTGCGTCTGACGGCAGTCGCGGCATTGAGGGAATGCGTGGATGTGGGTGTTCTGCGGACTGTTTCGAATACTTCATGGAGTCTTACAACCATTATCAGACTATTGACTTCGACCCCAATATATTCGCACCGTTTTTGCCGCCTGCCATGAAAGAGCTGCTAGCTCTTCTTGCTGAAGCTGATAATCTGGAGAGCAAGCGGCGCATTATAAATACTCTCAATTCGGTAGTTGAACGGTCTGGTACACTGGTAGGTTCTTTTGAAGCAAATGCATCATCGGACAACATAGTTGAGCTAATTCTCGTAGATTGTGCCGTTCCTGGGCGCTGTAACGGAGCCTCTTCCTAACCTCTGTAAGTTCAGGACACATGCGTCTCATTGACGAGGATCTTATGCATCTTCGTAGGGTCCGGCGCTGGGGAGGATTGGTTATTCAAGGCTTCTCTGTTAACCACCGTCGAGAAGCTATTACAGGTCAGTATAGTATGCAGATCATAGGTGAAATCAGGACTCATCGTATTTAATCAGTCTTCGCAAGAGCATTCAAGGCCGTTGACCAATATAGTGGTTCCTCTTGTCCAGGAGTGCCTTTCCCCTGGCGTACGTGTTCGTGCCTGATCACCGACCCTATCCCTCAACTTTGCGCTTATCTTAGGCCAGATTGCAACTGGAAGAAGACGGACTCTCGATGTGGCAAGTCGCCATGCGCAACGCTGTGTCACTGGACAGCGGTGATGGAGGGCGTAGCCTTCTGGAGCTTCTTCCTATTGCTCTGACACTGCTAGCCGAAGATCTAGATGTACGAGCCCAAGTTATCGGTATCGTCGAATCCTACTTGATCCTAGATGCTACCCGCGTCTTGCAAGTAAGTCGGAGACACCCTCTCTGGTGTCTTCACCAGGAATGCTGACGGGATCTGGGGAGCTCTGTGCAGTTGACTTGTTTAATTCGTACGTGAAGGCTCTACCACAAGGAGTCTCGTCGGATCAGAAAAGTATGCTCGGCACTCTTCAGTTGCTCGTGCAGATTGCACCCCCACAGCTTTGGGCTGAGCCGTTGCATGTTTCGGGGCTATTTCCATTGCTCATGAAGCCATTGGTCGATGACAATGTAAGAATTGTCCTCGAAGGCGCTACTGACATTTGGGCACTGACTCAAACAAACAGATTTCTGTCACACTCCTCACGGAACACGTCTACGTCCTTGCCCGTATAGTGCTCGCTGACCGAGATATGTTCCTCCGCTTGATGTCTGCTGCGTCGATCTCTATGAATACGCCTGAGATAACGCTCTGGGAGGCTCTACTAGACCAGTGGTGGCAAAGGGTATTTCTTCGAAAGCATCTGTCTTGATCATCATCACTTACTCCGTTTGCCAGTTCGATAACATGTCCGAACCTCGATACCGCAAGCTGGCAGCCATGAGCATTGCGAATCTTGTGTCCACCGGGCGTCCCGAAGTCCTTGAGCGCCTGCACTCAGAGATATTCAACCTGTGGCTGGATGTTTTCGGTGAGCTCAAGGAAGCCAAAGAACAAGCCGATGGACACGCGGGTCTTGAGGGGTATGGTACCAGTCTCCCTCTGTGGCCAAACTCAATTTATATGTCCAGGCCCGCTATCACTCTCTTTTGGGACCGCAACGAACCGGATAGCGTCTTCTACCAGGAATCGCAAGACACGCCGGAGCGCACCCGGCGTCAAGCAGTACGGTATATTTTGACACTGCGTTCGTCCGCTGACCTTCGTCCGCTAGATCTTCGACAACGACCCTATCCGCACAGTACAACTGACCGCCTTCGTCGCGGCACGCCTGCAAGAAGCGGAAGCCTCTCTCGGTGGTGGAAACGTCATACAGACGAGGTACCTCGCGAAGGCTGACCCCCTAGTCATCCAGCAGATACAGAAGTTGTTGGCCAGCGGTTTATGAGGGCTTTTGGAGTCCAAGTGATCTTTCGTTGGCGCATCAGATCTATCTTAATATTATACAGGTTGCATCGTCGAAAGGAGTCGAGAATTCATTGCTAATACCTTGACATTAGTATCCGCATCTTGTTTACCCACCTAGAACAGTAATGAATTTCGTATGAACGCTTCCAGCACTCGCTGTCATGCAGTCCGTGAAAGCAGCGGTAGTCATGCTCAGGCGTGATCTGACATTCCACTCTCGCTGTAGCTACCCATCGAACCAGATGCAGACAAGTCAGTGCTACCAAAGTCACTGAACTCGTAGTCGTCCAGCCCACTCTCCTGCCCGTCCTCGTCCGACCCTGCAGTCAAGCGATCTACAGACCGCACCGGCTCGCCGCACCTCAGACATTCCCATACCTCTCCGCTGTCTGCTGCGCGAATCATTCGCTCCGCGAGACAGAAGTAACAGTAGACGTGCGAGCAGGATGTGATATAGGGGGTGTGTATGGGGTACATGGGTGCGCCGCCTTCGTCTTGTTGGTCCTGCTCTGACGCGGCAGATGTTGTGGCGATGATGTTCGCACTGGCAGATAGAAAGGAGCCTGCTGAGTCACCCGTTGCCAGACTGAACGAGGCATTCTCTGCGCAGATGGCGCATTGATCTGCGCCTAATGCATGGAATTTGCCTGTCGGTTTTCGTCTGATTTTGTTGTAATCTTCATCCTTTTCATTCGGCAATCCGAGTGCACTTCGCGCAGGAGACGGGATTATGGAGGAAATACTTATGCGGGACGCGACGCGCATGACGCGCCGACGGAAGGCGCGAACGTTGATCAACGGCAAGAGGAACAGGAGGAACTCCTACAGAAGTGGATGAATGGGAGATAGTAGGAGCGTCTGACAAAATATCGCACCGTGAATGCATGCCAGACCATCTGGCGGTTCATGAACTCGTAGCTGACATTACGTCTGGTCAAGCGCTGGGAAGGCACGAGCTCCATCCGCAATAGCCTATCAGCTAAAGTTCGATACCTACCACAAATCAGAAGCAATTAGGTGGTCGGTGAAGTCGAGATGGGGCAGGAGCTTTACCGTCCATCTTTCAGAAACAAGATGAAGTTTAGCAACCCTAACAAACTATGCAGAGACTCCATGCGGGTGAGGTAATCCCAGATCCTACGCCGGCGATCCCGTACAGGAGCATCTGGCCAAGCCCTGGATAATGCGTGGGAGCGAAGGCGGGTATGTAGGTACGGTACCAGGACCGTAAGGGTGCCATGCATGAGAAGGGTGCGGTGAGGTAAGCCAGAGGCTGCTCGTGCGTCGCTGAGTATAAACCCAATGATATGTTCGCAAGCAAGTCTCACAAGTCACGGAACTTCCACCAGCTGTAGGAACTTGATATCGCAAATTCTGCAGTTTGGCGCCATAGCTCGCTCCGTCTGACCATATAGAGAGTTTGTACAGTGTCAACTGGATAATGAGGGCTAGTTCCGGTTCGAAGCGGGCTTTCAAAGAGGACTGTCGACGTCAATGAGATCATGTACAACATAAACGTACCTACATTGAACAATGCCAACGCTCTATTGAGGGGTTCCTGCAGCACATGTAGCAGCTCCTGGTCCAATAACTCGGCATCCAGCTGTCCTACTCGCAGCACTCTTGGTGCTGGCGGGTTCGCGACAGTCAGGGCCTCTCTGGCAGCTTGGAACTTCGTCTGCGCTTCGGCCCAGGCCTCTTCCCATGTCGAACGGAGGCCTGAGGTCGACATAAGCAACAGCGAAGTAAGATGGGTGGCGGCGCCATTACACTGGAAGTAATGTAGCGGGGAGAATCACGTGGACCGACTGCTACTTCGAAGATCGAGTCAAAGCCGAAATCAATCTAACGCTTCATCTAATTGCTCGTCTGCAGGCAACATGGCGGAGGCTTTGCAGCAGCTCATTCTCGACACTCTAGATGCTCAGGGAACTATCAAGGACACTCGGGCTCTTGTCTTGCCAGGGCATCAAGAGCCAGCTGCATCCCATGATGCTCAGGTCACTATTCTAGGGGCCTTGAATTCTCTTGCTAGTCGAGAGGTATGTTCCTGTATGTTTGACTAAGATGGCCACATGACACCGCCGTTCTAGATGATCACATATACAACGCATGAGACACAATCCCACGTCCTCACTCCTGAAGGAGCTCAGATCGCGTTGGAAGGGTCGCATGAAGCTCGCGTATGGGCTGCTCTCCCGGCAAAGGGCGAGGGAACTCCAGTAACCCCTGCTGAATTAAAGCAAAAAGTGGGCGATGAGGCAGCAAAAGTTGGCCAAGGGCGCGCGTTCAAGAATGGATGGATCGCAAAAGAGGGGAACGGCCTAGTCAAACTGGTCTGTAGTCAATTGTCATTCTTGCATCGGCATAATGTAGAATCTGTACCGACGCGTGGACGAAGTAGGTTCCATCAATACAAGATAAAACACAGCTGGACATGCGCGAAGTGGACTCCACGGGAACCCTGCAGGAAGGAGAGAAAGCTTTGGCGGATTTGCGAAAGCGCAAGCTAATCGTACAGAGGTACACAAAGCTTTCCGGTTTCTAATATACGTCCTCAACGTCATGCAGGAAGGGACAGTGGTTCACAGTACAGAAAGGACCTAGCTTCAGCACATCGATCGCGAAACCTGAGACGGATCTGACGGTCGAGGCACTAACATCGTATGTCTCTTTTGCATGCATTGGTACAGATTGAATATAACAGTCGTAGGGGTGCATGGAAAACATCCACTTTCAAAAAGTACAACTTCGAGGCCGATGGTATCCCAACAAACGGCGGCGCTCTCCATCCGCTCCTCAAAGTTCGTGAAGAGATTAGAAACATTTTCCTGGAGATGGGGTATGGCCTGCTTTTCTATACGCTTGGGGTAGCTTATGAACACAGTACATTAGCTTCACCGAGATGCCGACATCGTCCTTCGTCGAGTCTGGATTCTGGTGTTTCGATGCTCTGTTCGTGCCCCAGCAACATCCAGCAAGAGAGGTGCAAGACACCTTCTATCTATCAGGTAAGACAAAAGTGCACCGACCCTAAGGCCACATCTGATCTCTGTGTAGATCCATCTTCATCCCTCCCTCCGCCGAAGGCTTACTATGAGCGCGTATCCAAAGTACACGAACATGGTGGCTATGGATCTACCGGCTACCGGGCGCCATGGTCCGACCAAGAGACCAGGAAGCTGCTTCTCCGCACGCACACCACGGCGTCCTCGGCTGCTATGCTCTACAAACTCGCCGCGCGGTGTCGTGGCGAAGAGGATACGGACGATCGCTCCGGCTTGGCTCATGATCACGGAGAGGTGCACGCTCAGGCATCCGGTGGGGCGGGTACGAAGCGATCAGGGGCTGTTTCGCAAGAGGGGGATGATGGATTCAGACCCGCGAAATTGTTCAGCATTGACAGGGTGTTCAGGAACGAGACCATGGACGCTACCCATTTGGCGGAGTTCCACCAAGTTGAGGGTGTGGTCGCCGATAAAGATATAACATTGGGCGATCTGATAGGTAATAATTCACTTGTTTAGCTGGTGAATGTGCCCTTACATCGCCGGTGTCTAGGATTCATGAAGGTCTTCTTCAACAAGCTTGGCATGGAGAATCTCCGCTTCAAGCCCGCCTACAACCCCTACACAGAGGTCAGTCCTGACATCGGCGTCTCCGAAACATCCGTGCTGAGCAGTATAATATTATTCCTGTCACAGCCGTCGATGGAGATTTTTGCTTTCCATCCCCTGTTGAAAAAGTGGGTCGAGATTGGTAACAGCGGAATGTTCAGGCCGGAGATGCTAGAACCAATGGGCTTCCCGAAGGACGTTCGCGTTCTCGGATGGGGCTTGGGTCTGGAGCGACCGACTATGATCAGGTACGTCGAGGAAGTCCTACATAGAACAGAAACCCTTATTCACCGCGCTACTGAACGACTTTAGGTACGGTATCACGAACATCAGGACATTGGTTGGACATAAGGTGTCGATCGAGGGCGTGGAAAAGAGCCCTGCAGTAAGGTTCTAGCTGAAAGCTGAATCCTGTCCATCAATAGACGTCATAAAAGCGAACATGTACGATGTTGTATCAATGCAGAAATATTCTAACGTACATACTGCGGGCTGGCGAGCGCTCGCAGTCTCGGACGTGAATGGTAAAATAGCTCTGTTGAGTAGCTGTAAAATAATAACACATAAGTATACAAGCTCGTCTAGATTAACACCTGTTGAAGGCGTGGTACATCCTATCCTACATATAATTATCCGTCCCCGAACCGGGTCCTCCGCTGCTATAACGCAACTTCAGACAGACCAGCCACCTCGATCACACCGCCCACAAGGTGCAAGCTGCCAGTAACCAAGACCTGCGTCTTGCTCTCGGGGCTCTCCAGCTCCCGAACAACCTTCACGGCGTCCTCCACGGATGGGAGGACGTGGATATTGGAGGAGGGGAAGTCTGGGACTAGCTCGGCCCATGCGGAGGCCAGCTCCTTCTGCGTCTTCAGATGCGCGAGGTCGTTTTCCGGTATGGCGTGCGTCGTGAGATCTGATTCTTCCGTTAAGCGCAGCGGACATAATGGGTGGAGAGAAGCTTACCGCTCTTGAACCCCCCGTCGGCGTATGTGACGTTGGTACAGAAGATAACGTGGTCGAAGAACCGAGTGCTTTCTTCGTCGGAGCCGGACGCCTTCAGCTGGTCGCCGATCCTCGTTAACAGAGTCCCAAGTAGAGAAGATCCTGTTCGGCCACCGGTACAGTTGAAAATAAGAGCCCTCTTGCGGCTAAGAAAGCATTCAGCACCTGCCGGGCAGTTTATGCTGTCGGCATACTTACGGCACGTCGGTTGGCTGCAACGCAACCTCAGGGCTCACAAGCCATTCAATACACGCACTCAAGCTCTCCACAGTGTGTGCGCCGTCCAAGAACCACGTCGTGTTCTCGTTCTTGGGGTCTGTCACTGATTGACAGCGACCAGGCCAGCGCGCGCGCTCAAGTCCTTTCGCGAAGGATTCTGGTAGTGGGTCCTCGAACGTCATGGATGCGCGCGCTTCCAGGAATTTGCGCGACAGAGCTATGGCAAGAGCGGCGTTCTGGATCTGGTGGCGGCCAGCGAGGCCTGGATATGGTCAGGCAAGCCGAAATGCATGGATGGAGGATTTATTACCTAGTTTAATCTTTTCCAGTTCGGGGCTGGGCGAAACGACTTCGAAGCTTGAGGCCTGGTAACGAGGTTCAGCCTGAAGGTCTTGAGAAGAGTCTCTTTAGCATACCTTGAGCTCCTCGGCACGTCCTCTGAGCATAGTCATGCCTTCTTCCGGCTGCTGGACAGTCAGCGCGGGTACCCCTTTCTATCTCTCCGTTCAGGGTCAAGTACCCGCTAACACGACGGATTATCTTACCTTGTATATTCCTCCCTTCTGCCAGGCGATCTCACTCAGCGTTCTCCCCAAAACGGCAACGTGGTCGAGACCCAGCGACGTTACACCAGTGACAACCGGCTTGGGCACAATGTTGGTGCTGTCGTAGGCACCCCCAACTCCCACTTCCAGTATTGTCGCGTCCACCTGCAATCCGGGGAGAAATCAGCGCAGCTGCGACAACGGCGGAACATTTTGATTACCTTGAGGCTTAGGAATGCGTGGAATGCGACAAGGGTCACGAATCGGAAGTACGCAGGTTTCAGAGACGTGCTCGGGTACTTGCGCTAGATCAGGCTCGTGAGACTCTGCAATGGCGAGAGAGCAGGGGAACGCACGGTGGTGTTCTTATCCAGCCTATCCCAGACTTCATAGAAAAATTGCGCAAACTGTTCCTCCGATATTGGAACCCCATTAACTCGTATGCGTTCGCGCACCGCGACTAAGTGAGGAGACGTATACAGTCCTGGGACAGTACTGGTTAGAGACTGTCGATGATGCCCTCCAGAGCAGCATACCAACTTTCCAGTCCGGCTTTGTATGACGCAGTATAGAATCCGTGAAGGCAGACGTCGAGCCCTTCCCCTTGGTTCCCGTGATATGTATGACATTCATTCGATTGAGATCCTCTGGCTAGAGCCATCATGACGACAATATGATACAACACACTATCAAAGCACGCACAGTGTACCCTATCCTCTCCAGGTATTCCAGCATCTCGGGGATAGCAAACTCGCTCATACGACCCCCCGATGCGCGCAAAGCCTCGAGGGTGGCTGCATTCGACTGCAACGAGTTAAGATTATTGACCGCATCGCTGTAGCTCCTGGTAGACATGGCACGAAAAGCAGAGTCTCGCACGAAGGCCCTACCAAACGACCGCGAAAAAGAGGGGAAAGAAGATAAGAGCGCTCTCATGGAGCGCAGTGAGAAATGGTCTGAAATTCCAAGTCGGATTGACGCTCGCGGTCTTTGCCCGTCCCATTTAGGGAACGATAATCAGTCACAGATCCGATCGCCGACAGACCAGATCCGAGATGTCACTGCTACCTCTGATTGGCCGGAGAAGGGCCGGAGCCACAGCCCCTATTTTTGAACCGAGACTCGAACAATTGGCCACGACTTGTGCCAGCCACAGTGGCCCTTTGAGAGGCGTCGCGACGCGTTGTTTCATGCTATTTTGACAACCCTCTTTCCCATCTTCTTGCTTGTACATATTGTATTAACCATGGACAAGTTCGTCACCGTCAAGAAGTCTGCGACGCGTCAAACCACGAACACCGACAAGGGCAAGACGCGTCCATCATTCAGATACCAACCGTACGCTGTAAGCCAGTCCGAGGAACGAACATACGAGCGCTGGAAGGCAGACAAACGGACCGAGAAGTAACTTTTCGCTACACATGTCGCCTCCCCTCGCGTCTGACCGTTCTCCAGGATCCTCGCCCGTCTGACCGGGTCGAAAGATAGCGATCAGCCCACTCCCAAGCCCTCCACGTCTGCACTTACAAAGCAACTCCTCAACACCTTGGGCGATGAGTCGAACCCCATCACTCACTCGGATATCAGACACCGTTCAGGAATGTTTGCCGTCAACTCAACATGTGGCGTTCAGCTCATTTCCTATACAGACTATATTACATCTGCAGCCACGGGCCACCAGCGTGGTGAAGGCGGCCGTGGCCGTGGCGAATACCTTAAATCCAGAGGTAAGAAACTGGAGGAACAAAATGCTCCCGTTGAGAATGCACCGTGCAAGCCGATGACGAACGTCCGCATCTACATCGATGGCTACCTGGCGGATACGACAGATATTGAGATGAAGAGGATCGTGGTGGAAGCGGGTGGCCGCGCAATGTAGGCTATCGTCCCCTTATAATAAAATGGAGCTAATATGGTAGCGGCCCGATAGGCAAACCGCCTCTGGGTGCACCCACATCTTGACCTCTCAGCAATTGAGCGGGTCCAAGACGCACAAGCTTCTCACTGCAAAGGCGCGGAACAAGGTCCATGTTGTGAAGCCCGAGTGGGTCACCGACAGTATCAAGGCCGGGAAGAGGCTCCCTGAGCGCAACTATGCGGTGGTCATGGATCGCACCATGCCAAGCTTGGAGGATATGTTTGCACGCCAGAAGGATTGAAGTCCTAAGTGTACGAAATCTAAGTTTAAGTATCTCTAGCCATTTTCCGAACCGACTAGTTTATTTGCCTGTATCACATCAGTGGCGGTACCTCATGAGCAACATGACTTGTATCAGCCAGTGCTATAGCTTCTCCATCGTGGCACAAATTTGACGCCACCTGCTCATGTACAGTACATGCGCAGTCTAATAGTAGTCCGGCCCGACCACTCTCCGCCGTGGAAGACCTCCGACCAATCACATTCGAGAGCGCTGAAGTCGTGATGGCGGGCCGTACGCTTCTCATTACGTTGCTGAACGCTTACCCCAGATTTGCGGAGACGCGTCACGACAGATCCTTGTTTCGACCGCAGCGCACGCGCCATAATCAGCTGATGGCCTGCAGCTCTTCTCCCTGACGTTGTGCCGCTTCCTGCCTTGATGCTGCGTCACGAGCATATGGGTCCAGCGCGCTACCGAGTATTTATTGCGACGATGGGATGAGTCGGAGGATTTTTTTCGCCTGACGAGCGCGACGTCTGGAGTCCTAGGGCGATGATGCTTACAGCGGTTCTGTTGTGCTTGCCGCTAGTCGTTTCGGCAGCGGTGACGGAGCGATGGGCGAAGGGTAGCGTGAGTCGCATTCTCGAGGGTATGGTATGCGATTCATCTAACGGACTGACTTGGACCGGACACTCGGCAAAATAGCCCTTGCAGGCAGTCAAGCTCGTCGCCCCCGATGGATCAGCGAAAGCGAACTTCATTACTCGGGGGGCCACCCTTACGAATTTCTGGGTGAAAGACAAGCACGGCAAGTTCCGGGATATCATCCTCGGGTTCGACAACCATGTAAGCAATTTATTGTATTCTATATAACCCATACCCATGCCTTGCATCGCAAAGACCAATTATGTGACCGATGCCTTGGGCCACCCGTATTTTGGACCGGTGGTTGGAAGGTATGCCGAAAATCTATTGACGCCGGTCTGTCCATGCCCTGAGTCCCCCTCCTATAGGTATGCCAACCGTATAAAGAACGGCACGTTCTCTATCCCCATCTCGAACGATACCTCGGCGACGGGACCTAACGTGTACCATACCCCCGAGAACGAAAATAACGGTACATAGCGCATGCATTGATACCCAAACGTAAAGTGTAGACTGACCATAAGTGACTAGGAACCGACACCCTCCACGGTGGAACTGACGGCTTCGACCGCCGTACATGGACAATCGCTGCAACCTCAAAGCACTCCGTCACATTCACCCTTGTCGATCCCGATGGGTACCAAGGCTTTCCAGGCACAGTGCACACCAAGGTTTGCCCTAGCAGCTCTATATACCTGCAGGGGATGTCAGGCTGAACGGTGAGTAGGTCAGTTACACGCTGGAGCCGAAGTCGACGTGGAAGATCACGATGCACGCCACGGCTAGCGAGCGGACCCCAATAATGCTCAGCGGGCACCATTACTGGAACCTCGAGGCATACCAGGAGACCCAAGACCTGTCGGGCCATTACGCCCAGTTCAATTCGTCTCGCATTATAGGTACAAACGGGCAGCTCATACCCGACGGCAGGCTTCTCAGCGTCGAGGGCACTCCTGCCGACTTCAGACAAGCCAAGTCGATTGGGGAGGCTATTAACGAAACCGTGGCCGGCCAGTATTGCGGCACTGGTATGTGTTTCTGATGGTGAAGCGGTAGTCCTGATGAGGCATTTGTTTTGTGTGAAGGCTGCGTTGGCTTCGATAATTGCTGGGTTTACGACAATAATACGGGCAAAGCACCCATTTTCTCACTCTGGAGTGTCAACTCCGGAATCAGGTACGTATAATGCACATCCATCGGGCCGCGTGCCTTACGCGCTTTGTCCTAGGTTGGATGTGGTCACCAATCAACCTGCTCTCCAGGTATGTTTTCCGACTCGTGTCCTGCTGGGATTGTTCTGATTACAGCCCATGCTACAGGTGTACACTTGCGACGGAATCTACAATGCGAGCCTCCCCATTCCCAGGAAAGCCGCTCACGGCGGGAATGGGACATACTACACGGACCACTCCTGCCTCGTAGTGGAGCAGGAGTCTTGGATCGATGCTATCAACCAGCCGGACTATGGAATTGACCAGATCTATGGACCCGGACGCGATTACCACTGGGAATCGTCGTACATCTTCTCTACCATATAAAATCTTTGATGTTGATTATTGTAGTCATCGACTGGTGAGAACTTACGCGCCTGATCTTCATCCTGTCCATCGTGTAAGCTCGCAGTTCCGTACCATCGCCAACAAGTGAAGACATAGGCGCACCTTCAGCCACAGCCACCAAATCCAGCAAGCCACAACGTGGCCGCCGGTTACGTCAAGAAGCCTCCGTGGCGGGACTTAACATCTCTGCCAACCTCCACACTGTCAAATATCATACTCAGTTCATGCCTGAAGTCCGACTTCACCAGCCTTCATTCCTTGATTAACTACCCTAGACTGTAATCTCAATGCATATACCATTCACTCCTAATCATGTGCAGCTCATTACCGCTTGCTATCCTCCTTCCGCAGCTCTCCTCAACTCCGGCCCCGAGTACCGTCCGAACTCGCAAGAACTGTCGCGATTGACCTACTATGCTGCCAACCGTCCTGGAAAGATTACTAAGCTGGGCAGTGAACTCGAGAAGAGGGTGCGAGCGGACTGCAGACGAGCGCAGGCGGGAAATACTCGTGCGAGAGCGTATGTTAATGGTTCCATACTCGTTCTCGAGGTTCCTCCCGATCTGACAGCAGAGCTGATTAGGTCTCTCCTGATAACACTGTCCATCCTGAAGGCATTGGCTACCGAATGCCGTCGAGACATCTCGCTTTTGTCATCTTCGCTGTTATCCTCTGTCCTCCTCACTATAACTTCTCTATCCTCTGATCTTGAAGTCCTGGCGAGAGCAGCAACACTTGTAAGTGGCACAGGACTCCCCAACAAGCTAATACTTATACTCTATAGTTCGTTTCATGGACCACCTACACCGACGGGCATCTCATAGGCGTCGATAGCGGAGTCACACGAGACTATCTTGCGTCTTTGAAACAGTTTGCCGAGTTCAGTCGAGCAAACGGCAAGGCTCGCGATGCAGAGGTTAGGAACCGGCAAGTCGTTTCGCGTAGCACCAGTTCGTGATGTTGTTAAAGGTGCCCTCAAGGACGCGTCTCGTTGGCCTGTCAGCGCTTTCTGGGGCCGTCACTTCAGAAGCGTTATACACCGCTTCGCAACTCTTTCGCGAACAGGTCTCGTTCATAACCTCGGCGGTCCTGGTCACTGTCTTTGAAGTGCGGGTGCTGACGCTAGACAAAGCGTAAGCCTGTTAAGAACGTTGGATAATCCATTAGACACTAGTACTCACATCATTGCAGCTCTCTCATGATCAAGGAGAAGCCCGCCTCACCTTACCTTAGCGAATTCCGTACCCGCCCTCCCAATGAAAGGCGTGCAGCTTCCATCCACGTTCATGTTGACGGTGACAAAGGCCCTTCAATGGAAGATGTTACTGAGGCTTGCTTGCGAGTGCTGTCTTCTGTCTTCGAACATTCCAATGCTACTCAGGTCGGATCAATCATGCAATCCCTTTTCGACAGCCTTGAAGATACGAAAGGATGGGAAAAGCCTGAGCATTGCTGTTGGCTCGCGCGGAAAGCTGCCGATTGGACACAGTACCAATATCGATATGCGGTTCCAACTCGTCTGGTCGAAAGGCTATTAGAAGGCCAGGACGCGCCTATAACGACAGCTCTTCACAGCAGCCTGGCAGCCATGATAACTGCAGTTTTCACGTCCCCTACTCCCCTGGTGAATCTGTCAACGTCGGATATCATCTCAAACCTCATGACGTTGTTGCTTCGTCGTGTCGCCATCGATCCTGAAGATGCTGTCCTGCCGGCCGTGGTTGGATGCATCTCATCTCTCGGCATGCATGTTTATTATGCCGACCAAATACAAGATCTTGCGGCCGAGCTTATCAGCCGCCTGACAGTCGTAGAAATCAATGGCCTCCCTCCAGGAGGAGGAAAAGCTGACAAAGAGAAGTGCAGGGCGACGGCCTTGAGATGCCTTCTGTCGGGACTCACGGGACTCATGCGAGCGGCAGATAGCCACAGTTCGGGTGATGCTTCTGGAGGGGAGCTTGCGAAGGATCACTCCAGAGCTGGTGGCGCCCCCTCTCATTCTGTTTCACCTAAAGTTGCTTCGCCTACCGACGGTCTTACGGGCGGCGATGGCATGCACGTCAAGCCGTCGAGACGAACAAAGATATCTCCCGAGGTATGGCAAGACACTCTTACTCTTCTTTGCGATGGAGATTATGGAGTACGGGCGAATTATGCCCAGTCAGTGCTCTATTACCTGGAGAACGAGATGCCTAAGCGCGGGGATTCAACGGACGCAGACGGCGTTCGCCGTGTACGGCCTTTGGCTGAAGGTCCCATAAGACAGGCTAGTAATGCGTCCGTTGCCTTAGTTGGCGACGGCGCGTCCAGATTCCTCAATGCATTACATTCCTACCTCTACGTCCTGGCCACTGCTTCTAGTCTCGGGTTGAATGGCGGGTCCATCAGTTCTTTGTCGGGTCAGTCGGCAAATGGTGATCTCTCTGTGGACGACAGCCGGACGGAGAATGGAACTGGAACTAGTGAGGACGTGGCCTCCCAAAATCATCGCCGCTCCATGGCGTTCCCCCCTCGACAAAGGAAGGCGTCCATTGCACAGCATCTCATACAGCGGACATCCAGTCGTATATCGGCCTCGGCCTCCGCTACTGCCTCAGACTATGCGCATATATTGGCCATCCTATCCTCCATCCATCAGCAGTTGCCCGTTCGAGCCCTGTTGACAGGTGTTCCTATGTTACTGGCCCTTGACGCCGCATCCAGGGTCGATAGTTCTGAGGACGACACACTGAAGTCGAGGCAAGCCGCCATCAACGAAATCGTGGCGAAGGTATGGATAGTCATAGGTAAAGTATGGGATTGTCCGGAGATTACGGATGTCATTTCAAAGGTGCATCCTTCCACAATGCATGTACCTTCTTTACCCATCTCTTACCATGGTTACAGGCGATTCCATCTCTGGATACGCCGTTCTTACCGGCCCCTCCAAATAATCTGGACGACTTGCACTCTCCCCGACCCGTTTTGTTCAGCCAGTTAGATCCGCCTCCTGGATCTTTGCTGTCCTCAGATTTGGACGTCCACATGTTGTTGGCCTGTCTAAGTTCCAGTCGGAATGCTGCAGAAGCGACTGGTTTAGATCAGGAAGCTTTGCAACGGCGCCTTTCCGTCCCATGGACGCCCGAATCGGCCATGAAAGATTGTGAGTATGTACGCTGATCTCGGCTAGTCCAGCATTAACCGTGGCTATAGCCATTGAAAGACCGTCAAACTACGATGCCCTAAGAGGAGAGAGTATCCTCAAGATTGCACCAACTCTCATGCATGTGGAGAACTTATCTCTCCAGAGCCTAGGTCGCTTTACTCGAGGGGTCGGAGTCACGGATCTAAGAGAAGCTCTTGAAGGACGGAATAGCATGTCAAACCCGGCTCTGGTTAACGGGGCTCCGTCCATCTCCACATTTGATCACAGTTCGTTGACGCAGGCAGGCGATGGATGGGCACTAAGACCGACTCGGTCGCGACCAGCAAGGCGACCACAGACAGCGGGTCCAAGCGAGGTGCGAGACGTGCTGAATAAGCTCGGTATAGGAAAACAGAATGGGAATAGTCTCCTGAAAGCATCCTTGTCGCCCCTACCGAAAACAGACAATAGGTATGCTCGTATGTCAGCATAAACGCAAGGAAGCTAATCCAAAATCTGACAGGTCGAGTACGCTGATTCCTCCATATAAGACGTAGATTGCGCATAGCATCGTGATCTCACTGCATAATATACCTTTATTGTCCGCGACAGCGAGTGGCTGAGTTAGGACAATACTAGTACTCTTCATCGATTCTTGGTCAATATCTTCTTCCGTGCGTCTTCTTCTCTTTTACGCCAATGCTCAATCTCTGCTTGGACTTTCGGGTGAGCGACGGACGTAGACCTTCGCTGAAGAGACAAAATCAATCAACATGAGATGCGGTAGGAAGATAATGTCGTACGTTAAGGCCTTGTAGCACGAGCTCATACAATCTGGACTGGGTAGTCGCTTGTCTCTTGGGGTCGCCAATTTTCTCGGAATGCGACACTACCAGTTTCTCGATCTCTTGTCTCAGGCGAGACAGGCTAAGGATTGCTGAGAAAATGAGGGTCCTCGAAGAATGGGACGGACTTACTTCGAGAAGATCATGGTCTCTTCGGGCTGCTGCGTGAGCGCGATGAAGGAGTTGAAAATCGTTACATAGCGCTGACAAATCTGATGCTGGTTTAGTATCTGAGGTAACGACCAGCGTTCAGCTCCTACCGTTGCGACCTGAGGATCAGTGGTAACTGTGCCTCGACTGAAGAATCCGGAAGCAGTGCCTTCCGCGAGTTTCTTCAACGATTCGACGTGCTCAGCCATTGCCTTCTGGAAAATCGGCCACATCTCAAGCCGGATCTTGAAAATAAATGACTCCAGTGGTGGGCACTCGCGTATCTGCACTTCCGCCATAACATCCTCAGTCAACCGGATCATCGTGAGGAGAGGAATAACCGGAGGAATGGGCTCAAGCAAGGATCTGACGAAAGTCTTCGATGTGTAAAAGCTTTGTCAGGAAGCTGGCGTGTTGACAGCTCTCACCTGACAGTACTCCAATGAAGGATCAAAGGTTTGTTTCCAGGCAGCATCCAGTGCCGCCTGTTCTTCTTTCGCAAGGCTCGGTGGTGTGGTAGGAAAGGATACGCTTCCTGCTCTCTGTCGGGGTGTGCCGGCGTCGGAGCCTATGGCTGAAAGCCGGTCCTCAAATGCGCCATCAGTGGGCGATAGAAGTGATGTCGGCGATTGCATAGGATTGGCACGAGTACCCGGTTGCTCATGAGAAAAGAAAGTGGTCACAAATGTGTACTCTGCCGTCGCGTTATCCATCAGGACCAAGAGCACAGAACGCAGGAGGGCCTCGATTGGTTCTTTCTGGGCACATTCTGAGAAGAAATAAGGGAGCATCAACGAATCACCTTACATGTGCCTTGTCATCCGCCATATAGGCAAGGGTTACTCCTGGTCCATCAATACGCGCAAACGCAAGGCGAGCCGACAGGGCCTCTGGGGTGTCGACTTCGCCGCCCGCAGTTAGAGGCTCTGATTTCTCCACATCTCTGGCCTGAAGCAAGGTTACTTACTCGTATTTCGTGGAAGAAAGGGCTGCAGCGGACCTTAATCCATCCGAGACTGCGGATGTAACGACGAAACCCTGTTTCGTAGTACGTGCGTGCCGCGCTTACATATGTTCGTTGTATTTCCTGAGCGACATCGCTGGCATGTCGTTGCAGGAAAGCGAACAGAGGCTTGTACTTTAAGAGCACAGAGGTCTGAATAACTTGAACATTGGTACTCATGCTATTGCGTATAGGTCGGATGAGAGCTAGGAAGAACGCTCGGGCTTTTGTGGCAACCTGCCATAGATACGAATCAGCCAGTGCCCAACAGGTCAAAATTCGGTAGGAAGATACTTACAACGATACGAAGCCCTTCAGCCACTTCAGCTAGATCCCGTGCTGCCTTGACACGCATGCGAGCTTTGTATGTGCCTAATAAACGTTCCAATTGCTCCACGGCGGGTATCCATGAGTCCCCAACCTCCGAATCCAGGATAAGTAGGGCAAGGGAAGGCGGGATGACGAGATCATCAATGAGGTTCGACAATGGTTTCTCTATTTTCTAGCGAGCTCCTAATGTCGGATAAAGCATATCTTACAGACTGATCCGCTCTCACCTTACGACTCTTGAGTCTCCGCTCGATGTCCTGGCTGCGTCCTTGAAGATCAGAAATCTGGCCAGATACAGCCGAGAGATCTTTCTGGAAGGTTGAGAGGAAGGTCTCAATTGAATCCAAGAGTGTCACACTCGACTGCAGGAGTTTACTATCCACCCGACCATCGTAGATGTATGCGAAAGCTTACTTCCACTTGGTCATGTAGATCGACATATTCCCTGGCTTTCTCTTTGACTGCCACAACTGAGCGCATGCATCCCCACCGAATATATATATCTCGGACTTACAGGATGGGCTTGGGCCGTCACTCGGGAAGTGGGAGCCTGACGCTGCACCAACTTGTCCGTGAATGAACCTGCGCTTATGAGCTGTACACAACCAAGCTCTGGCGCGAACTTACCACCATCCTCCAGTGCTGCCATGCTCTGGTTGCTTGCTTACAGAGCAGTAGCTCTTGAAAGAGTCGAATGCAGCGATTAAGTACAAGGTTGTAGCGTAGCACAAGTTACAGTGGTGGCGCGACGCGTCGGAGATCGGAAGTTCCGTCTCCTCAGATCTTATATCTATCATAGAATACATAGTATATAGGCACTACAGAGACCAGCAACATAGCGAATAATTTACATGCGAGATTCAAAGCATTGCGAGATCTGGGCCACAGCGACTTGCGAGGGGAAATTGCGTTTATGATACAGGAGCCAATGCATACTGCAGAGAATAACTAGTGTCTTGATACGGCACCGGATACTGGGGCTGCGTTTGTTCTAGTCCGAAGCCCTGGAGTTCGTATTCATCATCACTCTCGTCGCCAAGGTCGTGGAAGTGTTCCCAATTGAACCCAGGAACGTCGACGATGACGTCCTTGAGGGCCTGAGAAAAGTCGGGTTGGGTTAGCTCCATGTTGCGCAGCCATCTCCTACTGATCATCCAGCTTGCCACGCCCTTCGGAGGCATGCCATCCCTCGGAGGGCCAAAACACCGCTCTTTACGACCGAGTCCTCGTTTAGGCTTCATCGTCTTGTCCAGTTTATCCTCTTCGTCTAGGACGCCGAAGAACCTCTGCAGACGCGAACTACGCCAGAGGAGCCCACGTATGCGTAAAACCTGGCCCTTGTCTTGCACGCGAGGGACTCCGAAGCGGATATCCTCGTCCATAGAATCCTCAGATGACATACATTCAACCTGCAAGGCACCGTCGAACGTCTCGTGAGCAAAGACGCTGATTTTGCTACGCATCTCAGACCGGTTTGCCAGCTTCTGTTACTGGAATTAATAAGATTCATGCGCCAGAGAACCGACTAAACGTACAGTTTTCTTCCGCAAAAGCCTTCTAGCCTTCATGGCTTTCTGAGTCTCTTTAGCTCTTTGCTGCTCAGCGATGAACGCATCCTTCTGCGTCTTGAACTTATGCCGAAAGGTGGTGAAGGCTTGGTCAAACACGGCCTCTAGCGTCGCGTCGTTGAAGTCTTGCTCCGGAACGTGTTTGTATAACTTCCGATTTGCCTTGAGCTCCTCCAGCACACGTTTTCGCATATTGGCATTATGCTCAGACTGTTTGATAGTCTTCAACCAGACGAACCTCACCGGTTCGCTGGGACCCAGCGGTGCACCTTCTATATGATTGTCAGGCAGTTGCTTATCGTTCTCCAGGCCCATGGATTTGAGCATCTGATGCCGCATCGCGTGCTAGAAAGTATCTTGAGCTTACAAGGCCGTCCTTGCAGATGATGCAACTTACTTGAATTGTCAGGATCCTGGTATCCCGGTGATTCCGACGTTTCAAGGGGCGTTCAGGATTTCCATCACTGGTTTCTACGGCACTTCCTTCGTCGTCTCCGTCAGTCTCGCGGCTGACATCTGTCCTTCTTCTGCGTTGAGGTACTGTGGAAGTCGTTACGGTCTCTCGAGATGGAGGTACTGTCTGTCGGAACTGAGGGGAAGAGACGACGGACGGAGATGACTCTGCGAAGGTATCGCGTCCATCGTGACCAATGTCTGAATGTTCTTCAACTAGGAAGGGCCGTGAAGAGGAGCCCTCGACAAACAACGGATGAGGACGCGAAGGAGGCTGTGAGATGGGAGACATAGGGTGCACGGGGTGAGCTAGGCGGGGCGCCTGAGGTGCGGGGTTCGGCGAGTAGGAGGGCTGAGAGTGCGGGGATATGGGGTGTGGAGGAGAAAACTCTGTAGTGACAGATGCGCCCCCAATCTGAGACTGAGCCGCCGCACCTAGCACGCTATTAAGCAGCATCGAAGGTAGCAGAGCGACTTGGGCTCTCAAGGATGCCATCTCCTGGCGCAGATCCACGATCTGTCTCTCCAGCTCAGATTCACGTTGGACGTGCTTTGCCTCCTGTTCCTGTTCCCATGCGAGTCTGCGCTTCCGTTCTAGCTCACTCGCTTCCTTCGTTGCCGCAATGACGCGAAACAATTCCCGAACAGCATTTACGTTGGCGCCCTCCGGTCCTGGACGAGGCTGAGGTCGTGATCTTCACGAAAGCGGAAGATTCACATGAGGCTTTAGTTTCATATATACCAACAGATGCTTACTGAGGCGGAGGACGCGGTGAAGGAGGCTCGGTGATGGCGAGTTCGAGTTCACTGCGATGGGGAACGTACGGCCGGGGTTGCTGGACGACAGGCTGAACAGGACTTGCGTAGTGATTGACGACATTGGTGCTCCGCGCTCTGCTCTGTACAGCATAGGGATTGAGGGCATCTGAGAGCTCGCTGGTCATCGACTTGGGCGTGATACCAATGGCAACGAGACGGTAAACCGAAACATAGAGAACGCGAAAGGAGATGCGCTCCATCCACTTTAGGGCATCGACACAGCCGCCCGAACAAATAATGCGTAAACAGCAAGTACGATCGGAGACGCGTCACCCTCACCTGCACTAACGCGCCTGCACTCATCCACCACCTTCCTCGTCGTCCAGCACAATGTCGGAACCAGAGTTTGAGCGTATGATGGCGCAAGCCCAGCATGCCAGTGGCCAGCACCAGGCCGGGGACTCGTCTGTACCGGACAAGTGAGTAGCACCCCCTGCAGTCAATGTAATTGCTGAGCCGCGTCTGCAGTGGCGAAGTTATCCATATCTCGTCCTTGGCGCTTTTGAAGGTGAGCTCTGTATTTCCTTGTTTCTCGAGGCTGGCAATAACCTCCTACCCAGATGTTGAAACACGGACGAGCCGGTGTACCCATGGAAGTCATGGGTTTAATGTTAGGAGAGTTCGTGGACGATTACACCGTGCAGGTGGTGGACGTTTTCGCGATGCCTCAGTCAGGAACAACAGTTACTGTGGAGTCTGTCGACGACGTTTTCCAGACAAAAATGGTGGAAATGTTGAAACAGACCGGCAGGTGACTACAGATCTCCAAACTCCCCGTGATGTCCTGCTGATATTTTTCTAGGCCTGAAATGGTGGTAGGATGGTACCATTCCCATCCAGGATTCGGCTGTTGGTTGTCCAGCGTGGATATCAACACACAACAGGTACGTGACCAGCTACGCTAAGTGGAGTTCTCCTATTCATGGCCCATATAGTCATTCGAATCCCTGAACTCCCGGTCTGTTGCCGTCGTCGTCGACCCTATCCAATCCGTCAAGGGCAAGGTCGTCATTGATGCATTCCGTCTCATTCCCCCACAACCTGTCCTCGCTGGGCAGGAACCTCGGCAGACGACGTCCAATATCGGACATATTAATAAACCTTCAATTCAAGCCTTGATCCACGGCTTGAATCGGCATTATTACTCCATTGCTGTTAACTATAGGAAGACCGATTTGGAACAAGCAATGCTCATGAACTTACACCGGCGGAACTGGACGGAAGGATTGAAGCTCAGGGACTTCAAGTTACACAAGGAGCATAACGAGAAGGCCATCAAGGTAGGGTCTTCGGAGTCCTCTTTGACCGTCATGAAGACTCAATGACTCATGTTGCCCAACCTTAGTCCATGCTAACGCTGTCAGAAGCCTACAACAAGTCGGTGCAAGAGGAATCTTCTTTGACACCAGAGCAGCTGAAGACCCGGCATGTGGGCAAGCAAGATCCCAAGCGTCATCTGGAAGAAGCAGTGGAGAAGGCAATGGGGGATCAGGTCGTCCAGAACCTGGGCACGATGCTACTGGCTGAACTTTGAAAGCTCGGACTTACGTGTAGAATTCCATCCGTCTATTACTGTATCCATAATTGATCTTCCTTATATTCGAGCAGGCCAACGGTTGGTGCGATCATTGCCGGCGGTGGCTTGCGCTGCTTCTGATCCACTTGCGGGACTTCGTCAGATGATTCGTCGGCCTTGACCATGGGAGGTGAGTGTGCCAATTAAAGTTGACGAATGGAGGAACAGGAGCTGCAAAGCTTCCGCAATCATGGAGAAAGATCAACGAGCGTCACCGGTTCGGCCACGTATCATTATGGTTGTCTCCTTCAGTATAGCGTCCCCCGGCGCCTGATGTCGTGCTCCATCGCTCCTCTCAGGATCGAGTGCCCTTGTCAGGAACTGAACAATGTCTGCCATAATTGTCTGGGCCACCTATAGGGAGCGTGAACTTGGAGGGCGATCGTTCCAAAAACAAGTGTCACACTCTGGTCTTGCTGCTATCCATTCCTGCGTAGGTTATGCAGCGTTGGTGGATTCCACCTGCCGCAGCCGTGAAGGCATTCAGAGCACTCTGTGGCGACCGTGCATCCACATCTGCCGTCCAAGGCCGTTCGTACAAGGTCCCCGAGGACTCAAATGACTTTCTCCGGCAAGTGATCAGGACTTGCTAATACCGAGTCCCGCGAGGGCTACGCTAACTCTACGGCCTCTTCACGTGGTATAGTTAGCGACATCTCCCCTGTTGATCTACAGTCGGGCATCCATAATCAGAGCCGTCGTTAGTACATAGTTCTAACTTTCGGCACTCCTGTCCGGCTGTTATGGACACACGGGATATAGATGTGCGGGACACGGAAGCAAACCTGCGGACACCTGTGTCTACCTGGCGACGCAGCGCCCTCAACGCAGCCAGGGCTGTCAAAGTAAACAGCCTCCTGGCTCGCATCAAGCCGAGTTGCACAATATATTGATACTGCACGCCACTACCCCTTAGACGAAGAGGCAGATAAACCGACAGTTTGGTCGAGTGATAGGAGGATAACCTCCATCCAGTTGACGTGGATAAAGCTTGGAGGACAAGTGAACAATCCGACGTCTAGGGACCAACAACGCTTCCGCACTTCCAAGCTTGAAAGAACCAAGCCTTGTCATTGACAATTTTAGCAAGCTGTTCTCCTGGTCCTTCGGCTGCAGCAGCAAAAGCCTTCGGTGGCCAATCTTGGCATGTGGACAAGGTGTCTTGCTTCCGCGGATACACGGCCATTAACTGCCATTAATCGTAGGCACGGCTTGCAATTCTGTACATATCCTTAGGTCGCATTCGCTCACACATGTATTCAGTTGCAGCGTTATCTGACATTGCCCTGGCCCAAGAGAACACTCTAGACTGTCCACTGTGATCATGAGACCGGAAGTGGATGACTTCCCGTAAGCCAAAATCCTAGATTTCGCAGTTCTAAACGCCATCAGCGTACCTGGTCACACTCGCTGCCACGGTGCAATGGAAAAATAGAACTGTTCCTCCCATCCGTAATGCCAGACCAACGCTCGACGACTGCAAGTCACGACCATGAGGTCGCTTTCCATTTATGGCGAGCGGATCGCTCAATTTAGCAGGTGCTGATGGCAGGTTTGATACGCGGACCTTAACCGAGGCTAAGCGAGCGTTCAGAGTCGTCTGGAGATTTGGAAAGGGGGGTCGACCCCCCCTGCTAGATTTAAAGTTTAGAGACGGTTTTTGCTCGACGAGCCTCATCAAAACTTGGTCTAAGCGAGAGCGTGACAAGACGGCATCTCGGCTTGATGCGTTTAGAGATTTAGAACTGCTAAAAACGCGTTCTAAATGCTTACGGGAAGTCATCCAGTGTCCCATGATAGCAAGCCCCTGCAAGTGAACTCTAGCTGGTGTAATTTCGGGGCTTAGCGTGCGACTGCGTATTTCTGGTGAAATACTTCTTGTACGTCAGAGTGATCACGATCGTCAATGTCTGGCCCAGACGGTACAAAGGGGGACGGCGACGAGGACCGTTATTCTAAGTTCCGGGACCCCTGGTACCGGTCGAGGTGATGGTGGTATTTAAGATCCAGACGGGGTTCTCGAGGATCTGAGGACATTCAATTATGGACCAGATCCGTCTCGCCCTGAAGATAAATCAGTTGCTGCGCGCCGGGACGAAGGATCATGATGAATGTGCGGACCTTTAGAAGGGCAACTTGGTCCTCTTGCTCAACATTGGCATGACGCCCATCATCTTCGCTCGTCTGATGGCTTTGGAGAGTCGTCTCTGTGAGCGCCAGGTCAGACCTGTCACTGCGCGACTCTTGATCTTGCCCATCTCAGTCACAAAGTCCGATAGCAGGCGTGCATTCGTGCACTCGTCCAGAGGATCGATGCCGAGCTGGTAGAAAGCATCGTTGTAGCGGGAGGTCTTTGCATCGGGGCCGACATATGGAGGTTTACGGGGGAATCGGTGTTGTTCGAAGGCCTTTACGGAAAAGCGCCCCGGGGTAACAAACTGCGCCATGAAACACTGTCAGTCGGGGGGAAAGAGACAGGACAATGGGAGCTCGCACCTTGTTCTCGCGTACGGTTTTAAGGCCAACATCAGGGACCTCTGCCTCAGAGTAAGGAATATGGAATGCTCATGAGCAGGGATGCATAGCTCACTGTGCGGGGCCGCAGAGGACTGAGGGACGGCCTCCGACAGAGCTTGTTGGACATCCGATACTTGCTGCGAGTACGTGGGTGCCGAGTACGAACGCGTCCATGCTGTTGAAGTCGTTATAGGACGCTTGCAGGAGGAACCGCGGACGAACTGGCGAAGAGCGGGTGCCAGGCCAGACATGGCAGGAGAAACGTGTTAAAATTTAACCCTCTACCGGTCGTGAAGGCCGGGAAATTTTCGAGGCCAGGGAGAGGAGGTCCTGAGATCCGTGGCAGCGTGCTTTGAACGCTGCTTCGGGCGGTGAAAAGGAAAGAGAGAGCTTGTGGCTCGAGACCGCGCACACGTTGCAGACAAGGGAAGAGGGAGGCGGGGGACCCTGGACACCCGGATGATTTTACGGAAGGAAAATGGAATTTCCAGAGGCTGCCGTGGCCATAACGGGAAGTAGGCGGAGCACGGATCTTCAGCGAGTTGGACTTACTTCGCCCTCCGATCAACACAACCAAACAACACCTAATGCGGTAGGTAAGTCAGGTGACCTCCCGCGCCGCCGGCGCCGCCTGAGGGCTTTCCCGCGTATAGCAGTCCTAAGTAAATAGTGACTACAAATGAGCTCTAGGGAGGAGAAATAAACTATTCAAAAAAATTTGCTGCTTCTACCTCTAAGAGAAATGAGTGTAGTCTGATGGACTCTCGACAATGTTAGACAGAAAAAGATGCATAAATATAAAATGCACCGCCGCGTCTTGAACTCTCGTCCACAACACAAATTACTAACGCTTTAACCATTAGACTACAAGGGAATAAAGATACGGCGCTATTTAGTAATTATGTACTGCACAGCAAGGCAGATTTACATTAGTGTAAAGGGTGCTTCTCAATTTGGTAGTCGACGCCGGAGGCCCGGCTCACGTGATTTACCTGCCTGATATGGGCGTGTTTGGTCGTGTTTATCGGAGGGCGAAGTAGCAAAAGCGATCTTCAGCGTGGAGGGTGAATAGGAAAAGAGGATATCTAGGTTTGATGGCAACGAGGGTTTCGTAGGTCCTTGGAGTCGGGCTGAGCCTGTGCGGGCTGCTGAAATACTCTCTGCGCCGGTTCTCGCGAGCTCTGTGGAGTCTGTTTCATCCACAGACGAGGCAGGCGACCTCTACCGCTTCCTTTTCTTCGTATTTTATTCATCGGCTATTGCTTTGCTGGACGCCACCCTCGCCAACTCATGCGTTGCTGATCCCCCATTGTCCCCCGTTTGTGTCCCATATCGTCCGCCCACCGTCCGCATTCCAACATCCGCCACGCTCTCTTATTTCCCCTGGAACTTATATCCAGTTAATCTCCTACGCGCCCTCTCTTCCTGCTCGCCGCTGGGGACCCCATGTCGGACTCTGGTTTTCAACGTCGACAGCCGCCAAGTCCACTCGTATTCTCGCCCGAGACCGTTTTGACGTCTATCGGTAACCAAGCCACAAGCAGCAGCGGCAGCCACAATGTTACCAGTTCCAGTACAGTGTCCATGCCGTTCGTGCGACGGCACGTCATGCGCCGTCTGAAGACCGCAAAGGCCGAATGTGACAAGGAGCTGCAGCGAGTCACCAATTCCATTACCGCATTCTTCGAGGAGAGGCTCCGTGAAGAGGAAGCCGAACGCGAAGCGGAAAGAGAGGCTCGCGGCCGTGAGCGAGATCGTGCCAGTCGAGCCGACTATGATACTCAGCGCAGCGATGCCGAGTTCGACCAGTATTTCTTGAACCCGTCAGAGCTCACCGTCCCTAGTGATGAGTACAGCTCGGACGGTGGGTATGATGCGGAGTTGGATAGTGGCCGACATAGTCGTCAACGTGCGTCCCTTGAGGAAAACATCCAGAGACCCCCCCTTCTAACACACTCATCGTCCTCCCCGGGCCTTCTTGTAGCATCAGCTTCATCTTCCGCTTCCACCACCCTTCGGAGACAAAACACTACGGGAACACTCTCCGATGCACGGAAGCAGCAGAATGCCATGGCCCCTTCCTGGAGCACTGGGAGTCAGGCGTCGCGACGACTATCGCGATCCATCCACATCCCCGGCCGACCTTCCCGTTCAGCTGCAAGTTCTCGTTCCACCTCACGTTCCCGCTCGCCCTTGCCTGGGACGACTCACGGCAGTTTTTCTGAGACTATAGGTAGCCCCAATAATCGCCGATCCTCTCGCATCCTCGTTGACGACCCAGTCGAGCCGATCATGGTTGCACTGTATGAGCTTATCGCCCTTGCGACGGAGGTCATGGACATGTCCATCGCTCAGCTCACATCTCAACCCAAAGTCTGTGAATCGCTCGTGCAGCGGGTCCAGGCGATAGGGAAAGCATGGGAAGAGCACCCTGATTGGCATGGTCGCAACTGGTATGTACAGGTGCTATTGGCCGTTGCCAGTCTCAGCCGTGTCGTGGAGTGGTGGGAGGCGGAGAAGCAGTTTTGGAACTTCGACGATAACGAGCGCGAAGAGGATGAGCCTCTGACGTTCGTATTGAAGCCGACTCAGGAGGAGGAGAAGCTTGCTTCCGTTGCGCCTAGTCCACAGAAGGAGGGTCAAGTCCCTGAAGCTAGTGCATTCAAGTTGTCTCCGGATGACGAAGCTAAGCTACGGATGTCACGCACGACTAGCTACGGCAGAAGGTCCCGAGACGAAGCTACGAAGGATATTTCGTCTGTCACGACGCCTTCCAAGGACCACGAGCGCGGTGCCTCTACTTCCAAGACTCACGAAATCACCGAATCTGCTCGTGTCCTTGCCACTGAACGATTGCGGTTGCAGGCGGAATTGGCACAAAATCGCAACATTGTGCTGGAGCTAGACCTCGACGGTGATCATATACAATGGATTAACTATGCCTGGAGGACAGTAGTGGGGTAAGTATCTGTTTCGCACTGTCTCTAGCGTCCAAAGTTTAAACTCCTATGATTTAGTTCGGATCCGGAAGAGCTATTCGAGTCTCGAATATCTCGGTTGCTCGCTCCGTCTGATTGGGCTGTGTTCAAAGAGGCAACTCGGCGGCTACAAGAAGACGACTCCCATACTGTCTCGGTTACTTTCAAGTTGCAGGTGCAGCCGGAGGAAGACCGAGATGGTGCCTCTGGCGTCCTGTACCAGCAGATGGAGGGTCAAGGTATGCTTATCGTGGACCGCGAGGAAGGTCGAGCTACGCACACGATGTGGGTAATTAAGCCTGTTGGACCTCCTCAGTGGCAACATACTCCTTCGATCACTCTGGAGACTGGCGAAGTCGGCGACGAGCCGCTGCCTCCTGAGACGCTCAAGGACTTTGATGAGCGTGGTACGTTCGAACCGGCAACACCCTTCCCTCCCGTACGGCCAATCAATGCGACTCCTATATTGTGCCGTATTTGCGAGTGCAATATTCCTCAGTGGTTCTTTGAGAAGCACAACGAGACCTGCAGTGAAGTCCATCGTCTGGAAGCGGAGATTGCAGAATGCAACGAGTCTATCATGGAGCTCCGGAATACAATCCGGGAGCTGCTAAACGGTGTGGAGCGCTCCTCGCCTAGCACTCCTCCCGAATATCGTGGCATGCCCCTCTTTTCACCTTCATCATCTCCTGTTTCCCATTCTCCATTGATGCTGTTCCGCGGGCCCTTGGCTAGCAAGATGCAGCGGATGGGGGTCAAGAAGATGCAGCGCCGCGTTCTCGAGCAGCTTGAAGATATCCTACAAGTCGCGTCCGAGATCTCCGTCCCTGCGTTAAAAGAAGAGGAGCAGAAAGAGCCTATTGAACGGCAGCGTCTACTTTCGCCTACTTCTGAGCGCAAGATGACGCAAGTCCGTACTTGGTGCAGACCTTCGACCCAAGATGCGGCTCTATGCCAGCTCATTGAAGATGCCGAGAGAGTCATGCGCCAGAAGACGGATAACGTCGTTCGGCTGCAGAACACCATCAAGTACTCTGAGAAGATACGGCAGGAGTGGGAGGAGAAGATTGAAATGACTCTCACTTCAGTGGATGAAGTAGAGGCTGAAGGCGGAGAGGACGACGAGCAAGAGGAAGGACAGCGAAGCGGGGACCATTCGAGCACTACCTCAGAATACGCTTTCCAGGGCGATGAGCCTTCATCGGACCCTACACCGGTCGCTCCAGCCTCCCCAGCTCCTTCAGGTAGGCCACAGGCAAGTGAAAGCCGGTCAACACAAGAGACCATAACTACCATCGCGCCCAGCCCTGTGCCGGCTTATGTGCCCCCGATCTTTGGCCAGATGTTCACTCGGTCCTCTACTCCGTCTTCCATCTCCTCTCCTCTGGCTCTGGCTGCACCCATAGTAGCAAACATGTCTCCTGAAGACACGCCGCCTCCCATTGACCTAAACGAGGAAGCAATTCAGACGGTGAAGAAGAAAAAGTCAGCCCAGAACCTCGAGCCGAAACCACAGGATACACCTCCTTTGTCGCCCATGCTCTCGCCTCGGGAGACACCGGCTTTGCAACGTTCTCGCCGGAGGCATTCAACCGCCCAGCCGATACTGAGCCCAACATCTTCAGCTCCTGGACCACTCTCTCCCCGACTGCCTTCCGTAGCGCCCTTGTCGAGAAGTAACCCCACGTCTATCAAGGACTTCGACATCATCAAGCCTATCAGCAAGGGTGCTTTCGGGTCCGTGTTCTTAGCGAAGAAGAAAGTTACCGGAGACTATTACGCGATCAAGGTCCTGAAGAAAGCTGACATGATTGCGAAGAATCAGATCACCAACGTTAAGGCGGAGCGGATGATTCTTATGAAGCAGGCGGAATCGCCGTTCGTCGCTAAACTATTCTTCACTTTCCAGAGCAAGGAGAACCTGTATCTCGTCATGGAATATCTCAACGGTGGGGATTGTGCAGCGTTGCTGAAGTCTCTCGGTTCATTGCCAGAGGAGTGGGCGAAGAACTATGTCGCCGAAGTCGTGCTTGCGCTGGAGTATCTCCATAACCAAGGGATTGTGCATCGGTACGTCGCAAATGAATATCACACATGTGTACCATGCTAACTGCTCATTACAGAGACTTGAAGCCCGATAATCTCCTGATTGATCAACACGGGCACCTCAAGCTCACCGATTTCGGTTTGAGCAGGATTGGTCTTCTTGGTCGGCAAACCCGAGAGGGGCAGTACCTCCTTGAGCGGGGCATGCGTTCGCGAGGCGCAAGGCACAGCCCTGGTTCGCGGCCTCCGTCCATGGATGCCGCGTACTTGTCTTCGCCATTAACCTCGGCAGATCTCTTCACGGGAGGTTCGTACTTCAGCCAGAGGATACATCCCGTTCCTCGACCAGCCGCCAGCCCTTACATACCTTCACCAGATGATATCAGCGAATCCAGTGGCTCTGAGTCTCTTGGATTCTCGCGCAGGAACGGCAATAGGGGCAATGACAGCCCATTGCAATCATTCGCTGCCGAGTTGACAACCGACCTCCGGTCGCATTCTGGAGTCAATACTCCTCCGGGCGAACAGAAGTTTGTGGGTACGCCGGACTATTTGGCTCCCGAGACCATCTTAGGTCTCCGTGGAGACGACGCTGCTGTCGATTGGGTGAGTCCTGCGTTCTCTCTGCATTGGCACATTGAGGCTCACTCCAGTTTCCAGTGGGCGTTAGGCGTCATTACCTACGAGTTCCTCTACGGTATCCCGCCTTTCCATGCGGAGACTCCCGAGAAAGTATTCGAGAATATCCTGTCAGGCCATATAGAATGGCATGAAGATTGGATCGAATTCTCCGAAGAAGCCCGTGACTTCATGGAAAGGTTATTGACCCTCGATCCGTCTCGCCGACTGGGAGCAAACGGTGCCGAGGAGGTGAAGAGGCACCCGTGGTTCCATGATATCGAATGGGACAAAGTCACTTCTTCAGAGGCCGCGTTCATCCCTCAGGTGACGGACCCGGAGTCGACCGACTACTTTGACCCTCGGGGCGCCATTCCTGCGTTGTTCCACGACGAGGAAGCGGTTGCTGTCTCTGGCCAGCCTTCCTCCGAGAGTCCTGCCGTAAGCCCTGAACCTGGCACTCACTCCACGACAGCTCCAGTGCCTATCATGGGTAACCGAGAATTGACAACCCCTCCCGACGAGGATTTCGGGGCATTTAGTTTCAAGAACCTCCCCGTGCTCAAGCAGGCCAACGACGAAGTCATCCGGAAGCTGCGGTCGGATCAGATGGCTCCGCTATCGCACACCCTTTCTGACCCGACGAACATACACTCGCGCAAACGGAGTATATCGCAACGCATCAAGAAACCTCCCTCTGTCGTGACCGCTCTAGACACCAAGAACATGCCGACGAGTCCCCCGTCCCCGGCAACTTCAACATCTTCCATCGCGTCCTCACCGTCGCGAGGAAGCGTTCTCCCCTCAACTTCAGGATCCGGGACGCATGCTCGCAAACCGTCGGAGTACACGACAGTGGAACGCTTCAAGCTCAATCATTGGGATGGCGATGGCCTACGTCGGAACTCTATGCCCAGCCGTCTGCGGACAGCATCGGTATCCAGCGGCGGCGACGGTTCAGTGATTTCGGAAGCGTGTCAATCCTCTGGTGGGCAGTCGTCTACTCAGTACGAGGCTACGACGCCGCCGTCCTCTGTAGCTTCGATGGATCTCAAACAATCATCCGTCGACTTGAAGAGAGCGCCGGACCCTAATGATCGGGCGGTCACTTGCTTGGTGGTGGACGATAATCCAATCACGGCCAAGATCATCGAGACTCTGTTGATCCGCTTGGGATGTCGGTGTTACGTCGTGGCTGATGGGTCCGAAGCTATCAGTGTCGCTATGGGTGACATAAGTAAGTTCTCTAATCTGAGGCCCAGCTCGGGACGCTCATTGTACTCTTCTGCAGAGTTTGATTGCATTCTCATGGATTTGCACATGCCTGTCTGTGAGTACTGGAATGACTTATCGCTGTGTCAGGAATGGCGCTGACCTCATTCTTCTAGTGGACGGCGAGGGCGCTGCTCGCTATATCAAGAGTACAAACGGGAAAAATACAACTACTCCCATAATCGCGGTCAGTGCTTACAGCGGGAACGAGCCACATGAGCCAAACCACCTATTCGCCGCCTATCTCTCCAAACCTGTCCAGAAAGCCGATCTCCTTGCTGTAATGCGACAAGTGGGTTTCAAAACCTCCACTGTGCAGGAGGGGGGACCTCGAGCCACCAAGGTAACCCCTGGCACGCAACCTTCCTGATTCACGACGTCCGTTCTTTATTTTTCTGTTCATGCAAATCATATTTTTTCCTGACTGCAATTGCTCATGACACACACTTATGATCGTTTCATTTCTATCGGCATTCTCTCGCATCTGCATATTTTCTTACCTGTCCACATCCAACCTCTGCATACATACTTCCCTTGCATTTGTACGTTAGACTATTGTGTCATTATCACATACTGCGGTTCGGTCGGCATCTCACTCGTTCTCGAATGCCCCTCGTAAGGTGGCAATGGTGCCACGGTTGAATAATTCTGGGACGGGCGGTGCCTTGCTAGCAACCTCATGAAGTCATTTACTAGGCCGTGGCTGTGACTATGGGCGCTGAGTACCTGTTGAGCGGTAAGACAGCATGTTTGGAATATGAGCGCTCGCCGTCGAGACCGTTGTTCCTGTCCTCGCACGTCGTGCACAAGCCGTCTTTCTGCCGACGTAGGCCACCTGCACCAGCGAGAACGATACCCGGCGACGTGAAGAGGCTCAGGGGAACTGCCGAAGTCGGACGGGACAGCGCGTATCATGCAGGCATCATGTAGGTCTCTCCATCTTCTACTTTGGGCACCGCTGTTGGCGCTTGCAAGGGCCAACTCGGCCTGTTCATAAAGGTCAAATTCGACGAGCCTGGAGGTGATAGGCTTGACGAAGCTGTTGCGGATCCGTGCTCGAGTATACTGACCCAAGTATTTCCATTGCCAGCTACATACAACCACGGGTTCTTCAATATTGATGAGAATGCCTCAATCAATAGAAATGACGCTACGGAGCGGCACCGGCGACTCTCGCATCGCAGCGCTACAGCACCGGCGCTGCACCATGACACCAGAGACACATCGCCATCGCCTGGCCTGACCAGACCGAAGAGCACAGCAATCCCACAGAGCCTAGTGCCCGGCGGGAGGCTGCAGAGAGCCACACTCAACGCCAAGCCTTCTCATCTCTTCTTCGAGAGCCACGACAACCGCGACCGCCCCCACCGTCATTCCACAGGTGTGCCCATGATACATGCGTACTCGTTCCCCGCAGCCTATCCGCAGCCCGAGCAGAGCTCCTCGTCCGCGCCGCTGAACGCGATGCCTATACCCACCCCCCACACGCCCAGTTTATACCCACCATGCTCGTCATACGCCGGCACTTCCACACAATCGCTCCCATCCCACCCGTCCCCTCCATCGCCTTACGGCCCTCGCACATCGAGACCCCAATCGGGTCCGCAGCCCGCAGTATCCTTTCCTCAACCCCAGGTTCCGTCGGTGGCCGAGACAGCAGAAGAGAATACCTATGAGGATGATGCTCTCGCAATGGCCCTGGTTCTATCAGCACAGTCTGCGAGTGAACAGTCAAGACAAGCTGCCGAGGAAGAAGAGGAGCTCGCACGAGCGCTTGCCGAGTCTGCACGAATGGCAGACGAGAGGAAGAGGACATCCTACTTTCCTGATGTTCATCCGGATGATTGGGGTGAGGCGGAGGGCTCCACCTCACGTCCCAAATCGATGCCAAATGGCGATACGACTGGGTCGTCCGTTTCCACCGATCCCGAGCAGCAATTACGAGACGATGAAGCTCTAGCACGCCGACTACAGATGGAGGCGGAGCAGGAGGCCCGATCTGCTCAGCGTGAGTCGCAGCCGCAACAGATCCACATCGACGACGAAGCGTTTGCGCGGCAACTCGTCGCCGAGGAGGAAGCGCAAGCTGCCCTCAAGGACCAAGAAAGCCGGCCACCACTCGAAGCCCGCCTCTCCTCGGACGCCAATGACTTGCCTGCTTACTCGCGAGCGCCTCCGAGTGCGCCTGGATTTTCAAGACCTCAGACGTTCCACGAAGCCGGATACTTGGGTCGAAGTCAGTCGGCGGGGGTCGTATCGACGACGCATGCCGATCTCCCACTTCTCTATCCACATGCAGTCAGGTCCATGTCGGTAGGCCCTCTCCTCCCCAATAGTGCAACGGCGGCGTTTGCCGCTGGGTCTCCCAGTCCGGAGAGCCCTGCTGCGCTTCCTGTACCCGATCCAATGGCGTCTCCCACTCCCACTGGCAGGAGTGGCAGTCCCAGCCGACACTCGTACCTGTCTACGGGGTCGGCGTTGGCAAGCTTGGAGGAAGAGGACGGAGTGGCTGCGAACCAGTTTGAGCCGTCTCTTGCGTCTGCGCTGCAGTTCGTCGAGCCTGAGCTTTTGTTGGGAGTGTGTAAGTAGATCATCCGAGTCGAGCCGCTTTGAAGAAGCTAATTTCGGCTTTTGCTTAGCGATGGGATTTCACGCACCGTCTATTACACCAGAGTTGTCGCCTATGCAAGAGGCTCCGCAGGGCGTAATCACGCTACCGTACGGGAAGGCGCCGCCATATCACATCCAGGCTCCCACTTGGCGACATCTGCTGAAGCTGCTGGTCAGAATGAGGACGGGAAGGATCGAGGCTAGCATAGAGGCCATGGCGTTGAAACAGGACCTCAAGTTACGGACAGTCGTCCAGTTCGTGCGGGTAAGCAGAGTCAGCCTGATTTCGCCGGCGTGTCCACTGAGTGCAACGGATAGGTCCACCACCGCTCCACGGAATGGCGCACAATACTGTATCTTTCACTGGACTACCCAGTCCCGCAAGCGCAGGCGAGCGGGTGGAAATACGTGAACGGCGACGTGAACACGCTGCCGTACTCGTACACGCTTTCGTCCCTCCCTGCGCTGCTTCGGGACGGGGCAGACTCGCCCATGGCGAAGTCGTACACCATCCCGTTGACGCCGAACACGCCGTTCCCGGCGCTGCCGATCACGCTGCCGAACATGGCGCTGTACCTGCAGTCGTCGCTGGAGGAGTCGCGGAAGGCGCTGCACGACAGCTCGAGCGGGATGCGGAAGCTGGCGCAGCTGGTGAACTCGTGCTACCCCGAGGACGTGCCGGTGTACGAGGAGTCGGACCTGCCAGAGCGCAAGGGCGTGCGCTACCGCCTGCGGAGGGTGTTTGGGAAGAAGGAAAACAGGGAACGGGGCGGGGGCAACGAGGATGTATACGAGCTGATTACTCCTTTCGTCCCGGACGAACAAGACTTGTGATGCGCTGACTGTTTCACCAGCATCAAGTGCGGATTTACATTGTGTTTTTGCATAAGCTATGCCGGTCGCTGTATCATAAGATATCTGTAGCCTGACTCTGCTCGCAGTGCTGCGGCACAGTCCCATGGATAGCTGAGCCGCGGCCGATACGCAAGCGCTCGGGATCTAATCAGATTGCAGACACGAAATTGTGGCCGCACTCAGAGCAGACCGGCTCGTTAAAACAGACCGCCAATGGCGTATTATTCCTTTCACCGTCCCCGCGCGACACGCCATGAGCGGCTTCCGCAAGTTCAAGTCCATCATCCTCGGCCAGTCCCCCGACACCGACGCAAACCGCCCCGCCTTCGACGCCGCCAACATCCCGCTCGCCACCGCCGACTGCAGGTCCTGCGCCGACCCATGCGACAAAGGCGCGTGTTTACTCGTGCTGAGTTCTCAGGGTTGAATCTAAACGACTTAGCAGGACATGACGAGTACCCGAAGAGATTCGACGTGGACAGGGAGTCCCAGATGCTGGGGTCCGTCAAGCCCTTTCGGCGACAGGCAAGCTGCGCTCACCCCTGTCCTGCGCCCGCCCTGACTCGCACCCTATAGATAGTCATTTCCACCGGAAAGACGGACTGGGAGAGGGAAGTGACAGATGCAGAGGGCACCCTCGCTGCGTACGTCTACCACGTCAAGGAGTCCTCGCCCTCCGCCAAGCGGCGCAAGGCTGGCGGCACCAACATCCCAGGGGTATACGACGTCTCGGAGGGCTCGAACGTCCTCGTCTTGAACGGCAGCCACAAAACCGTGTCCGACGACGAGAATCTCGAGACCGTGCTCATCCTCCCGGATTACAAGGTCGCTACGGATATCCCACGCTCATTAGGCGGTGCGAAGGCGCTCTGGAAGGCGGCCCTGGACCCGTCTGTAGGTCGCGCTGGCGCCCCTCTCACGCAAGGGAAGACGTGGATTCTGCCCTACAACTGTGTGATCTTACTCTGTAGGTCGCTCTCAAGCTGCTTGTCTCTACCCATGTTCTGAGCCCCAACTCTCAGGTTCGCACAAACGGCGGGACAACCGCTGCGCTATCAGCGCGCCCAAACTAGAACACAGTACGTCCCCATTTTCCCTGGCTTTCCATATCCCGGGTGCACGTCTAACCCCGCTCCGGCAGCATTCACGCAGGCATTAGAACGCGAAGGCTGGGAGGCGCACACGCAGCTCGAAGATCCGTCCCTGGGCGGCCCGCCGCTGGACGATCTGCAGGGCTCCGAAGAGGAAAAGGAAGCGCAGATCGTGCAGCGGCTCAAGGAGCTCGGCGACGCGCACACGAAGCGCGCGCTCATCCTCAAGAACTCGCACATCGGCGGCCACAAATTCGCGGGCAATTGCATCGTACGTCTTCACAGCAAAGTCTATTTCGGTCTGATATGCAAAATGACTTCAAATACAGATTTACACTCCCCAAGGCTCGAGTGTCTGGTACGGACGGGTGACCCCCCACGAAGTGGACTCGATCGTCAAAAATACTATCATCGGCGGCCAGATCCTCCTGCCCCTCCTCCGTGGTGGTCTCAACCTCGCCCGTCCCGGCCGCCACAGCCTCAACGACTGGTAGCCTCGGCCTCGCTTCTCTTCTTCCGGACTTCCCAGAAGGAGCATCCATCCCGGATACTTTCAGGATTTTTTCACTTCAACGTTCCAGCAATACGGCATATCACTACACCCTGTTTATTATTACTACTACATTTATACTCTACTACTTGGGAATGGATTGATTGATTGAACACTGTCTCCGGAGCCTGTCCGCCATCCTACACGCGCCCCCTGTGACTAAACTTTGTAAATCGTCCGTCGCCAATAAAACCGTGTGTGCGCGAAAGCGAAAGTGAAGAGCAAGAATATATGTGCGGCGAAGAAAGTGATTACATGGGTTGGAGGTACAACACGGACGCGACACGGAACAAGATGCCGTTTGCGTTGGTGGTCGAATGTGGATTAAATATGCGATTCAGAGTACAGTGTATTTGCAGTGGATGGAGCAGTTGAGGGGGGCGACGGAGGCATATTTGTATGAGACCGAGGTACAGCGGGTGCATGAGTGGAGGATAGGATAGTTACTTGAGCATGCTGGAGAACCAAGCCATTACGAGCGTAACGCTTGCAGGGACAACAGCAGAGATCCTTAAAGATCCATATCATCGTCTCTCCGCCTGCTCCGCGCATACCGCCCGCCGGCATGCTCAAAGTCCTCCGCCTCATCCTCCGTCGTCGGCTCCGCGTTCTCGTCCTCGTCCACCGCCTCGTCCTCATCGCCGCCGAGCCCGAGGCGCTCCTCGAGCTCGTGCACGAGGCTCTCGCCCTCGTACGTGAACCCGCGGAAGTTCTCCTGCACGGAGTTCGTGAGCGGCGGGCTCGCGCTGCCGCCCTTCTTCCCGGCCTTCTTGCCCTGCCCGATCGCGATCCCGTCCTGCTTCTCCGAGCCCAGCGGGCCGAGCGGCGTGTGCGCCGTCGTCGCGCCGCCCGTGAGCGACGCGGAGACCCACGCCTCGCTCGGGTCCGCGTCGTCCATGTCCAGGGCCATCTCGTCCTCGAGGCCCATCTCGCGCAGGTCCGCGGTCGTGAACTCGGGGTCGAAGTTGGCAGTCGAGTCGTCCGACTCGACGACGGGCTTGAACGGCGGCGTGACTTGTTTGCGGGCTAGGGCATCCCAGTCGATCGAAGCGAAGAATGGGTGCTCCTTGAGCTCTGCAGCGTCACGCTGGGCACCTAGTCGATGTTTGGGGTTGCGGTTCAGTAGCTAGAGGTCACAATAAGTATGGTACTCTTAAGGAAGAGCATATACCCAGACTCACCCCTTTGACAAATTGCTTGCCCTCCTCCCCAATAACACCTTTCGGGAACCTAATCTTGCCAAAGCATATATTCTTATACATGACTTGAGTGTCTTCGGCATAGAACGGGCTCCACCCGCAGCACATCTCAAACAGCAGAACGCCCAGACTCCAGAAGTCGACGAGCTTGGAGTAGCCGTGCTCATCCAGGAGCACTTCGGGCGCAAGGTACTCGGTGGTGCCGCAGAAGGTCGTGGTGAGCTCGTCAGATCGGAGGTCAGGCTTTGATAGACCGAAATCGCAGAGGGCGACATGGCCCGTGGCATCAAGGAGAATGTTCTCCGGCTTTAGATCTCGATAGACAATATCGTACTTGTGCAGATGCTCGAGCGCGAGCGTCAGCTCGGCGACGTAGAACCGCGCGCGCTCCTCGCTGAACCGCGTCTCCTTCTGGAGGTGCCAGAAGAGCTCGCCGCCGCTCTTGAAGTCGGTGACGAGATAGAGGTCCGTGTCGGTCTGGAAGGAGAACTTGAGGCCGACGAGGAAGGGGCACTCGAGCGAGCGCTGGAGGATCTTGCGCTCGCCGATGGTGTGCGCGACCTCCTTCTTCGCGATGATCTCCTTCTTGGAGAGGACCTTCATCGCGTAGATACGCTTCGTGTCCTTTTTGCGCACCTGGAAGACCTTGCCGAAGGTGCCCCGTCCGATGAGCTTGAGGAATTCAAAATCGCGGGGGGTGAGGGCTCGTTTGTTCTGGGCGATAGGTTTTAGATAGATACAGTCGCAGAGGACGGGACTACCTACCTTGAACTGCTCGAATGTGACCTGTATGCGCATCTCCCCGGTGACCACCTCGTTCTCGAACGGCTGGAGTCTGCGAAACATGAGCGCCTTGACACGTCTTCCCTGCAAGCTTGGCACTCACTTGTACCATTGGTCCACGGTGTGATCATGGACGAGCACCGGCTTGACCTGCACCGTGCCCAGGAAAGGATGCTCGCCGTCGATGCGGTCGTACACGCAAAAGGTGATCGTCGACTTTTCCGAAGTCACATCGCTGTGTTCCTGTAAGCGTCAAATTTACCACCGTACGCAGAAAGCACTCACAAAGACACCTCGTGCTTCCATACTGGATTATGTGCGTTCTTACGCCCGAATAGTGAGTTGGTGAGCCCGCTAGCGCTTGTATTGGGCTTGGGGGCGCCCGGGACGGGCGTGTTCTTCCCGCTGCCGGTACTGCGCTTGGCGGCGTCCTTGCTGTTTATGGCGCCCAGGGCGGAGAGGGCGACGCTGGAGGAATTGCGCGAGAGGTTTGTCGCCTGCCCCTTGAGCTCCTTCTCGGTCTCGTCGATGGGGTCCCGACTGACAAACTCGTTCTGCTCGAAGGAGACCACGACGTACGGCCGCGAGTGCGGCGAAGAGACATTGAGCCCGCGCGCCTGGATGAGCTTGACGTGTATCTGGCCCTTGCTCTGGCCGCCGGGGGAGCCGTTGGCGGAGGACGAAGCGGAGGAGGAGGCGTTGAGGGCGTTTGTCAGCGGGTTGCGGACGGAGCGGGTGGAGGAGGAGGAGGACTTGTGCGAGGAGGCTGGGGACGAGGTGCTGGAGGGGGGGAAGTCTGGGGGGCTGCGCTTGTTCTTTGGCTGCGGGGGCTCTGCCATGTTGAAGTCGGGGGCATGAAGAGAGAGCTGGGTGGTGGGGACGGCGGCGGCGAAGATTGGGAAGGCGTTCGGGGATAGCGTTCCTAGAGGCGTGAGATCACCGCCATTTGCGGAAGTGGCGGGGGCAGGCTGGGCGGTGGACGTGGACGTGGATGCGTTGAGCAGGTGATGGCGCAGGGCAGACGACGACTGGGACTGGGACTGGGGCTGCTGGGCGAAACCGGATTGGGGCAGGTCGAACGGGTTTAGACGCTCCTTGCCATCGGGGCCGGCCTTGGGCGTGAGCTCGGCGGGGCTGGACGGCCAGAACTTGAGCATCGTCGACGTCGCTGATGACCTGTGTCGTAGTGCGTGCAGATATCCAGAAGCCGTCGACAGCCGCCGCCCGCTGTTTCTATCGGGGCTATCGCCGCGGCTCGTCATGTTACTTATCGCCAACATCACACTCGGTCTTCTATGCTCCACCGCCCCACCGCCATGGCCGCGGCCCGGCCCGGCGGTCTCGCCAGCGACGCCGCCGCCCTTGCCTTTCCGAGACACCCGACGCCGCCGCCTGGATTAGATATACTAGACACAACTAGCTAGACGCCTCCTGCACAACCCTCGCTCCCCACATCAACAGACCCCCGCCCAGCCCCAGCCCCAGCACCCGCCCCGCGTCCAGCCCCCGCAGCCGGTCTGCGCACAGTTCAGTCTCGTGCCACACGCCAACCAGTCCGCACTCACATACGCCCACAAACGCTGCAGCAACCGCCGCCCCCGCCCCGACCTCCCGCGCCTCACCTGGCCACCCGCCCACCCGCTTCAGGCCCTCCTCCGTCCCCGCCCACCCGAGCGTCATCAGCCCGAGCCGCGTCCCGATCCGCCCGCCCTCCTTCAGCGCCCCCCACAGCACCTTGTAGTTCTTCGTCTTCTGGTAAAAGTACCACCCGCGCACCGTCCGCGGCGGTCGGTGCGCGTTCTCCGCCAGGAACCGCAGCGACGCCGTCCGCCCGCCGCGCTGCACGCCGATCATCGTACCCAGTAAGAATGAGAGCCCCGGCAGTGTGTACAGGCGTGATGGAATGTTCAGGTGTATTTGACGCGGCGCCGTGGTCGAGCCATTCTCGTCCGTTGCCGTAGGTAGTGGGGAGGCGGCTTGGGACGGTTGTGAATCTGTCATGAAAGACTGGAACTGTGGATGCGACTGTACAAAATGTGATCAGTTATTAATAGAAACCCTAACCTCGTCATGTAGTGGCAAGAGAGAGAATCCAAGTTGTCAACCGTTGTGCAGCATCGTCCCAAATGCCATAGCGGTAATGGGAGGTCAGGGGTGACGCCATAGCCTCTCATTGCTTCAGGTGTGTACATACAGTATATTGAAAATGTCATACACAAACCTTTTCTTGGAACGTCGACAGGTAGCCAAGCTCCGAGCGCACTTACCCTAAACCACTAACACCGTATCAGTATCCAGCCCTGCGGGTATAGTCTTAGCCGGCCTTGGCACCATATCAGGTCTGATCATCGGAATACGTGCCCAAGCATGATGACCTGCAGTGCTTCCATCATGGACAGAGGAAAATGCGAGGAGGGAAATGCCATGGGCACTGTATCGTCCGTCCTGTGTGAGATGAACGTAACGAAGGGCCGACCGCTCAATTTCCGGAGCACGTAGGTCACGAAAGCTTCGACGACAAATGTTAGCCACCGACAACGCGTCTGCGATGAACCAGGTGGGGAAACAGATAGTGAATGCGAAGGAGAGGCCATGAGCCAGCCATTCCTGCGTCACATGGTAACAGAGACCGAGCAAGGGCCAGCACTGGCCAGCAGTGTATAAAACGCGGTTCTTCCACGACTGCATGCGATCAAATAGGGGCCCGAAAGATAACGGGAGGATCTTACAAGGCGAAGCTGGCATGACACGCATACAGCTATTGGCCGTCGCGCCAAACCTACGCCACGGCAAGCACAAAGGCGGGAGAGGGATCTTGAGACGTGCGAAGCCTTAAGAACGCCGCGCGAGTAGATCAGACGCAGATGTGAGACAGTCGGACTGTCTCCTTGGCCTGCATATCTCGTAGCGGCATTTGCAAGCCACGGGCCACATGAAACTAGATGCCCTGCGAAGCTGCGCGAAAATAGGCATAACAAAAGAACTGACAGCAATCCGCTTGCATTGGCATCCTAGCAAGAGCATGGTGAGATAGAGCCCAGCAGAGGTCAAAACCATACGCAAGAGGCTCGGGAGGAGCGATGCCGGGAGGGGTTTGGGATTGTGTATCCTTGTTTCGATATTTGTTTTCGTCTGTCTTCGACAATTTGGACATTGTAATGGCATGTTGAGCCCAGCGGCGTGCACAAACAACCACCCACCGCCGCCACAACCACACCCGCTCGTTCCCTCCACCACTGGCACTAGCACTCACCGGCAACGGATACTCTCGAGCTCAAGGATGCCTCGCACGACGACCAGAATCACCGCGCGGGCTTATCGCGGGTTCGCACGCCCTGAGTCAGCGCCACCGCGGCCTGCCTGCAGCACATTTTGCACTTGCACGACGACGACGGCGGTATCGAGCACCATCGCACACACATGTCGCAGCAGCAGAGTCCGCAGATCCTCTCCCCGAGCATGCTCGGTGGTCCTCAGCAGGGCGCACCGCCCAGCCCCGGCAGTATGATGCCACCGGGCTCTTACTATCCTGACGCCAGCGACCATGAGCTCACTGGTGGGCTGCCCATTAACCTCGATTCTCTCCGGGATGGCCCGCCTGGGAGCAAGCCGTTCTACCCGTATTCGACGCTTATACGGTGAGTGGCGGGCTTCTGTCTCGATGCTGTTTGTTGTTTGCGCATAGGAGGTTCTCACGGGTGTTTGCCTCTCAGGTATGCTATTAAGGGGTCTCCGACTGGGAAGTTGTTGTTGGAAGATATATACTATGCAATCGAGTCGAGGGTATGTGATTAGAGCCGATGGGTCGTGGAGGCGGCGCTCATGTTCCGTTCCAGTTCCCATACTTCAGGACTGCTCCTCCGGGCTGGAAGGTGAGTAGATCGTCCTGTCTGACTCCCGATCTACCCTTCGCTGACCGGCTCACTTGTCTCAGAACTCCGTCCGCCACAATCTGTCCCTCAACCCGTGCTTTGAGAAAGTAGCACGTCCACTGACGGATCGGGGCAAAGGCTCGTACTGGACGGTGAACGATAACGTCGATCCTCGCACTGGTGTCCATCGTATCCGGAAGAAAAAGACGAAAAAGAGCGAGAGACATATATCGGAGGAGCAACCCCAGCAGCAACAGCCGCCGAATGGAACCATGCCAGAATTCCAGCCCCCGCCGAACGCGCCCTTCGACGATCCTCATGGCCAGTTTGTCCAGCAGCCGCCCATGGGCCCGGAGGGCGCTGGTCCGAGCCGGCCTGGTCCCTTCCCACCGCCGTATCCTCCGTGAGTATATCCAGCAACTTTCCACGTACTGATGTTTGCTAACGCGCACCGGTAAGATTCGATCCTGCGTTTGCCATGATGCCACCACCAGGCCTGCATTACCCGCCACCACCGCCAGGCCTTATGCGCACCGAGGACAGCTTCGAGCTCGACGAGCACGGTAACGTCGATTGGCATCGCACGTGGGTGAAGGAGCTGCAGCATCTGCAGACGGTCACGTCCGAGCAGGAGAAGGCAGGCGCCGAGCAGGACTGGTATCGCATGATGCTGTTCCGCGTTAGGACGGCCTTAATGGCTCCCCCGTACCCTGGCGAGGGCATGCCCGGTCCTCCTCCGCCAGGCATGGATCCCAATGCTAATGGGATGCAGGAGGAGTCCCCGGAGCAGCAGTGACTAGCTGATGACTGCGATGATTGAAGGGCTGAGAGTGTCTGATTTTTGGTGCGGCGTTGCTTACTATACATTATGAATTCTGCTTTCGACATCTCTATTATGGTGCTATTTATCAGCTGGTTTCCGCTGTTCTTCTGGCTTTCTTCTAGCGTACTATCCCCTCCGAGTCTGTTGTAGTTGTCTCTGGTCTGGTCGCGAAATTAACGTTCTACACCTCCGAGTGCACTCTGGGTTTGTTCTTCGCTGTCGATGGTGGGTCTTGTGTTCGAGCTGAAATGGTGGCGAGCCAATGGGCCAATCTTGACTCGCCCCATGACCGGGAGACCTTGGGGATTATCCCCGAAATTCCGAATTCCCACGGTTCACTAAGCCACATTTTGGAAAGTCATAAAATACATCGCTCCATTTGACCAGTCGGTTTTTCCTGACCTCCGTAGACCGATACCATGTCGCCCACCGCAATATACCTGCCTGCAGAGTCCGCTGCTTCGTCGCCCAAGGTGGTCGCCGCTGTTCCACGGAAGGGGCCTGCATTAGCGATTGGTTCTCTGGCTACTGCCCAGGATGGGAAGTTCCAGAGTCTCGTCTCCGACCTGGAGGCCAACAGACAGGTTGATAGGCAGATGCTTGATAGGTTGCTGGAAGGAGGTGTGTTTTTCAATCCTCGTCTCTCTGTTCATATCTCATCGGGATCTTCTGCGGTATAGCGACTGAACTGACGCCCTCACGATACGCTTCCGTCCATGTCACGCTGTCAGCCGCGGAATATGAACAGCTCATGCCCAGGATATCCACGTTGCTTGCGCAGCTATTCGCAGGCTTGGAGCCCCTGGGTACGCTGCACGTCCTGAACCTGGCATCTTCCCTGTCCACCCTGCCGTCCGAACTCACTCTCGCTGGGTTTACTCTCCTGTCTTCCTTACCCAATGAAGGCACCATCATTGCTCAGAAACCCGCACATGCCATTGGTCAGACCCTTGGGATCAAAAACCGATCTGTGGCGCCTGCACCCGCAGCATCGGCTGCCGCACCAGCTGTTTCCCTGCGGCGAAGAGGAGATCCAGACCGTAAATCTGCGAAGAAAGCATTGTGGACACTGAATGCCCCGTCGACGCCTACGATCGACGCTGAAAAGCTGCTCACGCCCGCGGACCGCGAGCGGCCAGTGCCGACGTGTGAGCCTGCTGTGAAGGGTGCGCCGCGGCGAAAGAAGGCGTGCAAGAACTGCACGTGTGGTTTGGCCGAGTTGGAGGCAGAGGAGCTTGCCCAGAGCAAGGTGGTCATGCTGGATGGAAAGATTGACGGTCAGACGGTGGAAGTTGAGCAGAGCGAGAGGGATAGATTGCTTGCGGCTGCCGCTGCAGCACCAAAGGCGACGAGTAGCTGTGGAAGCTGCTTCCTTGGGGACGCATTCCGCTGTGAGAGCTGCCCGTATAGAGGTGGGTTTGCGTTTGTGATTGTTCCGTGCCGCCCGCTGATTATCTGCGAAGGGTTGCCTGCCTTCAAGCCAGGCGAGAAGGTCGAGATTGACTTGGGCATGGACGACATATGATTCATGATAGACTTGTTTTGCTGCTATAAGGCATCTACTGCTTAATGCTCGGATCTGCTGTTAATTCTGTATAGTTCTGTATCCATATTCTTTCTTTATCCTCTGCATTATATCCATGTACTGCTTCCCCGGTGGATCACCAATCACTAGAGCGTTATTTCCCAAGCATTTCAGTCATCTCGCAGTAGTCATAACAAGTAACAAGGACGTCATCCAGCGAGCAGCCAATCACCGTTCTCTTGTACAATTCCCACGGATTTGTCTGAAGGTCTCTGAGGACGCCATGACAGACATCGTCGCTACCTCTGCTCAACTCACAGCTTCCACAAGCAGCGCACCTCCGCAGCTATGCTCTATCTGCAACGAACATCCTCCAAAGTACACTTGCCCGAGATGCACCATCCGTACTTGCTCTCTACCTTGCTCTACCGCGCATAAAGCTCGTACAGGATGCTCGGGAGTGCGGAACAAGGCCGCCTATGTGCCTATGAACAAGTACAGCTGGGGGACCATGATGGATGACTATGTCTATCTCGAAGAAGTTGGCAGGAAGGTGGTTGAAATGGGGAGAGAAATCGCGCAAGGCGGCTATCATGCAAATGCGAGTTCCGGTACTCGGGCGCGGGGTATGAGGGGCAGGGGAAGGGGCAGAGGCGGTGGGAAGGGACTCGGGAGAACGAAGAGGGATATCCTGAAGATGCAGTTGGATTTCAGAGATATTGATATGGAGCTCCTGCCTGATGGAATGGAGAAAAGGAAGCTCAATCAATCTGCCTGGGATTTCAAGTACGTCTACTGACCTAACAGTCGTTCAGCGCACACACTATCTGACATCTGTCTCCGTTCACTAGAAACCAAACCGCGCTTCTCACTATCGAGTTCAAGTTCCATCCCCCACCAGACCCTCTCGCCCTAGCCGGTCAATCGCACCCGACTGTAACCCTCCTCACTCATAGGAACGACATTAACACGTCTCTCTTGGCTCTTTTGCAAAAGCAAGTGACCGAGCGACCCAAGGGCAAGAAAGAGAAGGGCACTCCTGCGTGGGTGAAGAGCTTGGTCATGCCTGACCCTGACGATCCCGAAGGGTTCGTCATCCCGACCTGTGTTATGCCCGCACCCTCCGGTATAGCTACAAATTTGACCAGACAACCCAAGACGGGATATTACAAGTTCGACCCAACGCAGAAGCTCTCGTCTCTGCTCCGGAATAAATCTTTTGTAGAATATCCTTGTATCGAGATATTCGAGGACGGCAGCTTCCATGGGACGGTCATTGACGACAGCGGGGCCATTCAAGTGGGAGAAGATGAGAGGAAGCCGAAGAGACGGAAAATTGACGTGAAGGCGATCCGCGGGTTGCTGGGCGGCTATGGGAGCGCTGACGAGGAGGAAGAGAGGAACGTGTTGATAACTTTGGGAGACTACGGTGGGAGCGACGCAGAAACGGATATGCCTAGCAGACTGGATGAAGGAGAAGTGGCTGGAGGAGATGAGGGAGGCGAGGGAGTGGATGAGGTGGAAGGGGACGATATTGATCCAGAAGACACTACCACACTCGACGACGATGCTCCTGGCGAGGAAGTTAATTACGAGGAACTGGTTGCGAAAGTCAAGGCAGCACAGTCGCTCGAAGACGAGGAGGACCTGGATTGGGGACAGTCAGATGACGATGACAAGCTGGAACAAGTCGTACGGACAGCAGCCCAGGAGATACTCCGAGCTCAAGGGATGTAAATTTCACGTTTTTCAAAGCGTGTCATAGATCCTGCCGTCGTAGATCGAGTAATCCTTTCATAAGTTCTTGCACTTTCAAGACTTCCTGGATGAGTGCCGTCAAGGGTCTTTCTTGCGTGTTCCTCGCAGGCTGGGCGTTCTTGACTTCGACTTCCCATAGGGTGTCTGCGTGTGCTGGGCTCGGTTTCTGTGTCTTGGGGTCGACCTGGAACATCATAAAGAAATGATCATATAAGTGGCTGCAGCCTTGCTCACCTGTTCCTGCTGGAACATCTGGATGACCAGAGGTCCCCTCCGGAAGGAATACCCTCGTTTATATATCTGAGACCGTCGACTGCAATAATACGGATACGCGTGTGTGTCATTACTGCCACTTGTAGCTCAAAGAACACCGGCTTACACGTAGCCCATAGCGGACGCGAAGCTCAGTGCATCACCGATAACTTGGACAGTAGCCCATGGCCGTACTGTCGCGTCCGAGTAAAGCTTGGTGGGCTCTGGCTTGGAGTATGAATACAGTGCCCTTTTGGTCTGTAGTCAGCACTGTGATCTCACTAGTGATACAGAGATGGGCAAGCACGTACCATCCAGCATTAGGCTCCAGCAGCTCCTTCCTCGCCCTCAGCATAATAGGATCTACCCCACTGTCCCGCTGGCTCTTTGCATCCAAGGGCTCCAGCAGGATCTCTCGACAATGCATGGCCTGCGCAGCTTCACTGTGCAGCCCGAACCTTTCTCGAATCGCCTTGAGGTCCTTGGAGAAGAACTCGCCGAATAAAGCTACTTCGTACAGAGTCACAACTTTGCCGTCCGATGATTGGGCTGTACGGGATCCCGTAGAGCTTTGAGACGAGGATATCATACAGGCGAAGGGATCGAGGCTAAGACAATGAGGTACAATAGTCGACGCGGAGATGCGGTTTGCCACAAAGATTTGTGGCATGGGAACGTCCGGAACGTGCTACTTTAGGAAGGGGCCGCACCATATGCGGTAGAAACGATCCCAATACCTTTCTGGTGACTCCTACAGAAACTAGATTATCGGACTGCGGTGTCGCTACTCGCCAGAGCAGGAATATAAGCTACTAATTCGGCCAGCATATACAGATGAAGAGACGCCTGTGACTATTCAAGCACAGACGATGCAACCATTAGATCTACTGTAGCTCTAAGGATTCGTCCGCTACCCCAAGACTTTTCCCGGGAGAGCAAACGGAAACAACATTCTCATAGCTTCCACACCTGCTCCGACTTATATCCTAGTTCGCCTAGGAATCCGCCTACATCTCCCTGTGTAAGGTTTCGACCGAAAGGACCAGCAATAGCAGATATCATCCTGGTGCAATGATGAGCAGACGTCACATACCACTCCGGAATGGCACTCACTGATCAGGTCCACATACAAGGAACAGAACCTTTCTTTGTGACGCATCAGACTCGCTGGTGCTGCTCCCAAAGATTTTTCCCCAGCTCTGGCTGGACGTTCGGCTTAATGCTTGCTGTATTTCCGACTTCCCTATACGACCCTCTGAAAGCGGAATTTGGTTTTTCGTCGAATGGACTCCTGATGGGCGCGAGTCTACAAATAGACGCAGGGAGAAACTTTTCGGCTGAGATTGTGTATAGTTATGGAGTGTCTGAAGCATGCTTGACGGAGGTAGCTGATCAGCGGCACGCGAAGAGTGCAGCAGAGTAAAGTGAGTCTTAGAGGATGCTATTGATGGCTCCTTGTCGAATACGTGGTGCAACAATTGATAGAAGGGAGTGATCCCCGTGCCTCCGGATATCTGCGCATGGCTTCGGATGAGGAGAACGGCTTCGGAATGACAGATAGACATACCATGACGACCTCATCCCATTCATTGTCCTTCCAGCTCCACGTCGTGACAGGACCTCGAATTTCTATCGAGTCACCGATTTTCCTGGAGTGAAGCCATCTGCCTACTTCACCACTGGAATATTTCTTGACCCAAAACTTCATGCGCCCATCCTGATCAATTCCTTCCAGCGGAGTATACGGTCGCTCAACCTGGATGTCATCGTCTTTGATGCATATTGACCATATAGGGTGGAAGGCACAGGAATCGTTCAAGTTCTTCAGCAAGTGCGGGGGAAAGGTCAGCTCAATTAGCTTGGTATCTGGCCCCGTGGGTTCACTCAATGTGACTTTGGCCGGAGTAAAGTACGAAGGAGATAGGGAGGCATTGGATTTCGTTGGAGCTGCACGGGATTTTGCAGGCCAGAACAGATATATTGACGAGGATAATCCAACAGCCACCCAAACGTATACGCCCCGACGCCTCGCCCTGTTCAGTTGCTGGATGTTATATTGAGGACTCGCTGATCCTGAGGCCTTCCGAATTGTCGAAGCATGGAACGCTCGGGCAGGGGGGAAGAGCTTGAGTGAACTTCGACAGACCCAGGACATAGCAGAAAGTCTCTGCCAGTCATATCGAGTTCCTTTTTGGGCACAGGAAAAGTGCCGAGGCATGACGCGGATTGCCGAGGTCGTGCAGAGGCATCGCAGAGGATCTGCAGAGGCATTGCAGAGGCATGCCTGAGCGAGTAATGAGTACTTAGTACTTGAGTGGTTCGCCAGCCGGTTGTTCCAATATCATTAAGTCCTTCCCATCACGTTTCTAGTACACATTCTGCCCCGAGACAACACATATATAATGAATAATATTACTGCTTTCTGAGAATAAAGCACTTATTGCCCAGCTTGCCCAGCTTAGAGGTCCATCGTTCGCATGGACAGTCATTGATATACAGCAAGTTCAGGTTAACTTCTGTCTTTTAGCCGCCTTCAAGTCTTCCTTTGCATGTCCGGCATAGGCAGGCCGCGGGAGGGGCCGGTGTCCTGCCTGCGTGACTTCCTTGCGCTTTCGAGGATTAACGGTATCGCTAGTACTCTTGACGTAGTTAGGACCGTACTTACAAAACATGGAATGTCAACGACTGAGGCCAAATTTCGCCTCTAAATGGATGAGCACTCACCTCGAGTTCGGATTCTCTCTCGTCACGGTCCTCATAGTTCCACCAGCTTGGAATGTACTGATACGGGTTCCAGTTGTCTTGATGCGGTCCGGCGTCGAGACCCCACTGATGATTACCCGCCACCCCTGCGGCTGCGGAGTTCTCGAAGAGGCGCTCCTCGAACGACAGCAAGCATTCCTGGTCGACATCAGTATCAGCAGAGAGATACTCATCGCCCACAGATCCCTTTTGATGTTCGTATGCTTTCTCCAGGATGAAAGCATCCTGTTCAGCGCGGGTGCCATTATGAGGGTACTTGCTCTCCTGAAGTATTTGCTCTTTGTGGCGATTAGCTAGAAGCAAAGTCACGGCATGGGCATATGCCGCACGGCCAACCCATAGGCTCTGTTTGGCTCGTGCATCTGTTATATTATGTATGAACCAGCTCCCGACCTGAGCCCGCTCGACCAGGCTAAGCTCCCCGGTATGAGGCACTGTACCACTTCTCAGGGATTCAGGCCCATGGTCGTTGGAGAGTATGTCTTCCAGAGCAGGTATGTATTCGGTAACGTCTTCCGGCTGATATGTGAGGCGTGTCAGCAGCTCCTGATGTGGGGTCAACACAGTCTTTATCTCTGCAGTTGGTACGTGACCATCGAAGTCCAGTAACTGATCTTCGATCCCCGGCACTTGACATGCCATCTGCCAACGTCCAAGCTAGACCAGGTATGTTTTTAGGTAAAGGTCACATCATGTGAGATGTTGTAACTTACACGTATCTTGCGTCTTTCTTCTCTGTTTTGCCACAGCTCATCGACCACGCGCTCAGCGGGCACCCAGCACCCCACAGCACTATCATCAGCGAACACGCAGCCTCTCCACCATTTCACTTGCCATTCGGTAACATTATCCCTTCGCCTCGAGGCAATCAGTCGCACGGGATACCAGTAAGTATCACCGTGACGAACAAGTGCTCCTTTGCCTGGGCTGTTCTCCGTTTAGACTTCTCTAGGACCCATGTATTTATTCATTGCACTTACAGGAGTCGTGTGGCTGGCGGTTTCTTATTTTGTACCGTTCGAGGACTGTGAAGATATAATTTCAGGTCCCTCTCATTTCACGAGGAAATCCAGAGCATACATACACTCTCCGCTTTCTCCTGGGTTTAGGAATCATATTTTGGCGCAATAAGTGGGGAAGCATGCAGTCATCACAGGTGAACTTCTGGGATGGCGTCAAGCGGCTAGCACGCCCTCCTTTTTGGCACGCAATATGTGACCACCTCTCGCACATATGGCATTCAATGGTAGGCTCAGCAATAGCCAGTTCATTCCAGTTACCCCGGAGACCACAGCGACAGTAGAATGGCGGTCCTTGCGGAGTTTGACCACGATCACCAGTGGCATCACCGGGACTCGATAGATTCACCCGAGCCGGGGCTGGTACATTGCCGTCTGGCTGTTCAATGTCATCCGCAGCGACATCTTCATCCTTCTGCTTGACAATACTTGCAGATGCAGCCGGACCCGAAAGTCGGTGATCACTTTCAGGACTTGTACTTGGTGCCCTCCTCTTCTTTGCGCGTCTCCGAGCTATGGGTGTCTTTGCCTTGAGCGGAGATGAGAAGATAGGTGGCTCCGGTAAATGCTTCTCTGGGCCTTTTTCACTGGGTGTTTCTGAGAACGCTGTCGGCCTGTAGTCAGCAACTTTCTTGGAGTATGGGTTCACCATCCAGGTTCGCTTGATGCCTGGCATTTGCTCATATCCTTCGAGATCGAGCCCAACCGTCGTCGCCAGCCCAAGTTCTTCGTCAGTAAAGACTATCTGATGAAGGCGCTTTGCGGCTGCAATCTGATGGGCATACAGGGTACGTTGTGCTCCCGTCCCTCCTCGTAGGTGGTAAATGACAACATTGGTCTTGTAGCCAGACGGTAACACAACTTCAGGACCACTGAGAAGATCTTTCAGCTTGGCAGTGTGCGCAGTCGCAACACCGTCAGCTAATTGACCGTCATATGTGTAGATCTTGCCCTGCGGGGTTCGGAAGCGGGTAATGAAGTGCTGCTGTTCGGCACTGTGAAGTCCGCGCCCAACCATGTCATATACCACCCCATCAGCGGCTGCCTCCTTGGTGAGTGGCCGGAGCGTGATAGGAAAATCCCATACATTCAAATCATCATCCTCGACCCAGATAATGAGGCATACTGGAAGCATAATGTTCAGTGTTATGTCACAAGCATCGCCTTGGCAAAGGCAGACCCCGTCCTTCGTCTTGAAGCATTGAGCAAGGGTGTGAGGAGGTGGATTCATTGAGGTCATCTGCCGGAACCAGCTTTGGACTTTGCCATGGTAGGTTTGATGATCTTGTGAGTTCAGACGATATTCAAAGGTCTTCTGTGGCTCAGAGGTTATTTGATAGTGCTTATATGATGGTTCTGTGGCCTTGATGGTCGTACAAATTCGTAGTTTCACCCGGTAGCCATGGAAATAAGTGGCACTGTAAATGCAGCCCTCTTTATCCCATTCCCGTTGGAGAACAGTACTCAACCATCCCTGGAACATGCAGGCATCGTCAGCATTCGAGAAAACTCAATGGGTCATGAAAACGCACGAATAGAGACTTGAGATCGTCCTCCGCAGAAATACAACGATAATGCTTCAACCGAGTCCGGTAACTGTCGCGTTGCTCTGTGAGCCAAGTGCGGCGGTCTTTGATGCGTGGGTGATTTGAAGCGGCTTCTTGGTTCGTGCGTCGCAAATCAATCACCTCATACAGTGCCCACAGGCAGGTATCGTGAGGGAGAGCCTGGAATCTTTCACGGAAGCTCTTGTAATCTCTACCCACCACATTGAAGAGAAGCTCCAATGCGGTGTCAAGCCAGCATGAATTATTTGACCATGGATAACTTTGGTAAATGTTTCGCTCCAGAGTTTCAGCTTTCTTCTCATCACTCCGAATCTGGGACTTCTGCAACTTGCGGCTCTTGCTCCGCGTCTCAGCAAGTTCTTTTGCAGTGTCAGGAGGGCGCCCATCATTCTTATACCGGCGACGTTCGTAAGCCTCTGGAGCCCTGGTTGGTTTAGTTCGACCAATCCTGCTCGCAACAAGTTTCCATGGTTCTGCGCTTCCATAACGTATTGGCACCCCACCTGCAGAATGAATGGTATGTGACTGTTGTTCCAGTTGTGATTACAAGGATACGTACTAAGATTCGCAGTCGCCAGCCTTTGATAATGGTCAGAGAAAGCATATAATGATCTGATCCCCTCTAGAAGTACGTGATCACGGCCAGTTGCTGCGTAGAGCTTCCAATGCATGGACTCTTCAGCGTTTGTTGTGTCCGGGATAGATTCCCATAGATCCGGCTTCATCTTACGGTGAGCTGGAAATAATAATGGCGCATGCGTCTCGCTTATCCACCACGATAGCCAGGGTTCTGTCTTCGGAAACTCCTTGATTATAAGGGCAGCCCTTTCCCCAAAGGTCGCCAGATCTTCGGCATCAAACAACCCCTGCACGCGAAACTCGAAGGCTGTTGCCCTACCAAATGGGATAACAGCCGAGATTCTGGTCAGCCGAGTCACCCCACGCTGGAAGTGCTCGCGGCAGCCCTTCACAATGGCTGACGCGGCCTCGCGCAGCTCATCCTCAGAGCGGGTATTGTCTTGTCGCAGTTGCCAGAACCTAATGAAAGCTTGTGTTTTGCCTTGTCTCTGTGCCTCGCTGAAGTCAACGACCTGCCAGTGTAATGTTGAGTAAAATTGGTCAAACTAGTGACTTGTGACATACATCTAGGAAGAGCTCGTCGACAACAAGTATTCCCCTTTCTTCAGCTTCTTGCCCGATGCTCTCATACAATGCAAAGAAATGGCTCTCGTAATGCTTGGCTGATGCACCATTGGAGTAGGTGAATAACACTGGTATCCAACATAGCAGGTCCTTTGTGAAGACGGAGCTAACCATCAAGAGCGCATTTTTGTTTCTCCAGAATCCATGTGCAGCATCGGTGACGAGGCCATTGATGGCCTCAGTTTGAATGAACTCTTTAATCAGCTGAGAGCGCATGAATGGTGATTGCATCACGATCACAGTAACTGCACCGATCTGGGAATAGAGGATGAAGTTGGGATACTCCTCCTCAAGTGTGGCGAAATCCTGCAGGAATGTTTCTGCACTACCACCTCCAGGTCCGGAAGTGATGTGCTGTCGCTCCTTGCTGATGCGATCCTTGTTGGCAAGTACCGAGGTGATATCAGCAACTGACCGGCCTGGTCCTTCGATCCCGGGTGCTCCGACAAGAAGAGCTAACGGGCCTGCCTTGGGATTGGTTCGCACTATGGCTTCAAATTCAGCCCGTTCATTTGGTAACAGATGCAGCTTGTGGGTGAGCCGGGCATGATCGTGTTTGCCAATATTTTGGAAGTACTTGCCGCCGTCGTAAGTCCAAATCTTCGAAACAACATTGCACTCAAACCAAGTCAGTTTCCCACCACAACGACATGGATGTTGGCATTGCTCCTGGATCTTCAGCCTGCGAGTTTGAGGGCGGATGATGATCTGACATTCAGTGTGATCGCAACGGATCATACCACGACAGTAGCGTATGAGTAAGGCACCGTCCTCCCAGTTCTTAGCACAATCACTGCGCTTGTGGTGGTCATTTGCGCCGGCCGCGTGGCATGACCAATGGACCATGAGATTGTTTGTCTGCTTTAGCTCCTCCCAAGAAAAATGGTGCTCGAAGTCACCATCTGGCCAACCGTCCCATACAAACTCATCAGCGGCACCGGAAAGTTTTTTCGCTGGGCCGCTTCTTGAATGAGGATCACCAAGTGCTGCCTTAGTTTTGCCCTGGTGCTCAAAGGGAACTATGGAAGGCTGCGCTCCAGAATTCACAATTTTTGGAGGAGCCTGACCGGAGGCCATGGGTACCATAATAGACGGCGAGGATGTCAGAGGCTGAACGGCCAAGGACAGAGGATGCCCCTGACGGAGAGAGCTTGATGCACTGTCGGATGAAGGGGCCTGGAATAGGCCTATGATTTTTCCTGCGAAGATGTCTGGTAAGAAACATACATGGAGGGCGGTAAAGGTCCTTGGACAGCCTACCAGTAGAGTCATAGATTGGAATAAACCCATGAGGGGCTGCGTGAATCAGTAGTGGTGGGGCAGTACGTGGTCAGAGCGGAGCAGCGCACCCGGAGACAGGCATTTACCTGCGACTAAATGTGTTTTCGGCTGGTCCGAGCCGGGATCTGTAAAATAACGGACAATATGCTTCCAAATTCCCCTCTGGACACTTCAGCTCAATCTGAAATTCAGAATATGGACGTACATACCAGCATGCTGATGCTGCAGAGGCAACGTATGGATGCAAGAGTCTGCATCCCAACGCCCACAACGCCCAGCATAGGGGGCTGCCACAACCCAATAAGGAACATGCCGCAATAGCTTATATGGGAAGACTGGCAAAGCCGGTAGTTCCGAAGGACGTGCCTGGTTATCGTCAGCAATATTAGTACAGTCGATCGGGTGTAGAGAGCATCGGTCTATGTCAGTAGGTGTTTCGTACACCGGCAGTGACATGAAGGATGCTTGATACTGCTTAGATATATTCCATATTCGCAATACATATAGGTGTTTACAAGCTGGATAATGCAAAGAACAACGATTCAGATAAAGCCACAGGAGATTATACCACGGCTTACCTGAGTAATGTACTTGTTGCAGCCGGATCTACTCGCTAGGTACGACTCGCTGCAGAGGCAATGACTCACTCTGCAGAGGATGGCAGAGGCGTGCAGAGGTGGTGCAGAGGTGGTGCAGAGGCAGTGCAGAGGCAGTGCCGAGTACATGCAGAGGTCATGCAGAGGCAAGCAGAGGCACTGCTGAGACAGCGACTGAGCACAGTACTTACTCAGGAGTCTTGGTCTATGGGAAGAGCAAGTCGACTTCGAAGTTTACGGGCTGTAACCAGGCATGACAGCCCGAAACGAACATCACATGCAGCCAACTGTTACCTACCTGCATAGATATGTCGAGTGCATGCTCTGCCTCCAGGGTGAAGTTCAAAACACGTCCACAAGTCCACGACGCGTTCGATATTCGAGGCCAACCTATGTGTACTTGCAGGCACCGGCCAATGCCGTGGCGCACTTTGACTTCCGTCCGGCGTACTACAGCTCGCAAGGTTTCTGTGTGGTGCCTCGGTGATATTCCAGCCACCAATCAGTGTTCATACTGTAGCATACTTACGTATCTTTCATAAATAATACCCAGCAGCCGTGTCAATACAGCACATTTACCTTTGTAAACAGACGTGTTCTGTGATCCACTACCACCTCTAAGGTGATCATCCGAGTCGGCCTACGAGAGAGCCGAGCGCATACATAAGCCGCTTTCCGCCACAGGATGGGTGCTTCGTTTCTACAACGTCGAAGCTAGCCTACGTAACCCTGAGATGCCGGAAGAGGAAGTGACGCTGTGATTTGTCACAGAAAATGTGACTACCATTCCCTAAGACTCGATTAACCACTGAATGATCCTACTCTGGTGCGCGCTGGCTTAACAAAGGCATATGTGCGCCCAAGAAAATATAAAAATGAGGGGATGTATAACAGTGTAATCTCCAAACGGCTAGGGATGACATACCGCTGTGACATGGGTGACATATAGCTGTGACGTGATAGTGGGCAATATCTGCTAGGAGAATGCGTGTGGCGCTGCCCCGAAACCACGGCTAGTGTCCCCAGGCGAACCAGGAGAACTACTGTAGGTAGGCTAGCTCCTTGTATGTTGCCGTGCGCACAGGAAATAAATGGGGAAAAGTGAATTTTGAGGAGCATCCTCCCCCCACTGCACAGCAACATTTTTACACATGCCACTCACAATACAGCATGTATATGGCGTACTACCCCCATCGTACTGGTCTTACGACTCAACAGTCCTGGAAGCGCCTCTGTCCTATGCGATGCCTCTGCAAGGCCTCGCCAGCCGGCGGCACGCCTCGGCATTTTCTCACTGCCCCTTTTTGGGAATCCTCTGGGAGTTGCACGCCCACGTGCCTTACGCGTCTCAAAGTCAGTGAGCCGATTCCGTCAGCGAGCAACAGCTCTCGCCCTACGACCGAGACCTGCACCTCGCACACACGGACTTCTCTGGCTCGGAGTTCCCGAGGATATTCTGTCAAGTCTCTCAGCGCAAGCGCCGCTTCGATCCTGCACTGGACATGAGCTTGCAGGACGTTATGGCGAGCAGTGTAGAGTTCGGGACGTGTGCCATGCGGGGATCCTGCGGTACGAAGGGATGGTTCGGTAAGCCGCTACCGTGTCCCTATGATGGTTCTGCGCAACCGGTGAGAGTTATTGTCTGCTTGGTTTCGCTTCCAGGAAGCTGATCTGTACCATAGCCTGAGGACGAGGAGGCTCGGTCACTACTGACGACTGTTTGCGGCCCTGAGTACGCCGAAGGACCCGTATGCTGCACTAAAGATCAAGTCGAAACATTGTATGACAACCTGAAGACCGCTGAAGGGATTATCTCCTCGTGCCCAGCTTGCCGAAATAACTTCCGGTCCTTCTACTGTACCTTCACATGCTCGCCGGACCAGGGTACTTTCTTGAACGTCACTTCAACTCAGAAGTCTAGAACTGGAGAAACTGCTGTTAAGGCCGTAGACTTCTTCGTTGGACAGCGGTTTGCAGAGGGTTTCTTCGACAGCTGTAAGAATGTGCAGTTCGGTGCCAGCAATGGGTATGCGATGGACTTCATAGGAGGGGGTGCTAAAGATTATAAGGCATTTCTGAAATTTATGGGTGACGAGAAGGATCTAGGCAGCCCTTTCCAGATAAACTATCCATCTGAGGTGCCAGATAACTTCACGGCTCTCGATCCCATCCCGCGCAGCTGTGCAGATAATGACCTGAGCAGTCGTTGCACATGCATTGATTGCCCCGACGTATGCTCCACTCTGCCATATGTTCCTCCGCCAGGTTCCGAGCCATCATGTCATGTCGGTGTTCTGAGCTGTCTCTCCTTCGTCCTCATTTTGGCTTACTGCCTAGCAGTGGCTGGATTTTCCATCGGCTATCTGCTACAGCTCACCATTCGTCGACGCAGGGAAAAGAAGTATGAAAGGTTGGTTCTGGGTGCCGATGCTGCGTCGGAAACCAACCACCCACTCTCTCCGAGGTCTGGAAATCGTGGTCTGCTGGGCGCGTCATCCCTTGCTCAGTATGTTGACGGGGAGGAATCAACCGGAGCTGCGTCTTCAGAAGAGTCAAGACATCATCTAGGACGTGGTGCGTCGCTTCTGGACCCAATGGACACTGTTCAACCTCGACAGTATCGGTTGAACAACGTCCTTCGGCGTTTCTTCTACCAACTTGGCTTTACTTGTGCAACCTCACCGTGGTTAACCCTCAGTGTTGTCTTCTTGCTTGTCGGGCTTCTAAACCTAGGTTGGACAAAGTTCCAAGTTGAGACCGAGCCCGTGCGTTTGTGGGTCGCTCCAGATTCTGAGAGCAAGCTGCAAAAAGAGTACTTCGATGAGCATTTCGGGCCGTTCTATCGTCCGGAGCAGATATTTGTCACGTCCGTCCCAGCGGCGACGGCCGACTCTGCTCCCGAGAAGCCGCCCGTTCTGTCATGGTCGCATCTCAAGTACTGGTCGAGGGTGGAACAGGGAATACGGTCTTTGCGTTCTCCAAGCGGATACAGTTTAGAAGACGTCTGCTTCAAACCCGCCGGGCCAGACGGCGCCTGTGTGGTCCAGTCGGCACTTGCGTGGTTTGGAGAAGATATCTCAGATTACGACGAGAATACTTGGGCAGAACATCTTCTTGACTGCGCCAATTCTCCGGTCGACTGCCTACCAGACTATCAACAGCCTTTGAAACCCGAATTCGTTCTCGGAGCAGTGCCTGAAACTGGCGATGGGAAGAAGGATTATCTCAAGGCTGAAGCACTAGTGGTGACTTTCGTCGTATCAGACTCCCTTGACCCCGCCGTCCAGGAGAGAGCGACGGAATGGGAACGAACGCTCAGAAAGTATCTTCTGGACGTCACAGAGCAGGCTCGACAGGAGGCGGGCCTAGCCGTGTCTTTCTCGACTGGTGTGTCCCTGGAAGAAGAAATCAACAAGAGTACGAATATGGACGTCAAGATTGTCGTTCTTTCTTATCTAGCCATGTTCTTCTACGTGTCCATTGCATTGGGAAATGGCGTTGCTGCAAGGGATGATGAAGGCGTCGTGTCCTCCCTAGCCCGGTGGGCTAGGAACTTCCCGAAACTTTTCCGTCCTACGGGGATAACCTCCTCTTCGTTATCCATCGACTCTCGTGAAACCCCTCGCCTCTTCCCTCGTCTTCCTCGGAAGTTGTTTGTCGGCTCGAAGTTCACGCTAGGACTTTTTGGCATCGCGCTTGTCATCCTCTCAGTTTCAACCTCTGTGGGCTTCTTCTCCCTTCTCGGAGTCAAAGTTACTCTCATCATTGCGGAAGTCATACCATTCTTAGTCCTGGCGGTCGGTGTAGACAATGTTTTCATTCTCGTCCACGAACTGGACAGGCAGAATTTATTGCATGGACCCAATGCAGCAGCGACAACTGCTGCAGTCCAAGGATCCTCGAATGAATACGCGACGACTCCCATGTCACCGACACGACCCGAAAACCCTAGGTCACCCTTCGCCGCATCGCATGACGAGAGCGTGGATGCTGCGTCCATGCCTTTGTACTTGAGAGCAGAGGAACGTGTAGCTCGGACACTGGCTAAGATGGGCCCGTCAATACTGCTCAGCACGGTCACAGAGACTGTAGCATTTGCACTGGGCGCCTTAGTTCCCATGCCGGCCGTACGGAACTTCGCGTTATATGCTGCCGGAAGCGTTTTATTGAACGCCCTCCTACAAGTAACCGTTTTCATCAGCGCGCTAGTTTTGGATCTCAGACGTATGGAGGTTCGTGGACTCCCAAGCCTCCTGGTATGAGACGAGATTGACCAGAATGTTCAGGCAAATAGAGTAGACTGTTTCCCTTGCATCAAGTTGCATTCGAGAGTCGCTCTCTTAGACGCTCCCTCTGCCAGCCATGGGTTAGGCTCAATTGCAAGATTCATCCGGCGTCGTTATGCCGCCTTCTTGCTACGACCTGTTGTCAAAGGCGTCGTGCTGCTTACGTTCGGTGGCCTATTCGTGGCCTCGGTCATTTCAATCCAGCATATGCAATTGGGTCTCGGTGAGTTTTCTGTTTTGCACATTCGAGTCTCGATGAAGACCTTCCTTGCAAAGACCAAAGGCTTGCGCTCCCTTCGGAGTCGTATCTCATACCTTACTTCAACGACCTGGACGCATATTTGGACGTCGGACCCCCGGTCTACTTCGTCTCCCACGACGTCGACGTTACTCAGCGGCCAGGGCAACAGGCTCTGTGCGGTCGGTTTACCACGTGCAATGAATCTTCTTTGGTAAACGTCCTCGAAGCTGAACGCAACAGACCTGAATCATCCTTCATCGCCGAACCCTCAGCTTCTTGGATAGATGATTTCCTGCGCTGGCTTGATCCCGCTCAGGAAGAATGCTGCAGAGTTCTTAAGAGGAACACAGATCGCTTCTGCACTGAACGTGATTCTTCTGCCCGGTGTCAGCCTTGCTTTGCCGGGCGAACACCGGCGTGGAATATCACTATGGAAGGGCTGCCTGAAGGGAACGAGTTCATGAAATATCTCAACCAGTGGCTGATCTCTCCAACGAACCAAGACTGCCCTCTAGCAGGGAAGGCCTCATTTGGGATGGCACTGTCCCTCTCTGAGACTCGGGATGATGTTATAGCGTCCCACTTCCGTACCTTCCACAAGCCGCTGAAGTCACAGGAGGACTTCATCAATTCCTTCGCAGCTGCCCGCCGTATCGCGGACGACATATCTGAGCGTACTGGGACGAAGGTCTTCCCTTACTCGCTCCATTACGTGTTCTTTGACCAATACGCACACATCGTCGCAATCATGCAGGAGATACTTGGCCTTGGTCTAGGGTCCGTGTTGCTCGTTACCGCCCTTCTACTTGGGTCCTGGAGGACTGGCACGATTGTCACCGGAGTTGTCGCTTTGACCGTCGTTACTGTAATGGGGGTGATGGGACTGTGGGGTATCAGCCTCAACGCCATAAGCTTGGTCAACCTTGTCATATCGCTTGGCATAGCGGTCGAGTTCTGCGCACATGTTGCCAGGGCATTCATGAGTGCTGGAACGGGTCTGCCTGCGGACCATCCTGCCGGCCAGAAGGAAAGAGACGAGCGTATGTGGACAGCATTGGTTGACGTTGGTCCGTCGGTATGTCTGTTTCGTCAGTTTTCGCTATAGACGACCAATCAGAGGTGCAGGTTCTGTCTGGTATCACTTTCACCAAGTTAATTGGGATGGCTGTACTCGGCCTCACCCGCTCAAGGCTTCTGGAAGTGAGTGACCACAAAGAATAGGAAAACGCCCAGTAAACTAACATAACGTAGATCTATTACTTCCGCATGTGGCTAACGCTAATTATATCGGGTGCTCTGCACGGGCTGGTCCTGCTTCCGGTTGTGCTAAGTCTGGCAGGTGGGCCTGGATATCCTACGCAGGAGGCTGATGAAGAATGGATGTCTAATGCGATGAGAAATGACTATGAATATGCGTGAGTTTACTGATATCCACTTCTCTTACTGGGGCCCCATTGATGAGTGCCTTAAGCCCCTTCTTGGCAGATGACGAGTCTGTAATGAGCGATTAGATACCAGTTGGAGGAGACGGATTTGTATTTTATAACATGCTACGAGGCAATGTTGCTACACATACACCGTAGAATACCCGTATTCACGCCTCATACATGGTGATGCGCATACCGAGACACTTCGCATCAGGGTGATCGAGGAGACCTGGACCTGCTATCCCTAATATCATCCCGACTATAACTTCTTCGGCCTCTGCTATAAGACCTAGACCTGCTCTTGCTGCGAGAATACCTTGAGTATGAAGAATATGATGCAGAGCGGGAGCGGGAGTATGGTGATCGGGTACGTGAGCGACTGGAACGGACAGAATAGCTTGGAGACCTAGTCCGGCGGCGACCACGGTTGTAACTGGGTGACCTCCGCCTGGGCGGGAAGCGATCCCTGGCGCGAATTGGCGAACGAGAGCGCGAGCGCGACACGGGTCGATAGGTGTCTCGCAAAGGAGGCGGTCCCCGACGTCCGTACCTTGGCCTGTAGGTATCATCCTGTCGCGGCTCATACCCTCCACGTCGTGCAAATCTGCGTGGAGGAGGCGTGAGAGAGCGAGAAGGTGAGCGCGAGAGAGAACGAGGCCTGTCACGTCCGTTCCGGATGCGAGGACGAGACGGTGATGGCGAGCGGATAGGGAGGTCTGAGAGCTCGGCTTTTATGATAGCGCCGTCAATCTGGCCGCCGTCCATGTGCGACGATGCTTCGTGCGCTGCTTTGGGGTCCGCGAACTCCAAAGCTGCTTTCCCTCTGTTCTGCCCCGCTGCATGACGAACGGGTTAGAACTCTGTACACAAGCTCTGGTACGGGCTACTCACATTTTCCAAACAATGGTAAGTCTACCTTAGTAATCTCGCCATAGAATCCAAAGATGGTCTTCAGGTGAGCTTCGACAACGTTTCGGGTCAGATTGGTGACAACTACAACGCGCGCATGCGGTTTATCGAGGCCACCGCCATTTTCCATGTCAACATCCGCATCTCGGAGCGGATGGGGCGAAGTCGAGCGGCCCCTGGGCGAGGGCATTCTGCCAGAATTCGTCCACCCTAGTACTTTGAGGTCAAGTCGTGGAACCTGCGTGACCCACGTCACGACAAGCATTGACAGCTAACATGTCACACAACTCGAAGGCCTCGAGCAAATGCACCACACGCGGTGAATCATTCACTTTCCCCTGTGAGAAGCAGATAAATCTTGCAAATGTCATGACTACTACCAACATCCACCAGTGCCACAACCATTATGGGCGGGGCCCGGCTCGTCAAACCACGGTATGTCAGGGCCATCCATATGCATCCCCCGACATGCCTAATATGCGCCCGTCACCTTCTTCCTTGAGATGCTCCGTCCTGGCCTTCTTGCGCCCGCATTTCTCCTTGCTTGCAGCGGAAGCGCCATGGGCCTTAGTCATATGCCGTTTCAAAGTATCTTGCCTGGAATAAGACTTTGTCTCGCTCGCGGGACACAGTTTGCAGGTGAAAGACCTGTAATCATCGGCATGTCTTGCCTCGTGTCGCTTGCACTCGTTTTTGCGCAGGAAACGTTGTCCACTGTAAATATTTCAGACCTGCTTTTATACAAATGACGAGGGCACTCACCAGTGTGCGCACTCGTAAGGCCGGTGGTCAACGTGGGAGCCAACGTGAGTGACAATATGGTCGCGCCGTTTGTTCGTCTGGTTGCAACCGAGTATGTAGCATCTGTAGTCCTCCAATAGTTCGCCGCGGGGTGTCAGCTTGCCTACGAAGGGTAGAAACCATGCATTATCGATGTCCTGGTCAGGGTTGCGGAGCCTATGGCGTTCCACCTTCGCTCGCAAGACTTCGATGTCCACGCCGAGATGCGCATTCAAGATCGGAGTATCCGGAAGTATAGGCCCACGATTTACGGGGGGTTGATTCGTGTTCAGATCGGCCAGAGGACTTCTGGGTCGTGACAAGTTCTTCGCCGGTTGGGAACCCCAGAGAGTAACAGAGACCAAAGGCAGCACTTTCGTCTCTTCGCAAGCCGGGAAAGTTGTGTGCAACGTCGGATAATGTAGCGCTGCGGGCCCTACCGAAGCCGGGGGTGCAAGATGTAAAGCTGCGACCTCTTGCGCGATCTCTTCCAACTTGAGGAAACTTTGATCCAGCAAGTCATATACGTTGCTATCGGACTGAGCGCCGGATACGGATCCAGAAGCAGACGGAATGTCGGAGTCAGGAGGAGGAGGGGCATCCTCCATAGTTACTGAAGGCTCCGGGGAGATATCCATGGTAATATCGCGATCTAATTCGTCAAATTCTGCTTTTACTGGAGCAGGACCCATGATACTAGCTGGATTCACACAGGCCACGGGCTCGTCGTCCCTAAGTATAGTGCGCATGTTGACATCCGGGAAGAGTCCGATCGGGGGTTCAGTTGACGTTGAACGCGCGTACGATGGTGCAGTGTCGCCGAGAGATGTTGCCTTGTCCGCGGTAGGGATTGGTCCAGCCGTGCAGCCAACAGGGGATTGAACAGTAGGAAAAGAGCGGTCGCAGGGTAAGGGACCACCAGTCAGATGAGACGTTAGCCTGAGCGTTCCGCATAGAGTATCTTCGCTATTCGCATGAAAAGTACGAGACAAAGAGCGCGACATCGGAGAGACGTCTGTCATGGTCGAGTCATGATCAGGATGAGCTCCTTGAGAGGAAACGGTACAGCGCCGGTCGCCTTCATGTTCGAGAAGTTGTCGAGTATCAACTGATCCGAGAACGGAAAGTATCCCGTCGAGTAGGATACCTAGTCCTGCTAGACTTGGCTGCTTCGACAACGTAGTGCGAGAAGCATAGCCGACGCTCATGTTGGATTGGAAGTCATCTTGCGAAGGTAACGCATTGAGCTCGGACGAGCAACTCGTGGGGTATCGCGGTGAGAATAGCATGCCTGTATAGGTATAGTCTTTAATCGGATCTTCGTCGCAGTATAGTTTGTTCTTGTGGTAGGGAGAGACCATTAGTTGGGTAGGGCTGTAGAGTGTGTCGTTCAGAGAGTCCTCGCCGGAAGGATAAGTGTCCATGTTGGAGGCTATTAGCAAAAAATAAAATAACGTCTATAGTCGTGAAGCGTAGAGTAAAGGGCCCGTCGCCGAACGACAAGCGAGCGAGCCAGACAAGAAGACAGGAGTATGTTGAGCGCAGCTGCAGTGGCGGCGGCTGTGTTCGCGTCTCTTACGTCGTGTTGTTTGGCTCTGCTTGCCCGTGTCGCGATCTCTGCCCCGATCAGGACTCACCGCCCGCCATTTTCACAGCCAATCCCAGTCATCCCCGCGCTCATGACCTCCGACGCCCCCCAAATCAAAGCCAAGGCTTCCCCTGCCAGTGCATCTAAACCTCGAAAGAGATTCGTCGGAAGCAAATCAAGCGCTCCTGTGAAGTCCTCCTCTGCCGCCTTTGTCGCAAACCAGATCCCTCAAGATATCCTCGCTGATGCACAGCTGAATAATGCGATCAAGCAGCTGCCATCCAACTATTCTTTCGAAATTCACAAGACAATACATCATATCCGCAAGAATAATACGAAGATGGTTGCGCTGCAAATGCCTGAAGGGCTTCTTATGTTTGCTTGTACCATTGCAGACATCATTGAGCGGTGCGCAGGTGACCGATTCACTTTCTTGATTGCACTTTCCATGCACTTTCTTACTTTGCAAATATCTTAGGTTTACTGATGCGCTCACCGTTATAATGGGTGACGTCACATACGGCGCCTGTTGCATCGACGACTACACTGCAGTGGCCTTGGGGTGCGACATGTTGGTGCACTACGGTCACAGCTGTCTTGGTGAGTTCTTTTCTTCGGAATTCGCTTATATCCTCCTTATCTTTGCGAGCAGTTCCTATCGACCAGACGACCATCAAGACACTGTATGTTTTTGTCGAAATCGCCATCGACTCCTCACACCTAGAGCAGACGATACGTTGGAACTTCCCCGATGATCGGGGTCGGTTCTATGAAACACTCCTGGAGGGTCAAGCATCGAATGCAGGGCTTTCGGCTGGCCAAACTCTGGGCTCGAGTGATCACCTCCGCATAGAAGGTCCGGATCCAAATGTGGACAGTAACACTACCCCAGATCCAGCGGGCTCTGGCATAAACAACATCGTCCCTTCACCTGAACCCACGCGACTCGCCTTGGTCTCGACTATTCAATTTGTGGCTGCGTTGCAGCGCTTGAAAGATGACCTAAGCTCGAGCTGGCATGACAGATTCGGGGGCGGGGAAAGATCTGCGTCAGGCCCTACGGAGGGCCTTGATCACTTCAAGACCAACAGATCAACTCTGCAGGTGTATGAGTCAACGGAGAACAGGCTATGGAAGGGAAAATACGAAGCTACCATTCCGCGATCGAAGCCTCTGTCACCTGGAGAGATTCTAGGTTGCACGGCGCCGACGTTGACCGACGTAGATGCTCTAATGTGGGATGCTTCCCTGCCCTACACCAGCCTATTACTAATTGCATCTCTATCCAGATACCTCGGCGACGGACGTTTTCATTTGGAGTCCATCATGATAGCTAATCCAGACGTACCTGCTTTCCGCTATGATCCCTATTCAAAGAAGTTAACAAGGGAATACTACGATCATAAAGAGATGCAGACCGTCCGAGAGCAGGCTATAACCACAGCGAGAAGAACGATTGAGGCTCTCTCACGTCCCTCGGCGGCGAAGATGCAAATTGTTCATGGTTCTACTCCTCGTGAGGATCCATTGTGGGGTGTCATCCTTGGCACACTAGGAAGACAGGGTAGCTTCCGACAACTTCAGGTGCCTTAGCACAAATATCTCTCCCGTTGTCTCGATCGCTGACACTTTCTGCATCTCAGGCCATCACGCGGCAGCTACGTTCCAGTCGTACGCCCATCCCCTACATACCCATCCTTCTCTCAGAGTTATCCCCGGCCAAGCTCTCTCTATTTAATCCACACATTTCTACCTTTGTTCAGACGTCCTGCCCCAGGCTGTCCATTGACTGGGGTTATGCGTTCGACAAGCCCCTGCTAAGCCCGTATGAAACAGCCGTTGTTGTCGGGAACACACCCGGGTGGACGAGCCCTGCCGCACAGAGGACGAAGTCGGGTGGGGTATATCCTATGGATTTTTATGCTGCGGGCAGTCCGTGGGCTGTATCTAGGGTGAAAGGCGCCTTCGATTGAAGTCTGGTCTGCGAAGTGCATTGTAATCTATAGTCGTTGTATGTATCTATAGTACCGTTTAGGGGATAATTCCAGCAGGATAATTCGAGGAGTAGCGTATGATATCTCGATCAACAGTTTCTATGCCTGTCACGTGTGTAGACTTTATAGTGGCGCGTACGGAAGTTAATGACTCTTCCCTACGACGCGCGTCAAGCTTGTAGCGTGTGTGCTCCTCGTGCTCTCAAGTAACTCAGATATACCTCATCACCATGGAGGTATCTGGTATGGCACGAGGGATGCAACAGGAAAGCGGCCATGTAACCCAGCCGCAGGATTCGATCACTCTGGGACAGCTGAGGAGCATGGTGGCTTCTGCCCCGAAGCCAAAGGTGTGTGCATCTCGTCTAGACCTTCCGATTCAGAAATTCTAAAGGAGCGCTATGTAGCAATCATACTATGACTTCCGTTACGACGATGAAGATACCATGCTCAATGAAATCGAGGAGTTCTATTCGTATGTCGAGGTGGCTCAGGTGGAGGAAAACCTGAAGGCTTGGGAGGGGTCCTTCGACGGAGGTATGCTTGTACTTCCACTGGCCCGGGCGCTGCTCAACGCTCCGCTTCACAGAGTGGGTGAAAGCCCCGGCGTCGCAAAGGAAGGCCCGGATAGAGGTCCTCTTGGAAAGCCTCGAGCACAAGGATGCTGTCATACGGTTCACGAATGCTCGGAGGCTGCTGTACATAATGCAAGGTGTGTCTCGCGTCAAGGGTAACGTGGTTGGTGGGTCCTCAAGCCTCACTTTAGGATCCTTTGCCGAGACGACTTCCCCGGAGCATCAGTTGCATTGGATATTCGAGAATTGCAAGCTTGTTCGGGCAGCCAATGGTCTTAGCTCGATTGTAGAGGCGCTCAAGATTGCGAGCGCTAAACATGACTTACTATTGTGAGGCTGTGCTTCAACTATTTCTGACTGGAGCGTCCTGACGAGCGTGCTACCAAGCAACATGTCAGATACTGACACTGCCCGATTCAATATTACGCCTGCAGAGAAAACAGATTTCTTAGAGGAAGTGATCACGGAAATTTCTGTCTATTTAGGAATGCTCTATCATCTCATAGAAGTGTGCAAAGGCCATGACGATTTCGCGGATGAAATGAGTGAGCACAGTTCCTCCGATATGTTCGCCTAGACTAATACGCCCAGTGAGCCTGGATCCTCCACTTCCTGTTTACCTCATGAACGTGGTAGCTAGCCTGCGAGACAGGATATCCAAAGGGTACCCTGTAAAGAAGGTAAGTTATGTGCTCATGTCCGATTCCCTTGTTCATAATGGTGTAGCTTCTTCTGGTAATGTGGAAAACAATCCTCTGTGCTTTCGGTGGCATCCGCGAACTTGCGAGAGTCAAGAAACTTTCTCGCGAGTTAGCAGGTCTGCCTCCCGTTCCCGAAGAGGGTGCGTGATGCTCCGTATCGTATGTCACTTAGACGCAAATCCCATGTGCAGCGCTACCTATCAAGGCCACGCCCCTGGACATCGAGGCCTTTCATCAAGAGACGTTGGTGAAATATCCTACCTTCATGGCCCATGAGGATCCGCTCCCGATCCCTAACCAACCTGTGCCAGCACCCAGGCTAGCCGAAGCCTACGCACCCATTCCTGTTCGACATCACTACCACCATGATGATGACTCTCACCATCTCCCGCATGGACCGCACCCCTTTCCCCAACAACAGCCCTCTGGTTCCGGTTTCCGCGCCATCCCCCAGCCGGTAACTCCTGCACCGTCACCGCCGCCCTCACCAAAGCCGAAGAAACAGCAATACCAGACAGACCAGAATCGGCCCTTCCTATTCCCATTTTCTCGAAGCAGTATGAGGAGTAGAAGCAGGCGTCTCGTTCCATATGCTATTGAAGAAGCCGACAAGTTATATCATAAGCATATGTACATCAGCTTGGCACTATGGCAAATGTGGCGCACGAGAGAGGATTGCATGACAGCCGAGAGTGGATTGGAACACATGCCAGGATCAGAAGTGTTTCCGGAGTCTAGTCAAACGGATGCCGAGGACGTAGGTCTTCCTCAATTCATGGCATTCAAGCCCGTACTGATGTAAGCCAGGATGAATTGGTCGAGCCTCTCGCAGATGTAGCCTTACTCGACCAGAGGATTGCTGAAGCAGAACAAGCAATAAAGCAAGCTGATACCAGTACAGCCAGGAGGAAAGCTAAGGAAAGGAAGGAAGATCTGATGCGCTTGAAGAGGGTTGAACAGATATACGTAGGCAACATCTAGGCCTGTCATGACTATGCCTTGCTGATGGCTTTCAATCATTAGGCTGCCGGCTTGCCCGTTTTATCGGGATGGGTCCTAGTTTTGTTAAAACTTTTGCTGGCAACTGTGTCCGCAGCAACCAGTACACAACCTCCTCCATCAGCTGCCTCCGCTGGCTTCCCGCCTGGCGTCTCGCCTCGTGAGTGTATGGTGTCTCTGCAGAGATAAGGAGCTCACTCTATGTTCAGCCCCCGAGCAGCCTCCGCCTCCTCCACCAAGCTTTGAGGAAACCGACGTGCTTCGTCATCGGGAGATAACCTCGAAAGCCGTTTCCGCGATATTATTGTTGACGATGAAGTGGTTTAAAGTATCTCGTGAGTGGCGTGTTCGAGGGACGCATGGAACAATTCTGAGTTCCGGTAGATGTCATGAAATTCCATCATCTCGGCCAGTTGCTTCTGGACACGAACTGTCTGTTACTCATATTGAAGATGTTCGGATTACAAGAGGTCGCCGTTTCGGTTGTATCAAAGGCTGACTTGCCGGAATTCAAGTATGTCTTTAACCTATTGCATTGATCAGGTCTGACCGAATGATAGCTTCTTCCGATACTGCTATACCAAATTCTCGAGGAATCCGCAGCCCAATTACTTCAAGGACGAGCCGAAGAAGCCGTATGTCCGCAAAGTGATTCAGAGCGGGCAAAGTCAGGAAGAGGAGGTCGAATATCTGACTGAGTTCTCATGGCGGAACTTCTTCTCGAACATCAACTTTGCTCGGATTATGCAGAAACTATCCAAGCATCGTTCTCATCGAATATGGATGCTTGTGCAATATAAGAGTTCGGTAAGCAAAACAGGGTTTTGCATCCCTCTGTATTTTACTGACCATACATGCAGGCCGTCTTGAAGCGTGTCTTGAAAGTCAATCACAAGATGCTGCAACTGCATATCTTGAAGCTCATCAAGAGCCAGGTGCCCTTCTGCGGACGAAAGTGGCGGCAATGTAAGAACCCAGTGTACACATTTGGTGACGGTGTCTGAGCTCTACTAGCAAATATGAAGGTCATAACGTCTATCTATCTCAACTGCAGACCAGACTTGAGAGATGAATGGCTGACTGGAACGGAAGTTGACGATGTTGCTGATGCACAGGTAAGGAATTCTGCTCTTGGAAGGCAAATGCCGGCAATGACCTCGACAGGCTCAAGAACAGGCGTTGCGCCATTTAGTCAAGTTCTGTAAGCTCTCCTTTGGTGTTAATGATTTGGCTATTCATCGATGCATTCAGATAATAGCAAGCGATATGGGCAAACAGCTGGTCATCAGGCGCAAGCTCACAAGAGATCAGTCAGCATGTCTCATCACCTGGAGGGACTAGACCCAGGATATCAGTTATCGGGCATGATACGACCCGTTGGCACCCCCAATGTTGTAGAAGCGGACGTCTTCCCGCCTGTCCGTGCGCAAGCTCCCGACCCCTCGATATTCCTGCCATACATTCCGGAAGACATAGCATTCGAAGAAGAATACGAAGAGTATTTATCCGACTTAGGTTGGTCAGATTCAGCTATCGAGAGCGCCGGTGATGCCCCGCTCTTCGGCGGGACATCGGCCTGGCACAGACTTCCCGAATTTGTCTCGGAAATAGCGGATGGAATCAGCGATAGTGAGAGTATTGTTTCGATTGGTGAGCTGGGTGACGAAGCTCGATTGGATGTTGGGCGTGATAGCGACATCCCGGACGAGAATGTCAACAATTGGGAGGTGAGCTGTTGTATTATCTGTCTCCGAGGAGTTACTGTATAGCCACGACCCAGCATATGAGCCCGAAGACGATGGCTGCATTGCCCAAGTCCCCAGCAGGACCGCGTCGGTCAAATTCCGGAGGCGGACTGCGGCCCGTGTTGCCCTTCAATCTTGATGATAGCAGCGCGGTTGAACTTGATACTGAGGAAGAAGAGGAGATGGGACCGATGCCCCGTGAACAGTCTGGACCCTTCGGTGCAGGAGGAGGTGTCGACGAAGTGGAGTATGCGTATGGGTAAGGTCTTTCCTCCCCATGCGGCAACCTACAGATCAATGACGCATTCCCTACAGTGTCTGAAACTTCAAGCTTCGAGTGTGAAATGGGATTCTGGACCCATGGGGTTCCACCTACTAGTAATCTTTACCCGGACATTGTGCATCTCATGACGTCTCGATGGAACCGCGTTGGAGGATCGGATGCGTTTAGACCGTGATGAAGCCTGATTACATCCAACCTTGCGTGGGCCAAACATGGATCCACTGTTCGCTCGGGCTACTTTCAGGCACGGGGCGCCACGATGAAGAGGCCTGTGATATTGCTGCGGTCCTCCCGTTCCGTGCTGTTCAGCTTGGGAAAGGCGGAGGAGCACTGCGCAGTCTCACACTAAGGCGATACTCCCTGGACCAGAACAATCGGTCCGCTGATATGATGAACAAGGTCGACTGTGAACGAATCGAGCCGTGGACGGGTGATCGATGGATAACTGATGATGATGCATGCGCATGCGATTGAGAGAACGAAGGCCGCAGAAACCGGCACTTGGCCTTGCCCTTATTTTTGTCAGAGCCACAATACAGCGTGCCGGCCATGCGCAGAACGTATCAGCAGCCGCAGCTGGCCCTGTGTTGGTCCCGGAACCGTGCAGAGTCTTCATGACTCGGACAGCGTCAGTTCTCGTACGTGTATGGAATGTAATACTCCTGTGTTGTCCGTCCGCAGGCCCTGGATCGCGTACCCTTTCTCTACCTTTTGCGGCGACTGCGTGGAGGAGCTGCCGAATGTGCTTATAGATCGCTTACGTAAGCAGTAAGGTCCGGTTGAACTCCTAGAAAGAGAAAATTGTGGACTCCGCCAGCAACGCACCTCTTGGCCAGACGCCTCTCGGATCGACCCTCTCTCTGTCGGTCCTTCGTTGTTGATACCACCTTTCCCGCTGCCTTCGACGACAGCGACGGCGTCGACAGAAGGGGGCATCCGACTGCAAGCTACCTAGAGTCTCGGTTTGCAACACCGCCCGGCCCTCCAGGCTCTGACGGTGTTTGTACCTGCCCTTTCTCTCTCCTGCTCTGAAAAGGCACGCCTTCGTTGTGCGTTCGCCACCCGCCGCCACTCCCCTTCCCCCTAGACTCTCGACAGTCCGCTTCACCTGTCTCTGAATCCTTCACGACCTACGTTACGACCGCCTTTCCATCTAGTCACGCTCTTTCTTGAAGAAGGAGTACCACGCAACAGTTTTTGTCGTCGGTTGCCAAGTCTCGCTTGACGCACGACAAACTCCTTGGGAACACCTCCCCCTTGCCGATGCCAGTTCCTGTCTATCGGTCACCAGCACATCGAGTTATCAAGCATCATCAATCTGGCGACCGTAATCAACCCCCGCGTTCTGTCCTCGGACATCTGAAGACTTCTTTGCCTTTGGTCCCTTTGGGTCCGCCTCCGTCTTTTGGGTCACGTGAAGAGTGGATCAACTCATTACCCTCCTGGCGGCGCAATAAATCGCGCGAGACTTGGGAGGAGACGTCCGCCACGAGAAGTTTTGACAAAGGGTTGACGGTCGCGGCTAACGCGACTGTCATTAAAGGAGTTCGCGCGGAAGCGTGTATTCCGCCCGTGTCACCAGGCCTGCAGCCCAAGTCCGAGGTTATGGACGCTGAAGGTAGAACGATGCACGGAGATAGTGCCTCTCGGAACGGGAGAGATACCAACGGTGGTTGGCACCGTTATGGGGAAGTTCTGCGCGTTAGGGAGCTGAAGCAAGAGAACGCGTATGAGAAGGGTGCATTCACCCCCGTTTTCGAGGATATGTCGCCCGAAGCGGACGGTGGGGAGGCCGATTCCAGTCCTCCTGAGCCGGTCACTCCTTTCGGAGAATACGTTGATCGAGCCATGGCCACTGGTCCGCCTGTCCAGGTGTACGAATCCATGCCCGCGCCGCCCAACTACTACCCTCAGGAGTATCACTATACGTACTCCATGGTTCAGTATCAGCCTCAGCAGGACGTCAACAAGGATGCGCAAGCGGTCCATCAAGTAGCGCCTTCGGTGTCGGACTCCGCGACCGCCCCTGTAGCGTCGGCTGCTTACAGAAAGTTAGCCGAACCCCTGTCGGAATGGGTTGCGAGTTATGTCTGGAAGGCTTGCGTTACTGGCATGGGCTTACCAGCCGAATACACGGAGCATGGGTACGTGTCTTTGCTGCAGGGTTCCCATTGGGAATATTATGCTGACCTTATGTATAGTGCGAACCCTTTGTTGGAATACTCAAACTCGCCCCCTAGCTACTTGGCCGGATCTGTTCGCGGGTTGTTCCTGTCCACATTGTTACAGCCTTCGGCCGTCTTCCTGGCTGTTTGGTACATACTCCGGCTCCCAGCCTTTCTGGGCCCGATCAACTTTGGGCCTGACCGTGTAAGGGAGGCCCAGTTCAGGACGGAACTACTGAATGATTCGCTGCAAGGCATAGACAAGGAGTCTGTTGCCAAAGCCCCCTACAAGCTTATTGTCCTGGGCTGTATGCTCGCGAACAAGTGGTTGGACGACCATACTTTCTCCAACAAGACTTGGTATGTTGCATATCTATCCACAGTACTGACTAGTCACTGACAGCTTTCTCTTGGGCTCTAGGCATACTATATCCAGCGTCCCTATTCTGTCATTGAATAGGCTGGAGTCACTCGCGCTGCATTTCTTCGGCCACGATCTCTCCATTGACGCTGATGTCTGGTCCAATTGGCTCCAGCGCCTCCTGGACTACCATGTGTCATTGCCAGGTGCCACGCCTCAACCGATATCTCGTCCTTCGAGCAGTCCTCATGCCATCATTAAGAAAACGCTTGAGGATCTGATGGTTGTCCCGTCTACCACTAATGCCCACCATGACTGCGGTGAGAGAACCTGCTCGGGAACGACGTTGGGACCAGTATTCCTGGGATTGGAAGATCGTCGACTGGAGAAGGCCCAGAGGGAGGAAGGCATCATTGACCCGGGTGTCGATGTCCTTGAAATTGACCTCGACGAAGATGGGCCATTGAGGGAAGAGTATCTTCCGAGACGTCGTATCAGCAGGTCAGGTTCTGTCCGAAGTACTGCGTCGAGCTCGAGAAGCGCGCTTCATAGCGGTGGACAGACCCATGACCGAGATGTCAATTTGCCTCCACCGGCAAAGTGGAGTCCTGCTGCCGACGAACCTATAGTGTCGCAGAGGAACAGGGAGAACGGTCAATACATCGCCGTCCGCCCGCCACTTGTGCCTGCTCCTGTGAACTATGTCGTCCCTCCCCCTCCTTACATTGCACCTGCCAGCACCGTCTATCCCAACTGGGCGGGCTACGCGGTTTCAAAGCCGTCAGTCCCTCCCACTTACATGCACGAGAATGCTGGTTATGCAAACGTATCGGGTGATTGCGGTGGCTCCTGTCTTCATCCTTCCACCCGTTCGCGCTCGCATTCGGTATCTTACGACCACGCTAATTCCCAGTGCGCTCTTCATCATGCACGCTCGCGATCGCAAGCTCGCGTCGACTATGGCTACTCCGAAGTGCATATGTCCGCTGGGCAGTATCGTATGCCGGGTCCTTTCGAATATCATTGGGCGGCTCCGAGTTACTCATACCCTGCTCCTTACGCGCATTCTTTTGCTCCTGGCCCCCGGGTCGACTATCAACAGACCTGGCTCCGCGCCTGAGCTTATTCCGTTCTTTAAAGAAGACAGCCTAGAGTCAAATCAGGTCCTATTGCCGTCATTGCATGTCTTATCTTCAACCCAGCCTCCTGGGCCAAGGTCTTCCAATGCTCGTCTCGAGCGTGCTCCGAATAGAATGGTTCCGGTTCGGCCCTTACAGTGTCCTCTTGCGGCCACAATTTCTCTGCAAGTAACTCATCTGTCTCTCTCGGATTATCAATCTCTGTATTTTGTCTTCATCTCTCAAGGTCAACCTCATTGCATATAAGCGACATATCCATCCTGTCGACAGGAATTGGCCAAACTCGCCGGAAGCTTTTCTGGCGATTGTTATTATCTCGTCATCTCGAGTATTTATATCTCGGTCATTCGGCTTTCGAATACTTCGCCTCGGACACTGATACGGCTAATGGGTGGAGGTACGAGGGATCGCCCTTCGTATGCCTCCGACAGTACTATTCTCAGGGTATCAGCAGGATTGCCCTCGATCCTCGTTGGACTGTTACGATTTCTCGCGGCTTTTCTCCTTGATTTCTCTAGCGGAATCTCTTCAAACAGTCGTCTATCACTAGTATCACTACGGTCATATTAATCCTTATGTTTGTCTTTTGACCCATCCCTTTCCGCTTTGCTCACGCTTCACGCTTTACGAATCACAAACATGCATAAAAACGTAGAAAATCCCAAAACCAGTCGATCTCTACTCTCTTCGCGTTGTACATCTTTGCGCTGGTCACTTCCCATTTTGCCGTTGTCTTGCGTTGTTCAGTAGGTAAGTAGTCATGCACCAGTTTCCTGTTGTTCTCCGAATATGTATCGTATAGCTTGCGTTCAACGGAGATTTTACGTGCGTTCGTCTTATACTTCGCGTGGTACCAAATCCTGCTAGCTGGTAAGGTGACAGTACTTCTTCTATTCTTATTCTCATACAAGCGCCGACGTATGATACAACTAAATCCTGACGACAATGAACGGTACCTGCAGATATGTTCAGAAATCATAGTAATGGTTGGCGAGGGAGAACGCACCTCAACGTCCTCGTCATTCTCATCCGAAACCATTACTTCCACTATGAGGTGCTTCACGTGAGGTGGTATAGGCTTCTTGCTGACATGCTCCACCAACTTGCTGAATCTCATTGGCAACCGCTCGTCGCTCTGTAACATACGGGTAAGATAACTTATGAGAGAGATTTCACTCGAGCAAATTAGCACATACCTTCTTCTTGCCAATGAACGAACTCCATAGCATGCTCACGCCTTGACTGACCATACCGACTTCCAGATTCAACTCTTTCTTGAACCAGTCGATGACCTCCTTCAAGGTTGGGTCACCCTTAAATTCGAATCGATCCCAGAGGGTCCACTCCGTCGAGCCGTACTTATTCTTCTTCGCAGCGATCGGTTCTGAGAAACCGAAGAAGGGCAAAGCGAGATTGACAAAACCGTTCTTGTAATCTTCCAACTTGTCCTTCCCGTCAATCAGCTGATTGATAGCAATAGTTAGACGCGTTGAGTATCTGCGTGGCCGTACCACGCACCTTGTACAGCTCCAGGCAGACGAGCCCCACGACCAAGGACGTCGTAGTGGCGATGGCTGGGATGATCTTTCCGGCAATTTGCTTTGTTGTATGCCGATCGGCTATCTGGATGTGATAGTTCATCGCCCGCAAATTGGAAGCAGCTGTGATGAAGTCGATGTGATGGTTGGTGTCATCATCCTTTTCGAACTCCACAGGGCTGAGACGGTAACCAGCCAAAGACGATGGTGCCGGGAGCTTCTTGACAAGTTCGGACGCATCACCGGAATCTGAGGGTTATATTTAACCCTGAGGTATAGATTGTTAGTAGGGAACTATCACCCACCGGTGTTGCCACCCTCCGGTGCGGGATCGTTGTCATTGATCTGAACCTTGACACCACTCTTGGGAGTGAACTCTGGCACAACGACGGAGTCGGCCACCTTTTTGAAGATTGCTGGGTCTGTCTCCCCTCGTAACCCGTAGTTGTAGGCGTGTAAGTTAGCTGCGGCGATAATGAAGGCGAGGTGTTGAGGCTGCGTGCGAGGTATCATCAGTAAATGCATCATAGACCTTAGGCGTCGCTCCACCTACATCGTTGGAATCGAAGTTCAACGGATCGGGCGCTCGCTTGGGCCCACTCCAGAACGGCTGACCCGTGCTGGTAACGGCATCCTTGGGCAAACTATACAGCAGCTGTCGGATGTTGTGGTTGAATTTCTCTTCGAACTGCAGCCTCGCCCACACAATACACTCCTCGAATGTCAGAGGCTTGTTCGTCACGAGGAATGACACTAGCTGTTCCAGCTGCTCTTTCTGCTGGCCAGAGTACTTCAACGTACTTTCCAAGTAGTTGGGCTCGGACAGGTACGAGTTCACCGACTGTGCAGGCTTGACAAACAAGTTGTCAAATTCTTGACGACTCCACTACAGGGTGTTGTGAGACGATCGAGCCTCCTTCATTTTATGAATACCACAGACCTCAATGGTATGTTGGATAGCGTTGGGGAAGTTCTTGACAGTGCATGAAGGGGTCTCCTTCTCCGGTGGGTCTTGCGATGATGAGTAAGATTCCGTTAAGTGAGGTACGATGACTTGCGTGTTGCCCTTCGTTCCAAGGGTCCCAGACTCCAGCAATGGCTTCAAGTAGAAGACGCAGCGCTGGTCCATGTACTGACCTATATCCGCTGAGTGAGGCAGATGAACGGACGAGATCAGTCGAGTTTACGCACGAGCTTTCACATTATCCAGTGCATTTGTGACGCCGTCAATGCCATCGAAGAATTCGTCGCCGTAGACATCTGAAATCACACATGAGTAACCGCATGTCAGTATGAAGGGACATACTCACTTTCTGTATCGGGACCGACAGGCTCCTGCTTGCTTAAAATGTGTCCCTTCAGGTCAGGGTTCATGGCCGCTACCGCGGCCGCGGCAACCTCAGCCTTGAACTTCCCGAGATCCTTGGCCCTGAACAAGAACTGTCGGTTCAGGTTACTCTTCTCGATCGTGTCCAAGTCAGTGACATGGATAATGCCCCTGGGCCCAGCACCGAGACCCATCATGCTCCAGTTCTTCAACATTTCACAACCAATAGCGCCGGAACCCACCAAGAACTCGCGGAAGTTGGCGATCTTGTCCTGGAATACTTTGCCGAAGACGGCCACCTGGCCGTCGTAACGGGAACCGATGGGTTGGCAATCTGCCTCCGTGGGAGCAGTAGCAGGGAGAGACTCCAATGAGTCAAAGTACATATGCTGCACCATAGGATGGAATTTGGCGGAACAGGCTTTCAGAACTTCTTGAGCAACGAAGCCTCCCATGACGGCGATAATAGGAGATACGTCTCCAGACGCCTGGTAGGCCAGTTCGGTGATGACCTTCTCGTCTACTTCTTGCTCCAGCTTCTTCGCCAAAGCTAGAATTTGTGCCGCGTCTTCAGCGTTGCGAGGGCGAGGAAGGCGGCCGTTCTGCACGCGGAACTCTGACAAAGCTTGGAAACCCGCGTGAAGGGTAGCTGGTCGTTCCCACTTAGCGAAGTCAGTAATGAAGTATTCCGGCGATTTGAGAGACTCTCGAAGGGATTTCTGGGACATTATAGTTAACTTCTGGAAACCAACATAACGGACTACGAGCGCATACAAACTCAAGAATCTTCGGCATCTTGACTTGCGTGAAGATACCACCGGTTTTGTAATCGCCGAAATTCGATGTGTCTCCGATGGTGAACGTGTACGGGCCTTTGACGGTGACCTTCCGGGGTTCGCAGCCATTGAGCTCCTCCATACCCTGAACTTCACTGAAGGTCACGAAGTCTCCATCTTGGAGGCCGTGCCGGGTCTCGTCAAGAGTCGTGACAAGGCCTTCCTTGTCCTGGAAGACATATTGGGTTCAGTTTGTACATCGTTAACGGCGTGACATACCTTCTCGACCGAAACGATCATGCCGGTCAGCGGCTGTTCGCCAGTGGGATCCACGCAGGTGAATTTTGGGCCAAAGTCATTGAAGGCCGAACTGACAAAATGTTAGAGGACATAGCGACGTCACGCACCAAAACCATGCACATACCCAAACAAACCACGTGTCTCAGCAGCAATAAAGTGGACTCCGTTCTTATGTGTCCAGTCGTTGATCTCCAGCTGCTTCGCGATTGGGACGCCGCACAAGACAACGACCTGGAGAGGAATGTTAGATGAGGTCGCAGTGGTGAGATACATCCACTAACCTGGAATCCCTGAATCATATCAACGGTGATCTCTTGACCAGGCTGTCCTCCAAGGTCGCGGACAGGCACATATGCATTGAGTTCAGCCAGTCGGGGGACCGTCACTGCAGCACGGGATTTGCCAATATCCTCCTCACGAAGGAAAAACTATCGCAGATAGCCCTCGAACCAGCACAAACATCAATTCGCGCTTGGAACGTACCTGTGTGCTCAAGTCCTGGATCTTGACGGGTTCGGGATCGAAGATGGTAACGGATTTGACACCAGCCAAACAGACGTTCTTAGCTGAAAATAATACATGAGACAACGGTGCAGCGTGTTGGACTACAAATAGTGACCTATTTCGACGCCCAATCCTTGTACCCCTACGATGAGGATGTTCGAAGCCGCCATCCGCTTCATCGCTACAACCAGATCAGATGCCGCACATCGATGGGATTGTGAAAATCGTACCTTCATGGCCAAGAACATAGCTTTGGATGCGCAGAGGTTATTCCAATTCTCGAGCTTGGTCAAGTCAAGAGGACACTCACAGCTGCCGCGAGTAGAGGCCTTCGTCGATGGCCGTCTCGTCGATGTCCATCGCGGACGGGAGGTTTGCGGCCATTATCCTTAGAAACTATCAAATACAAGAGTGGTCGTTAGATATCTATGCACAATCGCGTACGGTGTGAGCCCAGAAGTGAATAAGTGAAGCAGTCCTGAGCAGCCTTATATTGGACGCGCGGCGCCTTTACGCGTTCTATGAGTGCGGTACTAGGTATGACTAAGCTGGCTTCGGACAGCCAATCGCCACAGCCGAGCTGTAAAGCTCAGCGCTGAGCGCTGAGCAACGGTACGGCCATAGCCACGGTTTACACAAGCAAAGCTGAATGTCCACCGTGTCCTCCCGGTAACGTTCAGGATTTGTGACGAAAAGAGCATGAAGTTCAAGGCGAAATTGAGGGGAACTTATTTATTAATAAGGGTTCGTAATCCAAACACCCTCTCGGAAGAAAGGTTCTCTGCGGCTGTACAGACCAACTTATGTCAACGAGATCCTTAGACTGAGATGCGATATGCCATTTGCAAAGCTGCTACCTTTTTGCGCGATAAATATGCCGGAAAAAAACATGATGAACAGGAGAGTATAGGATACAATCAGACCAAATGCAGCATACTGGATGCCCTACTTTCGATAGAACTACGAGCAGTCACGTCAGTGCAAGCAACGAAGCACATATAGCAAGGACTCACGTTACGGCGGAAATTGAACCAAAGAGACAGGCAACCTCGATCGAAACTACAGCGGAAACCCCTGTAATATGTTTGGTCAGGACGATGTCCTTAAGCGGTGGTCGCGCAAAGAAATACCTCTTATGAGAAAACTCCCATTCACGGTTTACAATCCTGAATGCGATATCTTCGTATGGGGGTCCTGCTGTGAAGTACAGCAGAACAGTCTCGTCATTGCCGGGCTCCTTGATGATCTTGTAAGTCGGGGCCTTCGACTTGTCAATGAGATCCGGATAGAATATATTGAACTACAGCCACAAATCAATAATCTCCACACAATTCCGGAATATCGAGACATACCTTATAGCCCTGGACAACCTTCGGAGGAGGGTTGTCAGTGCTACATAACACATTAGTCACGGTCGGACATAAACGATATCAAGAGAGCATACTCGTAGTGCGTCTGATTATATTTATTCCACTCATATCCCGTATGCACGCGATTGAAATATCTCGGCTTTCTGGGTCTGTACTTGTCTTCCCAGTTGTACGTAGCAGGCGTGGGTAGATTCTCTTCCAAATTGAATAGTTCTTCTTCCTCGTCCAGCTCCCGTTCGGCCTCGGCACGGTACAAGGCTTCAGAAGCCAGGTCAGCACCACTGGGTGCCTCCGCATCCTGGATTTCAGGGGTGGGACGGGAGGCTCTTGGGATGAATCTTGAGCCTGCCACACTACGACGCTTCTCGAACTGTAAGTAGAAGGTCAGTATCAAGAGGCTTGCCGGGAAAACCAGCGGAGCATACCAGAGCGCGTAAGTCCTCCTCCTGCGTAACAATATCAATTTGTCGCTCTTCAGAAGGTAGTGTCGTAATGTCGATCAGGGGAGGGCTCATAGACCTGTCATATGGCTCAATCTCCTCTGCTGGGACAGCCTCTCGCTCGGCCGGGGCAGTTGAGGGAGCAGGAACTTCATTGTCCATAGCTCGGTGAGCAACGCCCGCCAAGAGTTCTTCCTGTGCTTGGAGGGCTTCGTCTCTTTGACGTTTCCGGAGCTGTTCCAGTCTGTTCCGTACGACAACTTCGTGGAAACTCTTCAGCTTGGCCTATCAAAAGTATAATCAGTTACGTGATCCCAGATAAGGTGACATGTATTACCTTCGCCTTCCATACCAGCAGTTTCTTGAGAAGGTTTTCCCAGTAATCCGTATCGACCGGTTCCCCGCTGGTGAGCTTGGCTTGGATGGACTTCTGAAGGGCCACCAGATGGTCGTAGGACTTCCCAGAGAGGAGGGCATTAACTTGTGCCTCCACAGCCGCAGCTGCCTCTACTCCCATGCGCCGGTCTATCTTTATTCTATCCAGTTTGTCTTTGCAGACGACCATCATATTCTATGGGAAGGTTCAGTAAATTTGCCGTCTTTGCAATGACATGACTTTGAACATACCGTCCAGAAGTCGATGTTCACTTCATCTTGTTCGAGCGACAGATAATGTTCAATGTCGTCATGCAGCTCTTCAACTTGATCCGGTGAGAGGCTCTGTACACAACATAAGCAGATGACAAGAAGAACAGCAAGCCACATACGTCGAATATGTTGTATGGCTCGTCGAGATCAATTTCCAGCCCCTCGTCCAGGTCTGCATTCTCTTCGTCGTCTTTGACCGGACGAATGTACCTGAGATTCAAGGCCAAGAAATCAACGGCCTTTGCCCTCTTCTCCTTGATCCTGATAGCGGCCCGTCTCCTCTCTTGCTCTAGCTGAAATTCGCCATCCTTCGCAATCCAATCTGCCATCTGCGCAGACTCGGCCAACCTCGCCATTCTCGCTTCCTCCTCCTCCCTAAGACGCTGCTCCGCCTCGCGCTCGGCGCGTCTCCTGTTCAATCGCTCCAATTCCTCCTTCGCTTGCTGGCGCTTCAGAGCCTCCCTTCTCTCAACTTCAGCAAGCGAGAGACCCTGCTTCTTCTCTTTCTCCAGCTTTTTGTGCCATCGGAACTGCTGTCCAAGATTCACGTCGTGGAATGGGTTGTCGGTGGCGCTGTATACACTGAGTTCGGCGACTTGGCGGGCCTCCTCTTCGGCTTTGAGCTTCTTCTTTTCTTCCTTTCGGGCTCGCCTTTCCGCAGACTTGTCGCGCTTGCGCCTGTATCACTCATTAGACATGTTCGTATACAGTAGATGCATACGCACTTCTTCTCCCGTCGGTCATCATCTACGCTGGGACTTCTCGTCCTTCTGCGCGACGGTTCTTCCCGTTCGCCACTTCTACTGCGGTGGCGCTTACTGTCGTGATCATGTTTGGACGACTTACGGTGGTAGTCGTCCCTCACAGGGGACCGGGAGAGAGAGCGATATCGGGGCATGGCGATCCAGTCGCTGGCGAGATTGGCAAGGTAAGCAGGATGAAGTGGGAGGGTCCAGGAGGCGGGGAACCTCCTGCACCGCCACTGTATGATGGGATGCGGACCCGATTAGGTAAAGCAGCGCTGCTCGAATCTTGATCCAGTCAGCGCCTCTCATCCAGCACTTGACACTCTTTACAGTCTGCCTGTAGGGTGAATACGTCTGCTGTACTTCAGTCTAGACTATCTGGCGGGCACCGTCGCGCAGCTCGGAATATGTGGCGTACGTCGCGCCGGTTACGTCTGAAACGCAGTGTCTGGACACAAGCCAAACATGAACATTTCCCCTCGGACGCATCTCAGGATTACTATGCGAGAAATCCTGGATTAGCTACACCTAAACAGGTACTCCTTGTTTGTTTGATGTTGTCTAGCAAGGTGCACATCAGAATAACAGCTGGTCCGCTACCTGGACGAATTCGTAGTTGGGCAGGAGAATGCGAAGAAAGTCCTGTCTGTCGCGTACGTGTTTACGTGTTCCGCTCTATTCCCCGCTGTACCTGAGGCATCCAAGGGTATTCAACCATTACAATCGCGTTCGCGCCAACTTCGCCGCACAGCCTAATGAGCCTGAAGTGGACTGGGCAGAGTCCGACCCCGAGGATTGTCAGCTTGGACCTATTGAATGCGCGTCAGCAATCCTGATATAACCGTCTAGCTCGCGCTGGTGTGGCCTCAGCTCATTTGCACCCTCATCCCCGTCGACTCTCCTTGGCCCCCGTATCGTTACAGCCCAAGAACCCTCTCCCTTTATTTGAGAAGAGCAACGTACTTGTAATGTGAGTACTGAATAATGCCTTCATACCGAAGGAGGATAATCAATGATCGTGGAGTGGGCCGACAGGATCTGGTGCGAGCACCGTGACCAAACATGTGGGTCTTTACTAATGCGGATATAGGGAAGACCTTGCTAGTGAGGACTCTGGCAAGAATTCTTGATGTCCCTTTCTCCGTCAGCGATGCTACGTCATTTACCCAAGTTAGCATCATCGGTCGTCTCTCATTGCCGTGCTTCTGATATTCTTGCGCAGGCTGGATGTCAGTATTATCGATGTCAGTGTGGATTATTCAGGTGATTGATGGGCATTGTAGATGTCGGCGAAGACGTCGACGTCTGTGTCCAGAGATTGGTGCGTTATTACAGGGCGAAAGAAGCATACAATTTTGCTAACGTGTGCTGGGCTCTAAAAGCTTCAAGCAGCAAACTGGGATCCATGCCGAGCCAGGTACCTGAGGCTCTTCCCCCCCTAGCAGTCCTACCTGACATATCTCTCTAGTACCGGGATCATCTACATAGACGAAGTAGATAAGATTGGCCGCAAGTCGGGTTCGGGAGGCCCAGAAGGTACCCGAGACGTCGGTGGCGAAGGGGTCCAACAAGCCTTGCTCCGAATGATGGAAGGTTCAGTTGTGAGCGTGCAAGCCAAGGGCGTGCCTCCGGAGGCTGTACCGCCTGTCGGTGAGGTGCGCTCTCGGGCAGCGAGAGCAACCAGCCCTCGTAAGAATGATGCGAATGGCTGCATCGTGATACCGCTCACGTTTACCTCTCGTAGTTGGCGCCGGTCGTCCGGATACGTTCCACATCGATACGTCCAACGTGCTGTTCATCCTGAGCGGGGCTTTCGTCGGTCTGGATAACGTCATCCGACGGCGTGTTGCCAAGGGTGTAAGTCCAGTTTCACTGCATGCTTGGGCATAAATCGTGATGATCTTGTTCAGTCTATTGGCTTCGGGGCCAACCTTGCCCCAGTCTCAAACGACCAACCGAAGAGTTCGCTTCCTTTCTTCACACCTAATAAGCGACCAAAGGACGACGTTCTGCAGCAGATTGAGCCTCAAGGTATTTCGCTCGATGATCATCGTAAACTGTCCTGTCCTAACCACGTACTTCAGATCTCATACAATATGGGTAAGTCCTCCAGTATAAGCACGGATCCAATACACAACCGGTTCATATCACTCGCATAGCTTTATCCCAGAGTTCATCTCGCGATTACCGTCTATCACGACATTGGCACCGCTATCAGTATTAGATCTGCGGCGGATCTTGACTGATGTCAAAGGATCGCTGGTGTCACAGTACACTGCACTTTTTGGGTACTCGGGTGTCGAGATCCGGTTCACGAGCAAGGCCTTGGACGAGATCTGTCAAAAGGCCGCGGATAGAGGCGGCGGCGCTAGAGGCTTGAGGGGAATCATGGTACGTGGCTAGGAATCCTCCTTGTTCCGATCGTCATTAAGGTGCTCCGTAGGAAACGTTGCTCTTGGAGCCTATGTATGAAGTCCCGTGAGTGCTACATTTTTTTCTTGAGAATCCGTTTTGTTAAGACCGTCCTTTGCTATATTTCCCAGCGGTTCAGTATGTACCTTCCGTCGCACATACCCGAAAGAGCAGAAACTGAACCTAGCTTTCAGAACATCCGACACGTACTGATTACGGACCCCGTTGTGCGAGGCGAGACATCGCCTCTCTACTGGAGATGGGGAGAAGGCGCAGAATTCTGGTCGGCTTGGGCAGAGGAGGAGACACGCTGGGAGAAGGAGACGCGTTGATATCTACGGTATACCACTTGTTTGTATCAATAGTTTGTTGTCATCACTACTCGGTCCTTTCTGAGAACTGTTTGGATTTAGCACTGCTGTGTGGGACGGAGTAATTGGTCATCGAGTGTCCACTGGATACGGGACTCCAAAATACAACACTTCATTGACTTCGCGCTGCACGGTATGCTACTTAATGATCTACCTGACGAAAGTGCAATTTATGACTGCAAGACAAAACAGGAACAGGGAATCATCGGGGACCAGGCACAAGAAAAGACGAAAGCTTAGTCTTTGGACTCTTCCTCCTTGGTCTTCTCTGTTTCTGCGGGAGCCTCCTCAGTCTTCTCTTCCTTAGTTGCCTCAGCCTCAGCCTCGGGCTTCTTCTCCTCGGGCTTAGCCTCCTCGGTCTTGGACTCAGCAGCCGGCTCGCCTGCAGCGCCACCCGAGAGATCTGAGTTCCGTCGCTGGGCATCCTCGAACGCAGCCTTGAACTGGTTAGCATCTGGAAGTGATGGCGGTCAGCACACAGGTTTCAAGAACCAGACACAGTCGACGCTCACTTTCGGCGTTGGCAAAGCGTATTGCGAGCGTCTCTGACGTTGGAGGGCTCTCAGAGTAGTCAGCAGCCACCTTCCAGACCCAACTCCTGTCGGAACCAATGTTTGGCTGTAGCCGCATCTCAGAGGAGACTAGTAAAGGGCATTTGACGCGTCGGGACCAGTAATTCGGGCGAGGAGTAAGTTACGCACTCAAGTGGTTCGCGCAGACCTTGAGGGTCTTATCGCGCCTCATCACCAGTCTGATTTTCTTGGTCTCCTTATGCTGAAGCAGACGGACGTCCCCAGTACCGCGTTCCTTCCATTCGGAGCTGTCAGTGGCGAAGCGGAAAAGCTTTGCGCGCCTGTACATCAAAAGCAATGGCAAGGACATCCAAGCCGATCAGTCGCGATCACGGTAATTGACGTAGAACGTACATCTTGAACAAGACATCCTCATCCTCCTCAAATGTCTTCGTCTCTACTTGCTCTGTAAGCTTGATGACGGGCTCGAAGTGGGCATCGGTCTCTTCTTCCTACGAAAAGACGCAGTGAGCGGCACAAAGCACTTATACGTCTATATTCTGTCCGAAACATAGAGGCACAAGGGGTTACTCACTCTGGGTGCGAGGGCGTCTTCAGACATGATTGAAGAGAGAAAGCTCGGGTATGGATTGAAGAAACTGAAGATATGGAGTCAAGAAGAAAGATCTGGAGTAAAGCCAACGTCGCGTGCGCGAGCAATGCAACGCGGACTCCAGACACCGCAGGTACCAGCGGTCCTTACCCTGCAGTGGTCTGTACGCCTACAGTGTCGGTCACTAAGGATCGGCGCCTCCATAGCGCCTTAATTAGGGCGCCGCAGACCTCCAGAAAAAAATTTGAAACATAAACCTGGCCAAAATTTGCGTAATCCTGCAATTTCGATTTTTTGATGGATTACGTAAGCGTTCACTTTTAGGGGTAGAAATTTCAATATTGCGGATTTCGCTGAGGGAATGATCCTGGAGTTGAATGGTGTATAACAAGCATCGAAAGGTGAGGTATCCTCACTCACAGAAGTCCCAGTGCCCCTTCAGGGTGACCTTACTCCAGAAATAGTGCTGTATGAGGGCGTATTATATGATTCTAGATCTCCACAAGTCAGCTCATATGCCCTCAAGCTTACCTGACACTCTGAGTATCAAGAACTGTGTAACAAGAATGGGACCTGACATAGGGGTAGTAGACCCATTATGGGTTAACTACATTAGGGTTAGGGCGTATTACTAATTACAGCCATCAATGCATATCTATATATGGTAACTCCGACGCAACTCCGCTTCAAATTCACTTTTCAGGTATGTCAAATTTTTAAATATTGGAATTTCGAGAAAGTAATCAGATAGCCTGAAAGCTACGGGCAATCCGAGTCGATTGGCCCTGTTTTCAGGCCCATTGGAGTCTTTGCCCGGGACGAGATACCATCACGCGTTCGGCTATGCCCGAGGCGTCGGTTTTGAGCGACCGACACTGTACACGCCTCGATCGCGACAACGACTAGTAGCAGGTGGTTCGCTGGAATACCCTCTCAACGTCGACCCTGCAGTCACGACTATTGGGCTCGGTTTTATTGCTGGTCAAGACATACCGAAGACCAAGATGCGGGGCTTAATGACCCCGAGCGTGTTCGCCCTGTTCTGCACGCTGGCTGCTCTCCTGCCGTGTCTCGTTCATGGCCATATGATAGAAGTGGCTGCCTCCAAAAAGGAGTGCTTCTTTGAGGACCTCCACATAAACGACCAGGCGCGTGGAATATTCACTGAAGTGCCGTACGTGAACTGAGTCGACAATTAGATGACCGTCACGTACCAAGTCGGAGGCGGAGGTCACTTGGACATTGACTTTTGGGTGAGGAGCGCCTTCTCTTTACGCTTACTAATGAATTACTGACAGAGAGGATAGCTAGCAGACCCAGATAACCACGCGCTTGGCAAACATATAAAGCAGTCCACCGGGAGTGTGTCCATCACAGCAAAGAAAGACGGACGGCATGAGTATTGCTTCTCGAATCAGATGAGTGCTGTAGCAGACAAGCTTGTCAGGTGAGATACTTCTTGCTGAGATCCAGCGATGAAGATCTCATAACTTTCTCTAGCTTCAATGTGCACGGAGTGATCTACGTCGGTGAAGATGGTATGTCCATGTGTGAAGTGCATTGGGTCATATGTTGAGCAACAACCCTTCAGACACTATTGCTCCTGTCGAGCGTGAAATAAGGGACCTGGCGAATGGATTGAAGTCAGTGAAGGATGAGCAAGAGTACATCGTTGTTCGGGAGCGAAGACATCGTAACACTGCGGAGTCGACAAACTCTCGAGTGAAGTGGTGGTCCATATTGCAGGCAATACTAGTGTTTTCTGTAGTTGCATGGCAGGTATATTACCTTAAGGTCAGTCACACAGTCTCAAGTCATACCTTGTACTGAAGCTGCTATCTAGTCGTTCTTCGAGGTTAAACGTGTAATATGATCGGGTTCTGGACGATGATAATTTATAGTATACGGTACAGAATGCGTTCAGCTCCTATCTGACTTCGCATCCGACGGACTGTATAGGACAGCCTCTCCAGACAGCTGGCATTACGATCAACTCGATTATAAATATCACAAAGTCCTAGAGAGGACAGGGTATCTCAAGATCGTGGTACACATGGAATTATAACATGATGGTAAAACTGAACAGGCAAGGGATAACATATGGTGAGCTCGCGAGTATACAAGAGTTAACTTCTAACACTCCAATACCGTCCCCATGGCTAACCTCACATCACCGCTCCAAAAGCGTCATTCAACGCCACGACGGTTTCGCTCCCCGGAAGCTTACATCCCCGCTAGAGTTAGGGTCAGCAAAGCTGACAGCCTTCTGCCGGTACGACTTGGTTGGCGCTAGCAAAGACATCCTCTTCGGCCTCTTAGCAGGTGAACGGCGAATCGACATATCCTCGTTGCCGATGGGCACCCGCCGCGGGCCTCCAAGTGAAAGCTTGCCTTCATCGCGCTGGCTGGAACTACCAGCTTTGGTGTCCGAAGCTCGAGGAGATAACTGCGGTATGAGACTGGACCTGCGTCTTGCCCGCTCATTGCGCAACGGCCCGATGCTCGACCTTCGTCGGCCCCCTTTTCCAGATGAGATTTTCGGCGTGCCGGGGATGCGTTTCGAGGGACTGCCGTGCCTGTCTTTGCCTTTGGGAATGTGCAAACTGCTGATGCTGCTACCGGAAGAGCTTTCGCCCATGTTAACATTACGATCCGCTAGAGGGCCCGCACGTTTAGGCAGACATTCATCCTCCTCATCCTCGGCCAGACTGGAGAGCGTCGACCCACGGGACTTGAGGAACGAAGGATCGAGGCGGCTAGCTCGAGGACGCTTGGCCCCCGTGATCCTCTTACCAGACAGGCCGTTGCTCGTAGATAGGTCATGGGTCGGCGCAGAAGGGAGGCTCATGCTGACATTGTCATCGGTTTTCTCGTCCTCCCATTCACTCTCCGAGCCAGCTCTGGAGACGCTCCTTTGCGACGAGGATGTGGGCATATTCTCGCCCTCGGCTCCGTCTAGTGACGTACAGGGAGCAGATGCCTTTGGCCCAAGACCACCGTCATCTATGTCGCCCTGGCCGGCCTCGTCTCTCCACTGTACACCTTTCTTCTTCTCCTTCTCCTTATCCGACGTCCGTCGGTATGGCACAAGGCTGTTCCGCGCTGATTTACGCGGGGAGTTCTTGTGGGACTTCCGTCCTGGGGATCCCACCACCGATCCGTAGGAGGAGGATCTTCTGTTAATCTTCGTCTTGGCTTGCTGGGAGATAATGGGACCCGAAGCGACGCGTTGTGTGAAGCTGAAGGAGTGCGTCGAGAACGTTTCGATTGCGGAAGGACGGGTCGCCGATAAAGAGCTTGAGGATACGCAATGACCCACGAGCTCTGTAAAGGCCCCATCATTGGTCTGCGCGAGCTTCTGGAGGGAGGAGGAGACAGTCCGGACTGCACCATCCAGACCATCCTTTCCTTCATCTAAGGCAGTGCGCAACATCCGGCCGGCATCTGCTAGCATGATGTTGCATCTACCGAGCATCCCGACAAGGTTGACCACGAGCTCGGATTGCGCCTGGACTGCTTCTCGCAATGCTTCCTGTTTTGCTTCGGCCTTGACCCGTTCTATGTCTGCCCTGTGATACCGTCCATCGAGTTTCACATTCTCGATGCTGACCTCGTCCATCTTGTCGGATCGTCTTTCACTGACTGCTCGCAGCATGGCATCAAACATGTTGCTAGAGTTATTTGAACGCTGCAGCCGCGTGTTGTACGCGGACGAGGGCGCAAGAACCTCTTCTTCGGGTTTGGCCAAGGATAACAGTAGCTCCCTTTCTGCTGCCAGATCGGAGGGAAGGGAGTCCACGTTTCCTTGCGACTCAATCTGTGCCAGCCGAGACCGTATTATCTGGAGCCTGACATGAGCAACATCGATCCTGCTGGAACAGGTCGCGCCGTCCGCGATAGATGCTTTGGTCTGCTCTGCTTTGCACTGCATGTCGTTCCGCGCCCTGTCCACCTCCGCCTTAGCTTCTACCTTCTTCCGCCTGGCGATCTCAGCCTCCGTGTTCAGTTTGCCCGCGAGCTTGGCTTTCAGCTCAGCTACTTCGGCGTTCAGCCTATTGATGGCTTCGACGTATCGACCGACATGTCTGTCAACGTTGACGACGTTGCGCGTGACAACCTTGGTCTTGATCTTCGTCGCCCTGTCCGCGTACAGTAGAGTATTGTGCGTATCGTCGAAGTGATTCGATGTCGGAGCAATGCAAACGATCATGACAGTCTTGCAATTTCCCCCCAGCGAGAACTTGAGCAATCGCGTGAGTTTGCTGTTGCGGTAAGGTACGTGACGAGTTGCACCGCCACTTTCGCAGAGGGCGTTGATACAGTTTCCCAGCGCCAGGAGAGACTTGTTGATATTCGCCCCCTCCACCATGCGCTGGCCCATGTTGGTGGTAGCTGCAGCCCGCTCGCTACCAGCCAAATCGATAATCGACAGTGTTGCCACGGTGCGCTGTTCCGTCAAGGAGGCGGTCCTCGGCGATTGGGTTACATGCACCTGCAACACTGCATGCGACCGCGAAGAGGTCTCGTTGGCATGCGTTGGCGATTGTGTCCGACGACTATTGCCCTGCAAAACGATTTTCTCGACCTCCTCAGCCGACTTTGGGCGTAGCTCTACCAGGCCCGCGACTTTGACCACCTTGTCCTCGCGGATCTGAAGACCGCCTCGGGGTGCGGAAGAGCCCGGCTCAGCCAATAGATCGCGGATTTCTTCGTTGTAGATCTCCAGAAAGGTGACTGTGACGTCCACAATGTACTCGTCTTTGCGGTCTTCGATGCGCTGAAATAAGTCTGCCATTGTCAAGTAAATGACTCCGGGATCATTCTCGTTCCCGCTGATAGTGTGGGTTTTGCCGCATCCAGTGGCCTAAGTACGATCAGCTCTTGTGTCCGTGCCTTGCCGTCGATATTGTTGACTTACCCCATAGGCAAACACTGTTGCATTGTACCCATCCAATAGTGGCTGTAACAAAGGCTTCGCTGTAGCATCGTAGACATCGACTTGGCGAGCCTCAGGACCGAATACTTTGTCGAACATGAATCGCTTGTCTTTGTATCTCTTCGTCCCGGGAGGCATAAATCCCCGTTCTACAAAGGCCTTCGACCTGTCCGTCTCCGGCGGGTCGAATGTGAGAATCCGATCATCCACTATTTGTACGATGTCTCGGAGGCTTGATTGAGATGTTATGGGTTTGTTGACTGGGGTTGCGAGAGCGGCGTCTCCGTGGATGTGTGTATCGTAGCATGGTTCAGGTAGTCTGGCAGCTTCCCAAGCCGAGGGGGGACGGACTCGCACTAGAGCCGATTAGACGGTGGTTACGGGAGAAAGAAAGGGTGTCACGAACCAGCGACCGTTATTGACCCTGCAGCCACCATCTTTGCTCCTGCCTGCGTTTCAAGACCAAGTTCTTGTGTACCCTAGTTGTTGATGTGTGTGTGGAAGTCGAAATCAATAATGGAGATGGTGGTGTGTAGGGAAAGCAGTGGCTGAAAGGAAGTCAACACGACGCGTCCCAACCAACTCGTCACGTGATCGCGCAGCTATGTCTCTTTCCATCCCATCTCCAGCCGACTTCCATGTACACCTTCGCCAGGGTGCTCTGTCGACCCTTGTAACTCCCCATGTTCGTGCAGGAGGATTCAGACTCGCATATGTTATGGTACGTATGGATTGTTTGAATTTACGCTTATTGCTAATACCCGACAGCCCAATCTCAAGCCGCCGGTCACAACGACCGATCAGGCTTTGGCATACAAGAGCGAATTGGAAAAGATAGATCCAGAGATAGAATACTTGATGACCTTGTATCTATGCCCTGAACTAACACCAGATGAGATTCGTAAAGCAAAGGCTGCTGGCATCGTCGGTTAGTCCTCCTTATCGAGTACCGCAGGCGGATGCTTCACTATTGAGATACAGGTGTCAAGTCCTACCCTCGTGGGGTGACCACCAACTCGGAGGGTGGAATAGAATCTTACGAGGTCTACTATCCCGTCTTTGAGGCCATGCAAGAGGTTGATATGGTCTTGAACCTGCACGGGGAAGTGCCGTCTGACCCCTCCACCGTATGTTCTCCCTGTCTCTTGACATACCTCCTCAAATTCAGTCCTCACGCACTCAGAACACCTGTGTTCTTAATGCGGAGCCCAAATTCCTGACACATCTGATCAAGCTGCACCGTGATTTCCCCAAGCTTCGCATTGTGCTCGAGCACGCTACCACGCGTTCTGCCGTCGACGCTGTCAAAGCCCTGGGACCCACTGTTGCTTGCACTATTACCGCTCATCATCTGGCCCTGACGGTGGATGACTGGGCTGGTCAAGCTTGGAACTTCTGCAAGCCAGTCGCCAAGTATCCTGATGACCGTGAAGCACTACGAGAGGTCATAAAGCAGGGTAAGTCATGCAGTGCGATCTGTTCCGTCACCATATGGAGTTCGTTGGCTTCCCATAAGGACATCCTAAGTTCTTCCTGGGATCTGACTCTGCACCTCATCCTCCGGAAACAAAGTCGACGTGTACGCCCACGCACGCGTGCGCTGCCGGAGTCTACACTTCCCCCATTCTGCTGCCGCTCGTCGCCCACCTCCTCGAATCCTTCGGTGCTTTGGACAAGTTGGAAAATTTCGTGAGCGGGTTCGGAAGGGCGTTCTATGGCAGACCGATTACGAAAGAGACGGAATCTCGTGTCGTGTTAAAGAAAGTTTCTGGAAAGAAAGTAGCAGATAGATGGGCTCTGGGGCAGGAAAGCGTGGTTCCCTTCTGGGCTGGTAAGGAGCTGGACTGGGAGATTGTTCATTGAGTTGCCGTAGTAAAAGTGAATTCAAATGTAAACATGTATCAGACTTGTGCATAACATATCCACAGGCACCTACATAATACCCCGTGGGGAGTGTCTTCTCCCCTATTCCTTTGATCGACTCAATGGGACGCCTGCAATGAGGCGCCTATCCCTTCCCACGACATGCATACACTATCCAAGATACGCCCACAAAAGCGCTCAGGATGTCTATTCTTCACCAGTGCACTCGAACTAACTTCGGGCCAGCCTGGTGCTGCAATAAGCACGACGGATCCTTCCCTCTCTCATCGTCTGTCACTCTATCGTGCAGCTAACTCGCTCTTCTAAACATTACCCTCCTCTTGCCCATCGACCTCAGCTATCGACCCAGGGCCCTTTTTATGTCATGGCACCCAAGAATAAGAAGGGGAAAGCAAAGGCACATTTCGAAACTGATCCCACAAACCAGAAGGCGGCAGCAGCGGCGCCGCCCCCTCCTCCGCCTCCGCCTCCGCCTCCACCCCAACTACACCCATCGCACGCAGGTAGAAGTCCTGCAGCGTTTGCAGATCAAGAACTCGAAGGGCTCGGTGAGATATGAGAATATCTCCACGGGTGGAGCGAACTAAAGTGCAGATCATTATCTTATTTCTAGATAGTTTACTGAGCGAGGAAGGCGTAACGGGACAGGGTGAGCACGGTCATGACAATGGAGCTTGGGGAGGAGAAGGCGAGGGATGGCCTGAGGGAAACGAGAGCAAAGGTGGGGACGGGCGCGGGGGATGGGGAAACATAGATGGCTGGGGCAACGGTGGCGAGGAGAAGGAAGAGAATCGAGGGAATGAGGAGGCTGGAGGAGGCTGGGGTGAATGGGACAGTGGAACGAGGCAGACGAGCGAGACCGGCTGGTCGGAAACCGACGAATGGGGAGTGGGCAACGACAGGGATCAGCGTCGGGCACAGCCTGCGCCGGCGCAGCATGCGAAGGTGCGCCAATCCCAAACAAACGGTCACACTGGTTATCGGACACCCAGCCAAAAACCTATCATGCTGGGATCGAACACGATGAACATGGCGCAAAATGGGGACTGGGGCGGCCGTACAGCGGCGGGCTGGCAGTCCTGGGGCCAGCAGGCGGCGGCGGCCCCTCGCGCACGAACGCAGAGCCAGCCTACCCCGGCGGCGGCGGCGCGAACGCAAGCTGCTTGGGGCAGTTGGGCCGCTGAGGCGCGTCGAGCTTCGCAAGCTGGGATAGTGCCTCCGACTACGGGACGAGCTAACACGCAGTACCGACAAAATCCGACGACGCCAAGCGCTGACTTCGGCGGTTGGGGGAACAATTCCCACGTTAACCCTCTGGTGTCCTCCGATGTCCAGCACGGGCAACAGAGGAGGAACTTGTCTCCTCAACAGCAGTCGCAGATTCTGAATACACTTTTGGGCAGGGCACCATATGCCGGCTCCGAGGCGCCGTACTCTCCAGTCATACCGGATTCACCGCCGCAACTTCACCATGATCAGTCAACAAACCGACGCGGTCACAAAGTGAAGCATCGAGAGCAAGAGCATCACACTCGCCGTCGCCTGACGAGGCGCGGAAGTCATCGTGGACAGGATTGGGACCGAATAACCGAGGAGGACGAAGAGGAGGAGGACGATTGGGAACGAATAGGGGCAGAAGATATCACTCCCAGTCCCAGTCCTCCTGGTCGCTTGTCGTCCGTTCTCACCCCTTTCCTTGGACCCCAGAAGTTGGGAATCAGCTACCCCATGCCATCCCGAACTATGGCCATAGCCGCCCAAGGCGGACATCCTGTTGCGAAGGGTAATTTCACCCAAGATCGACGGAATTCTCAGCAACCTGTTCGCTTCGCCGAGACGAATGGAGCCTCCCTTGCGTTAGCTCGACGTGCCTTCTTTGGTGACGATCGTCATCCAAAAGACAGGATATACTGGATGTTTTCTCCTCACAAGGACCAGCGTGTAGCTTCCGCCCTGAGCTGGATTGACGCAATGTCGCCAGGTCTGGCCACTTTTGGTGTGAGTACCTTGACCTTATTTTGCGCTTCTCTTTCGTTCCTGTGAATATCACCTGAACTCTACGTTGCAGGAATGCTCACTTACGTTTGCTTTCCACATGCTAGCTGCAGAAATTCCTTGAAACAAGAGAGCGGGGGGCATTGTTCTCCAATGCGGGTTTCCGCTCCAATGATGCGCCGCCTGCTTTCGACTGGCTGACCTTCGATCAGTTACAGGCTACTGGGGATCGCACCCTCCAGGAATCAGTGGCTTACTACGACCCTGCTGTCCAGGTCATTGTCTTTGTATTCCTTCTCTCCCCTTCGGGCAACAGCATGGCCATGTGGAGGAGAAGATTAAACGTACCGAATAACATAAGGCTAAAATATACGCAAGAGATCCAGCTGGCGAAAGCTGCACTGCGGAAAGATTATGATATTTACGTTGATGAGTAAGTCTGCTATTTCTTGACAACAGTGTCATCGTTAACTTTGTGACTTCCAGATCACCTCTTGACGAAGAGCCTCTGACGCCTTCGGAACCTCCAGAACCACCTCCCAAGAAGAAAAAGAAGGGCTTCTGGAGCAGGTTGAAGTTCTGGAAGCTCTTCTAACGACGACATTTTGATGAAGTTCACGATTTGTTGAGTGTATTATCTTATACGATGACTTATTGGGTTGTTTTGTATATTAACATTCACGCCTTAACGAAGTATGATTCGTGCGGACTCATACCCGAAAATGTAATAGTACATGAGCTGAAGCAGTACAAGTGAATCCGGCGGTGTATCTACACTACATAACTCTGCAACTCGTTTGAATAATGCTACAATATCTTGATCTCTGAATAGCAGAACAACATGGTAGACCTGCAATATACGACGACGCCCTGTCATGACTGAGGAAGGCCAACAAAGCAGGGGAGGAACCTAGGATCTAGGAGTAGTGACCTAGATATTACGAAGTGAAGCCGTTGATGTCAGCGCCTATTCACTTATTTGCTTCCTCGCAGCTTCTGGTTAAGCTCCATCGCGATTCCTCGCAAACGCTCAATCCATTGGGGATCACGGTCCTTACTGGTGAAACCGCCTTTAACTTCTATCTCCTGCAAGAAGGCTGCTATGTCTGCTAGAGACAAGCCGAGCTCATTCAATGTCGTCAATTGCGAGCTGGCACCAAGGAAGAGTCATCAGCAGTCATTCATGAGTGTAAGTAGCAAGCTTATGTACCGAGCACGCTGTTTCTCTGCATCGGCTTCTTCCCGCAAACGACGCAGATCGTCTTCAGAGGCACTCTGCGATCTCTGAAGAGCGGCCAAATCCTGGCGCAAGTGATCCACATCCCATTGGATCTGGCGTAGTAACGTCCTGGTCTGCAGTTGTTCCGCCTGCCGCAATCGGGTCGTTTCGATAGCGATACTCGCCGAATCTCGTTGGACAGCCTGGAAGGTAGAGTTTATATTCTCTGCTGACCGATGCAAAGCGTGTAATTGTCGTCGGACAAGCAGATACGGAACGAAGGCAATCGGGAGTATCACGGCAGATACCACCGCCAGCCGAGGAACCACGGACGTCCAAGCGCTTGATGGACGAGCCTGGGTCATTTCAAATCGATTTTCAGCGCGAGAATGTATCTCGTTGTCAGCAGGTGATGCCATGTATACTCGTAGTCGACTGGAATGACGGGAAGAGGAAGAGGCCCGTCAGCGGTAGCGATAGAAGACCTGAGGCCAACCTGAGGCATTACAACGAGCGTCCATGGTGCTGACTAATCACATTTATCTGTCCCTGACTCCCTGGGTTTCTTCACATCGTTTATGCCTCGTTGTAGCCTACTTTCTGGCCTCGTTTCCTCCACCGCTGGACAGTGTAATGCCTTGATTGATGCACTATAGGACGACTTGAACTGCAAGGACCTCGGAGAATCCATCTACATACGCTAGGATGTCAGCGGAGCCTCCTGCAGAGCATGACTGTCCTGCCGAGCCGTCTGGTACGCTCGAGGGACTTAATGCCACTGGATTGAAGTTCAACGACCACGTGAAGACACCAACGGAAATGAACACGAACGAGGAGATACCTTTGGATTGGCAGGAGGTTATTCAATTGCAGGCATTCAGTGAAAGGAAGGCCTGGATTGAGGAAAAGATTGCTGTATGTCTCATCAGGCCCATGGTTTCTGCAAGCTTATGATTCCCGCAGTTCTTAGAGAAACTGCCTCCAATAGAGGTCTTCGCTGGCTTAGACGCCGTTAGGGCATCCGCGGAGACGGTTCCTGGCTTACCAACTCGCGAACAGTTGCAAGAGTGGATGGTAGAACATGATAGAATTGAGAAAGAGACAGAGATATTTGATTCTGGTGAGCTTAAGAAGCTACGAGAAGTGACTAAAGGTTCGTCTTATCCTTGTATTTCACTATGCCAGAATAACGCCTGAATTCCTCCAAGCCGCTTCCAAGCGCAACCTGTCCCCGGAAGACACAGATCTCATTGAACTAACCCTGACGACTATATACAAATTGGACAAATTGTTGCATCTTCTTCGAGACCGCACTGAACACCTGGATCTACTGTCAACGAGACTTACTTGGGAGGAACATCGTATCGGGGCATGGGTAGAGTACCGCCATGTCAGCCAGGAGTTGCGCGAATTCCTGGAGGGTCGAGCACGATGGTCGACCACTATATATGATCAAATGGGCAAGGTGCAAGAAACCCCGGTTCGGCGCGGCTCAGTTAGTTCCATGACTTCCGTGCATTCAGAGTCATCCGTATCTAGCTCGGGGAGCTTCTCCCGTAGTGCTCGCTTTAAGCAGGCGGAGACTCTCTCGCGGGATGCTGCCCAGTTTGCCAGCCGGCTTTCCGCTCTCAGGCATGGCAAAATCGCAAGTGCGGGCAAGGCGCTGGACAAACTCATTGATACCAGCCGTAGGAGCGTCCCCGATGAACTATTGGATGAACAAGATCGGCTGGAGAACAAGGGCATAATGGAGATGGAAAACCTGGGCAAGTTCGTCTTAGGCGTTGTCATGCAATGGAAAAAGTATCTCAACGAAATATCTTATGATATACCGGGTAGACTCACCCTTTACATAGGGCTGATGAAATATACGTCGAGTCACTCAAAGACCAGGCAGCTGCGCAGACTCTCATAGAAGAAATAATGTCCGCCCGACGTGGCCATCCTACTGCGCGGCAGGCAGCTGCATACACGTCAAGAGCCGATGCATTGATTAAGCGTGTTCAAACAAGGACCAATCCGGCTTCTCCCATAAGTACATTTCCACGACCCACTCACCCACTGTATCCCGATCAACAGGTATTCAATGATACTATTGCGCGAACGCTTTCCGAGGAACTCAAGACAGCGTTGGACCTTAGTAAACAAGCGGGCGCCATCGCCAAGGAGTATTCTGGCACATTTACAGTCGTGAAGCGTGTAGAAACCCTCTCTCAGGCAGCGGAAGCGTCGTGCACACGCCTTGCAAGCATTATCGACCAACTTACCAATGGAATCGAGACTTCGGATGGGGACGGCTCACCCCCGGACCTGAACTCGGAAAGATGTTTAGAAACCCAACGCCATGAAGTATTCCTTGCTCTCATGCCTTCGCTCTTGGTCCAGCTGGATGAGCAACGTCGTCTCGCACTTGGCTACTTAACCCAGCTCCGGGAGGCTATGACAGACCTTGACGATGATTGTCTTGACTCGACTTTTCTGGCCTCCGTTACGTCCTGCATTGATCGTTTGGTTCAATATTCGACGAATGCAGCCGAAGTTCGCTCGGAGGTGGAGGGCCGCGTAGCGATGCTGAGGGACGTGCGCAAGGTATGGGCAACCATGACACAAACGAGGCAGACTCTTGAAGGAACGCGGCGCTCCGTGCATGATGCTATGCTCAAGAATAAATACGTGTCTGCCGCCGACAGGGGTGCCCAGTCTTTGACTCCGGAGAGCCCAACTCACGTTATATCTCTTCCTTCACTGGACGACATAAGGCCCGAACTCGAACACCTCCGGATTATCATGGATCAGACAATTCCATCTCTTCTATCGCCCCTTTCTCAATCTCTCAATGCATCCTTATGGGATTGGCTCTACAGCGAGCTTGACAGGCTTAGAGATGGTCTGGACCGTGTGCAAGACATGTGCAGAGTTTGGCAAGCAGTCCGATCTCAACGTGATGCTATGACGGTGGTTTGTGACGAGGTCAACGATCTGCAGCTGCGCATTGAAGATGCCAGGACACGGTACGACTTAATTATCCAGGATGTCATGTCGAATGGTACGCATGAAGATGAAGTACGCAATGCCGGTAGCCCTGTATCACTGTCGGAGCTGCAGAAGGATGTTTGCGCGTTCACGGACAGTCTGGCTCAACGTGTACCGCTGCTCACCTCTATGTTGCCTGTCTCCAGCTTCCCTTCAAGCTCGCTCTCTGCTAATGATGACCAGACAGGGTCTCATACTTTGCGGGGGGAACTGCAGATCAACTCACTGCTGGATCCTATTGCGCTGGATGGCGCAGTCCGGACAGATATAAACCTATTTTCAATGAGGCTAGCCGGAGATATGCAGGCGCTACTGCGCAAGACTGATCATTATAACGTTGCGAAGATCGCTCGCGCCATCGATGAAGCGTCATCCAGTTTGGACGGCGTCCTTAGTGATGCGGAGGTCGAGCTCGGAAACGCCAGGGCCGCATTTGAGAGCCTCGGTTCTACAGCACTTGACACTGATGCCCTGGACTCGCTCGCCCTCCAAGTCGACGGCATATTGCAACTCCACGGGCCAACGCTCGCTCATTTATTGGCTGGCATCCAAGATCAGGTTACCAAGATGGAGTTACTCGCAGGTAATATCGACGCTAGCGTGCATGACACCCTCGTCACTGAAAGGAAAAGGAACTTGGAGGACGCTCGTGGTCGGACGGCTTCTTGGAATGCGAATGTAGATGCTCTTCAGCGCTCTATATTACACGCGCAACGTGCCCGGACTCGGAGAGAGCACGAACGACAGTTGGCCGAAACCAAACGCTTACAAGAAGAGCGAGAGCGACTAGAAGCTGAACGGCTGGAGGCTGAGCGGCTAGAGCAAGAGCGTCAGGAGGCTGAACGGCTGCAGCGAGAGCGCCTAGAGGCCGGACGTTCGGAGCGAGAGCGGCTCGAAGCTGCACGGCTGGAGGCTGAGCGGCTAGAGAAAGAGCGTCGAGAGGCTGAACGGCTGCAGCGAGAGCGTCTGGAAGCGGAACGTATGGAGCAAGACCGTCTGGAGGCTGAGCGTTTGAAGCAGGTGCGTCTGGAAGCCCACCGGTTGGAACAAGAGCGAATTGAGGCCGAGCGTCTGGAGCGTGAACGTCTGGAAGCTGAACGGTTGGAACAAGAGCGAATGGAGGCTGAACGGCTGGAAGCTGAACGTTTGGAGCGAGAGCGCGTGGAGGCTGAGTGCCTGGAGCGAGAACGTGCAGAGTCCGAGCGGACGACTACTGCTTTGCTGCCTGTGCAAGAAGAACAGTCGACAGAGGAACGTCCTTTAGAGGACGAAGATGGTCCTGTGCCTGAAACTGGATTGGACGTGGCCTCATCCGATGTCCCATCAATTGAGAATGAGGACGCGTCGGGGAGTGGTCGAGTGGTTCCGCAACCGGATGCCGCGGAACCAAGCCTTATGAAAGAAGGTGAGTAGAGTGACTAGGCATAGATATGTTCCGACCCTCGATAATCACTCCCGACAGATGTATTCGGCTTGCAGGTGTCCACGTCTCCACCACCTCCTACTGTGCCTTCAGAAATGCTGGATCTACAAACCAAAATATTCGGTCTTAGGAGACGATTGCGCGCCCTCAGTCTTGACAAGGTCGCAAAGCCCTCCTCGTCAAATACATCATTACCTACCGACGAGGACAGGAAGCACCTCGTTGCACTGTTCTCAGGCATAGTGCAGGAGATGGATCAATTACCACCTGCTGACGGGTGTCCCTTGAGTACGGAACTCAAGTCTCTGCAAGCTGATGTGCTCGCCGCCCAAGAAATGCTGTCACGGATCAATCAGCTGGCGAATTTGTTTGTGTTAATTCAGCACTGTGACAATTGTCTCAGTGATTTGCTTGAGCACATCGACAGTTATCCTGCCCCTCCTGCTGGCCCTCTGTTGTCTTCCTACGTCTCTCAAGTGACCAGTCCGCCGGAGGAACAACTGCTTGCTAGGGTAGGCTTCACTAAAACGGTGATTGCTCGCATGGAAGCACAGTGTGAAGAAGTCAGCGACGACCCCCGTGCTACATCCGAGAAAACCCGAGTGTTGCAAACTTGGACGGAATTGGACGAAATGAGCAAAGAGAGGCTCGCCGAGAGCAAGTCTCGATCGGTTAGTGTGGTCTCTCGACCAGGGAGCGTGATTAGTTCTGGTAGGAATAGTTCAGTGTCCATGAACAGCAGTTCCAATCGGTCCAGTCTTTCCAGCGCCCATAGGAAGACTGACAGTTACGCCAACCTGTCCCTTCGGCCCTCTCGTGGGCGGCATCTGGCACCACCCGTCATCGGTCCTAAACGGTCTACTTCCAATACAACGGATACTTCTCGAAGATCCTCCAGTAGGCTATCAATCGCGTCGACGACGCGTTCGGTATCCGGGTCACAGGTACCAAGTTCATCCAGGCTTCACAGCACGACCTTCGCCTCCCGGCAACGGACAATGAGCACCACATCGAATTCATCGACTCTCACCTCTCCAAAGGTAGTGCCCGCGACGCCCAGTCGTCCTCGAGCTCAGACTGGCCAAAGTCGGCAACGTAGATCCCCGACATTGTCTGATGCGTCTTCCCATCGCTCGAGCGCTTCTCTCTCTACTTGGTCTCGAGCTCCACGAGAGTCACTCACGTCCTTACGCAAAGTCTCTACTCCCCGGAGCAAGATTCCCCAAATGACGAAGAAGCCCTACATTCCTAATCCGAAGAACAAACTGGATGTTGCAGTCGGCGACGTTGTGAACAACCTACCTGTGAACATCAATATCGAGGTTGTCGCAGATACTTGGAAGGACCAGAGCGGAAAATACTGGATTGGCGATCAAGAGCCCAGGCTATGCTTCTGCAGGATTTTACGATCTCAAACTGTCATGGTACGTGTGGGTGGAGGATGGACAGAATTATCGAAGTAGGTGCTCGCGCTTAGTGGATTGATACCATCCCTGACGAGTGTTATAGGTTCATCAAGAATCACTTCGCTGACCTCTTCCGCCTGATGCCAGAATCTCCGCCCGGTACGACTGCCCCTCGGGAGAAATGGATCAGCTCCAAGACACTTCTCGACAACACGAGTGATTCATTTCGACCTCAGACGCCCGAGTCCAAGGACGCTCATCTCCCGTCGTTCGCATTATCGACACCGAGCGGGAGAAGTCCGCACTCAATCAAGACGACGTCTTCGCCTGGTTCACCCTTGACTCCGTTACAGTTCATGCGGCGAGCTGAGGGTATGGAACGCCCTGTCACTCCCACTAAGAGGCCGCCGTCCACCACACGCATCAAGAAGGTCGTTCCCAATACCCCTTCCCGTACCCCGGGACCAGTGTGGAGGCCTTGAAACCTATTGCTTGTACTAAGTCCTGCTCCATTTCCTAATATTGCTGCATATACGGACACATATTGTTGACCGGCTGATTCCCATGGTGCCCACTTGTTTTCCAGAATTGTTGCATTGTATCCTAGATTTCCTCGAACTACTCGTACACTACTGCTAATTTATTCGCGAGAGTTTATGCATGACGTGGGTACTGAGTCGATCTGATCCGTCCTAGAATCACAAGAGCTGATTCGCCCTCGAGATATGAATCTCGATGTATGCGCGTTTAATTTTGAACTCCGCGACCTGACCGCGGCCACAACTGAGCTCTTACTATTGGTTTCAATACTCACTTCCTGGGTTGGCGACCATGGACACGGAACTCAAATGCAACAGACTGACATGTCGCAGGGTTCTGGCGGATAAAGCAGTCGTAGTGCGTGATATGTTTCCTCAAGTGAAGACCGAGTACTAGTGTTGTACATTGCTTACCCGTTGCTCGTAGACGACCTGTATGCTTCTTCGTCCTGTAGAGATCCTGGGCGCAACTGAAGCTCGTGCTTCCTAGGTTCACATATTTTCTGCAGTAAGCTTTATTGAAAGTAACAGTGCCCTCTGTTCCGTGACAAAGAAATCTGGCGTAGTTGAATGCGCAAATGAACTCTTTAATGCATCTCGATTGTGTCCTGGTACGTTGCACATCTCGGCACTTCCAATTTTCTGTGAACTAATACGAGAGCATGAATCGGCAAGCCTGCGAAAGCCCGTTGAGCGAGCCGTCAGTCCACTAGCATCCTTCCCGCTCCAGTTCTTAGCAGGTAATCGGTCAATAGAGATGACGTTGTGGTGAGATCAATTTGGACTAGGGCAATAACGTTTTCGTCATTGGATACTAGGTTTCTTCTTTGCATCCTTCCAACGATTATAAGACCGTAAGCATGCCGATGCGATAGTGGCGCATTCCTCACCGTACATTTTCGCTAGTCAGTCTTGTCAGGTCTTACTCCATCCATTATCCTCGAAATCTGTAGCAGGTGAGCGCGGACAAGTAGCCGTCACTGTCAATATCCATATCTTCCCGGCTACCAAAGAGCTATCTCTTTCTGGCAATACCAGATCCACCAGGAGAAGTACGTCGCATTGTTTGGCCAGGACCGACACGATGTTCAAGCGTTTCAGCTCGTTCCAACAAGCCGTCTTGCGTAATCTGAACGACAGAAACGCTCAGCTGCAGAAACAACTAGACAACGTCCTTAGAGAAGGTGAACCTTTTGCTGAACTGACTAAGTTGGCGGGAAATGATACGTATGTCTCAGCAAACTCGGAGATCAGTCTCTTGGGGAACAAGATATCAGGTAACCAATTTTCTCATTACTAAATTTGAGATTGCACGCACGTTTCGAACAGAACTCGAGCGAGATTTGGAGTTGGAGCGTCGTAAAGTTCGAGAATTGCAAGACGCTTCGAGAGAACGGGATAAAGAGTACCAGAAGCTCAAGGTCAGCGGGCCACCCACTCTTCTTCTCCTGCTGAAGGTACCTTATTCAGGCGCAATACGACAGAGTCAAGAGGAAAGCCCTTCTGGCACCCAATGCAATAGCTCCCGACGTGTCGAGTAATGTCCATGGCATAGGCGCTACCGGGGCGGCGGCAATAGACCGACTAGGCTCAGAAGAACAGCTAAGGAGGCAGAGGGCTGCCGTCCCGCTCGGAGTGCCTGCAGGGAACATCAGTGCGTTCGTAGGCGGGATGGAAGCAGCCGGGGTGAGGCTCCGTTGGATTCGCATCAGTAGTGCCGTCTCACCGCGATATTCGACAGGTGCAAAGGACACCGATCGTCAATCGAACTACGTCTGCGTCTATCCTCGGTGGTCATCAAGCTAGTGGCTGGCAACAACAATCCTCGTACCAACGGTTGACAACACAGCGTAGACCCTTCGCACCCAACGATCGCTCGCTCGCGCCCAGTATAAGTATCTCGGATCGTTCGGACAGCGGGAATGAGGTGGAAGCAATGGTGCTTGGGACATCTAGGCATCAGAACGTCAGATCAGGTACCCCATGGGCCAACGATAATAAGGCTCGGCACCCAAATCGCGGTCAGTTTAGTTTCTTGATCTCAAAGGTGACTGAGAGTTCAATCCTAGTAGTCGTAGCACCTCCATCTGCTAAACGGTCGTCCGGATCGTTCAGGCCCGCTGGTATGGTCAGATAAGTAGGGTAACATGTTCGCCACTCTAAGCTCCGGAAGCGCTCGATGTCCATTCCATGCCGAAGGCGAAAGCAGCTATCACAACGAGGACTAATACATACATGTACGATTCGATGAACATTATGAATTTTAATGTATAGTTGCAAGGTTGAGAGATGGGGTAACGGAGACCGTTCAATCACGTCGAATTGTCCCGTTCTTCTCGTCCTCAAGATATTGCCCGATGGCAACAATATCTTGACCTGACCTGCGAAGGTACCCAGCAAGGACAGCTCGGTCCTCCTGAGGTAATAGGTCAGCTAACTTGTCCAGTTGTTTCTCAAACTCGGTCTCTGGAAGCCGACTTGGTGAGGAACGGGAGACACCGAAGAACGATGGGCGTTTAGCAGCAGTGCTCTCCCTCCAATTCAGACTGGTGGGCGGCGACTGCGACGAGTCTGTAGACGACCCTGGCGATAAGCCAAGAGTCTGTGAACGCTGCATGCGACCAGGAGGCGCCCTTGGCCCACCAGGGACTGAGGGAGCGTTCTGGATCTGCACTGGGCGAGGAGCCGGAGGGGTGTTAGGCGGAGCTTTCATTAGAAGTCTACCTGACGGGCCAAGTCCCCTTTCCTTCCGGACACTCGTTTTCCTTCCGATAGACGAAAAGAAAGCCGCACCAGGCGCTTTGGATAAGGAGCTAGGCAAGGAACGTGGAGAAGCAGGTGACGATGGTATTGTCGACAACCGGCTGGATGGAGTCCTAGGTGTAGCCAGAGAAGGATACGGGAGAGTCGGAGGTGGGCCAGTAGGAGGAGATATGTCATCCGTAGGCTTCGATGACAAGTCGGTAGCTAAGTACGCATCCGGACGTCTCGGGAAGGTCGCCTCGGAAGCCTGTGATCCATGAGAAGTGTGACGAGGTTGCCCAGATGTTGCAAGGGTCGAAGGCAGGGCTGGACCTGTCGGTGATAGTCCAACACGACTGCCCGAGCCACCAACGCCACCTGGATATATGAACGCGAGTCGATATGCTAAGTATCATCCTAATGACAAGGAGGCAGAAAAACCAACCTGGATGTTTCTTGGCCGTCACCCATGCGCCAAGCCCGCAGTCGTACATGGCTAGTTCATTGATTTTATGGGCGTAACCCATGGCACGTTCGAGTGCACTCTTCCGTGTCACAACGTCACCGTAGTACATGGCATTCGGCCACCTGGATATGATTTTGGGCGGTTGAGCAGCTTGAGGGAGATTGTGCGACGGAGAGGGTGTTCTGGTCGACAAGCCACTACTCGAACGACCTCCGGATGCACCGGAAGGCGTGCGCGGCAGCGACGAAAATCGCTTCATATTTATCCATGCTGCATTGTCCAGTGATCCAGGGAATCCTTCCCCAATGGTATTATAGCGCTGGTGTACCGAAGCGTCTGGCGGGGGAGGAGATGAGCTGGAATAAGAGCTAGATGATGCCCCGCCAGGGGAAGATATCTGGAGATGGGAGAATTCGTGTCCTAAACTACTCTGGCTTTTGGCATGACGAAGGTTACTATCTGGTAACCTGGATAGATCATCTTCAGGCGGTTCGATGGTCATGGTCAGTGGAGATGCCTGGCCATCTACAGTGGCATCACCATTTCCCGACTGTCGTGCTTGTGGAGTGTTCCCCATATCTCGACTATCAGACTCCTTGTAACCAGTGTCGTCGCTCCTATTGGGTTGTATAAAGGTGGACGGCGGGAACGCTCCCTCGCGGAGATGCACAGCGTGAGGTTCTTCAGTTTCACTAGCACCAACTTCCGGAGGTGATCTGCGACACAGTAAAGCCAGACGCACAAAAGACTGCAATCGTGGTGCTTACCTGTCGTCACCTGAATGCACCGATACAGCCATGATAGAAAAGTCGGAATTGCCACGCTTCAACGAGACTCGAGATGTTTCAGGTCGTAGCGTCTGCGAGTTGCTAGTACTTGAGAGCTGCATCGGCTGCCGCACAGGATCAGTATCAGGTCGACGTCGCGTGTTTATAGGAGGCGGAGAGTGAAGTCGTGGAGGTCGTGGAGGTGGGGGCGATTGCGCGTCGATGTCGAAGACAGCTCGAGGAGGAGGAGGAAGAGGTCCTGCGGTGGCGTGTACACCAGGTTCATAATTGAGATAAGCAGAGAAATCTGGTGCGCATGCTGGATTAGGAGATGGTGAGGGACTTGGCTCTGCCATTGTGTTGTTCGGTGGACTCATAGGTGACACAGCGCCACGCAGTCTACTCTCTAAATCGACTACGACGGGTCCAGCTACGGGCTGGTGGATTTCCTTCTCTTGGCCAATCCCGGGTGTCAATAGTGGAGGTGTATATCCCGTATGACCTTGGACTGCGAGCTTTGCCTGCACGCGTTGGCCTAGAGGTGAATGGCCACGGCGGTGCGTCGACTCTGAATCAGAGTCCTGGCGGCTTCCAGGGGAGGGAGAGCGTGACTGAGGGGTCAAGAAGATGGGCGGTTGAAGATTCCCTCCACCTTCCGCTAACTGCGAGCGCTCACGCAGAGCATGGTTTGAGGAGGGTTGGTCTGGTACAGAGGGCCCACCAGTGCCTACAACGCCTACATCGCGAGAAGATTTACGTCTGATACTTCCATTCTTGGTCGTTCGAGGTATTTCAGACGCCGATCGCTGATGACCCCAACTGGATGGACCTGGAAACGCCGCATTTCCGTGTCTCGCACCTTCAGCCGGCGCGCTCGGTGGAGGTGTAAGGTCGGAGTATGATCTAGGGGAGGCATCGGGAGGTGCTACGAGCGCAAGACCCTTGAGATGGGCGTCCATGCCTCTCTGCGAGAGAAGGGAGACAGCTGAACCTGGAGACGTACCGCGGGACGGGGTAGACGCGGGACTTCTTTGCCCGGAGGCACCGTTCATGTCATGCGAACGCGAGGACGACTCAACCTGTACAAGAGCGATACGACGCTTGTCCTCTCCACCGTCTGACCGCACCCTCGACCTTTGGCGACGATGATTCCCTTCGCCCGCTTCGGGCTGCCTCTCCTGATGGGAGGCGGCTATCGATCTGTGTTCAACTCCGTCGTTGTCATCAGAGTAGTCGGATGGCGAAGTCGATCCTGAGGACATTTGTCTGCGACGAGTAGTACCATTGAGATGGTGGTCTTGAGAGACCGGCGGCTCATACGCCCGCCCGGCGTCGGCGGACTGATAATAGGACAGAATCTGTTCTGTATCACGGCGAATCACCGTTGGCCGAAGAGTGTGCGCTAGAAGACCATGGTAGCACTAGCATTAGACCCACAGCATGATGCAAATGATGGCAGTGAAAGGAAGCCTGGTACTCACCGGGCTTCGCCCCGCCGTGTGCAGAGCTCTCTCCGGCAACGGCAGAATAAGCGGCCAGTCGCGCGGAGTCCATTATTATTCTTGTGTACGTTGTCTTATGACCTGAATCGTCAAACTGAGGTGGGATACAACATTCCCTTCAGCTGCGCAAGGGTTGGGTGTAGTTGCTTGGCGGACGGTGGAGGCAGTGAGCACAACATTGTGTTGCTGCTCCATTGCACCTGCCACAAGACTGCGACCCTCCTAATTTTAGGGCGTCACCACGTGCACTTGGGGATCTTCAAGCTTGTGGCCGGCGCTTGCGTCCACAATTCGTACGTACACAGCACTTCTTCGAAAGCCACTCGAGGACTGACAGCGAGAGACTATGCATACATGTCTAACCTACACAACACAAGCATTGCAACCGTAATGTACACAAGAATCGTCGAACCGCAAGTCATCACCATTCCATCTTTGTCGTTGAGGCAATCGGGATTTTTCCCTTGTATCCCAGCCCGTCGAGCCATGGCCACACTCGACTCCGCCTTTCTTCGAACGTCTCGATCGCGTCAGCCTTTTGCAGGGTCAATGCAATGTCGTCCAATCCATTGAGCAGGCAATGCCTCCGGAAAGGGTCGACATTGAACTTAATCGGCGGCTGGTTATTAGCTCGCCTGATCTCCTGTTTCTCTAGGTCCACCTCTAACTCCAGGCCCTTCTCGGCGTCTTCTGCCAAAGCCCGGCAGTCCTCTACCGGTAGAGCGATTGGAAGCATCCCGTTCTGCATCGTGTTATTTCGGAAGATGTCAGCGAAGCTGGGTGCAATTATACACCGGATCCCAAAGTCGTTCCTGATTGATTGCAACGTAAGTACGCAGCATAAGACACAAAGCGTCCGCAACTTACAGACTCCATGCCGCGTGCTCTCGCGAGCTGCCGCACCCGAAGTTCTCGCCTGTACAAACCAGTATTTTCGACTGGTCGTAAGGCTTTCGGTTCAGGATGAAGTCTGTGTCCTTCCCCGTGGCTGGATCTTTTCGCAGAGTATAGAACAGTGCTTCAGCCAAGCCAGTCCGCTTCAGCGTCTTCAAGAATTGCTTGGGGATAATCATATCGGTATCGACGTTTTCGATGTGCAACGGCGCCGCGATACCCTTCACGATGACGAACTTGGCGACGCTCGAAGGAGCCTCAGCAGGTGGTAATTCCGACCCTCCTCTGTGGAAGGGCTTATCCTCCTTGGTGGGGGGAACGATGGGGTCCGTTAAGAAATCGAAAGGACTTGCTAACTTCAGTTTCGGTTCCGCCGACTTTGTCGAAGGTCCCATGAACTTGCGCACGTCCGTCAGCTTACCGGTGATGGCGGCAGCTGCAGCCATCGCAGGGCTGACCAAGTGGGTCCGCCCTCCTGCGCCTTGGCGACCCTCGAAGTTACGATTACTGGTACTGGCGCAACGCTCGCCAGGTTCCAGCTGATCGGGATTCATACCAAGGCACATGGAGCAACCAGCCTCGCGCCAGTCGAATCCAGCACGCTTGAAGATAACATCCAGACCCTCCGCCTCAGCATGCTGCTTGATGATACCGGATCCCGGGACAATCATGGCGTGCACACCTGGAGCGACCTTGGCATCGGGGCCAGCAGCGAGCACGATCTTCGCGGCGGACCGTAGGTCCTCGATACGACTATTGGTACAGGAGCCAATGAAGACCTTGTCAACCTTGACTTCTTCCATGGGCGTGCCTGGAGTGAGGCCCATATATTTGAGAGAGCGTTCGGCGGATGCGCGTTTCGTAGGGTCGGACATGGTTGCAGGGTCAGGAACTTTGCCCGTGATTGGGACAACGTCCTGGGGCGATGTACCCCATGTTACCGTGGGCACGATGTCTTCCGCAGCGATCTTGACCTCGATGTCGAAGTGAGCACCCTCATCTGTCTTCAAGGTCCGCCAGTACGCCACGGCCCTATCCCATACATCGCCCTTGGGTGCCAGAGGCCGATTGCGCAGGTATTCGAACGTAATCTCGTCGGGTGCAACCATTCCTGCCCGGGCCCCCGCCTCAATGCTCATATTGCAGACGCTCATTCGAGCCTCCATGCTGAAACCACGGAAGACAGAGCCGGCAAATTCAATGACACAGCCGGTACCACCGGCGGTGCCAATGACGCCGATGATATGCAAAATCACGTCCTTGGACGTGACCCCCTCGGCGAGGGTGCCGTCCACGGTGATTCGCATATTCTTGCCCTTCTTCTGGAGCAATGTCTGCGTCGCCAGGACGTGCTCAACCTCAGACGTGCCTATTCCAAAGGCGAGAGCGCCAAAAGCTCCATGTGCTATAAGATTTGGATTTTGGTCAAGACGGTAGGACTTCAGAATGACCAGGGTAGGTTACGTACTGGAGGTGTGTGAATCACCGCATACCATCGTGATACCAGGAAGCTAATTTAGATATATTACGGTGAGAGGGTCTGAAGCCATAACGCCAAGTGTCACCTACAGTGAAACCCTGCTCTGGTCCAATAATATGGACAATGCCTGACAAAATCAATAGAGGTTGAGACTAACTATAATACAGGACCGTCTGCTGCTTACCTTGTCGACGATCGGTCATACCGAAATACGTCAAGCCGAAATCCCTGACGTTCTCCTCCAATGCTAGGCATTGCGCTCGAGACTCGGGTTCCGAAATAAATGATTTAACGGATTCGAAGTTTTTGCGTGAGACCGTCCTGGGATTTTGGTCAGTATGACACATCCCCAATCTCACAGTCCCAACTCACGGCACATTGTGATCCACTGTCGCCAGAGTGCAATCCGGGCGCCGTACCGGTCTACCTGCTAACCGCAGACCCTCGAATGCTTGCGGGCTCGTAACTTCGTGGACAAGGTGACTATAAAGACAAGACATTGAGATCTGGGAAACCTGAGACGCGAAGTTTCCGGTAACGTACCGATCGATGTACAACAGTGTAAGTCCGTCATCCTGGGCTTGTCTGCAATCATATGTTGGATAAGTACGGGTCGCATAAACTGAACAACGCACACTACGTGGTCATCCCAGATCTTGTCGTACAAAGTGCGAGGTGCTGATACAGGAGCTGGCATGTTGGATGTTGAGTAATAAGATGACCTCCATCTTTCGTAGATCCGTTATAAATGCAGGGACTTAGAGACTGGAATTACCCTCGGCCGATTGGTGGGGTAAAATGGCTCGGCCGACGGAGCCGCGGCCCCGCCTTCCCTTGTCGCCGCCGGTTGCTCAGTTTCGCTCAGTCTACTGTAAGCCCAGTCTGCTCAAGGATTTCTGGGAGCGATCTCTTGCGAGTTATTTGACCGTGAGGGCAGACTAGCCAGCTACGAAGATCTATAGAGCCTGAGTACGCTCAGAACATTATCTTGCATGTCAAGTGATGATATAATGGGTGTACTACGGGTTATACGATAACAGACATAGACGATATCATACCTGCCGGACTCGACCATTGCAGATTTCAGTCAAACGCTCACGGATCTTTGCAAGTTTACATATTACGCCTCTCCGGCACCTATCCAACGGTCTAGAATACCCATGCATGGTAAAGAGAAGCGATTAGGGAGTATAGATAGCGCGACAAGCATAACACCTATTCGCCAACGAATCCGATATGCCGAGCAGAACAGTGAAACGGTCACTTGAGGCTGCTATGCGTGCGTGGATGAGGTGAACAGATGTGTAAAATACGAGATTCGTCGAACACATCGCGTTTGGTGCGCTTTTTAGACTTAGCTGAGACTCCAACAGCAGCGATGCCGGGCCTCGATGGTCCTACCCGAGCCAACCCTCTAAACAAATACATAATGGATGCGCCCAGAGCAGTTACAATAGTGAAGCAGAGTCCCGGTTTGTGGCGTTGTGGCTCCTGGGAGTATTCCGGCGATTGCCGCTGTAACTGCACAGTACTTAGCCACTCACGCTCGCTGCTTGCGCGAGCACGAGAGGCACTCGGCAGCAAGATCTAGTCACCATTCGCGATGGCCAAGTCAAAGAAGTGAGTCGACCTTTTTGTCATTTGGAAGATGTTGCTGACCGTCTGAAGCCATACCAATCACAACCAGAACAAGAAGGCCCATCGCAATGGCATCAAGAAGCCCAAGACTAACCGGACGCGGTCATTAAAGGGTGTAAGTGCGTTCAGCTACGTTCGTACGCTGTCTCACTGACGGTATGTTGCGTCGGCATAGGTTGACCCTAAGGTTGGTGTTTAGCTTCGAATCCACGTCGGTGGAAGACTAACTGTGTTAATCATCGTAAAGTTCCGCCGCAACGCACGATACGCACTCACTGGCTCTGTACGTCGTCTTTCCCTTATACTCTATCCCAAGCTTATAGAGTTTTCACAGTACAAAGCCCGCGCCGAGGCCAAGGCATCATAAAATACGCCTTGCCACACGAGATCACACGCGATGTAGTTATGGATAGAGGGGATGTCCGCGTCCGTCTGGCGCCTTGTATTGCCTACCACTATGCCCATGCGTTATGCTTAGGGAGTGCACTCAAAAGCAGAAAATGCCAAAAACAGCGCAAAATAATCCATTGGAGTGGGACCTGGGCAAGATAGAGAGCCTGCATCTTACAACTACCTGAAGAGTAAGTCAAGACGAACGTTGTCCTTGACGATTTTGCTCGAGGGCTGCACGCAGTCTGATAGCCTGGACTATGTGTCGGACCATCTGTGGAATGGCAAGGAAGATGGAAACTCACCGCTGCATCTTCGGGAGCCAACGCACCTTTGGCCATGTTGTGTCGGCCCCATCGCACTTTTCTACCCCCGACGGGCGCAGGTCTGGCTGCTCCTGGTTCCGACGACAGCAACGCGAGGCATTCCTCGTCCGTGGCTACGTACCCGTCCACTAAGGAGAAGAATTTATGCCGCAGAATAGTCTTAATGTTCTCGAAAGCGTGCGTGGTGTACCACCCATCTCTCTCCTGGCGAAGCGTGAGAGTAGTTGGTCAAGGAAAGTGATGCTACGAACGTTGACAGTTTCCCGGAGGTCGTCCTCATCTTCTATCATCTCTTTGAGTAAACGATCGTGGATGTCGCATAGCTGGAAGGCTGCAGTGTCTTTCGTGAGGGTAACACCGTCAAAGATATGTGACCGTCTACATCGCGTTTCGAATGCGCCGCACTGTGAATATCAGGCGTGACGGGCGTACCTTTGGTCGCTTTCAGCCAACTGGCCTTCGTCCGCAGGAGCCAGCGCTATGGTCGCAGAGCGGCCATCGTGACGACGGGTTATGACAGACGGGCGAACAATGGGGTGGTTTACGTTCCTGAAGTAGAGTCGTTGATAGCTGCAGAAGCGGGTTTTCGAAGACCAGCATTTCCTCGGATACCCATTACACTTACAAGCGGGCGCCCACGTCTTTCCTCGGATCGTATCCTAGGCGGATGAGTGTATCTCGCCAAGGACCATCACTGAATGTATAAGAGACAAGGGGAAGCAAGGCCTTGGAGCTGTATGTACGAGCGTCAACACAGTGGGGTTCTCGTTGATTGGTGGTACGCACTTGTGAATGTCTCGCGCTTCTCCGGCAGTAAATTGATTCAACAGCGCTAGGCGCGTCCATACTGGTCGCTGTTCGAAGTACTAGGCGAGAAAAATTAGACTTGGACTAGTACGCATGTCGTCAAGGTCAGACCTGTTCGACGCGCCTCAGAAGATGTTGGTCGACCTGTTGTCGGGCCTCCTCAACTTGTGGGATGGGTTTCTCTGGTACCTAAACCAAGCTGAGTGTCACACAATTAAACCATCCACAGTCGGACCTACCGTTGGATCAGAGAAAACAATCGACACAGGGCCGTAGCCTTTCCATCGTGTACGATTAATGAGTCTCTTCTTCTCTTCTCCATTATCATCGACAAATGTGGTTACGGTAGACATCGGATTTGCCTTGAATCTGGCGGTGAAAGTCAGTCACCTTGCGAGGTGAGGAGCAAAAAGACTTGTAACCCGTAATTTTGCGGGACACTTTGCCGACTGAATAGTGGCGGTGGGAACATTCTGAGGTTACTGACAATCTTTGGCTCCGTTCCTGGTTCGCAAGTCAATTGGGGATCAATCTGCACTTCGGGCATGCTGAGGGTGGTGTAATCTTCCTTCTCCTCTGGGATAGTGTAGCTGCGAATACCCTCGACTGCGAAATGTTAGGGATGTTAATATCCTTTTTGAAGGCATACATACTGTCCATTTTGTCTAGAGCATTTCGAAGTTTGACCACTGGGTCCTGTGCGTCTGGCTGATATTGGAAATCAGCCATACCTGCAAGCAGTTAGCCATGCAGATATACCGGGACATGTCGTAAGGACTTACTCCTGAACCGGACCGTCTTAGATACTACGCCAACCGCTTCAACTTTGTAGTCGCCGACATGTGTCTGACCTTCCTCGTCATGAGCAGGATTCAACTTCTTCCGCTTGCGCTTGACGACCTTTAGCAGTATATTGTTTGTCGGCACGTTCTCTCCGGGGATGGGGTGTGCAAAGGGGTTGTCAGGTCTGAGACGTAGCTCCAGTAGACTATCACTCTTGGTTGCGGTCCTTTTGAAGGCATTATTGAGACTAGACTGGCCACCCAGATTGCCGATGGCAGTAGGCACGGATGTTGGTCGAACATAGCCCGGATATTCGACGGAATAAAATGACTTGGAAGGTAAAGCTCTCTCAGGAGCTTGCGATGAAGGGGCCGGAGTCTGTGAACTAGAATCCTGCATTAGGGCTCGCCTCCGCTTGACGAGGCGTGGAATTTGTGTGGAATGGTAAAAGACGCGTCGATCACGTGGGGAAATCGCCTCCCATTGGGACTCCCATGGTTAACTCAAATTACTGCATAGATTATACAGATGCAGGATCCAGATGTACTTGCGCAAACTATGTACGTGAACCGTATATGGGACTAGGGTAATCATATGGAATTTCAGGGTTTACGACCTTGGAGTTTCATTATTTCCTCCATTGCCTCCTAGACAAGCAGAGGTAGTCTAGTTACACGAGTGAGGAACACAGATTGACCTTACCTTCGATGTAAGATCAATACCAGCTTTCTGAAGTTCGTCGACGACGCGCCTGGCCCCCTCCCTGAACTTAGAGTTGGCGGCTAGCTTGAACATTTGCATAGTGCTCGGAGGGTTACGTCCTGACGCATCAAATCCTACGCGACAGAGGGATTAGATACACATGTACGAGATCGGGGAAAAGCAGCTGAGCTAACCTTGCTCCTGTAAGAGTGCAGCGAAGTCAGAGAGAGCCTTCAGAGCCTCTGGTTTGTCGGCAATCTTCTTAAATAGAGACGTATTCTTGATATTCGCGATCAGAGAGTCAGGACTCTCGGCCGCTTGGATCCTAGGACAAGGATGGAAACGCCTCCTCGACACTGAAATTACTACTTGCACCGTGTGCCGACTTTTGAGACCTGTTCGGAGAACGCTGAGAGGCGTCATCATGGTGGAAGGCTGAAAGCAGGAGAGCAAGGGTCGTGGGAAATCTGACGCGTCAAGACGCGTCTAAATTACAACGCGACGTGACCAGACGGGACGCGTTAACTGAACTCTTCAAGCATGGATAACGATTATTATTCAATTGACTCTATCCTTGCTGAGAATCAGGTGTAGTTGACCCTTAAATCATAAGCCCCACTTTCCTTTGTCTGACTGAAGGTAGAAAATTCAATGCACATTCAAAGTGGAGATCCCGGACATGGGACACTTGGATGGTGGTGCTGAAAGAGACGTGCGAGCCCTGCATCTTGTTCGAAGGACATGCCAATGACCTTCCTCCAGATCAAGCCGCTCAGCAAGATGCAAATACCGTTGTGGATGGCTTACATCTTGATTTATTCGTGAGTGTTCGTTGGAGGTTATATGGCGGCATCTCATCTCTAGCGGAGGTAGCGACTATGCAGACTTTTCAATACCTACACCATTCAACGCGAAAGTGCGGAACGCACTTAATGCCGAAGCTCGCAGCGTCAGACTGTCGGGGCTTGTGGGCCAAGGCGGCTCTTGGTACGGGTTCGGGAAGATGATTGTACAATTGTAAGTCGCTAGCATATCCCTTTAACTCACTCTTGACTCGGACGTCTGGCGTTCCAGACTCGACGATGCTCCAGCAGATGAGATGTCAAGGATTCTGACCAAGGTAAGTCTCTACCACACACGCGCTAGCTCCCCGGGGCACAACTAGCGTCCCCGGGTACCCTGACTGACTGACACAACCCCCAGGCATTCCGAGATCGTCTCCTCGAAGTCATCGATCAAGCGCAGCACTTCGCTGCAATAGGCACCGGCGGAGGTGGGTCTGCGAACGGAGACGCAGCGCAGATGTTCAGGGAGGGTCTGGAGAGTGTCGAGAGAGAGCGTGAGTGATCTCGCTGTGCTTGATTAGTCATGTCTGAAGCTATTGCAGTCTTCGTACTCGCGCAAGAAAGCGCGAAGCGTACAAAGCGGTGGTACGAGACTACGGACAAGAGCGTCAAGTAATGACTGGCTGACGTTCGACTATGCGACCATAGTATATACCTATTCTTGTTTCGGATGTTCTGTACTACTTGTTTCTCGTGTGGCCCCAATGTTAGGGTCGCTTTTCTTCAGCTCGGTGACAAACCTGTTGGTGAACCGATGGGTAAACAGCGAAGGAACGGGAAATATGACATGCTTACCATTTCACGCTGGCCCATAAGCAAAGCTCAATTCCCGTCAGAGCAATAGTATGTACGTTTCCTTGAGTCAAGAAAGCCAGGCTGAGCAGCACCACGAGGAGCGCTGCGAAAACCGCATCGAGAGCAAGCAGGAACTTCGGATGCAGAGAAGAACCGGGCTTCAGGACGTTGGAGAAAAATGATGCGAAGGAATCTTCGTTCTGGCCAGCCATATTCCTTGTGGAAGACGTATAAGTCGTATACAGAGAGGTTGGAACTAAACTCAGTTATGCTTGCAAAACGACCAATTCCGACCTATATGATGCGGTTGGTATCCGGGCAGAAATCGTGGCTGTGCTGTGCATACTTACCTCCCAGTCAAGTATTTTGTAAGTAAAGCCGCAGTATTAGTCTGCAATGTATATCAAGCTCGGCAGACATAGCATTATCGGTATATAGCAAGCGCAATAGCTACAGAGAGATGCCAAGTTCGCAGCGGCTAGCTAAACACGGTGCCTCTTCTCTCAGTGCTATGCCGCGATGGCCCCCTACCTCGATGCAGTGACCATTCAAATTCCTTCAGTTTCTTACCCCCACCCTGGACTTGGCATTCCAAACGGACACTGAAGGTCTCTGAGCCGTCATCTTGCGAAGAAACTGAGATAGCGCGTGAACGAGCCGAAGACAGGAAGAGCAGAGTCGGCCACACCTTTCTGAGTCCTCACTGTCCCTACCCATTCAAAGTATCGCTCTGCCAATGGGGCGACGGGCTGCAGTCCGCGAGATCGCTCCGCACTATCGCTAGCTTGCGGAGCATCAAATGATAGTGGCAGGATAGATGTAACTGGCAGCTTCAGATCGTCTAGAACGGAGTCGAATACGGCCAGCGCAGTTCTAGCGCTACACGCGAGGAACACGATTGAATGCAAGGATAGAAATGATTGATGTGGGTGTATACCCTATTTGCCCGCTCTGGAGGACGCCTATAGCGGATATTGCTCGGATGACAAGGGTCAAGTAAGATGAAACAGTATGCCTTAGTCGAAAGCAAGCGTGTAGGGAAGCTAGAACAGCCCGGTGGAGACTCACGTAGCCTCGCTATTAGAGAAGTAAGATGAGAGACCCTGTAGGACGATAAGACTCGGTGGGTTGGAGTAAGCATTCTTGCAACTTTTCGGGGAACCTTCTACATATGCCGAGAGTATGCGAAGAGTAGATAGGAATAACGCCAGATGAGCTGCGGAAGGTGGATAGCTAAACGCCGGTCAGAAATGCCAAGGATGGTATTTCGGACGCGTACTCACTGCACTTCTATCCGCGAAGAGAGTCCGGCAATTCGTCCATGCCCAGCGAATGAGGACAACCACTCATCGTCGAGGTCTTGCAGATCACGCACGAATGCTTCCCTGGAAGGCGCGATAAGTATCGCCTTCGCTGTGGAATACTGGGCAACATGGGTCAAGCATAGATGGATAGGCGCCGACGCGTGATAGAGCCCCTTGACGAGCAAAGTCGAGAAATCTGGCAAGTCCTCTCTAGGCCAGGAGCTCGGAAAGAAACTGCCAGGCATTTGGTATATTGAATAGGAAAGGGCGAAATCAGCTGGCGCCACAGACGCGCGTCTGCTCAACTGAACTCCGCGTCCTCAGGCTTTCGTGAGTCGTGACCTTATGCTGTTCATCACACGAGGATGCTATGCTGCTTGTGGAACCTTGTGGGTGCTGTATTTTCGGACTCTATGGACACTGGCTGGCCCTTCTATCATGTGCTATTGCGTAGTCACAGCATTAATTATTGCAACATGGTTACCAGGACCGGGCATATCCAAAAACTTACACTGCATTCGAACTGCATTCTGAGGCGCTTCGCGCGCAGCTAAGTCCCAGCTTCACTGCAATGCTACGACAAGTATATAAAGTCGGCACTCCTGGCTTCCCCGTTATCCGAGTCTGGAATCATATCGTCTGCAACCTAGCTCAGTCTTGAGGGATATCGCAATGCAAGTGCTCAGGAGGCAGAAGGTCGTCTCAGATCACCCTGATGATGGCCTGGTCGGTCCTACCCGGGGTCCCATGGCCGTTGGACTCGGGTTGGCAGCTCCATTAGTCAATGCTTTGGCCCAGGCAACGTCCAATTGTGCACCTTTTCCATGGCTCTCGCCACTACTTTCAGTTGTCGGCGAGATCATACAACTCTGCGATAACGTGGTGGCTAACAAGTACGCCAAGTTACCTCCATAATTATAGGACCATCATGCTCATTTTTCGAAAGGCGAGCTGCTGTCCAACTCACCCGAAGATGTCAGCAACTATTGGATACCTTTACCAGGGCAGACGAGGCCGCCTCACTCGCGGTGCTGCCTCCTCAAGTGCAAAGAGCTCTCGAAAAAGCTCACGAGTGCGTTCCGCGAATAGAGATTACACTGCAGTTGCTCATGCCTATCCAGACTTCTGGTAAGCATTAAAGACAGGATGGCAGGATGGGCGAGCCTTGGGAAGATGAAGTCTTTCTACATGCAAGCCGATATCGCGGCTGATATTGAGAGATGCCACGTCGATATTAGTGATTGCTGTGCCAAATTTGAGGTACGACCACTTCATGTTTAGTTTGACGAGGCAGCTAATGACACACCGCAGATCACTTCACAAATTGCGGTGCATCAATGGCAACAGGAATGGAAACATAATGCTGATCAAGACCACCAGGAAGTGATGGAAGTTTTAGCGACAATAAATGAGAACCAATTGTTCCTGAGCAACCAAGTACTTGAAAGCACGCTGGAGATACGAAATCTGGCCCGCTTCGTGCAGCAGGTAAATTGATACCAACGTTCGCTGCTGCATGACCGATTAATATCGAAACAGGGCTTATCTGACTACGCAGTCGGAGACTTCAGGCATACTGGCCTTCAGAAGAACCTCTACAAGATGACTGCCAGAAGGGGTGATTTGCTGCCTGACCTAGAGCTCAAGAGAGGAGAGGTTCGCCGCGTTGGACTATTTCCAGGCAAATCTTTCGGTCATATACCACGACTTCTGAGCTGATCTCTCCAACGGATAGCGGGTGGCTCTGCCGCTATGGATATCTGGGAAGGTGTTTACTTGGACCATGATAAAGTAGCTATCAAGGTAGTTCGAGCCGTCAATGCAGGGCCAAAGAGTCACGAGGTCAGTCCTTCCAGCGCGATCGTATACAGTACCGATACTCAGTGCGGTCTACGGCCTTTAGCGCTTCCGCAGGGAAGTGTCTATATGGCACGAAGTGTGGAAGCGTGATGGTGGCAAGTATATCCTGCCCATTTACGGCTTCTGCCAGGTTAGAACGTGTATACCTCTTCCTGAGATCTCGCACTAATCACGTCTGTGCAGAACGATGGACCGTTCCCGTAAGTGCTTGATGCGGGATTATAATTTCCCTCTGATCGTGCCCTAGTTACATGATTAGTCCATGGCAGCCTAACGGTGTTGCCATCGACTATGTCAAGCGTAACCCGGACGTAGACCATATGGCCCTGGTAAGTCGATCGTCGTCTAATTCAAATCTGGATCCTAATAATCGACCTTCTGTAGGTGCGGGGCATAGCAAGAGGTATACAGGTGCTACATACTTTGGAACCTCCAGTCGTCCATGGGGATATCAAGGGGGTAAGATTTTCGTGCTCACCTTCTTTCCGTCGCTTGACGGCCCATGACTGCAACGTTCAGGCTAATGTCGTTATCGGTGCCATGGGTCAGCCCCTTTTGGCCGACTTTGGAGTGTCGAAGGTACGTTGCAACGGCGTCCCCAGCCACATGTCTTCTTGACCCTGGTTCCTGCAGGTGGTGGAAGACATCACCGGAGTACCATTCACACAAAGCCGAGGTGTCTCCGACTCGTACCGGTGGTTTGCTCCAGAGCTCTGCATAGGACAGGGTATCTTGACGCTGCAGGCTGACATCTATGCATATGGCATGACGGTCCTCGAGGTGAGACTCCTGCGCTCATAGTATCTAATTCTAGGCGCTGACAAGGATTGTTACCCAAGCTTCTCACACACAGTCAGCCGTTTAGTTATATCAAACACACCACAGAGGCCGTGGTAGAGGTGGCCAAGAGAAACCGTCCTCGTCGACCTACTGAACAAGTCGTGGTGGCCAGGGGAATGGACGATAAACTGTGGAGTATTCTGCAGGCTTGCTGGAAAGCAGAACGCACAGATCGGCCGCATATTCGTGATATCGTCGAGAACGTGTGATTGGGGTATATGCATGTACCAGCTGTGCTGGAGTCTGTGGCCCTGTTGTCTCCTGAATCCATTAGCTCCGCCGTGTGGTAGATATTAGTCATAATATGTCCCCATTCCTGTACAGTAGACGCGTCCCTCGCCCGTTCTCATATATATAGTACAGTGCTTTGCATAAAAGTCCGGAAACTGCGTTTCGCGCGTCTCTGTTTGTCCCAGCCAAATAATACCTTATAGGGTAACACCTGACCGAGGGCGCGACGGTCCTCGAGTCAGCCTATATCACTCCTGGGACACCAATGCCCGTCTCAAGGCTGAATAACGTTCATATCTGTATCTCTTCAGGATATCGAGCACGCAGAGGTCAAAATCCCCCAAGAACGACCCTCATACATGGATGTCAAAGCATCCCGCCAACCAGTCAACAGCCCGCGCTACGGTGATCGACTACCTCATATAGGTTTGTTTGGCTGGCACAAACAACATTTCGCGAATCGCGGTTTCCGGACTTTTATGCAAAGCACTGTAATTATACATCGTGCGACACCATATCGTGTATCGATGTCTCTGCCGGAACCACTTCATAACGTGTCCCGCGTGCCTTTCGCCACCTTCAGTCTGACTGCTTCCCTCCAGTACCGCGGTCCATCTGGCACTTCCTACAGTTATTGCAGAAGAATATCCTGATAGCCCAAGGAGTGGGAGGTCTCTGTGCCCGTAGCTAGCCGACGCTCTCATGCACCCATTCGCGTCTTATGTGCTTCGCAGTTACTACAAGGCCACAGGATGGAACGAGGACAACTTATACTCCAACTTCACTCGGTCCTCGAGCTGTGGGCCTTACACTTCCTCTCTCCCCTATGTTTGACTAACTCTTGTTGGCAGCCATCCTTGACTTCACCGTTCCCCGAGGTCTTCACTTCTCAATATCGAAATCCCCAAATGCCCTCTTTAAGACCACGTATTCCATGAATGCTCTTCCTTCTTTGAACGGTTCCATTGGGTATATATTCACGTCCTGTGACCTCAATGTCAAAGGTTCCGGGGATGTTCGCTTCAAGGATATGGTAGACCGTTTCAGAGTGTATGACCAGCCTCGGAGGCCGGAAGGTAAAGAAGAGGTTTGGCTTGCAGGTGAACGAGTAGACACTCGCGGTAAGTAAGTGCTTGCACCTCTTACCCTGTTTGTGTCAACGCTCTAATCCATGTTCCGATAGACTATCTGTTATATGGCCGATTCTACATTCCAACTGGGCGACTGGATGCTCTCTACTCAGCACGACTGTCTGGAACGATGCAGGGCATGATTGCCGCCATCTCTGATCCACGTCCACTACCACTCGGTGCAAGCAACCTTATGCTCAGTCTGCAGCACGATACCGGACGGACATGCACGGAATACACATGGAGTGCTGATGATTCCATGTGGGGCGTCCGCTTCCTGTATAACTTCGGCAAAATAGGCACGGCGCTGGAGTCGCCTGGAGAAAGCGAGCAGTTGTCGACGCCAGTTCAGACAGACCGGTCGGAAGTGAAACGTGTCGATGAAGAAGAAGCTATGGAAGGTGGTCTCAAGGGTCGCATTTCTGCTGGAGCTGAGGTGTACTTCAGTGCACGGGAGAAGAGTGCCGGAGGTTAGGAGGCGTCGTCTCCCTTCCAAGCAGAAACATATTGACCCGTGCGTCGCAGTATCGACTGGCATCCGCTTCACAACCCTTCCGGATGCGACGGCCCCATCTTTCCAACCGCCAGACCCTTCCTCGTCTCCCTTGAGTCTGTCTTCGTCTCGAACGCCTCACCTTCCTCAACCCCCCACGACTATCACAGCCCTCTTCAACCCAATGATGGGTCACATATCTGGCGCCTATGCAGCTCGGGTTTCCCGTGACTTATCTGTCTGTTCTCGGTTCGATCTGAACGTCTATAGCTATGAAAGTGAATGGACAATGGGCGCTGAATGGTGGCTCCGACGCAAGCCCGTACTTCACGAGGAGGACACTCTAGACGCCAAAAGTTCTGACGAGAATTCGCCTGATCACCTTACTTCTGCTCCGGCGATGTCTGAAACGTGGACGGATGATGTACTTGGTGTTGTGAAAGCGAGAGCTTCTACCACTACCGTGAGTCTTTACCTGCCCATCGTGCTGCGCCCTCTTAAAAATGTCCAGGATGTTTCCCTCATGTGGGAAGGACGCTTGCGAAACATGCTGGTTAGCCTAGGCATCGTGTCTAATCTGTCTAGTCGTTCAAAACCTATTAAAGCCGTCGGGCTAGAGTTAGCGTACTTCAGTTCAGGCTAATTATAACCATCTTCCAGTTTAAAAGAATCACCACGTCGTATATATTGCATCGAAGGATCTTGCTTCATTATAATGACATACAGACGATCAACCAGTGAGTCCGAACCGATTAGCGTGGGTGTAATACATGTTTCGAGCAACTATTGCAAAGCACTTGGAAAGCCGTTGGGAAGGGTATAGGGAAGTGTACACATGGAGGATCCGAGTGGAAAGGAGATGATAACACAAGAAAGCCATAGTTCAACGTTCGACCACGATGTCTGCCCAAGAGTTCACAGAACCTCAGTTGTTGGTTGCTGCTGTGGCAACGCTTCTGGGAGACGCAAGAGGATCCTTACCGCCCAACTGCCGTACAAGCCTGGATATAGCGTCGCCGCTGATAACCGGTCGGGTGGTGTGAGGCGCTCGGCGCGGGACCCCTTCGCCGGTGGGCGGGGAGGACTGAGTACGGGCGTGCCTTGCGGCAAAATCTTGCAGATGGGCACCTCGGGGCGTGCTACTACCGGACCGGGTGTGTCGAGTCGCAGGATGAGGGTCGCCAAAACTAGGTCTAAACCCAGGGAGTCTACCCACTGTATGAGATCGACCATGGGTCGGGTCGAAAGTTCGGGGAGGTGTAGCCTTGTAGGCGGACGTATTTTCTGACGAAGAAGTGGACTCTGCGGTAGGTGCATGAATAGATGCGCTCAAACCGCCTCTGGAAGGGAACCCATCATCGGATTTGGTCTTCGCCGAGGGCTCTGATGAGTTCGACGCAGACGTTGACTCGGACTGGCCTCTATCCCCCTCCGCCACGGAAGGAGCTAAGGGTGAATCGGTCTCCTGTACAACAGTGAGTTAGTGCTCCCGAGCACAACGACGATTCTCGAGCACGTACATTTGCAGACGGCTCTGATTTCTGCGAAACTTCTGCTTCAGACGCACTAGTCGGAGGCTCTTGTACAGGCAGAATCTGGTCTGTGTCAGGCTTGGGGCTGGGAACCACCGCTGGAACTGGTTTGGGAGGCAGGGAAGGGTGGCCACGTAGGGTGCTTGGGCCCGTGGGTATTATCTTGCTAGGCCGAGATGGAAGGTGTACAGCCGAACCTTGAGGAATCACAGAAGCCGTTCCACGACGCCCATTGCCAGCAAGGGGAGTCTGCGGTGTCCTAAACTCCTTTGCATTGGTCTGAGCAGGTCGTGGCGCAGCTGACGAACGTCTGGCGCGTCTGGAAGGTCCGCTATCCGACTTAGCAGAACCCACTTCTGAATTGTTATTCCGTGTTTCCGTCTTTGCCTGGACAGGCTCGGTGGTCCGCTTTGATTCTTCAGCAGGTGCTTCTGGGACCGAGGCTTCTACAGAAGAATCCTGAACGGCTGTGTCCGCTTTTGGTACATCTGCGAAATCAGGCAGCGGCTTGAGCTGACCTTCCAGGATGGGCGAAATGACGTTCGCCTTCTCGACAGTGACGGTCCCGGGATCTGTCTTAGTCGTGTAGCCCCAGTCGTCGAGATCTGGCAAGCTGTCGTCATCTTCGCCAGCCCAATCAATGTGACTGCCAGGCGTCGTCGGTCTGTTGCCTGCTATTACGCTGGCGCGCATCTGCTCCACGAGGTTATGGACGTTCATATCGAAGCTAGTGGTCTCCGCTCCTGCAGACAGATGGGGAGGTGCGTCCTTAGAAGATGGGTTCGGGGTAGGTGGCCCCGTAAGTGACTTTCTGGATCGGCCAGGCATTGGTTTGGGGTCAACGGTCAGGGTCTGGTTAGGGCTGATGGAATTGCCTTTCGTGCTCTGTTGGGACGACCTCCTACGTCGATTGTTGGGGCGGGTAAGTGGTCCAGTAATAGAGTCGGTCGGCGTTTCAGCTATGGGAGTGGAGGGATCAATTGCAAGGGAAGGCACTTTGCGTGAGCTCTGCTGTCCCGAGGCTCGCCTAGTGTTAAGTCTGGGTCGCTGGGTACGATCGCTAGCAGCTGAAGCAGGAGTAGCGGTTGCAGTAGATGTAGTAGTAGATGTAGAGGTCGAACGTTCAATGGGTGGAGGCTTTATATCGGAGGCTTGTGCTTGGGCCTTTCTCTCAACGATCTTCGCTTGTGTCTCGTTGTTCTTAGCAGCGGCACCCTTGGGACCTCCTCTTCCACTGCGGCCCCTCCCGCCCCGCCCCGTTCCTCTATTGCTGCCTCGCCCTCTAGGGACGATCCCGCGGAAAGCCGTGCCAGGCTCTCCGGATCTTGCCCAGCCGGCAGACGCACCGTCGCCGCCGTGTGTCGGTCCAGCAGGCGCAGCGGGTTTCGGCGGAAGCGATGCCATTCCTTTCGGCAGAATGGGCTGTTTTCAGTCATTTTCCAAAGCACCGCAAGACCGGTCGGGTACATACAGGACGTGGGCTGTTACAAGATAGTTATTCGGACCAAATTCCGATGGTAAGGTTGGGAGAGTATGTAGTATTAGATGGGGTGTAGATGAAGCAAGATACAATAGGACTCCGCCAGTAATAGCAGGGGTTGAACAAAAGCAAGAGACAAAGCCAGCAGGTGGTCAGTGGGCAGGCCTTCGGTTAGACCGTTTGGGCTGGGGCCGCTAACTGTACCAAACATAGCAAAGCAGATCGCCCGACAGCGCCACAACGGACAAGCCATAGCATTGTTCATCACTGCTCTCGGCTGCCCACTCTCTTGCCCATAATGTCGAAGGCATCGCAGCCAGAGTTGAAAAAGGTACGCATTGTTGTCTTGTAAGTGGATCTAGGATCACTGACGGAACCTTGTCCTTCGCGTAGTTCATGGACAAAAAATTGTTCGTCCATCTTCAAGGCGGGCGGAGAGTTAGCGGAACTTTACGCGGCTATGACTTGTTCTTGAACTTGGTCCTGGATGATGCTCTGGAGGAGACGAGCCCCGCACAAAAGCACCCTCTCGGGACAGTGGTAAGCTTCGTCTGTCTACTATCACTAAAGCGCGAGCGCTTAACCTCCCTCTGTCAGGTAATCCGAGGGAATAGCGTCACTTCGATGGAAACGATGGAAGCGGTGCGGTAGAGAAGCTTCCTGTCTGTATCTTTGCAAGTTCTCTGGGGTTGATGCCCGTGCGTCGTCGTGCTCTCTGTAATACCAAGATATCTCGCCAAAATGCTATGTTCTTTTCCATGTACCCCCGGCTTGCGATGTCAGTAAAGGGTGGTGACCTTGGTGAGCCTCTGATGTAACCCTGAAGACGCGTTGCCGGGCGAGAACACAAGATACTGAACTCCGATCGCACACTGCCCAACTGATCAAGCGCGCGTAGGTGTGTGCCAATTATCTCACAATGTCAATTTCGCATCCGCTATTGATCAAGAAGCTCGAGTGTACAGAATACTAAATCGATGGACACTCGGCGCAGTTACTCACACGTACCGAGCCGTAGCACCACCGAAACCATCTAGGACAGCCATCTGCATCCGCCCGCGTTCAGATCAAGCCCAAGTTTCCTCGTCACCCCGCGCGCAGCCCACAGTCTTATTCCTCTGGCGTTTGCAGCGTCAACCACTCACGTCCTGCTGGTGCCGCTGAGGCGACTGACTTCTCACTTTCCGAAGATCCTGGTCAAGATCGTTGCGCGCTTCTGTTTCGCGGAGGACGCCGGATGCTACTGCAGACAGCCCAAAGGCGAGGTTAGGGTTGGCACCGTCCAATCCGAAGTATTCCCGATAAACCGGCTGCAATATCGATACGTCGTCAGGCTTTTCGTCCATACGTTTCCGCTGCAGCGTGAGGAGATCTTCCAACCCGCTACTCTGGAGGGACTACCGCATTACGATTGCAGTCTCCGGTTGTCTACGAAAATTCGTGTATAATATAATATGCATGCAACACCGTCCTAGGACTACACGTTATGGAACACTGTATAACTGCAACAAGAAAGTTTGAAAGAAAAGACAGTACTACTGTACACTACTCGTATGGCTGGTTTGCGTGGGGTGACGACCAGGATGCCCCTGTACCAGAAGGAAACACACATGACATGAAAACAGATATAAAGTGACCGAGAGGCGATGGCGAAGCGAGGGCATGGGATGGTTGCTACATGACCGTATGCAGTGTGAGGACATCAATCTGTGAATGCGGGATGTAAAGCATCCGGAACGACCACGATGTCAAAGATGTGCGGGAAGGAGAAAGACGAAGAAATCGCAAGCAAGACACCCTCCAAAGAAAAAACGAAGATGAGGCACATAGAAATGTCCTACATCCTCATTGGACTCCCCGGGTCCAGCGTTGCGCCCGTATCGCCATCAGCTGCGACGACCTTCCGCGCCAACGGACTGCCTCCAAGCGGCGCCTGCCCTTTCTTAAATCTCCGCCCAAGCAAGGTCGCCCCGTCGATATCGAGCTCAAACGGCTGGCCAGCAGAGTTCTTCTTCCCCCGATCTCGCTGGCCCGCACGCCCATCATACACATCCCCGCCGCTCCCCTGCTGCCGATGTCTCGACCGCCCGCTGTCCGCGCTCGCGCTCTTCTCGTGCCCGCGCGTCCGCTTCATCTGCTCCTCCTGCAGCGCCTCCCCGACCTTATCCCCGTACTTCCGCCGCGCCTCCTCGACGACGGCAACGTCATCCTCCATCTCCTCGTCTTCCTCGTTCAGGCCGCCGAGGAAACCGCGGTTCGCACCACCGCGCTCGCGCCGCCGCGCGCCTTCCTCTTCCATGCGGTGCACGGCATACGTGATGTCGAACGCCTCCTTGAGCGTGGCCAGACCGGGGCTGCGGACCACCTCCCGCCCGCCGCGGACTTCGCGCAAAAGAGGCGAGTCGAGCGGGTGCTGGAGCGGCGTGGGGGGTGGTGGGGGCGCCGGGGCCGCTGTACACCATGGGTGAGCCAGGAACTCGTCGATGGTATATCGTTGTGCGGGGTCAACGCAGAGTAAATGCGTGATCAGATCCTTGGCTACGCAAGATACGTCAGACTCTGAACTCGTGCTTCTTAATGAATTCCCATACCTAAAGCCGAGATGTCGTCCCACCATGGGCTCAGGAACGTATAGTATCCCCGCGCGACCTTCTCCGTGAGCACTCCGATGCTCTCATCGTAGAACGGCGGGAAACCGCAAAGCAGGGTATACAGGACACACCCTAGTGCCCACATATCCACGCTCTTACTGTATCGCTCGTCCTTTACGATTTCGGGCGCTGTGTACCCGACGGTACCGCATGGCGTCATCGTCTGCTCGTCCCACACGACTTTGCTCAGGCCAAAGTCGGCGATCTTGACGCGGCCGATTCCGCCGCCGCCAACGCCGGGGATGAACTCGCCCTCGTCCTCCTTTTCTTCATCGTATTGGCGCTGAACAGGATTCTTTGAGGGAACAATTGGGATCCGCTCAAAGAGCAAATTTTCCGGTTTGATGTCACTATAAAAAGTATGTGCGTGAGTAACTTGGCATACAGTCACCCAGCTGGACCATCTCACCGATGGACGACGCCTCGTTCTTCGTGGAGGTAGCGAATACCTTGCGCCACTTGCAGAATGACATGCCGCGCAAGGTTCTCGCTAAAGTACGTCAGCTTGACGATCTGGTGGAAAAGCTCTCCGCCCTCCATCACTGCGCATCCACGTCAGCTGGAATATCATTTTTGGCATTGCAGGAACGTACGTTCCAGCACCAGGAAATAATGCTCTGCTGACTCGGAGAACGATATTAGCTTGACGATTGATGGGTGGTTGAGACCGCGCATGATTTGCACCTCTAGAGACGCAGTCAGTATGCATTTAGCGGCATAGAGATCGAGGGACACGAACCCTTGAGGATATTGGCACGCTAAAGAGACGAATGCAAGCTTAAAGTCAGAAACGTCGCTCCACGCGCATAAAAAGGGGGGAGAAAAAAAACAGAGTCGAGGAGAAATAAATCCGGATAATAACCACGGCGAGGGCGAATAGAAAAAAAAGAAGCGGAATAATCAAAAAGCAATAGGCTATGCACCTCTGTTACACGCGGCTTTTTCCTGAGCTGGGGATTCAGGTGCTTATCGCCAGCCTGGAGATCACCGCGACGAAAAAAGCATATAATACAGGTATGATACGTATGTGTGTGAAAAGAAAGGCAGGGATGCGTCAGAGGAAAGATGTAGACTAGGAGAGGGGTAGTTGGAGAGGGTACAGACCTGCGATGCATTGAGTTCGTATTTGCGGACGACCTTGACTGATGAAAGGGCGGGGTTAGGCCTCGTGGTTTGGTAATGAATGGGCCAGCACAGACCTGCTACTTTCTGGTTTGTTGTTAGGTCGAGAGCCTTGTAGACGTTTGAAAAGGCGCCGCTGGGGGTGGGCGGGGGATCAGAGGAGATCGGGGAGATCTGATGGCACAAGACTCACTCGCCCATCTTCTCGAGGAGTTTGAAATTCTCGAGGCCCTTGTAGGTGGGCATCTTGTTCTTTGCTTCGCGCTCTTCCTGGACGATCAGCTCAGCTTCCTTTGTGTATCCGGGGGACTGTGCAGGCTGTTTCTGGTGCTGCGTAGCTGCAGCCGAGTGCTCGGGCGCGTCGCGGTGCTGGGGCTGTTGCTGCTGGGACTGGGGCGGGGAGCGGCGCTGCTTTGAGTCGGAGGGGTAATGGAGGTCCTGCTCAATATAATGCTTTTCCTGTCTTGGGGGGTTGTGGTGCGCCTTGCCATGTCTGATGAGATCTGGGAGATGGGACGATAGTGAGCGCGGGGTGTGGGAAACAGAAGCACGGTGCGGGACGCGAGCGACGTACTCTTGAAAGCGTCGACGACGCCGGTGCCGGTGGGCATGGTGTGCTGGGGGCTGCTGGGGGCGGTAAGCAAGACGGAGGCGGCGGCGGTTCAATTGCGCAGGACGGGCGCGGCGGCGAAGGTCATGTAATCCGAGCGCTGACGTCATTCGCTGCTTCGTCATCGCACCACTCCACTCTCTCCCACTCGCTACGCCTGTCGCAGTCTCCTTGCCTACGCCTATTCCCTGTATTTGTGTCACGCTGTGCGCTGTGCGCTGCACTCGTATTTATTGCGACGGTATATCTACTCAGTCCTTGTAGTCCCCAGCCAAATCCCGACGAGGGCCTGCCGCCGGCTGGCTCCTTATTGGTCTCCATTCTCCGTCATCGCATCACCCTTGTCCCACCGCCCTCTTATGGTTACTCGTGTTCCTTATATGGCTTCACCTTTCTTCACGTCGTCTAGATCGTCATTCTACGTAGCCTGCGGCGTAGCTCTCGCCACGGCGCGGCTGGACCTGCAGATGAGGTTCTCCCCATGGTGTACCTCCTCTGCATGCCTAGTCGTACGGCTTCCGGGCAAATGTCTCCCTTCTTGGAAGCCTGTTGGCGTTCACATGGACGGTTCGCTGCAGGCACACAAGAGGCGACGGCCTGTCTCCGAGCCTGCCGCGCTGTGTACAAGGCTATACGTAGCATTATTCGCTAATCACACATCTCCGGCGCCCAGGTGGAATTAGCTGCCGGGGTTGAGTGTATAGATGAAGTACTCCCCCGGGTTTACTTCCTCTTCACACCCATCCCTTGTCGCTTTCTCGCTATGGCCATGAAAGCCCCAACGTCATCCCAATCACTTGCTCGGGACCTCAAAAGCCCTCGGGTTGAGTGTATAGTGGAAGTACAAACACCGACTGCGGTGTGCTTCGTCTGCGCACTCATCCCGGGGGCTTGGGGTCTCCGCAGTACCGCCCTGGGCAGTCGAATGCATTTTCCTGTAGTCTCTAGTCAGGAGTCTATGGGCGATTGCATCGACTGTCGGTAGCCGCAAGGCGCTGGGACAACATGCAGCGCTCATGTCGTAGGGTTGAGTGTATAGATGAAGTACATCGCGCCGGTGTGCTTCCTCGCTACACCCATCCCAAAGCAGGGCAGCATATATCCATCCGGAGTGTCGAGATGAAGTGTATACTGCACTTCTTTTCCACACAATCTCTCGGGGATGGGGCGTGGCTGAGTGTATAGATGAAGTACCCTGTCGAGCGGGATGCTTCACCTTATCACTCACTCTTGTCTCTGCCGGGCCGCTTCGGATTCTTCCTTGGCTACAGTACTGTATAGGAACTTTACCATGCTTTGCTTCATGATATGCATTTGCATGACTCTGGCGTACTGAAGGTCGGCGTAACATCACAATCAACGGCGATATACTCGTACATCTTTATTTGATCCATAGACTTCACGCACCCCAATCACTCCGCGTACTGCCCGCTCTCAACCCCCTTCAAATACTCCTCGATAGACTCCACAATGACCTGATGGTCCTGCTCCATCGTCAACCCACTCACCACAATCACCCCCACCACGCCCTCCACCTTCCGCACCTTGATCGGGAACCCGCCCCCGTGGATCGCATACTCCCCCGCGCTGTCCCCCAGCACAAAGAACTTCTTCAGCGTCTCCTCCACGTCCCCATCCGGGTTCTTCGCGAGCATCTTGTGGCGGAACGCCCACGTGCTGCACCCCCACCTTAGCACGACCTTGCGCTTGCGCGCGACCCAGAAGTCGTTGTCCGGGAGCGTGCCCGACCCGACCGCGGTGAAGAACAGCGGCTGGTTGGCGTTGGCGAGCGAGATGGAGATGACGGCGGAGCGCCCGGTGGTCTTGGTCAGGGAGAGGAGCTTCGTGCGGATGATGTTGCCCAGCGTCCAGGCGGTTTCCGCGGTGAAGTGCGGGAAGACGCAAGACGCTTCCTGCGCCGCTATGCTGTCAAGCTGGGGGAGGCAGGACTCAGTCTACACGTGATCATGAATGGAGGCTACAACATACGGTAGAAGGAGGTGCCCTTAGTTGTACTGCCATGACTTTACTGGTGTTGTAGAATGACCAAGGGCCTCGAGCTCCTTGATAAAGAGCCAAACCGATCGCGGATGTTCGCCTCGCTCATGTTATATACCGTTCCGGATTGAAAGATCGTCCCGAGATAAGACCGCCTCGGACAAAGTTCACAGGTATAACTCGGACAGCGATACACGTGCTACGCTGTGAGATCTCTACGGAAATACGGAGCAATTCACCCCAGTAAAGCAGGCCACTCAGTTAGAGCAGCAAAAGTTCTATACCAGACTGGTATAAGGTCAGGTTAAGATAGCGGAGGCCCGCAGCGGATACCGTTTCAATCCAGACTGATGCCATGCCCGGTGCATACGAAGTCACAGGGTAGCAGTCAACACATCGTAAACATGGCTGGTACAACCGTAGGGTGGAGGCCAAGGATAAGGATATAGCTTGCAAAGGTGGGAGCAAACAAAATCTCTTGGTCCGTGCGCGGCCCGCACGCTATATAGATCCTCTCCCCACATCTTAACAACTCATACTTACCTTGCGGGCGTGTTCCCCTTCACGTACCTGGGAATACGGGCCGTGGGGGCTCTCCATAGCACGGCGACCCTGTCCGCAGAGGGCCCCTGCGGTTTGTATGGGCTTCGGCTCATGCACTCGCTAAATATTTCCCTGTCCTGCTTCGGCCCTCGGGCTGGGCAGGCCATTTTTATGCCGGTCCGCTGTCCTAACCCTAACCCTGCCACAGGTATCCGAGCCAATGAGCGATTACCTTTCTATTAGAGTAGTCAAAGAAGCTACGTAGTCAGTGTTTGGGAATAAATTATCATCGCTACTATTGTAAAGAAGCCGCACAACAGGGTGTCTACCTACTCTCAACGCTGCCATTGCCGTTCCTTACAAGACTATTCTCCCGCGTCCCGGTTGCACTACCATACATCAGTACTCTCCGCCGTTCCTGACTCCTGCTCCGGCCATCCTCGTTAAACGATGCCCAGCTTACAACCCTCTGCCGACCAACAGAGTTCGGCGTCGCTGTGACATCTCGGTCAAAGCCTGCACTCGAACCCGGCCGGCCCACGATTCCGTCTCGAGGCGGCGTATGCACCAGAAGCAGACCCTATACACGTCAGTCAGTAAGTGCTCGACTAGTAATGGGTTGTACACCACGTACCTGAGCAGGCGAGAGTCCTATTAGACTGACCGTGCTCGTCTTATTCCTCAAAACCGGTTGACTCCCACTCGGCAACACGAGCGTCGCCGCCCTCCTCCTCCCGACACTCCCAAACCCGTTGCCTATGCCCCCACCCGCACCGCCTCCCACGCCTGCTTCGCTCGCGATCTCACTCTGGCCTGCATCGCCATCGTATTCGAATTCAGAGGCTTCGACGTCG